GAACCCAAGCTTCCAAATTCGATTGAAACCACTATGTCTCATTCTCATGCGAGGAACTCATTCATATTCCAACTTGCATAATTGCACATTTCCTAGCTCTCCCATCTACGTCCTATTCATGGTTAATTACCTCCAATTCCCATAGTCTCTTCGGTCAACCATGTTTTCTCATCTTGGTTAATTCCAGGAACTAAACAGGAACTAGACATTACCTTCTTATTACTTGTCCCAGATCGCATCCTGTCCAAAAGCAATTATCCCCCAAGCTCTTTCCTCGATCCACCTACTCACATGTGGCATCCTCAGCGCCTCCTTCCCCATCGATGGTTCCCGCAGCCCTACTGCTTCCTCAGCCGGCAATCACTTCACGTTTCCCCTCGTGTATAATTTCTTGGGATGGTGATTGTGGCACGGAAAGAGGAAGGAATAAGAAAAGAATGGTCGAGCGGCGGTTCGTGATGCTTATGCGAGGTGGGGAACTGGATCTATGCAAATTGCGGTTTTTATTAATTTTAGGCTATATACATGATCTAGGTGAGGCCGAGTGAGAGGTAGGGTTGGGTAGGGTTTAATTAGTTAGGGATATTTTGGGAATTTCACAGTTACGTGTGAGTTTAATCCGAAACTCAATTAACGTCCGTAACTTCCTCGTTTTGTGTCCAAATTTGACACCGCTTAAACCCACCGTTAACATTTTTAGTCCTCCTTGATATTACGGTGGAACTTGACCCAATGGTATAATATTCATTTTGAGTTTTGGAAAAAAACGGGGTATAACACCTTTTTTAGGGAAAGGGTGCTATTTTTTGGAATTTTTTCGGATGGGTGCTATTTTTGGAAAGAAAATTTCAACAGTGCTATTTCTGGAAAAATCCATTCAATATGTTTAGTGCGATCATGAAGTACTGGGTTGGTAACTATCCGGATGGCACTAGTATTATATGCAAAGAGACGCATCGACACCATACACGCAACGTCAAAATCGGCTAGCAGGCTCTTCAACCACACAAATTCAGAAGTCACTTTAGACATCGACCGATACTCGGCCTCAGTGGAAGATGTGGTGACACGGTCTTGCTTCTCACAACGCCACGAAACAAATGAGGGACCGACCTTAATGCACCATCCTGATGTAAAGGAGCGAGTATCAAGACAACCAACATAATCTGCATCTGTATAAGCCAAAAAAGTAGGGGGGCCAACTGCTGGAAAGAAGAGACCAACACCTTGCGTCCCCTTCAGATATCTTAAAATACGTTGAACTGCAACAAGGTGAGTTGTGCGAGGAGAAGTCATGAATAGACTAACCACTTGAACTGCAAAGGCTATGTCAGGTCTGGTGTGAGTCAAATAGAGTAGGATGCCGACGATGCTACGATACTGTGATCATTGAAAATGAGCTCCCCATCAGACTCTCCGAGGCGAAGATTCTATTCCATAGGAGTAGACACTGAATACACTCAATAATATATTTATGTTGACCCACCAGTAATCCCTCGGGTCAGCGTTCAATCTCTAGCCTTAGGAAATATGACAAGTTTCCCAACTCTTTCAAGTTGAACGCCTTCCGAAGTACTTGAGAAAGCTCTTGAATGCCCTGCTTGTCATCACCACTCACCACCATATCATCAACATAGATGAGAAGAATAGTAAGACTCCGTGCAGTGAAACGCATAAACTAGGACGAGTCATTCTCACTTTGAGTAAAACCAACAAGAATGATTGTAGTCTGGAATTTCTCAAACCAGGCACGAGGTGCCCATTTGAGACCATATAAGGAGCGACGAAGACAACACACTTGAGATGAATCACCTTTAGTATAACCCAACGGATGCTCCACGTATATGGTTTCCTGTAAATCACCACGGAGTAAGGCATTTTTGACATCCAACTAGAGCAATAACCATCCCTTCAAGGCAACTACAACAAGTAAGATTCAAAGAGTCTGCATTTTTGCCACAGTAGCAACGGTTTCCTCATAATCAATCCTGAATTCCTGTTTGAAGCTCTGTGCAACCACACGTGCTTTAGGTCGTTCAATTGAGCCATCAGGAAGAAGCTTGAGAGTATAGACCCACTTACTGTCAATGACAGAATATCTCAAATGTCATTCTACCAAATCCCAAGTGTGAGCACGATCAAGGGCATCCTTCTCCTCATCCATCGCACGTTCCCATGGGTCAATGACCTTGGCCTGTTTATAAGTAGTTGGAACAAAGACAAAGTGAGCCGAGTAAGCAAGGAAGTTAGAAAGATGAGCAGGGGCTTCCCTTTTGTCGCACGTATGGAATGACAGAGAGGTGGAGGTGGCGGGGACGGAGATGTTGTATCTTGGGAGGATTTCGAGCTAGATGAGGTCGAATAAGATGATGACAACCCGGGGGAACTTGTAGTCACGAAAGGTGAGAGGGAAGAGATAGAAATGGAGGGTGGTGGAGTAGGTAGATCCGCCCCATCTTCCGACTCATACCCAGGTTCGATCTCTCGGAGTCGGGGATGCATATGGGATGTCAGGTAGTGTAATCAAGAAATCCTAGTCCTGTTTTGTCCACTCTCGAGAGGAGGCATAATAAACAAATGCTCAAGATACACCACATGACATGAAATACGAATCCGTAGATGCTCAATATCGTAGTAAACATATCCTTTGTGTTTGTCATTATAACCCACAAAAACACACTTGGAGGTCTTAGGATTAAGATTGGTCCTTTCATAGACAGGTAGAAGGACATAAAAAAACACAACCCAACACGCGAAGCCACTTGTAGTTAGGTAGCTGGGACTCCGGGAGTACAAAAGCTGAAACAGACTTTGTTATTAAAGAACTGGTGTCATTTGTGGATTGATCAAATACACCACAGTGTGGACAGCCTTGACCCAGAAACGAGAAGGCACCTGTGAGTGAAACAGAATAGCACGAACCAACTCCAAGATATGTTGATGTTTATGTTCCACCAAGCCATTATGCTACGAGACCCCAGGACAAGATTGTCGAGCGAGGATATAGCGTTCCCTGAAGAGTTCTTGAAGAGGATACGATGTGAACTCACCCCCAGGATCCGATCGAATAATCTTGACCTATTTCCCAAACTGTGTGAATCATCTGAAGAAATTCCAGCGCGGCAGAAAGAAGATCAGACTTCTTCCGCAAGAAGTAAACCCATGAGTACCGTGAGACATGATCAATAAAGAGAGCAAAATAATGGAAGCCCAAACGAGATGTGATAGAGGAGGGATCCCAAAGATATGTGTGAACAAGATTGAATGGAGTAGAGCACTCCGTAGTACTTGATGCAAACAATGATTGAGAAATCTTTGCTTGTATACAATGCTCACAAACATAACCCGTATCTGAAATAGCATGGCTAGAAAGCCATTTATTCTTAAACATGGTCGAAAGTTTTGAAGAATGTGGGTGACCTAAACGACGATGCCACAAATCCCAATCCGATAATCCAACAGAATAAGTCAAACAATGTGACAAAAAAGTACATGATAAGGTCTTAGGACTGATACTACTATTACAGAAGGAAAATGTCGCTGAAGCTTTAGAAACTCCTCTTACTTCAGCAAAAGTAGCATCCGCCAAGTGAAGGTCACCACCCCCTTTGTCCACAGCGCCACCATGCACCCCATGCAAGGAGCCTACCCTTCCTCATTCCCATGTGTGAAGGAAGCAATCTCAAAAACACGACCCCGTTTATTCCCCTTCCGATCGCCTTCCCCGTTCTTAGGTCCTGCACAATGCAACCATTTGCATCAAACGTAATACCACAGTCACTATCAACCAATTGTCCCACAGATACAAGATTTAGAACCAATAATTTAGGGACATATAGAGTATCATTGAGAGTCATTCCCTTATCACACACAGTGCCTATCCCGTTAACTGAGAGACGAGAACCATTAGCCACTTGTAATGTCATACAAGGACCCAGATGAATATCATTAAATAAACGACGAGAACTCGTCATATGATTAAAAGCAGCGGAATCAATGTTCCATGAGGAAGAGGAACTAGAGTTCATACCCATAGAGAACATCGAGGTTAGCGCACTAGGAAGAGCATCCTTGATAGCCTCCTGCACTAAATAACGAATTTCTGCAGGTGACATAGACGCAACTGGAGGTGGCGACATAAGTGCAGCTGGAAACGCTGGTGCTAGATAGCAACCTGCCCTAGTAGTCGACCCTCCATGAGGACCGCCTGACCCTCCCCCTAAACTACCACGACCCCTTCCTCGACGTGCCAAGATCAGACAATCAGCAATCAAATGTCCTGAGGCCATGCAATAGTTAGAGACAATGTGATTGATGACCCGGTTCCTTGCAAAGATGACAGATAACAACACCACTAGGTGTGCGAAGAAACCAAGTACGCCCAACATGAACAATAGGGTTTAAAAAAAAAAAAACTTGTTCCTTAGAACTTCTGGATAGACCATTGAAGCTCAAATTCCCAACATCTCCTTGAAATATGAGTTGTAAAATTCCGAAACAAGATCCAGAATATCCCAACCGTGGCAGCTTATCACGAGTTTGAATCTTATCATGTATATATAATACATCACAATCCACTTGTTTCTGGATATTGCCTGACCTTTCCAGACAAATTACGTACCAATCTACATTAGGTCGATGAGGCCTCTCAAGTGCCCTCAAACCAACTTAATAGAATACTTGCACATAACAGCAACACTAAAATCCACTAAGCCGTTTGAAATCAAAATAATAGAAAAATTCATACAATACCAGCGACCCATAATACATTGATCCGAGTCCGACCCAACTTCAGCGCCAGTCCCTTGCTGATATGTCACAGGCTCACAGCTCGACGCCATGGCCGTGCCACCTGACAAGTACAGTAAATGGGGCAACCAGATGAATCACAGTTTAAGTAAAATATGCAACAACCCGCAACCCCACACCCCAAGCATTCCCACATATATGTAGAACTATATATATATATATTTACTCGGCACCATTAAATCATAAGTCAGCACAGTGATATTGGGACAGAGACCCAGCAAGTTGGCGTTGACAAGCTAGTCCACACAGACATATCCATACATCTGATGGCGACGTTTTTCTGTTCCATATCAGAAGAAAAAGGCTTCAAACAGAGGCAGATGGCAAAAGCGAAAGCAAACGCAACTAACCCAAAAGGAAAACCAAGTCAAATTGAAATTTCAGACCAAGAAGCTATAGCAAATTATAGCACAGCACACAGTGCTCACTGACTGCGACCTTTCCCTGTAAACATTCTCCTTTTTGTCTCTCTCTCTTGCTCTCGCTCTGGGCCGGTGTCTATTTTGTTCAAATCGAAGCATCCTAAGCCGGGAAAACAGAGTATTGTGTGATCAGTTTGGTGTATATAGCTTCGTCTCCCTTCCCGCGCGCCTTTTCATGCTCTCTCAACTCTCTCTTCCCTTTCATTTTCACCCTTCTGCTGCTGCTGCTGTAAATTTGTCCACTAGCTACCATCATGAATTCATTAGTCAAAATATAAAAAGCCAGAGGGGCAGGGGAAAAGGAAATGTTTCCCTATGAATGCATCGAGATTTTGAAGGTGGGTTTTTGATTTGTGAGAGAGAAAATCACGAGATGGAAGTGGGTGGTGCGGCGAGAGGAAGAAGATCGACGGCCGGGCGAGGAGGAGAGCAGAGAGACAGCACGGAGAGGAAACCTTGCATGGCCATGAAAAGGGTTCAAGTTGTTTACTATCTTACCAGGAACGGCCAACTGGAGCATCCTCACTTCATGGAACTCAGCCACTCCCCCAATCACCTCCTTCGCCTCAAAGGTAAAACTAGTTAAAATGTTTTAAACTACTGGCAGAAAAAAGGTTTGAACTTGGTGAGTAAAATATCTTTTGGTGGAAATGGTGGGTATATGGAGCAGATTTTGTGGATCGGCTGACCGCTCTCAGGGGGAGAGGGATGCCTTCTCTGTATTCATGGTCCTGCAAAAGGTCTGCAACCCCATCCCACTCTTGTGTTCTTGGCAAAAACCTGTGATGTTGACTGGATTTTTGTCAATGGCTTATGTGTTGAATGAATGATGTGTACAGGACATATAAGAACGGTTACGTATGGAACGATTTGGGGGAGAACGATGCGATTTATCCCGCCGATGGAGCTGCCGCCGAGTACGTTCTCAAGGGTTCCGAGATTCTCCCTCAACCTGTTGCTGGATTTGCAGAAAGGTTGCCGCCGCCGCCGCAGCAGCAGATTCATGATGTGTCGTCGAGTAGAGATGTGGTGGTTCATAATCATCAACCCAGAACCACCAATTATCAGCCTCTTGCCAAAACAAAACAGAGGCTACAGCAGCAGCAGCCATTGGAGTTTACAGCTCCCCTGCCTCCAAGAACTCGCCCCTGCAGCCGGGAACTCGAACCAGAACCAGAAGAAGAGGAAGAGGAAAAATCGCCAGAGGAACTCGATGAGGAGGAGAAAGCTAGCTACAGTACTACAAGCTCTACAACTCCACGTTCCCGCTGCTCCAGAGGCGTCTACACGGACGAACCTGAAGAGGAACAGCAGCAGGCGGCGAAGCAGGGGAACCAACTGGTTCCTACTCATACCCAGAAAACCCCATTGATTTTAGTGAAACGATTTCCAGGAGGAGAAGAAGGTGATGGTGGGTCGGACTCCGACCCGGGATCAATCAAGGAGTCGTCATCATCAGCAACCAGACCAGCAGTTCGCAATTCGGTTCTGCTTCAACTCATTTCCTGCGGCAGCTTCACCGCCCCACCTCCTCCTAAGCTCAAGACCAATGCTGCGGCTACAATCAAAAAACTGCCGCTGCCACCACCAGTCATTAAAAGAGAGGTCGTTGGCAGTAGTGACGACTGTGGCGCCGGCAATGTTAGCAGCAGAAGGATGGGCAGTACTGGTAATGGTGCAGGGGAGGAAGGAGAAGGAGAAGAAGAAGAGGCGATGATGATGATAAAGTACATGTCGGAGAATCCCAGGTTCGGCAACCCTCAGTCTCAAGACAAGGAGTTCTTCAGCGGCAGCATTGTCGAATCCGTTGATCATCCTGCTCCTCCTGGAATTGACACCATTAAGAGATCCAATTCCTACGGGGAACAACGGTATTAATTGGTCATAGTGTTTCTCACATATCATTACGCTTAACTTCACAAAGATTGATTATATAGGTTAGTTACAGTTCCATTCTTTCTGCAGGAGCAGCTTAAAGGAAGCAGCAGCTCATGTGGAAGATGCAGCTGCTGAAGCAGGGGCGCAAGTGAAGAACAGGGGAGGAGGAGGAGGCATCAAAGGGAAATGCATGCCTCGTTTGAGGTCCTCGAAGTGAATGAACAGAGGAATTTAATGAGTAGTGGAAATATGTCAATTACTACTAGGAAGGATAAGGACGTGGTGATTGCTGCTTTTCCTTTATTGCTTCTGTATAAAAGGATGGGTTGTTACTGGTTTTTCACCCGCCATTGTTGTTATTATGACAAGTCACTGGAAGTGGCAGGCCATTATTATCGTGAAATCTCCCCTCCAACTGTCCGTTTGGGATAATTCTGGAAAAATTGACTCGGTGAATCTGGAAAGCAAATTGTCGACAGAGAGGTGTTAGTACGTGCGTTGAGCTTGCAGGCATAGAAGGAAGAAAGCTGAAACCCTTTTTGACTTTCCAGTTGCTGTTTTGCTTCCACGGCCAGATTTTAGGCTTTCCTTGTAGTTGTTGCCAGCGGTCTTTTTCTTGGAGCTTAGTGGGGTTGTAAACTAGAGTGAAGTCGAGTTTTATCTAATAGTGGCTCAACTTATTAATAAATTAGATTTTTTTTTCTGCGGTAAGAAATTAATTATAGATAAAAATGTATTTTACGTATTTGATGATTTAGTGGAAACTGAGTAAATTATTGTCTTAATCTTTACGAATGACATACATTATACATTTGTTTATGTGATACATAAGGAAATAACTTACATACATTATATATTTGTATATATGCAAGTATTCTGTAATTTATTGTCTTAAATCATGACAGAATACTTACATCTACTTGTTTCTATTTTATTTTATGAAACCTGCGGTTAGTTGTATTAATAAAAAAATGTTGTTGCATCGTCCAACAGAAGCTGATTAATCAAGATCATAGAGGGTCTATCTACCCAAATAACCAAAGTATTCCAGGGAGTTCGTGTTACGGGTTATGAAAAGACACAGAAGAATTTTAGGGATTTTGACCAATTACGATACAGAAAAGAAAGAAGGAAAAACAAAGAAGAAGAAGGCTTCTGTTTCTCGTCCAAAGAGACTTGTAAATGGGCTCAAAAAGGCAAAGCCCAAAGCGAAATAAAAGTAAATGAAAATAAGAAGTAACGAGGGCTTGAGCTACAAAGCCCAACCAAAAAATGTAACAAGACCAACAGCACACTGCTTGTCTTCGACCTTGACCTGTCGAAGCAAAAACAGAGCAGAGGCAAAAACAGAGTCGAAGAACATGGAACACATAACAAGAACCGTAAGAGCAATAAAAAGAAAGGCAACACACGATTTAACGAGGTTCCCTAACTACTGTCACTCCTCGTCTCGGAAATAGCACTTGCTATTTTCCGAGAGACTCTTTTTTTTTTGTTGTTAAGATTTTTCCTAATCAGGTCTTTAGTAACAAAGGTTTTACCTAAACCCTTTACCTTATTGATTAGAACGGTGAATCAAGAGTACATGTCGTGAATACTCTCACCTGGCAGCATGTCAAAGGCCGCATGTTCGTGCATGAGGAGATCGATGCGAGTCTCCTTGATGTTTGATGTGCCCTCGTACGTCGTTTCCAGAGTCCGCCAGATTTTGCGAGCGGTGTCACAGTTCTCAACCTTGTCGGCTTCGTCGGGCACCATGGCGGACTGGAGAATATGCATTGCTCGCTGGTTGAGCTGAGTGCTCTTCTTCTGGGCGGCAGACCATAGATTCTGTTTGTCATCATTCATCACGATTGGACCATCACGAACCACCAACTAGAGGTCTTCCTCTACACCCCATAGAAACGTCTTCATACGTTTCTTCCATGCCGTGAAATTTGAGCTGGTGAAAATCGGTGGGTGATTGTACGAAGCTTGGCCAAAGTTTGAGGAAGCCATCGTCTGGATCTGTCTTGGCAGTAATTAGCTTCTTCAAGTACTGGCTCTGATACCACTTATGAAAAGACAGAATAATTTTAGGGATTTTGACCAAGTACAATGTAGAAAAGAAAGAAGGGAAAACAAAGAAGAAGAAGGCTTCTGTTTCTCGTCCAAAGAGACTTGTAAATTGTATAAAAAAGGCAAAGCCCAAAGCGAAATAAAAGTAAATGAAAATAAAAAGGAACGAGGGCTTGAGCTACAAAGCCCAACCGAAAAATGTAACAAGACCAACAGGACACTGCTTGTCTGCAACCTGGACCTATCGAAGCAAAAACAGAGCAGAGGCAAAAACATAGTCGAAGAACATGGAACACAGAACAAGAACCGTAAGAGCATTGAAAAGAAAGGCAACACACGATTTAACGAGGTTCCCTAACTACTGGTCATTCCTCGTCTCGGAAATAACACTTGCTATTTTCCGAGAGACTCTTTTTTTATCAAGATTTTTCCTATCAAGCAAAAGAAAAAGAAACAAAGTAACGAATCTGTAAAACCGAACAACCACCAGCCCAGATCACAATCCGATCTGTAGAGACCCTCAACATCTAAGAACCTTTTCCCCTAAACTGTTGTTGACCTTGTAACTAAAAGACCAGCCCTCAACCGCTCTCTTTTTCTCAGTTACAAACCTTACTTTTACAATCGAGATACACTGAATATATAGGTAGAGCAAAGTATCCGTTGAGAAGACCAAGCTAGCCGTTGCTGATTTTCCGCCAGAATTGCTTCTTCTGAGATGACCTTCCTTAGACGAATGAATCTTGAAAACTTACCAAAGCAGATCAATCGTCTACTCTTATTTCGTTCAACACGTGTCGCCATGAGGTGGGCTGCTTCATTTGCTGAACGTCGAGTAAATCGGACTGCGTTTGCAGCCCTTACTCTAAGCGCTTGGCGAATACTTTTGCAAAGAGTCCCAAGCTCTGTCCTGATCTCAAAGAGTCCAAAGATCCCTTGATTTTAAACTATGATAAAAGTGGCTTGATCAAGTCGATTTCCATGCACACCCTAGTAAATTTTCCACGAGCCCCATACTCAGTTGCTCTAACCATCCTTATGATTAAACCTATTAACTCAACTATTCTCAAGACGACTTCCTTATTGATAAATTCAATGAGTAGATCAGGGAGTTGTACCCACACCATTGTCCTTTTCACCTATGCTTTCCACGAATTAAAGCCCTTATACTAACATGAGACTGTGAGGTAAGTTGTTCCGAGAATCTAGGGGTTGCCATTGGTAGCCAACTCATAGTCTTGCTATTGGCGAATATAAGTGTACCGACAGTGCTTGGTACGAGGCATTCCTTCCCAACCCCTTGACGACCACAACTGATCGTCACTCTCTTCTCCATCTCCGCCACAGTCAACAGGACGTAGGGCATTTAGGATCCCTCATAGTTTCATCAATGAAATCATCCTCTTCCTTATCCGCTACTGCGACATCTTCCGAATCTGATTCAAACATTAATAAAATTCATCTTATGTATTTTTTATTTATTTTTACGTCTAATTAAAAATGAGTTACCATCATGATTGATATATGAACTCCCTAATGTTTTGCCAATGTTTTTCCCATGTCCATGCGTAGGTAGGTTATGTAATTGGTAGGTTGATATGGTTATGTGTAAGGTGGTGAATGGTGATTGGTGAATACAGGTGATTATACCAAATTCGCTTTCGATCAAGGCTTTTTCGATCAAACATTCTTAATGAAAATGCGCAACTTATTGGAAAAGGGTTACCAATTTTTAACTATAAAATATGTTATGTGAATTAACTATTTAAATTGTTTCTTTCTAACTAATTCATTTGATATTAATAATTTTTTACTTTTTTCATGTATTCTATTACAATTGACATAATTGAAACAAATCAGTTGTATCACTAATGATATAATGACTTACCTAGGGGTGGCAGTTCGGTTATTTCGGTTATAACCGGTAACCGATCGGTCGGTTATCTGTTAACCGAAATAACCACCTTTTCTACCAAAAACCGACCGAAATAGGCTTCGATTTCTTGGTTAACCGAACCACTTTTAAGACCAAAAATCATTTTGTCCAACATCCGATAACCTACAGAAGTTTGGTTATTTCGGTTACCGGTTAGTGGATAACCGGCCAATTATCGGATAAACCGACCGGTTAACCAGTAACCGAACGACCACCCCTTGACTTACCGATTCGAACGGGTTTCATTCACATTCACACACGCCCAACTTTATAACGAAAATTTGTTACCAAGATTGTGGGAAAAAAATCCCAGAATACTCTAATTATTAAAAAAAATTCCCTAAATACAGTACTTATAAAATTATTTCCCAAAGTACAGCAGTTTGTACATCACTGTCGATGACGAAGACAGTGATGATAATCACCGTTTTAGTCTAAAACGGTGATAACATCACCGCATTTGACCAAAGCAGTGAAGCTATCACCGCTGAAGAGAAAAACGGGGAAACAATCCCCGCTTTTGTGAACAACGAGGATGTTCTGACAGTTGATTAGGGAAGCGGTGAAGGGATATTAACCGTTCATGTAAAAAACAGTGAAGTGGCGCGGATCGCTGACGTGGACACGCGCGGGCACTTCACCGTTAATGACAAAAGCGGTGATAGCCCCGCTTTCCACGTCACCGATCCGCATCGTCCGCGCCTTCACTGTTACCGTCCGATGAGGTGAGGCGCGGATTGTGGTTTTTCTCCACGATCCGACGCCTCTCATGGCGCCATGTCACCGATTCGAGCCATCACTGTGTTTCTTCAAGGCGGTGACTTCACTGCTTTTGTTGGACGCGGTGATGAATGCTCCAAATTTTTCCAGCGCCTAAACCCTATAAATACCACCCCCTCCCCCTATTCCAAACCACACCACCATTTTATACTTCTTTCTCCCTCCATTACTTCACTCTAGTTTCGTTCTAAGTATGCTCTATGGTTGCGGCTAAGTCCGATCTTCCGCATCAGAAAGAATTACTAGAGTTTTTGTTTTGTCGATACTCTCTCTAGCTTTTCGGCAAAAAATGGACGAAGAGGCTCTGAGAGTACGTAGATTTTTTTTTTTTTTCTTTTGTGATTTTTTTTAAATAGGTGTTGAAATATAAATTGATTTTATTTCTTATTTTTTTATAGATGGGTGCTGAGATATACTACCCTCGATTGTATATCGATCCGGGCCCAAGGGATCAAAGGTATTTAACCGGGCAAGATCAACATCGCTCCCATGCAATTTGGAACAATAATCCGGTAGACACTCCTCGCCGTTTTTTTTTAAAATTATTTCATTAGTTTAAAAGTTTTTATTTTGCTTTCTATTGACTGACAACATTGTGTTTTTTGTTTTGTAGGAATCACTTATTCCCATCAGTCATCGAGGGACATGTTGATTGCCCCGTTGGCATGCTCGACTGGCGCCCGATATAGAGAGGACGGGATTGCACATGCTGAGGCACTTTATGAGGCTTGATATTGACAACGATCTGCTGACGGCAATGGCAGAGCGATGGCGCCCCGAGCTGCATACCTTCCACTTTCCCGAGGGTGAAATGACGATCACCCTCAAAGATGTTGCCATCCTCACCGGGCTCCCGATCACCGGAGATGCCATCATCGACAACTCGAGAAAACCGGAAGATGGTTGGGGGCCATTGATTCAAGAGCGTTTGGGGTTCAACATGCCGACCACCACGCCCGTCGAAGGGGTTGGGCATCCACCACTGTATGCGGGCAAGTATCGATCCCGTGGCTTGTTGAACACATCCAGTTGGAGGTTAATATAGACCCGAACACTCCTGAAGATCATGTGGAGCGGTATGCCCCGTGTCTACCTCATTGGCTTGGTTGGTGGGTTTCTGTCCCCGACAAGGCAAACCGGTGGATACAAGGCATGTGGTTCCCGTTGCTCCTTGGTGACTGGGACGAAATCGGGAACAAAAGTTGGGGGTCGGCCGTCTTGGCTGGGATCTAGCGAGAGTTGTGTACTTGCTCGAGGTTGGGAGCAAAACAAGCTGGTGGTGCGATGTTCATACTCCAGCTCTGGGCATGAGCATCTTTTGTTTTTCGCACCTCGAGACCCACAGGAATTCTGGTTGCCAGATGATGAGCTACGATTTGTAGCAAATCCCCCATATGGTTTCAAGTAAGTTTAATTTAAGTTTAATTTATTTTAGATATGCAATGGCAGTATTTTAGTGAATTTAGATCTATTCCTAGTAATTTAGATTAATTTTAAGTACGCAATTATAGTATTTTAGTGAATTTAGATCTATTCCAAGTAAGCGAATTTAGATTCATTTTAAGTATGCAATTATAGTATTTTAGTGAATTTAGATATATTCCAAGTAAGCGAATTTAGATTTATTCTAACCAAATCGTATTTAGCGAATTTAGATTATTGCTAAGTAAGGGGAAAATACTTAAATTTCCATCAACCCCAGTGGCAATGAGAAGAGTTCCTTTATACTTCCCAATAAGGAAAGTTCCATCAACTTGTTAAAATGAATAATTAGTTAGTAAAAATTGAACTTTGTAAAGTAATGAATTAGTATAATAGCTTGAGTCTGTAATATACCTGAATCACTCGCATGCAGAAGGGAAACCCGTCAATGCATGGCTTGAATGTCCAGAACAGAAGATGAAACATCAACTCGTTCTGTACTCGAACTTGATCTTCAGTTTGTACGTTGTTGTACCACGACACTAATAACGTCCCAGGGTTGGACTCCTCCATTGCGGACATTAGTCTAAGGAGTAAAACATACGAGTCTTCCCAATCACAGTAGACCTCAGCCATGACCTTCTGCTTCCCATGTCACGCCTTCTTATACCTTATGGTGTAGGAATGTCGATCCTTCAGCTCGGCCATGATAGCTTTTATCTTGATATCTGGTTGTGCCTCGATTAGGTGCTTAATGGTTCTTGCCACTTTTTTTGCTTTAAATTGCCAGTGATCCTGTGAAAGTATGGTTGAGGAGCATCTGTGGTTGTTCTCTACTGTCCGCATGACTCAGACGCCCTTTCTCTTCATATACGCAGCCTGAAGTTGCCAAAGTTGCCACATACAACCCTCTCCAACATTCTTATAAATGACATGCAGTTGTTTGGTGTCAGAATATTTTACCTTCCATTCGAAGTTACGCCGCATGGCTTCTTCGCTAAAAGCATCTTGCACATCGTCTTTCGAAGTGAAAGCCATACCCACTTCCAAATTAGCAGTCGGATTATACACAGGCATGGGTCGAAAGTCAGGGGCATCGTTCTGACCATATAAAAATTGATCAGGAACCTCTGTGTAGTAAGGCGTTGGTGCCTGATGGAACGCCACCTCTCTGTCGTCGATATCGCCCATATCTTCCTCCTCATTGACTGATCTCAAATCTTCCTCACTTTCATCGTCACTGGAGGCAAATGGATAGCTCGGCTCAGGATGGTCATCGTTACCAGCATAACCAACATCGGCTTCTTGGTCATGCGAAGTACGCCCAGATCGAAGGGTGTTCTTAATGTCAGCCCACTCTGGACCCCAAGCAGGCCATTGATCACCGTCGGGCTGAACGATATCGACGACAGTCTCAGCATGTTGCGGGTATTCTTCCCACCCAACACCTCCTTCAGAACTACCTCCTCCGTAGTTGCTTGAAGTACCACCCCAGCCATACCCTCCTGCAGAAGTACCTCCTCCATAGTTACTTGAACTACCACCCCAGCCATGCCCTCCTGCAAAACCATCATCACAAGAATACTGGTGAGAATGAGTTTCACCGACCTGCTCGGTCTCGACATACACCTCTAAAAGCACGCACCCCGTTGTCAGATAGGAACTGTATCATCATGTTCACCGCGTCATCACCATTTATGACAACTTTTTCGTACATGATTCCGTCAGCACTCATGTTTGGATACCGGGAAGTACTTTGGCCAACTCTCCTTTGTCCACCCATACAAGTCCTTTCTACACAAATGTCACGGAGTTCTTGCCACGAGAATCTCGACTCAATTTTTAGCATAGTGGATTCGCCATTTTCATAGTTGATCCCAATGTTCGAGTTTGTCACCTGACTATTCCACCGAATAATAAGCCGAAACTTCTTAAATTTACCCATGTCTGCAATTTATAATAATTAAGTATAGTATATAATTAGTACATTAGGGATACAAAAACAATATCATCCAAACCCATAAACAACCGCAACTAATTGATCTATCATGAGAAAACTAAACAAATTCATCTAAATTCATAACTAACTAACTAACTAACATCAATCATATCATAATTAATCTAAATATCTCATAACATATTTGCCAATAACCGCAATTCACTAAATACAGACATATAATTACTAATACATCAACATGTAAACAATACAAAATTATAACATGCCGAATCCCGATGAGTTTCTTGTTGCTGTAAACCAACTCCAAACCAGCTGAGAAAACGACCAAAAAAATCACTAATTTTTGTACTAATTTGTTGTAAGGCAGCAGGAGGGACGTGATGGTCGGTTTTTATAAGGAAATATGCCAGCTAATCACCGCAGTGGACAATTGCGGTGAACACATCACCGCTTTTGTCCAAAACGGTGATAGCTAGGTCGATGTGACCTAATTATCCACCTACCAGAGCTCTAAAACGTGGTCAAATATCACCGTTTTGGTCGACGGCGATGATGTAATCACCGTTTTGCACAACAGCGGTGATGCAATCACCGTTTTGGACGGCGGCGGTGATATAATCACCGTTTTGGAGGAAAGCGGTCATAGTATCACCGTTATAAAGGAACGCAGTGATACCTTCACCGTTGTTTTCAAAGGCGGTGATTACAATTACTGTCTTTGTCTTCGACAGTTGAAACTGCTGTACTTTGGGAAATAACTTTATAAGTACTGTATTTAGGGCATTTCTTTAATAACTAGAGTATTTTGGGATTTTTTCCATGTGTTGTTAATTTATAAAATCTTATTGTCTGCTTTACCGTATACGACTAGGGATGGCAATAAAACCCATGGCCGTGGGTATCCGACCGCCCCCGACCCAGTCAACGCGGGGAATCCCCGCTTTGACCGGGTATGAGGCGGGTATGGGTAAAACCCGTAAAAAATTTGATGGGTATGGGGCGGGTATGGTTTTGACCTCCCCCGCCCCATACCCATACCCATACCCGCCCCACCAAGAGAATTTCTTCACATATAAAAAATATGTGGATTAAATTGTAATCTATCAATGGTGATGAGGATAACTCAATGAAATAAATAGTAGAAATGCAATTGAGTGACCATTTTAATCAAAATCATAATTCATTTCCCTCAATTCTCCTTTCACTCTTTCACTTTTCTTCTTGTCTACAAGATTATGTTAGTTAATTATTACTTAGTAGATGTATAAGAGTTAGAAGATTATAATATGAAAAATATTATACTTTATATTATGTATTAATGGATGTTTTAGGATCATATACTTTGAACCGTATTAAGAAAATGATCGTGTTTTGTTGACTTCATGATATAATAGGTTCGTTTAGATTAATAATTAAAACTTTTCTTGTAAATTTTAGGTATAATAATGTTGGATGTATGGGTAAGGGTATTACCCATGGGTACCCGAAACCTACGGGTATGGGGATGGGTTTGCAAAACATTCCCCCACATGGGTATGAGGCGGGTATGGATTTGAGTATTTGAAAATGGGAATGGGGATGGGGATGGTTTAGACAAACCCGCCCCAAACCCGCCCTATATACGACTGAGTTTAATCCGAGAACCTGAATGTCCAGTGTCTTGACCTTTTCTCGGCCAGAAAAAAAGAAAACGGTAAATCAAAATCCTCTTCAGTCTTCACTTAGTAGGGTTTACAGTGGTGGCGGCGGCGATCGACGAAGACGGAGCAAAGCATCGAGGGCAAGGACTGCTTTCCGTTTGTAAGCTCCATTGTTACTGAGTTCCGCCGGCACCCCTAACTCTGCTCCTATCTTCGCATCGCAATTCTCGCGGCAAGCATGGAGGAAGTTTGTGAGGGAAAGGATTTTTCATTCCCCAAGCAGGAGGAAAAGATTCTCTCTTTCTGGTCTGAAATCAAGGCCTTCGAAACTCAATTGTCCCGCACGGAATCCCTCCCGGAGTATGTTTTCTACGACGGTCCTCCCTTCGCCACCGGGCTTCCTCACTACGGCCACATCCTTGCCGGAACCATTAAAGATATCGTGACTCGCTACCAGACCACGACCGGCCACCACGTCACGCGTCGTTTTGGATGGGACTGCCATGGCTTGCCCGTCGAGAACGAGATCGACAGGAAGCTGGGGATCAAGAGAAGGGATGAGGTTCTGAAAATGGGGATTGATAAGTACAATGACGAGTGCAGGAGCATCGTGACTCGTTACGTTGAGGAATGGGAGAAGGTTATCACGAGGACAGGGCGTTGGATTGATTTCAAGAATGATTACAAGACCATGGATTTGAAGTTCATGGAGACTGTTTGGTGGGTTTTCTCGCAGCTTTGGGACAAAGGTCTCGTTTATAAAGGTTTCAAGGTTGGATAAACCCCATGCTTGTGTTACTCTTTAGATTATTCTTTGAAGAATGTCTGGGTTCTGACCATTTTAGGAACAACTCATCTCAATTTGATTGTTGCAGGTCATGCCATACAGTACTGGTTGCAAGACTGTACTATCGAATTTTGAAGCTGGCCAGAATTTTAAGGTTATCCATTCACAGCTTCCTTTCTTTTTCTGGTGAATTTCTTTCTTCCCATTCCCGCTATTCAATCGTTACAACTTGCTGTGGCAACTGACAATGCAGGATGTACCTGATCCAGAGATCATGGTAGCATTTCCTGTTGTGGGTGATCCTGATAAGGCTGCATTTGTGGCTTGGACGACCACACCGTGGACTCTTCCTAGTAATCTTGCGCTTTGCGTCAATCCTAACTTTGATTATGTTAAGGTTAGTCCCCTTCGGCTACTGTCATTTTCTACCATCGTCAAGATGTATGCTTTCAGTCAAAATAGACAGCTTCAAAGAATGTATTATACAAACCAGCTCCCCTTATTGTATTGGCTTTTAGACAGGTGTTAGTTTCCTTGGTTTTGGTGTATCCATACAAGGTTGAAGCAAAAATGTCCTGCTAGGGACCTACCCTATTAGAAAAGTTTCCTACTTGACAAAACATCCGAGCATCCATTATTTAGTACAATGGTAGAACTTGAAGCTACTTTAGCTAGGCCTATTAGCTTAGAGATTTATAGTAGCTTTTTTATCCTATGAAAAGGGCAAGTGCTTCAAGTTGCTGAAAACCTTATTACTGGAAGCTTGTCAGCAGGTGTCCTTTTATGAGAAACGTGCCATTCAATAATTGTACTGCCAGTTTAGTATCTAATACGCAGTGGAAAAACAATGTACAGGTCCGCAGCAAGTATACTGGTAAAGTCTACGTGATTGCCGAATGTCTCTTGTCCTCCATTCCCGTGGAGAAGCCAAAATCAAGTGATTCAAAGACATCGAGCTCCAAGACAAAGGGTGCGAAGACGGAAAAGCCAATGGATTCATATGAATTGCTACAGAAATTTAAGGGCAGTGAACTTGTAAATAAAAAGTAAGAGTTCTGTTTTTATGAGTCTCTGAGTTTGGATTATGCTTGTTGGTGTCCTGCTGTATTCATTTAGTATACCTCATGCTTGGAAAAAATTGGCTGCTCATTGTCGAATAATAGCTGGATCTGAGATCATTTTTGGTAATGGTTGCTAGAGAAAGACTTATAGTTGGAACCAAACTGGGTGCTGATACTTTAGTAGAGTAATAACTGAAGAATAAACAAATCGCCCTCTCCTTTGTCTAAATTTATGACACATGGAATCGAACCTTTCCCCCCATTTAAATGCGATGGAACTTTGTTTTAACTTTTTTGACCCATTTTTGTTCTTTAAGAGGAGGTTCGGATCAGATACGTTCTCAGTAACGTGTGCTCTTAGCTGGTCAACCTTCATCAATTACCGTATCTTTGCAGCTCTCTTATTGCTTTTATATATCAGCATGTTAATGTAACCACAAAATTATTCTCTGCTGCATAGATTTCTCGTCTCTCTCCCCTCCTGACATTGCTTCTGTCTTCTTTGGACGCCAAGAACAACATTTCACTGAATTCCTGCACTTCTGAAATAAATTGAAATTGTCTCAACTCATGGTCAAGCTCTCTGTTGCAGGTACGAACCACTGTTTAATTATTTCGAGGAGTTTGCTGATGCAGCATTCAGAGTTGTGGCTGATAATTATGTGACATCTGACCGCGGTACTGGAATTGTCCATTGTGCACCTGCATTTGGAGAAGATGATTACCGAGTTTGTATTGAGAATACAATAATCAATAAGGTCTGTCTGAGCCTGCATTTGGAGAAGATGATTGTCCATTTTTTTCTGCATCTTTCACAATTTTCCTCCCCCAGGCAATGTATAGTGATTATTTCTAAACTAACCAGTAGAAGGGACTTTTTTGATTCCATCATGCTTCCCAGTTATCATAGATATATGTTTTGCTCAAGAAAATTAATATAAGAGATGTACTTATGTGGAATGCTTTTCACTTTCTATCTCTTTTTGTTTTGGTTTTCATTAACTCTATAATATTTCCTGGATTTTAGGGCGAGAATTTGGTTGTCGCTGTCGACGATGATGGGTGCTTTACTGATAGGATTACTGATTTCAGTGGGCGCTATGTTAAGGATGCCGACAAAGATATCATCGAGGCAGTGAAGGTGAGGGCCTCGCCTGACATGGATAAAAGGATAAAAATTCTGAATTTTTTTCTCCTTTATATTTTATGTACATAATTTTCTACACCGAGTGTAAAGGAGGTTATGGTTGTAGCTTTCTTGTTCTTAATTATTACTACAAATAAGTTTACTCTTTTCTTGATTGGCTTAAACTATCTTTAATCACCAGGAGTGGAATTAAGTTTGATGCAATCCTTTTTGTGGTGGTACTTGTGTTTCGTGCTGCTTTACTGTTTATCTGCTTACAATTTCTTTAAATATCTTAGGGAAAGGGAAGGCTTGTCAAAACTGGAAGCTTTATGCACAGCTACCCGTTCTGTTGGAGATCGGATACCCCGCTTCTTTATAGAGCTGTTCCAAGCTGGTATGTGCACCTTTTTCTTTCTGTCTCTTCTTCCTTTTTCATTTCCAAAAAATTTCCTTTTGCATTGTCTATAAGGTTATATTGATTGTCATTTTAAATTGTTTCTGTAGGTTTGTTAGAGTTGAAAAGCTGAAAGATCAATTGTTGGAAAACAACAGTCAGACGTATTGGGTTCCTGATTATGTGAAGGTTAAGGATCCTCATTCTGTCATCTCCTTTTGAACCTAGGACACACTCTTATTTGTATTTGGACTGTTTGGTGAAGAACTTGAGGTACTTTGAGGTTCTTCAGAAGGGCATGTTGGGGCTCTGAAATCTGCTAATTTTAGTTACCTAGGTGCAGAAATACTCTCATTATCCTAATAATATCTGTAACAATGGAAGAGTGAAAAGATTTTAAGATTGATGGTGTGAATCTGTATATCGATCTATCTATGAAATCGAATCCTGTATTAATTTGTACTGATCGTGGAATAAGGTCTAATTGTTCAAAGGATCGACTGAGAGCCTTGACCCTTATGCATCAGAACTATGTCATTGGTGCATCCTAAGCATGCATATCCTTTGGGAACTACTTTTCAAATAAGCAAGCTATTTTGTGTGGAAAATGAGCTCATTTTTTTAGATTTTAGGCCAGTGAATTGCATATGTTTTCCTTTGCTATCTAACATGTTTCTTCAGATTCTTGGTGTTCCTCAGCTCTGTTCTTAGTTTTTTCCCCTACTTACGTTGCTTCATAATTCTACAGGATAAGCGATTCCACAATTGGTTGGAAAATGCACGAGACTGGGCGATTAGTCGCAGCCGGTTTTGGGGTACCCCTCTCCCTGTATGGACCAGTGTGGATGGGGAGGAAATAGTAGTTATTGATTCTGTTGCCAAGCTGGAAAAACTGTCTGGTGCTAAGGTTTGATTTCTTTACTTGCACTCTCTGTGTCGGTGACGGCTGTACAATTGATGTTTGGTGAACTGCATACCGTGGTAAATATGAGTGTTAAACCCAGGAAGATCAGTGTTGACTTTGAACTGAATGGGGCAGTTAAGAGTCAGGTTTTTAGCTTTGTTTATTGAAATCACGACTTCAGCCTAAATGGTGATCTGGGCTTGGGCTTTGTAATAAATTTCTGATAAGGGACCTTGCATTTTAATTGTTAATGTCTCCTTTGATGTTTCTTGTTCTTGTTGCATATGAGGGTATATAGTTTTTTCTTACGATTGAGTTGGACTAAGAGCTATATTCATTCTTTGTTTCCTATTTGGTTCTGTTGAAAATTTTCCAGGTGGTTGATCTCCATCGTCACAAGATTGATCACATCACAATCCCTTCTAGTCGTGGTCCTGAATTTGGGGTGCTTCGACGTGTTGACGATGTAAGCCTCTAGAAGATACTTGGTGGTTTTCTGTTGTCAGATTTTTGTTAAACTGGAATTTTGGATTTATAATCTTGATTATACGTTTTCTTTGGCAGGTTTTTGATTGTTGGTTTGAGAGTGGGTCGATGCCTTATGCTTATATCCATTATCCTTTTGAGAATGAAGATTTTTTCGCGAAAAATTTTCCTGGGCATTTTGTCGCTGAAGGGTTGGATCAAACTCGTGGATGGTTGGTTCCTCCTTTTCAACTTGTATGCTGTTTTTGTGGCCATTCAATTTGTTAATGCATATGTCTTTTAGCAATTTTTTGTTGTGCATGTATGCAGTGATAAAATACTTTCTGAACATTATCATGACATAAGTCTGGTTTCTGCAGTTCTTGTCGCTATAAAAATGATTTTGTGTAAATTTCTGAGCTTGAGAATTTAGGCCACTCAACATCAAGTGACTCATTTTGTAATATGGAATGCTCCTCAAAATTGCTTGACAAGAACATTGTTGATCCCAATAGCTCCAATCACACAAGGAACTCACGAGGAGTTTTGATTAATATTGTTATTTTTCATTGCAGGTTCTATACACTCATGGTTTTGTCGACTGCATTATTTGGAAAGCCAGCATTTAGGAATCTTGTCTGCAATGGTCTGGTCCTTGCTGAGGATGGTAAAAAAATGAGTAAAAAATTGAAGAACTACCCATCGCCAATGGATGTGATCAATGATTATGGAGCTGTATGTCTTCAGCTTATTACTAGTTTTCTTGGGTTTTGTTATGCTTTTGCGTATTTGAGTCATGCTCATATTTAAGCCTTGTGTTTTTCTTTCGCAGGATGCTCTAAGATTATACCTTATCAATTCTCCAGTTGTCAGGGCTGAAACTTTGCGTTTCAAGAAGGATGGAGTCTATAATGTTGTAAGTACATTCGGAAACATCTTAATAATTAAGGAGTGGGCAGAGATTATTTGATGCTAATCTCCTCCTTGATCTGGGCTATAAATGAGGTCGACCCAGTTCTGTTATGTTCAGATTGGTTTGAGAGTTGGCCATCGAAGGTTTTTCTGTCACTATTCAGCATAAGTTTTGGTGGGCCTTCTAGTGCGTTACTAATTGTAGACATTCTAAAACCATATTAGCTGTTTGTTCTGCAATTCTTATTTATCATTATGATTTCTGCTTTCTTTTTGTCATGGCATGATGGAGATAGGCCTCTCATGTCCTATAGTAGTGGGAATGAAGTTGCTACTTCTTTAAGTTTTTTGGTTTAACTAACATATGGTAGGATATTAGTCAATTGAAGAGGCCGCCTTTATCTCCAGTGAAATGGAAGTTGGGTTCCTTAAACTCTGAAATTTATAGGTCCTGTCTTGAGCCCCTAATATTGTTCCTGCATATGAAGGAGGATTAACCTCTTTGGTCGTTTACTTATACCACCTGTCACTACACTTAATCTACCAACTACTTGCTGCTAACCTTGACAATACTGTTTTCCAGCGCGCAATTTTGTCTGTATATTTGGGCTTTATACTTTTTGCTTTTCTTCACCTATCAGCTCTTCTGTTAGTGCTCTCTGCGCATTTTCCTCATATTTTCCGTCGTTCTTACGTGCAGGTGAAAGATGTCTTTCTTCCATGGTATAATGCTTACAGGTTTCTTGTTCAGAATGCCAAAAGACTTGAGGTTGAAGGATTTGCACCATTTTCTCCTGTTAGTCCAACAGCTCAGCAGAAATCTTCTAATGTGCTTGATCAGTGGATTACCTCAGCTACTCGGAGTCTTGTACATTTTGTCCGTCAAGAAATGGATGCTTACCGACTTTACACGGTTGGCACTGTCCCAGAGCTTTTCTTTTCGGCTGGATTTCTTGCCTTCTATGATTGACAATTTTTGTGATCTTATGTGTATCTAGGATAGGCTGACTGATCCCCTGATCAATTTCTCTTTGTAATGTTTGCAGGTGGTTCCGTATCTTCTGAAGTTTCTGGACGACCTGACAAATGTATACGTTCGCTTCAATCGCAAGAGATTGAAAGGTCGTACTGGGGAGGATGATTGCCGAATTGCTCTCTCAACTCTCTACAATGTATGTTTACACTAATGTTATTATCATATGAATGGATTTGGTTCCTATAGTGTTGATCACTGGGAGTCCTTTCTCCTTTGCTACTGTTGTCAAATTGGATTCTTGTGATGACCAAAAATGGTTGGTATTTCAGGTGCTTCTAACTGCTTGTAAAGTGATGTCATCATTCACACCCTTCTTCACAGAAGTCCTGTATCAAAATATGCGGAAAGTGAGCGTGAACTCGGAAGAAAGCATTCATTATTGCAGTTTTCCTCTGGAAGAGGGGGAGGTACCACCGAATCATTTAGTAGATGAGCTTAGTTGTTCTTTGTGGCTCAAGTTATGAGCCACTTCTTTCACTGTTCGAAAAACTCATCATGACTTTCTTTGCATCACATGATAAATATTTTTTTCGGTAATTATCACATGATAATTTTATTTTATATCAAAACATTTTTTTTTCTCATTTGCTCTCCCTTGCACATACACATTTTTTCCTTCTATATTTAATCTCTAAATTATTTTGTCATTACAGAGAGATGAACGGATTGAACGAAGTGTTGCAAGGATGAAGACAATTATCGATCATGCTCGTAATATCCGTGAGCGGCATAACAAACCTCTTAAGTCACCACTCAGGAAGATGATCATTGTTCATCCTGACGGAGACTTCCTTAATGATATAGCTGGAAAACTAAGTGAGGTTTGTCCCAACTATGTGCAAATATATCTTTCAGTATCAGAATTCTTAACCTATGGGTTTGTGTTGCATAATTACTTAAGTAGAATATCTGATTGTTTTCCAGGTTTGATTTGGCTCTTGTAGTTTGTATGATGGGGTGCCTCTACGAGATTCTTTGGTGCTTTAATTGGCAAATACATAGAATGAAAAAAGTGTCTATTTAGAATGGGATTGGATGTTTCAAGAGTTACTCTCTAAGCTCATAATTTGTACTTCGTAGCACCTAATTCTAGATATACTAATTTTATGCTAATTTGTTTTGTTTTTCTTCTGTTCACTCTAGCATCTTGAATTTCCAGTTTTCTTCTAATTATCTGACAGCAAATTCTATTTGTTCCATTGTAGTTTGTGCGGGAGGAACTCAATATTAAAGATCTCATCCCATGTAATGACACTTTGGAGTATACTTCTCTACGAGCGGAGCCCGAGTTCAGGTATCAATTATTATTGTTATTATTATTGTTTCAACGATTTTTTATTACGTGTAACTGTTTCGCATTCAATGATAAGCATTTTTGTTTCCCTTTTAGTGTGTTAGGTAAACGACTTGGCAAAGATATGGGAGTTATTGCCAAAGAAGTGAAAGCAATGTCTCAAAACGAGATTTTGGAGTTTGAGAAAGTTGGCGAACTTACCATAAAGATGCACTGCCTAAAGCTAACTGACATCAAGGTGCATCCTTTATTAACTTTTTCAGCCATGGATTGATATTGCTGATGCAATGTATTTTCTTAATTCCTATAAGCTCTTTCAGTTGTTGCATTTGGATGAATGTTTAATTCTCTTGCTTCCATCCTTTAACATTTTTATTAAAATCATCTAAACTTGTAGGTTCGTCGGGAATTCAAACGTCCTGATGCCTTGACCGAGGAGGAAATCGATGCTGCTGGAGATGGTAGGATGTTTTATTTTGGACGTTCTCCGACACATGTTTTTGAACCTTAGCAGGGGATGCCATAAATCTTACTCCCTAATGTGTTTTCAGGTGATGTACTAGTTGTTTTGGATTTACGGCCCGACGAGTCCTTGTTTGAGTCTGGCTTTGCTCGCGAGGTACATCTCTTTTATGTTTTTGTTATATATATATACATGATCTCTAGCGTCTGTAACTTCATATAACCTTGATTAATAGTTACTTTTACACAATTCACATTCTATATATCTGCCAAAACCTTTATCATCATATAGTGGCTGAAATTTTTGGATATTTCACATGTTCGAAGCAATATCATTATTTTCTGCTGAACGTTAGTAGAAAGCAGCTTTGAGGGAATTTATTTTTCACTTGGTGTTGAGTACAGGTGGTCAACAGAATCCAAAAATTGAGGAAAAAGCTTGCGCTTGATCCTACTGATGCTGTAGATGTTTACATTGAACCCTTGAATGAGAACTCAAACCTGGAACGAGTTCTTAATTCACAGGTAAAATTTATCTCTGTTAGTCCGAGTAATGCAAAATACAAAGAAGTTATTCAGCATTGTATGCCTGCTATCATCATCACTCTTTTGTTATTGCGTCTCTTCTTGTCCTTGATTCGATTTTGTTATCCTGTTAGCTCTAGCCTCTCTTCAAATATAGGAGTTCGGTCTCACTTAACATTTTTCCCCTGGCGGGAGACTCTCTTCTGAAACCAGCTTGCGCTTTATCCCTGTTTGCATAGCTGTTTACTTTGCAAAATGCTGAATTCTTTCTATTCTTCGGTTTTCATAAGTACTTATTTGGGCTTAAATGTTTCAGGAACTCTATATCAGGGATGCAATCGGTTCTCAGTTGCTTCCGTCTACTGCAATGCCATCACATGCTGTAAGTTGCATTTCTTATGACCAAGATATGTTGTGTGTTTGTGGAATTTTCAATCATCGATTCTGATTATCAATATTAGATAGTGTTTATGTTGAGAGCTCCATCACTTAAACTGTCTGTCTGCATTAGGCTGATTATTTTACTGGCATTGCACTAATTCCGTTGCTAAGCTGGTGGCTGTCGATGTTTTATATTTAAGCTGAGGTTGTACTTGATATTGAGTTGCTTATGGAAACTGTAGCCTCTAGCTATTCCCACAATTGGCTCATGATAGCTGCCTGACCTCACCACATAACGAGTATGGTTCGAGATAGCAGGATAACAGGCAGGCCCTCACTAAAAAGTCTTGAGCCGGTAGTTTACCGCTTGTTGTTTGTGTTTTCCTTAGGATATGCCACTGTGTAACTAAACAAAGAAGAAACGGTAGAGTAGGAGCTGATCTCCATTTTGCAGACATTTTCCACCAATCCTGGTTTGAAATTCAGTTTTCTTAACTGCCGAGGGTTACTGCAGGTGGTGATTGGAAAGGAGACTTTCCACGGCATCTCTGGTTTGTCGTTCTCAATTCATTTGGCAAGGCCAGCAGTGATGATCAATTCAGAATCTTGTGCTGCTTTATACGGAGGTTTGTCTCTCGTGTTTATGCTTATCGTGCCTCGGTATTGTTGCTTGTGTCTGACGGAATTATCTGAATCCCACTGCAGGAAATACTCGATTTTGTCAGATGTTACAAGTTTACTTAGTCTCTAGGGACCATAGTAATCTCAAAACAGAATTCCAGCTAGGAAATGGAAAGGTTTGTTTGTTAGCTGCTTAAAGAGTTCCCTTGCGGCCCTTCAGTTCTCATCCCCTGTTAATGTTTATTGCTGTTTTACCTTGTTTCAGATAAGGGTTGATTCCATCGAGAATCTGCCTCCTGTGGAGTTGGAGTTGGGGAGGCACGTTTACTTGAGCGTAGGAGACCACTTTGTGGCTTACAGAATGCAACTCGACTGAAAATGCCTTGCTGAGATCGATTCCATTCTTGATATAACGAAGAGCAGTTTTCTTCCTCCTCAACAGTATCTTGTAGTTGATTGAAGTGATGATTCTAGTCTTGATTTTGCCGTCACATACACGAGAATAGGAGTTGCAATCACCCTTTTGTATTAACCAATCCAAGAACAAAATACAATTTGTTGTGTGGTTCTTTGTAGATTTTGTTCCTATATGATGCAACTTAAAGTTTTGCAAATTCTACTAGTGACCATGTAGGAGTGATCGGGAAAAGCAAAGAGGTTACCTGGCTGAACCCCATAACGCAGAATGTTAGGATTATAAGACTTTGGCGTGAGATTGCTAGGCTGGAAGCTTGTCGCCTGTCGGTAACATAATGAGTGGATTGATAACTTTCATAAGGTCTACTATTCAATGCAATTCGAAAGAAAAAAGAACAGTGCTGCATGTAGGCCAATGATTGAAAAACCGGACCTGACCGATGGTTCAACAAAAAAACTTTTTACCGGAAGCAAAATCAATATGCGGTATGAAACGGTTGAGCAACAATTAAATCACAATTTCAGAATAAAATACATGAATGCTGACTTTTTCCATACAACTTCAAGTATGGTTCTTTAATCCTCGGTTTTAGCACTCTCCCCAACTCTATTATGAATAGTGTAGCATGTATACACAACTTTTAGGATAAAATAATATATTTATTTTAAAATTAATATATATCACCTATAATTATTAAATTATTATCATATATTCACATATATTTCTATATTATGTATAAAATGATTTAAACTAATTAAATCCTGATTCGACCAATAAAGCTCAAACTATTTGCTTCATCGCCTCAATTAGGGGTGTTCAAATAATTGTCATGATAACTATAAGATCAAGTAATCCTAAACTTTATTAATCATGAAATACATAACCAATCTGACCAAAATAATACAATAACAAAATTGACCCAACTAAAGTTTAGTTAGTTTGGTTAACCAATATAACATAACATTATCATTACGAAGAAAAACATTCTTATAATGCATCAATTCATAATTTATATAATAAATAAAATATAGCAATCAACATATAGTTAACCCTTGATACAAATACATGCAACTAATATTATTATCTTATAGTCATTAAAAGTAGCAACCTAACAAAAATGTAGGCCTATGGTGTTAGATTACTGAACTGAGTATATATGTGTGAATTGTTTTTGTCTCTTATATTATCAATTAACAGAGGCTGAAAAAACCTTCTGTTTTAGTTTTTTCATTGAACATAATGTATGATGTTCATCTAAATTAGGTGTTGATATATTGTTTGCACTCTACAACAACAAATATAGTATAGATATAATAACAAATTTATTTTTTGATGGGTTCTGAAGGGAGGAATCCTTGACTCTTCGGTGGTTATATAAAGTATTAAGTATGATATATATTAGATATATGGCTAATTGTTTAGGTTGGTTAGGAGAATATGAAACTAGGGGTGGGCAATGGGAAACAGGTATTTGGGTATACCTGTACCCGTCCCGTTTTCTGAGGGTTACGGGTACCCAAATACCCGTAATTTTTTTATGGGAATGTGATGGGACTTGGGATTAAGAATCGCTATTTTGGGTACCCGCGGGTTACCCGTTATACCCATTAGTCCAAAGGAGTAGCGACACTCTAACATTAGTATATCAATCAAGAGCAACCAAGTAGCTATTCACTACTGCAGAAAAAGAGATAAAGGTATGGAAGAACAAGTAAACCATATTGTATTACTGTTTAGGCAAAATACACATGTATAGCCATAACTTTCACGTTTTTGACAAATATACCCATATCTATTCGAAATCACGAAATAGCCCAAAAAACAGAGGATAGTGTGACAAATTTAGCCAAAACCGTTAGAAACTTTAACACCATCTGTGACTCTGTTAAATCGTTTGACGGAACGCTGACGAGGACGAAATCTGACCTCCACATTACCGACACATCAGCAAAATGTACACGTGAAATGCCACATAAAGAATTAAAAATTTTCAAAATTATATCTGTTGACTTCCTTTCCCTTCCTCCTTCCCTGTCCTCAAAAATCATTTTCTCACGAGTTAGGGTTCGCACTTGCTGGCGGCGCCGCCGCTGGAGACCACGACGCCGCCGCTGTAGACCGCCACTGGCGTCATTCAGCTTTTTTCTGCTCCCGCCTCTGCCGTTCCGAAATCCCCTTCATTTTCTCGATTTGCAGCGATGTCACAACGGGGCTCTTCCTCAGCGACCGCCAACCAATGTCAGCGGGTGTGGGATGGTACTTTGCAAGCACAACGTTCACGCCGTGATTAAGACGTCGACTACAAAGACTAACCCAGGCAGGCAATTTTACGGATGTCCTTATTGGAAGCATGTAAGGGATAGATTGATTCTCGAGTTATTTCGGTCCCTTTGATTGTTTGATTTTCTAACTAAACCATATGGATAATGCAGAATGCGAGTGAAAATCCAGAGAAGAAAAATTGTCGGTTTTTTAGGTGGGTTGAGATGGTTGGTAATGAAATGGAGGACCGAAAGGGTGCTATGGAGAGCCTAATATGCCAACTTGAGGACAGTTTGTGCCTCGCTGAGTCTGAGGCAGAGAGTAGGAAGAAGGAGAAAAATAGACTTGCTCAAGATATGATGGTGTGGATGAAAGATCGTGAGACTATGTTAGCCCAAGGAAGGAGATTGAATGATGATGTTCGATTTATTCGTATTATGTTAACAATTCTTCTTGTTGTGAATGCCTCTTTCCTTCTTGTTTTTTGGGGGTACGAATCAGGTATGTAGATGTAATTGGGGTTATCGTAGTACTTGTTAACAGATTCTACTTGCCTAATGCAATGGTTGTGTTTCCTGTCTTATAAGTTGTTCAAATCTGGTATGTTTGTAAAAAGTGATGAGTGTAAGATGTTCCTTACACTACAAATATATAATCAGAATTTAGCCCAGCCATCTGTTCCTTACACTACAAATATAGAATCCGAATTTAGCACATCCATTTGTTCCTTACACATCCTAACTTAGCACCCCCAATACATAATATGAGTCGAATTCAAGCTATCCTAACTAGAAGTTGACAAAATGGGGTTGGCAAAAGGTTGATCGACCATGTTCTGCACAACTACGGTTGAGTGACTGGTGGTTGGCTTCCCTGGAGGACGCCTACTTGCTCCATTAAGTTGTAAAAAGAACTAAATATATTTTAGTTCACAATCAATGGACAATAAGCATGAAAAGTAACTTTCACGTTTTATTAGGATAAAACTAACCCGGACATATTGGTTTCCAGTATGCTCGTTTACATATACTCCCACACCTGCTGTTGCAATTCGCATTTCTTGCTGAATAGTTCTCCTATCATCAACATTCAGCCTAATTGCCTAAGGAATACAACATTATAGATTTCAGCATCACACAACCACATTCACATTCATATTCACACATTCACATTCATATTCAACACCTGAATTCTAGTTCCATGATTGAGGGGGCAAGTTCAAGCATTATGTGAACTCGAACCACACTTAGAGCAATGACCTGTCCTTGTTCTTTTACAAGTGTTTTTCCTAGTTTGATCCGCAGCAGGCTCAACTCTTGGCCTGGGAGCACTTTCTTTAGGTCTAGATGTGCCTCTCTGTCAACAAGTTGTAAGCGGGTGGGTATAGAGTTAGTAAACATGTAATTGACAATCAACTATACATTGAAATTGAAGGGTATGAAAGTAAAACTCACCGGGGCTTGGGCAACATAGGGGTTTTTGCATGACCTTGCATTGCGGCCTTCTACACGACACTTAGAACAGTGGATTATGGTCCCCCTCCTTGACACTTCTTCGCCTATCCGGGTTTCTTGAGGTCGAACCTCAAACTCATGAGCAGCCTTTCTTCTATTTTTCTTTGGCCTTCCTAGCATTCTTCTATCCTTTGGAGGGAGTACCTGGTATCCTACTCCTTCTGGCCATGATTGCCTTCCATTTAGACAAGGAATCCCCACCTTGTATGCATTGACAACCTCTCGACAATGGTAGCCCGGATGAACGTAGTTATCCACTTCTTTCCTTAGGTGAGTTATTGCCGAGAGAGCATGACAACAAGGGAGTCCACTTAGGGCCCAGTATCCGCAGGTATATGACATTGTTTGTCCACAATGTACCCCGAATCGCCCATTCTTACCTCACACTTATCATCCAAAGTCTGCCTAGAGGTACACAACCTAGCTAGGGCCTTTTCTTTCTCAATTATTTTTCTAATTCTAGGGCACAGATCATCATCACAGTCAGCTAGCATTTTCTGCTTTTTTACAATCCTTTCCATCATGTAACCCTGAATACCCTCAAGCATATCTATGATTCTCATGCCCCTGCACTTAATGATCGATCCATTCCAGGTTTCACAAATGTTACTCTCCACTGAGTCACATTTAGGAACCGGAGATAGGAAAGCTAGGCAAAAGAATCTAGGTTCAGCATTCACAAATGTTACTCTCCACTGAGTCACATTTACCTTGGATCTCCTCCATTTCTTTAGTGGCTTTCTTCCAGTCGACTTCATTGCAAGCATACACTTCCAGAATAACTTTCTTACCCTATCAATCTTGTTCTTCACCTTCTAGTTTTCATAAACGTGCCTTGAACACTTGCGATGTTCAACATCAGGTAACAGCTCACGTAGAGCCTCCACTAGACCCTTATCAAAAGACATAAGACAATTAAGTCAGAAATACAAGCAAGTAAAACAATGGCATAGATGCTGAAATTGAGGTTATAAAGCATGGATGGTGGAAATTTACCTTCTGTTGATCAGAAATAACACTCCAACCCCTTCCATCCAACATATTTAACTCTTGAGACAATATGTTTATGAACCACCTCCACGAATCTGCATTCTCACTCTCCACAATAGCCCAAGCCAGTGGATACATCTGGTTGTTTCCATCCTTCCCAACTGCAGTCAACAACATCCCCTTCACCTCTCCCTTTAAAAAGCAACCGTCCAAGCAAAACATTGGCAGACATCCATCTACAAACCCCATCCCTCAAGTTTGAAAACCCTACATACAGCCTCTGGAAATATACTTTGTCTTCAGAAGGATGTGGTTGAACCTCCAAAACAAACCTCCCATGTCGATCCCTCTTCATCATTTCAGCCCCTTAGCTTCTGATTGTCTGAAACTCAGCCTTCAACGATCCACTAAGAAGTCGAATCGCAACCACCTTTGCTCTATAACAGGTTCTCTTGTCCACTTCCATGTTTTGCTTGAGCTTGACTTCTGCCATGATCTGGTCTGGAGCCCACTATGAATTGATGTGAAACCTCTCAAGCATATCAGATGCAACCCAATTTGCAGTAACTTGATTCACCGGCATCCTACGTGAACAAGAATGGTGCAACCCTACCTTCCTCACCATGAAACTCTGGTTCTTCCTAAAACATCAAGCTAACACCCTCCATTTGCATCTACTGTCCTTGAATACGACATATTTTCTTGATGGTGTGCTCCAAACCCATCTCAAACTAGCACCAGCAGCCGCGGAATGTAAGACTACGACGCTCTTGAACTGTTATGGACTTTCAAACTTCAACCTTGGAATAAATTGAACTAGAGGTGCACCATCATCTTTGACTTCTTGCTCTGGTCCACCATTATCATCTTCGACTTCTTACTACTGCCTGATCGGGTATGGCACTCACTGGTTCTCCCAAATCATCTCCATTGCCGTCTTCATTGTCCGTTCCATCGCCAGAAGCATCTTCTTCATACTCGTCTAGTTGTTCAACCTCCTCCCCATGACCATCTCTCCTTGCCTTCACCTTCCTCCTTTTCATTTCCCCATAGGACCGAGCCTTATGGTACTCATCATCATCAGACGTGTCTGCATCGTCAGAATCATAAATATGGAACACATCTCGTGCCACAGATGCAACTTCATCTTCACGAGCAAAGCTAGCATCTCTGATCCTACGGGATTAGGATCATTCTCACCACCTTGCTCCTCGTATGAATCAACCATCTAAACCCTATACAAGATAAAGAATTAATAAAGTCATTAAACCCTAATCAAGAGTTTTTTATTCACTAACAAACAAACAATAGCACAGTCTTCCACCATTATTCTATTTTGACAAAGAAAGATGGCAATGACTCTTCTACCCAGGAATTGGAGGCACTCACCGTCGGATTGAGGGGCAATCTCGCGAAAAGCACAGATTCAATCTGAAGTGGTCCCTTTTGGAATCAACAGAGTCGCTTTCCTTCTTTACAACAAGTCACAACTGCAAAAAGAGACAAGAAAAGGAGGTAAGAAACAACCTATAAGTACATCCTACCCATAATCGAAACCCCCAACCAACCTCTCCCTTAAGAACTCACCAATCGCGCCAGAAATCGCGTTACTACTGTGAAATTAGGGTTTTGGAGAATCGGCGAGACAAGACTTTCGTAGGCTTCGTCGATGCTTTCCCCATTACTAGGATGCTTGAGTTTCGTCGGGAAATGGTGGTCGCCGGTCGATTAGTCAGGATGCATGCCAAAGTTCGTCATTGGAAGGGAGGCGATGAGTCGGGAGATGATAATCGATGAAGTTTTCGGGTTGGGATGGAAATTTATAGACGATTAGGGCGACGGACGGAAGCTGGAAGGTGGTTATCGGAGGTAGATCGGAAAAGGAGGACGGATTCAAGGGCTTCGTCCGTCTCGTGGTCGGAGGACGAGAGGCGAAGGGGGAAAGAAGAATGAAGAGATAAGAAAGAATGGACTAGTGGTGGTGGTCAGCTGAGTCGCTTTCTGCTTTTGTTTTATTTTTTGTTTTACGTTTTTTTTTTATTTCCATGTCTGATTTCCACGTCGGAAGGTTGGGTAACTCAGTGGCCAACTCAGCGTCAGCCGTTAGTCCAGTCATAACGTCTATTAACACCGTTACCAAAATGGACAGAATTGGCTATTTCGTGTTTTCGAATAGATATGGCTATATTTGTAAAAAATGATTTAAACTAATTAAATCCGGAATCGACCAATAAAGCTCAAACTATTTGCTTCATCGGCTCAACTAGGGGTGTTCAAATGGTTGTCATGATAATAACGAAACCAAGTAATCCTAAACTTTATTAATCATTAAATACAATATTATAACCAATCCTACCAAAATAATACAATAACCAAAATGACCAAACTAAAGTTTAGTTAGTTTGGTTAACCAATATAACATAACATTATCATTACGAAGAAAAATATTATTATAATGCATCAATTCATAATTTATATAATAATAAAAATATAGCAATTGACATATAGTTATATGTTAACCCTTGATACAAATACATGCAACTAATATTATTACCTTATAGTCATTAGAAGTAGCAACCTAACAAAAATGTATGCCTATGGTGTTAGATTACTGAACTGAGTATATATGTGTGGATTGTTTTCGTCTCTTATATTATCAATTAACAGAGGCTGAAAAAGACCTTTTGTTTTAGTTTTTCATTGAACATAATGTATGATATTTATCTAAATTAGGCGTTGATATATTGTTTACACTCTACAACAACAAATATAGTATAGATATAATAACAAATTTATTTTTTGATGGGTTCTAAAGGGAGGAATACTGGACTCTTTAGTGGTTATATAAAGTATTAAGTATGATATATATTAGATATATGGCTAATTGTTTGGGTTGGTTAGGTGAATATGAAAATGAAACCAAACCAAACCAGCTAAACCAAACAAGTTAAAAAGTTTAATCAAATCAAACCAATTACCAAATTAACTAAATCAAACCATTCGAGTATTACTAATTAAACTACTTACCATAGTAGTCACTCAATTCGAATACCCCCTGAACTCAACGGTTTAAACCAGTTTGACAACGTTGATGCTACATACATTTGATCATCCTTTATCCGAGACAGTGCATAGGAATATTTAGGGATGACAACAAAACCCGAACCCACGGTTACCCACCCGACCCAACCCGGTCAACGCGGGTAAAATCCGTGTTGACGGGTTTTGAGTCGGGTTTGAGTTTAAACCCGTTCACTATTCACCGGGTTGGGTTTGGGTTTAGATAAACCCGACCCATGGGTACCCGCCCACACCCATATAATTAATTTTCTCGATATATTTAATATTCTAAACAACTAATCTTATTTATGTTTGTGGAGACATGTCTAATTTTTTCTTTCTAATTGTGTAGAATGAAGTTGATGTTATCGAGTGGAGAGTGAAGAAACTTAATTGAAAGGAAGAAGCTTTCAATTAATCATGTTATTTATGGATAATTTGTGATTTGTTTCAATTTTCTTGAGTATTCTAGATTGGTGTTGAACAATTTGTATAGTTAATTTGTGATTTGCTTGAATTTTCTAGAATTGTGTTTTATCTATGGATAATTTGTATTGAGAGATTGATATTTGACTTTAATTTTGATAGGAACTTGTTATTGTAAATTTTTTACAACAAAAACCCGTGGATACCCATGAACCCGCGGATACCCAGTGGGTTGTGTTTGAGTTTTTCAAACCCAATGGGTTTTACCCCGAATTTTTTTCACGAATAAACTCATGAGTTTGAGTTTAGGAAAACCCGACCCAACCCGACCAATATTGTCCAAAACAATTAACAAACCCTCCGATGGTGGTTTCGGCTCACGTGATGTTGGAGTGTTGTTGGTGCCTTCGTTGAGTTGTGAAATAAATAAATAAATAAATAAAGAAAATGGGAAAGATTAAGCGAAGCCGGAACAGCAACATCTCTTCTCCAGTTTCTTTTCACTGTCCAGTTTTCTTCTCTTCCTCTCTAGCGAACGAAAAACCATAGAAAACGTATATACCATCAAACCCTCGTTTCCCCGAATTACTTTCTTCACTAGAGTTATCCCGTTTACCGATTGAACGACTACCATCTAGTCGCCGCGACCTGATAGTCTTCGCTGGCCATCAGCTCCGACTTCCAGGTCGACGACTACCGTTCCGTCAATGGAAGAGTACCGCCGTTGAATCGGGCCAGCCAGACGTCGACGCAGCAAGAAAGAGATTATATACGTGCAGACAGACCGAGAGATCTAAAGGGCATTCGAAATTTTTGAGTTTTTGATGCTGTAATGGGTGCCGCTGGTTCCAAACTCGAGAAAGCTCTCGGCGATCAGTTCCCTGAAGGCGAGCGATACTTCGGCCTCGAGAATTTCGGCAATACCTGCTACTGCAACAGCGTCTTGCAGGTTCCCTCTTCTCCCCATTTCCCCATTCCTCGTCTGTTTGGCTGGTTGTCTTTTGTGCGAGTTTCGACTTATCCAAATTCTCCCCAAAACAGCGTCTTTCTGAACCCCCAATAGGCTTACTCCCGTGGGTTTTCGGGTTCTCTGCATAGGTTGCTAGCTGAAATCTCCAATAAACGTTTATGCTCTTCGTGGAATAGATGATAGTGGAAATCGTGATCAGGTCAAGAGTATTATTGTTTTGAGCTATAATTGAATTGGTTGAAATCCAGTTTCTGGGTTTCGAATGAAGTCATGATTTACCCTCGGATAGATAGTATGTTCGTGCATTGTCAATTGGATATCCAAAAATTGATGAATGATGCGTGAATATTCCGCACTCTCGTCGCAATTTTATAGATACTTAGTTTCTCCATATTCTCAACTTTTGGCACCAATGTTCTTCATCGCCCAATTTCTCACTTCTCGTTTTCTTCCTTCATTTCTGCAGGCTCTATACTTCTGTGTACCATTCCGGGAACAATTGCTTGAGTACTATGCAATTAATAAATCCACTGGGGATGCAGAAGAGAATCTCTTAACATGTTTGGCAGACTTATTTACACAGGTGATTGTTTGATCAAATATTTTGCTTCTATCATATTCTGTTTTGCACACCATGTTGACATTTTAAGGATATTGAATTGTTGATGTTTCGTCCAAAATAATGATAGACCTCTCCCGCTTCATTGTTCTATGGGGTTATCTATTAAGGCAGGATATCTGTATGTGAATGGGCCCCCTCTCTGATTTCTCCCTATATTCTAAAGCAAATAGCAGTGTTTTGACTGTGTTATCTAGCATCATTGCTGGATTCTGGTGCATTTGGATTGGTTTACTTAGCTCCTACTTCATCGGTTGCAAGGCTCGAGAGGCCTATTATGCTCACTGCTTTTCTTCTCTTCTGTTTTTAGTGGAACATGACCTACTTCACATGATGATTTTTTTCTTGTCCATCTCTTCCTGCACCTCCTAGTCATTAGCATTCTGGATTAATGTTATATTTTCTCTTCTCTGTAGATAAGCTCACAAAAGAAGAAAACTGGTGTCATTGCGCCCAAGCGATTTGTCCAGCGATTGAAAAAACAAAATGAGCTTTTCCGTAGCTATATGCACCAGGTATACCTTCCATCTTTCATGCAATTATCTCGAGGTTCGTCCTGAATATAATACTTGGTTTTCTTAGCCATTTGTAATATTAAGGTCTAATGAAACTGTTGGTTTTGTAGGATGCTCATGAGTTTTTGAATTTTTTGCTCAATGAACTTGTTGACATTCTGGAGAAAGAGGCGAAAGCTGTTAAAAGCGATACAGAAACTTCATCTCCACCTGAAAAGACTGCAAATGGCTCAAAGAGTGTGCTGCCGAATGGAGTTTTGAAGGAGCCTTTAGTTACTTGGGTGCACAAGAATTTCCAGGTGAGATTCGTTAGTCGTGCATAGTCAGATATGATAATTACCTTGTTGGAAAACAAACGCTGATAATGTTATGCATTGAAGTCACCTTAGTTATTTTTCTGTATCAGGGAATACTTACGAACGAAACTAGGTGCCTGCAGTGTGAAACAGTGACAGCTAGAGATGAGACCTTCTTTGATTTGAGCCTTGATATAGAACAGAACAGCTCAATAACCAGCTGTTTGAAAAATTTCAGTTCAACTGAGACTCTGAATGCAGAAGATAAATTCTTCTGTGACAAGTGCTGCAGGCAAGTTATTTTACTTGCATAATCTGGCATTTGTTCTTCCATGGATGTTTACTTCATTGAATGGTTAACAATGCTGGTGCTAGTTTCAGCTACTTGGTCTCGAACCTTCTCGGTCCCATTGACCCATTGATTCATTCTTCCTCTTTCGTTGGCCTGAGCCATGGGTTAAAACTGACACTAGTTCTTATGGGCTCAGTTGCATGACAGTCTCCAATGCAATTTAAGTTTTAGTCTAAATTTTCTATTGATGAGTAGAGGCATCTTATCATTTTATCAACTGCTTCGAATGGTAATTGAAAGCACCTTGTTCTGTACATTCTGTGTCATTGCAAACTGAAGTTGTCTGGCCATGTATACACATTTTTTTCTTATTCTTTCACAAGTCCCCAAAATTTATTGATGGTAAATTTGGTTTCTGGTAGCGATCAATAGAGTGGATGATGTATAGTAACTGTTTGTATGCAAAAATGATGTGTGTGCAGCTTGCAAGAAGCTCAAAAGAGAATGAAGATAAAGAAGCCGCCTCATATTCTGGTGATCCACCTCAAGAGGTTTAAATACATTGAGCAATTGGGTCGTTACAAGAAGCTGTCATACCGAGTAGTGTTCCCCCTCGAGCTGAAGCTGAGCAATACAATGGAAGATTCAGATATCGAGTACTCGCTCTTTGCTGTGGTTGTACACGTCGGGAGTGGGCCCAACCATGGTCACTACGTCAGCCTTGTGAAGAGCCACAATCACTGGTTGTTCTTTGACGACGAGAATGTTGAGATGATCGACGAGTCTGCCGTGCAGACATTTTTCGGTTCAGCACAAGAGTACTCAAGTAACACGGATCATGGGTATATTTTGTTCTACGAGAGCATCACCGCCACAAACAAGAGCTAAACTAGGAGAGAGAAAGAAAGGTGGTCTAGATGGTTTTTTGCAAGTAGGTAACTTTAATTATTTGGACTTGGGTTTCTCTCTTTTGTTTTCTTTTTCTTTGTATCTCTTTCTAGCAGTTTCACTCTTTCTTGCCATTTCAAACTCTGCAATCTCCAGTACCGGAGATGCTAAGATGGTTACAAGTTATGATGATGATGATGATATGCAGTTGTGCAAAAAAAAAGAAAAAATGTATACTTCGTGGGTTCATGTTCAATGTACAGCGGATGATGGTGGGAAACACACTATCTTTCTAATTGTTTTCCAGAGAACAAGGATGGAAAAAAGGAGCAGCCAGTGTACATGTGTGAGAATACTTCACATAGAACCAGAAAAAAAAAAAGAACAGATTTGTATTTTCATGATTGAGATGAATGTTCAGTTACAACATTTGACAAATTTCGTCTGCAACATTGCAATTTTGCTGCTTTATACATGTTTTTCGATAGCTGTTGCCAATATTGTACACTTGATTCATGCCTAAACAGTTGGCATGAAAATATCTTCATCCAACAGTGATTCGAGATCAACAAGGTCATCAAAATCGGACCTTGCTGCTTCAGAACTTTGAGCAGACTGCATAGATGGAAATTTTTGTCAAGCATTGACTCAAATTGTGAAGCTGTAAATATGATATTTACTACAAGAATAAGTGAGGTTTTAGTTTTACCTTTGTCTCCTTGATCTCTGTGACTACGTTTCGAAGCCTGTGATATTGGTCTCTGGCTTCTGGATACTGAACCATAGACTTAACCCTCGCAAGAGCAATCTTTGATCTTTCTTCAGTTTGCTTCCTTCCTTCTTTAAAAAAATCGTAATCATCTTCCCTTGGTGATGAATGTTGCTGAACGCTTATGCTTTGACCTTCAGTAAGGGAATCGGGCTTGAATCCACGGAGACCGCTTCTCTTCCTTCTCCATCGAAGTATCACCTTCTCCACGATCCCCACTGACCATATGATCTTCTTGTAGTTCTTCCTCACCTGGTGTCCTCTTACGAGGGCCTTCCGTGGTAAAACAAAAAACCCACAGAAAAGAGTTAAGCTCTATCCCATCAAAGTCGAATGAACAGTCAGAAACAAAATAACTCAATTACCAAATACCTGAATCTTAACAATTTGTTGCCGGATAACCAAGAACTCTCTCCGGCCTTTCCAACTCCGGAACTTGTTCTGAATCCTCACTGCAGCAGCCCACACTGGCTCGTCAGGCTTCTTGTTGGTTCCCTTCACTTTGATGAAGGAAAGTGCTTCTTCGTCTGATATTCTTAGCTTCCCACCACCCCGCTCTTTTAGCTGCTTTCTTTGAAATGACTGCAGTCTGAACACTTGGTGAATACGAGCAGCAGCTTGAGTGGCATTGCTCAGAGCATCTAGCGACTCTTTCAAGGACTGTCCTTTATTGTCGTCTGGTGTCGCCCAAGGTCCTGGGACAGGTTGAACATTATTTGCAGCAGAGCCGATGTGACCACCATTATTACCTCCCTGCTGCTTGTCCAGAGCGAGCGTAGTGAAGTGTGAAGTCAAAGCAGATTCAGCAAGGAAACCAGCGATCCCTTTGTGACCGTTTGCAGAGGCCAAGTCGGCTGGCGTTCTACTTGTAGGGTTTCCGGGAGTGGGATCTGTCAGTGCTCCGGGTGCTGCTCCAAGATGTAATAGAGAAGCAACTGTCCGCTCCCTGGAAAAAACCCGGTAATCACATCTTCCATTTGATCGGAAAGTAACAGAATCATCACCTAATGGTATAAATTATCACAAGAGAAATGATTCAAGGATCACAAAAAATACCTCCTTCAAAAAGTTCTTGACTTCTCATTCAAATTTGCTATGATATGACATTGGAGCTCAAAATATATATGATCCACTAAAGCAAAATCACAAGCAACTTTCATGAAACAAAGACTTATGTAGTTCTCATTCTTTTTTTGCTTACCTGCCACAACAAGCAGCCCAATGAAGTGCAGTCCACCCATTGACATCCCGGAAATCGACTCTCACACCAGAAACGATCGTAGGCTCAAGGGCCCAATCAAATCCCAGAGCAGCTGCCAAATGCAGCACCCCTTGTCCACCTTCGTCCAATACACTTGCACCCTTCCCACCTTCGGTTACCTTCTGCAACAGCCAATCATGCAGTTTATCCTTCAACAGTTTCTGAAGAAGCTGGTCCTTCACTTTCTGAGCTGAAAACTGTGCCTCTGAAATCGACCTCACCATCAAATCCCATTCATCACCTTCTTCTTTCAGCAACAATCTGAGTTTACTGCCCAACTGGGAAATTTCATTTTCACCTAAAGTGCTTGCATCGAGCTTCGGAGGGGAAACTGGACTCAGGCATAACAGCTTTTCAAATCTCATCTCGAGGTTTTCAGTAGTGTTGTTAGTGTCGGCAGGGCCCACATCATGGACAATGCTGACACGGAATTCAAATTCACGTACTTCGCTGCATGCTATCCTGTTCGAGCAAGTGATGTAGAATGGGATTCTCCCAGCCTTGAGCAAAGGGTTATAGCAACGGAGAACACCATCTGCAATAATCTCAGCTGGAACTTCGACTTCTCCAAACATACATGACCATTTGCAGTTTTCTAGGTCTTCTTGGCTCTTCAAGAATCTTCCTGTGATCAAGACCTGCAACACGTGTAAAGACATGATGAAGGTAATCTCCCGCATGTCAGATCTCCAATCCAGTATCTTCTGGCAGATAGAATGACGTAAGAAGATGAAGTTTGAGAAAACTAGCTTGACATATCAGATGTTTTTGGAGCAGACAAAACAATTAAATGTCAAAAGGAGTTAGGAGCCGAAAGAAAGAACGTTGATATTTATTAACAGGAATAGCCTCTTGATTTTTTGCTTGATTAGTGTGTATTAGAATATAGAAGGAACAATAGTTTTAGTAGGGTACCTTCACTTCTGTGCCAACGTATGCCCAGTTCGGTGAGAAATCAACGATGGTGAAAAGCTGGTCATTGGCGAGGGATGGAGTCATCAAATACGGGTCCAAGTGTGATTGAGACAGAACACTGGAATTTTCAATTCCATCTTCACTTTCTACACTTTGCCAATATGTAGCAGAAGTGGATTGAGCAGGTGACTCGTTTACTACATCTCCAAGTTCTTTACTCATCCAACGGTTAAAGCTATCGAGCTTTTTCAGACTGTCTTCAACCACAGAAACATCCAACATGTGATGCTTCATGAAAGAACCATGGCCAGATTCTTTCTCAGGCATCACCCTATGGTGTGCATCTGGTACCTGAAATTGGAGATAGATCATCATCGAGTGTACATAAAAAAGACTAGGTCTCAGGAAAACTCAAATATTAAGATGCCAGTTAAAAAAGAAAATCTGCAATCACAGGAGAAGAGAGAAATTTTTTTACAAAAGGCTATACATTGAAAATTCTAAATAATGCTATACCTTCTGCCATTGCTCTTGGATTGCCACATGAGTTGCAGACTCCTGCCTTTTACCAAAGCTACTCAAAAACAGGTTCCCCAGTAACATATCTCCTTGTCTGGGATTAATGGGCACGATATCAGCTTGTATTGGAGATGGGAAGTCATTTGGCAGGTGCTCAATTCCATAACTACTGTTTCCGAAGTCCCATGATGATAATGCAACTCGACTTCGTGACTCAAATTCTGATCCAGTACCATTAACATCTTTGAGCTCACCGATTTGAGCAAACGAGGAGGAAACAGCGGGCAACTTCCCTGTATTATCACCTGTAACACTTAAATGCGATTAAATTAGAGTACAATGTTAACAAGTGGAAGCATCAAAGGGAGCATAAGAACTAATTTACCCGAACAAGACACATTTAGGCACGGATTAGACTGTTGGCCCTGAAAAATAGCATCGAATCCAGAACATGCCGGGTGATTGTACACTGCATTCAGAATTTGAATAGATTACAAAGTTGGAAAAGTTAAGCAGGTAGTCATAAGAGTGTTACTTGGATAAATCAGGTTGGTCAACACATCGATATGTGTTTGGTTACATCTTCCAGACATGACATAATCTGAAACAAACACACCCGTATGAGACTACCTGATTCTACATCCTCGTATTCTGAAGCTTTGCCACTGGCCATGCTTATTGTGTCTTCAGTTGTCTGTGTAGGCATTTGGTAGCTGTTAGAGTGATAGTTGGATGAAACAGAAGTGTCCATCTCAGAATTCTGTCCTACACCGTTGTCTGTGTTTGGGGAGTGTGAAATAGCCTCTGCAGTGTCTTTGACACGGTAGAAGCTCGCCCTACTAGTCCCCTGCTGAAATTTTTTAAATGGAATCTCAGATGAGACAGTTGAAGAATGGAAGTGAAGCATGCGACAGTTATAAGGTATATTCATCACTCTTGAAGGTCATAACTGACATTTAAGACCTTTAAGAAACACAAACAAGAAACGACTAATTAAGACAGTGAATAGAAGAGATCAAACAACCTTTACTTCTCGATAGTGGACAAGAACTATGCGTGATTGTTCCCTGCAGCCAAAAGTATAAGATTGAACACAAATATATTAAACCAAAATGTAAAAACATGGATAAATGTAGAGACGAGCAGTATTAATCAACCATGCATGCATACCACTACTGCAAAGACTTAGGAGCTATGGGGCAGTTAACATCAAAGAGAGGAAGTAAGTAGAAAGAATATAAATTCAGTAGGCAAAGCTCTACAAGTAAACCACTCCACCAAGGTAAATCAAGCAGGAAAAATAATTAGAATGTGGTGCCCGCTATAAGAAAAAGTCCATCATCCTCTAGGCAGTACTTTTTTTTTTTTTTTGCAAATGACGTACGTCAAGAACACTTAACTTAGTTAAGGATCCTTGAAGCAGCCATCACTCTTGGAATTCGTCATTTTATATCATAAATACACATCAAGGAAGTAATCGTAAACATACTCTTCAAGCATCCAATATGTTCTTCTTTGAAAATTCTCGTTTCCTTCTCCATGTGCATAATAGCAGTGCAGCACATCAATACTGCCAGACTGAAGGAAAATAATATAGTTACAGTGATTAAGCTTTCATGATGTAGTATCTGACAAAAAATTATGTTTCTCCCGCTAGGTTCAACAAATTGAGGGGGAAAAAGAACACATACCTTGAGCCTCTCATGAGCTTCCTTTACAGTCTTCCCATCCCTTTTCTTCCTCCAGTTATGCCCATCTTTTCTGAAGTATCTCAGTACCTTGCGGTCAAACAGGAAAAGCGAACCACCTACAACAATGTGAAGCAGAGCCACTTCTCAAAATTAACCTGACGGTTTCATACAGAATAACCAAATTAGTTAGCACATTTGGGAGCTCATACTATTTTCTTGCATCAAGCAGTTTCAGTTTGTTATTTGGTCTTACTTCATAATTACGAGAAGCGATTAAAACTAGTGCCCAAATCACTTCAACAGCAAGCAGTTGGGAATCATAAAGCAAAGGAAAACTAATAGTCCCCAAAATTCTATTTGACTTCATCCACCGAGGTCAAACCAGAACATAACTCGACCCTCTTTACCAATTGGAAAGAAAGAACATCTAATGTTGATTTCAGAAGTGCTTAAGCTAAGACCATCTTGGACTTGTTGCTTACTTGAACTTATACTCAATCAAAATTTCTTACTTGGTGGCCTGTTTTGGGGCTCTGGGGCAATACGGAACTTGTCATGGTTGCGCAGAATTTCACAGATTTCTGCAGGCCGCAGCCACCGGTTTTGCGCTTCCAGAAGTATTTGATGAATACTCTCATTCCACCCTGCAGATTGCCACAGTTAACAATCAGATATCAACAAAAAAAACTGAGCGATTCCTGCACAGTGGCAAGCAAAACAAATTCGAAATATTCAAGCTCAATCATTCCACATCAAAAAGGGAAACGCTTTGTGCTTCAATATAGAAACCCATTGGTGTTGACTTGGATGGGGAGAAGCTACAGCGAAGAACAGGCAAAAAACGAATACAAACTTCCCCACTTCAAGAAACTTGCTTCCAATTGAATATAACTTCAAGAATGAAAGCTTAGAGATGCATATATTAATTTACCTAGATGGTCACCAGGTCGGGAGGCCGCCATGAAGGGTTACTCTTTCCTTCCTCTGTATTCACGCTGAATACAGCTCCATCTCAGTGAGAATAAGTTAGCTGTAAGAGGGTAAAATTGAAATCTTTGTTTCTGATGAAGACCCAAATTGAACTGGCGGAAAAGCATTAGAAGATGGGGGGAAAAGAGAGCGATGGAGATATGGAACGAAACTCAGCCGCCGAAATGGAAACTTTTACGAACAGAGGACAGTTAGCTGACGTCGTCCAGTCATCATTTCGGCCATGTCATGTTCGATCCGACGGTAAATTAGTCAAGTCGATCCGCGTTTTGTAAAACAACAAAATTTGAACCCAACTTATTTTTTAACAAGCTGAGTTGAGTTTGCCTAAACTTGAGTTTGGGCAATTTTTGAAACGAGTCAAGTTCGAGCTTCTAATTGAGCTCGTCTCATCAATCGGCTCACGAGTTTAGATAATTTATAAGTTTAAATGGTTGAACCTTTAATTTAAAGGCAAAATAAATTTGTATAGCCAAAACTTTCGCACTTGTGTCAATAATAGCTAAATTTGGAAAAATACCACTTATAGCCATAATTTTGAAACTTTTGTGCCAAATATAGCCATTTCCATTACAAACTTTAACAGTGTTAGAGGCTCCATCAGTTAGTTTAGCATTAGGCTAGGACGCCAAATCATCGCACACGTCAGCGACAAATCAGCCACATTCCCCACGTAGGTTACACGTCATATTTTTCATTTAAAAACAAATGAAAAATTCATATATTAAAAATAATATTAAGTAAAAAATAATCAAAAATTTATCCTTTACTTTAATCAAATTAAATAAAAAATCATAAAAACAATAAAAGCATTAATCACTTCTCTCCACCCACCGCCTAATCCTATTCACCTTCATCAACCTAAACTCCCAGGGGTCATTTGGATGCAGGTTTTGGGTGTGGGATTTGGGCACAATCCCACATAGTGTTAAAATCACTCATTTGGAAACAATTATATGATAAGAGATTTTAAATATTAGAGATTTCAAAAACCCACAATTGTGGGATTGTAAAATAGCTATGGTCATCAGCTATTTTAAAATTCCACACAAATCCCACAAATTAAAAACCTGGGTTTTTAAACCAGTGATTTGAGCCAAAATCCTACAAATTAAAAACCTGCATCCAAATGACCCCCCAGAAGCTTCCTCTACTCTCATCACCACCATCTCATGTTCATCTTCATCATAACGCCTGCCAATGCCCGAGCCGCCGCGAGTCGCCGCTCTCACCCTCAGAATCCCCAGCAACTCCGCCAATGCCTTGTCTGTTATCCCTCTGGTTCTTAATCAACACCTCGCTCACGGACGCGGGGTCATCTCCGCCTCAATCTCCTTCCAAACGCCGGTGGCTCCTCCTCTCATCTCCGCCACCGCCGCCTCGTAGAAGCCGCCTCCTCTATTTCCGCGCCACTCGAGCTGCCCTTCTTGTGATTCCCGAGGTTAATCGAGCATCCCTCATCCGCTCCTGACCCTCCGCGAAATCCCTCAGATCTCGAGGTTAATCGACAAAGCAAGTCAATGGTGCTTATTATGTTGATGAATGATGACGACTCTGTAATCGTGATTGATGGGGGTGGGGGTGGTAGCCGAGGAGATGGGGGTGGTACGAAGAGGAGTCTGACGCCGCCATCGGCGGCGTACAAAGGCGGCGGAGGAGGCGGAGGTGGGTAGAAGAATTGGTTGTGGAGGGAAGGTGGAAGGACTGCGAGGTGATGGTGAGGCGGAGATGAGATGACGTGGCAGGGATGAATTCTTGGGCTTGAGGGTCGAGGGAACTAGGGAAACGAAGGTAACCACTGGTGTCTCCCATGGCGGATGAGTTTGGGGATTTTGGGTTCTGGGTATTTTTGTTGACGGGACAGTAGATGGAGATGGTGTTTGCTGGTTTTTGTTGTTCTTTTAACTTTGTGATTTTTTTTTTCATTTCATAAATCCACGTGTATATTTACAAACAAAATTGAAGATAAGAGTTTGCCACGTTAGCATCTCTGTTTGTCCAGTCACACTTAACGTTAACAACGTTAATGAATTGGACGAAAGTGGCTATAAGTGGTATTTTGTCAAAAGTGGCTATAAGTGCCACAAACGTAAAAGTTTTGCCTACATAAGTGTATTTTGCCAAAGTTAAACTCTAAAATAATTTATAACTTGAATATCATATATTTTTTGCCTGTGGTTAATGAAAAAAGCATAATAGTCAAATTTCCATCACTAATTGATCTCATATTTATATGCTATGTTGGTGTAATATAATTTAGTTAATCATTTTTAACTAATTCAAATCATGTTATTTAATAATAACAATGATTAGTAACTAAGCCTTCTATAATACATAATTTTTTAACTAATACATATCAAGTTATTGAAATTCCCTAACCTATTTTGAAATCCGGCTATTCAGAGTTTTTGAATCACTCGTTTTTTGTCTCATTTAATGTGTCGGACTGTCGGTTCATGCCGACTTAATAAAATACGTAAAAATATAAAAAAAAAATAATTAACATCAAATTAATTCAAACATGTATAAAACATATTTGAAAACCATTACTCAGAACCTATATTCATATTTAAATAAAATACAACATTTCAAACAAAATAACAAATACTCATATTTAAATACAACATTTAACATCAACACTCAAACTTATATACTAATTACTAAACTCCAACAAATAACATCAATATTTATCATTTAAATTTATGAAATATAGCACACTTATTTTTTTAATAATTAAATTTACTAAAAAAACATCATTTTATTTATAGGTAAAAAATTAATTATGACGATTTTGGCAGTAATATTTACGCTGATTTCATAATTGACAAACCAGATTCAACCGGCCACAGCCCACAAGTTCACCGGCACCACAAGGTCCACATTCCACAACCATACTGAAGACGAGATCACACTCCAAGTCTCCAACTCAGCGCCTCTTGTTTTCATCGCCTGCCCTGCCCTTGCATTACCATTGATTGCCCACTTTCTCTCTCCCTATCTTCCACCAACGGCTTTTTCTAGCGACTAACGCCGCTTCTCTCTCTCTCTCTCTCTCTCTCTCTCTCTTCCGTGTTCTTTATATTTGGAAAGTTGTTGAGTCGTTTCTATAGGAGTCCAATCCAAGCAACTACTTCAATTCCTGTGGAAGGAAAAAAAGGGGAAAACGTTGGACGATTACTTTGACTGGTATTTCCTCCACCGGGGTTTCCTTCGTTTTTGTTGTGGTGGACAAAATTGGTGTGGTTTTGGCCACCTAGATGCAGCAGATTGTTAGCCGATTCTGTTTGCTGCTGGTTATATGCTCTGTTCTCGAGTTCCACCAGAGGATTCTGCGTTTCTTTCTGGGGATCTTCGTGATGGAATGCGCCGCCTGCCTTAAGTTTTTGGCTCAGATCAGCGAGTTCCGCGGTGGGTTCATTGTGTTCGGATGTTTCTCGCAGGCTTTCAATTTCCTATGGCTTTTTTTGCTTTTCGCATTTGGGTTGAAGCTGCTTAAGCTCACTTCCTTCGGGATTGGTCTGATTCAGCTGTTGCAATATGATATTAGAGGCAAATCAATTGATCCTAGAAATGGGTTTTCTTCTAGGAAGGGTTTCGATCTAGCATTCCACTCCAAGGTTGTCTCTTTCAACAAGGGTTGCTTGGCGATTGAGAATCTAAAATCCACCAAGGATAAGGACGATTCCGATTCAGTTGTGAACTCAAGGAACATCGATTATGCTGAGGAATGTTCTGCTGAAGAAGAGGATGAATTCGACGTGTTGGCATTGAGGAGATTGGTTAGGAAGGAGAGGCGGAGAGCTCTGGCGGCCCAATTGGAATTGGAGAAGGAAAGAATGGCTGCGGCGTCTGCTACCGATGAAGCAATGGCTATGATTCTAAGGCTCCAGAATGAGAAAAGCTCCGCTGAGATGGACGCCAAGCAGTACCGTAGAATGGCAGAACAAAAGCAGGAGTACGATCAAGAAGTTATCCAGTCCCTCCAATGGAACATCATGAGACACGAATATGAAAGGAGCTTGCTGGAAGAGAAGCTCAAGTTGTGCAGGCAACAGTTGCAGCGCTGCTTGAGAAGGGATGAAATGGAGGAACTTGATGCTGCTCTCGACTCATTAGGTTCAACCTCTGATTGTGGTTTGGATGAGGATGAATTAATGTTGGAGTTTGAATCTCCAGCAGCTACTGTTCAGGCAAAAGTTTTTCAAGAAGATGTGTTTGGACAGAATGATGGAGAGATCGAGCAGCATGCATAACAAACAGTTTCTGGACTTGGGAATGGAGCATTCTTGAATGCAGCTCCGCCATGGTCCCCACTCAGACAAATATTTGCAGTAATATCTTCTACTAATCATTTTCTATCCATGTTTCCCCTTTTGTACATCCACGAGAATCATAGTCCATTCTACTGCCTTGTTATGTGAACTGATTTCCACTATTTAAGAACAGCTGAACCAGTTTGTTTGATTGAACCTCTATAGTGGGAAATCAATTCAGCATTCGCAGCCAGTAACAGTAGTCTTCTTCTTCTTCTTCTTCTCTTCTTGTAAAGTTACACATCCCTTTTCCATTTCTGAAGTCCTCTTTGTCAGTCAGATTGAACTGAGTGAGAATTGCATTACATACAAGCACGGAGATACAAACAGACTCTCCGTGGAAGAAACTGCTTAATTTCATCTTTGTTCTCTCTTCTGGGCCTCTCTGTTCTTGAGTGCTGAGTTGCACGTTTTCTTTTCATGTGATGTTATTCAATGTAGTGTACAACTGCAGCAACACAATCCAATATCAATCAATCAATCAATGTGCATAATTTCCATTTGATCTGCTAACTAAGAGGAGGATCTGAATTCAATATCATCACTTGTTGCTTGATCTTTTTGCTTGGAACTTAGCGAGGAGATCCGATTTTCTTTGTGGAAACTTGTGTATCATTGGAACTCTTGAATGATAGATTTCTTTTAAGGTTGTCAACTCAAAACTGTGCTGGAAAAGCTACAAAATGTTCCTGCAACCCTTTTCGTAGACTGCACTGGTGGTGAAGAACCCCTTTAGTTTAGATGACACACACAGATTTCCATGTGCAAGAACATTATTGACTAAGGCGGCACCTCACGTGGCGATCTGTTACCTTTTGATTTCCTTGCTATCCATATAGATCATGGGGCGATTTCCATATGCAAGACCATAATCGCACTTGCACAAATACTGTTGGTGCAATCATAGTGTGGCGTGGCCATAAGGTTTTCCTTCCTTGGTATATGATTTATCTCACGTGGTAGCATCGATGCGAATCGATGATGATGTTCCTTAATTCTTTTCTTTGTTGTGTTTGTCATAGTTTGTGCTAGATAATAGAGCATTGCATGCGCTAATAATAACGAATATGACTACTGTTGTAGGCGACGCGTTGTAAGTACGTTCTTACAAATGAGGCTATAAATACCCTAACCACATTGCTAATACAACTTGTGATTCCTTCTCTTAAGATAAATCGGGTTAGTAACCAGGTACTTCTGACTTGCTGATCTTTTGGAGCAAGTTAAGGAGGTTACGTTGTGGCTACCCATTTATTGGGAAGGCTATGTCCACCATGTCTCACCACTCATAAAGCTTAAATGTGGATTGACTACTTTGCCTAATAATGAGAGCATCAAGAATATAGTAAACAAGTTATTTCCAATAAATGATACTATATATAAACAATTTTATGATACACGCTATTTCGAGTAACTTTAGTTTTATCCAAGTATGTTGCATGAGACATTTATATCTGCAATATAATAATTCAGTATTTTTCTACATTAGTATTTTATTCACTAAACTAACTCTATAGGCAAAAAACACAAGTCCATAAACATGATGAAGCTAAAACAATTAGGGATATGTCTATGGTAACTTGTGATAAGCTTCAAGTAATCTTACTTGGAGTTTGGTGGAGGTATTGTCAATCAGGCCGACCATTCCTAGTCAACCAATTTGACCAGAGATAAACCACTTATGCTTCTGAAAAAATATTGATGACTAGCTCAAAGAGCTTTATTAGGTTGTCAGATAGATAATTTGGCTGAAGACAATGAAGACTTCATAAAGCGAAAAGGATGGACATAATAATGACGTTGCTGAAGAAGTACGAATGTAAACTCAAGACTTGAAACGAGTTTTCAAGTCTTGCCGAAACTTAATAATTTATAGAGGGGTTACTCGTTTGTGACTTACATTGTTTATCTATCAAGCCGTAGCGGTACATTGTATAACCCTAGTTTCATAAATTATGGACCATTAAAACCCTAAACTATAGATCCTAAGCACCAAAATTCTAAACTACGAAAATCCACACCCAAAATCCTATAATTGAACACACCTAAAACATGAAATCCTCCTAAATCTTATATCGCAAACTCCTAAACTCCCTACAAGCAATACCTTAAAGATAGGGTCAATAAACCCTATGCATGACCTTTAACTTGTACACCCAGAATCCTATATCCAATGGAAACTACATTCTAACTATTGCACTCTCTAAAACCTAAAATATGATCCATGAACCCCTAAAGCTTGAACTATAACCCCTACAACATTAAACCAAAACATTTACCATGCTATAAGATATGACTGAAATGGTACGATGGTGGCAACGGCGCTAGCAGCGACGAAAATGCCTCTTTTGGGTTTGCATATCGATTTTCTTTTAGGGTTTTCGGTTGATTTCGAGTTTTGGGGTTCTCACTATTTTTAGTGTTTTGATGGAGGTGAGAAGGAGAGGAAGGATGATACAGAGGAATCGATGGCGACTTGGTTGGAGGAAGGTGGTGTGGGAAGATCAAGAGGATGAGAGATCTTAGGGAAGATTGGAGGGAGAGATAGTGATACTCGCAGGGTTTGGGGTTTATTCAATTAGATCGAATTGTTTGATCTTAAAGGGAAATTTATTTTTCATTTTCATTTTTCATTTTTTATTAATCTATGTGGCAATGTTGTTGATGCAATATCGCCAAATCAGCATTTTCGTTTGTCCAGTCAACTTGTTTGATAACACCGTTAAAGTATTGGACGATAGTGGCTATAAACGATTTTTCTCCAAAATTGCCTATTATCGGCACAAACGCGATAGTTTTGACAATATAAGTATATTTTGCCAAATTTTAGGGACTAATTTATTTTTCATTTGAGTGTAAAAAGTATAAACAAATGGGACTAGATTAAAAAAATTTAACATTTGATCCTAGCCTCGATTTTGTTTTACCCCTCCACTTGGGGATTCCGACCTCTTTGACGCTTCTACTACGGCCTAACCCTTACTCTTCCGGTGGCCTTACCTTCTGTCCATCCGCCTGTTTAACTACCGCCATGGCCACCGAGAGTTCAGATATGCCGCGTCGACGGTCCTTTCCAGGGGATAATCCTCCTTCTCCGATCAGCAAACTAGGGGACGATCTCCTCTTCGAAATTCTGATCCGCCTGCCGAACCCTAGATCCGCCTGCCTGAGCAAAGCCGTGTGCAAGCAGTGGAGATCTGTGGTTTCTAAACCCTGCTTCAGTCGCCGCTTCCTTTCTCACCACCAGAGCAAGAACAAACCACCACCTCCTAAGCTTATTCTCTCGGCTGACAGCCTTCTGAGTTTTCTCCCCGTGCCCCGCCTTCTTCCGGATGAGGAATTCGTCGTTTTTGATTGCTTCAAGGACTTGCTTTTATGCGGGTTTGGGCGCCGTGCTAATCCCGAACTCGCCAGATCGTACCTACTCTGCAACCCATTTACGGAGCAATGGGTCGCCCTTCCTTTGGCCCCTGAAAGGCCGGTGGGGCTTAGTAGAGAGTCAGCAAGGTTAGTTTGTGAACCCTTAATCTCTGATAGTCATGATCTAGGAGGTGGCTATGACTATCGATTACGAGTGGTGTTTATCTACCAAGATAGGAATTCTGTGAAACTAGATATGTTCTGTTCAGAGTCGGGAGATTGGACCAAGGAGGCTGGTGTAGTTAATGGTTATCGCATGTCCTTAATGCAAGATGTTGTTTCATGCAATGGGGTTCTATATGCGTCGTATCTTAGAGCAGAAGACGAAGATGCTATGTTGTATACACCTCTGATTGCTCGTCTCAACCCTTTCCGCCTTGATATACCTCTCGCTCGTATTGATGTTTCCCCACTCTCCAACTTAGAGTATTGGAATATCTCGATTTCGCAAGGTGCTCTGCACTTGACTGTGTTCGAACACATAAGACCTATGGTCTTGAGTGTTTGGAGACTGAATGAAGACGGTAAACATTGGAGAAAGGTGTGCGAAGGTCCAGTGAAGTCATCACCAGGGGACGACTACAAATTTGGGAACCTCTATGTGCCTACTCTGCATCCGGAGAAGCCGGAAATTGCCTACTTTACTTATACCGGTCAAGGCGATAAGAATTGTCATCTATCCTGCAATGTGGGGAGTGGGGGAGAGCTAGAGTTCGTCTCTAAGATAACTCAATATATTACTGGCTGGAGGGTGTTTGAGCCGAAGGTCCATTGCTGGCCTACTCCAATTCCTAGGTACCAGAAGTTACGAGCTAGGTACGATGGAAGCTACAGCTGTTGGGTTCAGAGCAATGAACCGGTGACTTCCTCAATGACGGAGTTGAACAATCTGAAGCGCTAGAGGCTGGCCACCATATCAACGAGACGAAGGACGATGGCATGGGGAAGGAATTGTTTTGTACCCAGTTAGAGGGAAAGGAGCTGATCAATTAGTAAGGTATTGCTAGGTGTTTGTCTTTTTTGCAATCCGAGGTTGTTATTTAGAGTAGCTAGTTATGTCGAAGCAGTCATTTGCATGTTGGATTTAAAAACTGAAGGATTGTCAACCCCATGAATTTTGTTGCTTGATTGTAGGATGTTAGTAATCAATCGGGTTAGTACGGAACAGTATTAGGAGTTTATTGTCATTACTTATGAACGAATTGAGACTGCTAAACTCAATGATCTTTGTACTGATCAATTGTGTTCGTGCCATGGAAGAAGGGTCTAAGGAGGTTACGTCGAGGGTGTGCTACTGATTTCTTGGGAAGGCTATCTCCACCATGTCTCACCACTCATAAATTAGATAATTCAGGAACATCCCCACACACAGTCACACACAGGTTGAGCGATGATGGAGCGAGATCAAACATGAGGGTTCACTTGCTTGAGTCCTTTGGGCCCTCCATTAAATGCCTCTTGGAACATCATAGTAGTCATCAATGGGGTTGAATACGAGATCTGCCACTTTCCGGAATAAGCGCCCACTAAAAGTTTCATCGCTAGGTTGTGTGAACTTTGGCGTCTCACAACTACTAAAGCTTAAAAGTGATTGACTACTTTGCTTGAGAGCATCAAGTAGGGGTGGTAACCGGTCGGTTTTGGTTTAATTGAAAACCGAGACACCCCACACGACTGTCGACCACCGATTGTGAGAGTGCCACGGCTAACCAACCATCGACCGATCGGTTATCGGTTTTGGTTCGGTTAGTCGTGGTAACCGGACTTGTGCTGTCGCCGACAATAAATGGTATGCACAAAACACGTTTTTTCGGCCAAAATCAACTATGACGGTGGGATTTGGAAAGTAATTAATTAAAATTCAATTAATTACGAAATTATTAGTGGTGGCTATAATTTACGAAAATGATTAATGAGAAAATCTTGGGTTCAGATATGGCTAGGGAAGTTGAGAAGAGAAAGGAAAAAATCTCAGATCCCCAATCAATTCCCCACACCCCCAATCAATTCCTCTTCTCTCTCCCCCAATCAATTTCGTTCCCCTTCTTCTCCCGCCCAAAAATCTCTCCCAAAATAAATTCCCCTTTAGCCTTCTTCTCTCGTTCTTCTCTCCCAAAAAATCTTCCCAACTTTTCTTCTCCCCCCTCCTCTCACTCAATCTGTCTCTGTTCTTCTCTCATGGCCTCGATCGGTTCGCTGGCGGCGGAGGTGATGGGCGGTGCGATCGAGTAGTGGGAGTCGGGGAGCGGACGACGACTTAGGAAGGAGAGCAGGGAGCGGAGGCCAGACACGGTGGCGGCGACGTCGGGCGGCGAGGAAAACTGGAGGTTTTTGTCTGGTGGGGTAGTGGATTAGGCGGCGGAGCGGAGACCGGTTAATTTCGGATAGTCGGTTAACCGCGGTTAATCATAGTCGGTTAGTCGGCTAGCCGAAAACTCCCTCTGACTCTCCGACCACCGACCGACATTAGTAACCGTCGATTTTCGGTTAGCTACTAACCGGAAATCGAATTGCCACCCTTAGCATCATGAATATAGTAAACAAGTTATTTCCAATAAATGAGACTATATATAAACAATTTTATGACACACTATTTCGAGTGATTTTAGTTTTATCCTGAGATATTATATATGCAATATAATAATTTATTATTTTTCTACATTGGTATTTAAGTCACCAGACTAATTCTATAGGCAAAAAACACAAGTCCATAAACATGATGAATCTAATACAATTAGGGATATGTCTATGGTAATTTGTGGTAAGCTTTTAAGTAATCTTACTTGGAGTCTGGTTGAGATAGTTCCGAGTTATTTTTGGGTGGGATGGTCTAATTTTTATTCGCCACTAGTACCAACGAAGTTCTACCATTCATAGTCAACCATCTTGACCATATCGTCAGTAAGATAAACCACTTATGCTTCTGAAAAATATTGATGAATAGTTTCATAGAGCTTTAGGAGGATTTTTCCAGATATAGCACCATTTAAAAAAATTACAAAAATAGCACTCACCTCACAGAAATTCCAAAAAAAAAGCACCTTTATTTTAAAAACGCACCTCCAAGGTGCGGTTACATGTGAACCGCTCGTCCAAGGTGTGTTTTATATGTAAACCGCATACTGAGAGAGCAGTTTAAGGTTCTGGGCCAAAACCGCATCTTGCCCATGTGGTTTTGGGTCTGACCTAACAGAACCGCATGGCCTAGGTGCGTTTCTTTGGCTGACCTAGTAAAACCGCTCGTTGACGATGCAGTTCTATTTCTCCAACACAAACCGAACCCTCAACATGCATTTTTGCCCTTGCCGACACACAAACCGCACCCTCCCCCCCCCCCCCCCCCCATGCGGTTTGTGTGTCGTCCCCTTTTCCCGACATCCACCATGTTGCCATGCAGGTTGACAGACGTGGGGCTTCATGGCAGATGAAAACCGCACCCTCTCCATGCGGTTTTCATTAATGATTTTGCCTATAAAAGGTAGCCCCGGGAAACTTCTTCTCTTCACAACTCTCCTTCACCCTTTTCAATTTTCTGTTGTAGCTCCCTACTTCTTTATTGTTTTTGCAGTTAACGTTAACTCGTAAGTTTATTTTGTATTACTTTTTATTGTGATTTGTGATTTTTATGATATTAACTGAATTACAGTTTTTTTTTGCAGATGGCATTCCATAAGTTCACGCTTGGGTTATGGTGGAATAGTTACACGGAAGAGACCGGAAAGGGGTCACCTACGTCGGTGGCAATTTTCAGAAAATAAAGGTCGCTACCAGACCGATGCTTGAAGACCTCTCTCAAATGTGTACTAACGTTACTTGCATGGATGACACGACAAGAGTTGATAGTATGGTGTACCAATATCCAAACAGAGAAGGCAGGTCGTTGTGGCATGAGGAATAGGATGAAGTAGATGCCATGCTCGAATTCTTGAGGTCCAATAATCTTTCCAAAGCCGAGATGTTCGTTTACACCGAGGTGGTCGTAGGCATTGGAGGTCATTCTGCAGACGGTCAAACATCTGGTATCCATGGTGGAGGTTAATTATATGGAGATCATCCCTACCAAAGTTACCATGATCCTCATTCCTATTTTTAGTAATAAGAGTAAGGTGAAGGTCATCATCAATCTTTCCCATCATATGAAGAAGAAGTTCAACCGCACCATGCCAACCAACCCGAGTACAACTTCCAATCAGGCAGCTATAGTTTTCACAACTACCATTATGGAGCTGATGAAGGTGCCTTTCATGATCTGGATCTGATGGAACATGCCCTGCCAGCACCAGTTAGTGACCCCTTCGATGAAGAAGGATAGAACAACGTCAGTGCAGACAGCTCCGACCCTCTTGAAGATGCTTATGATTCAGGGCTAGAGTCAGACTTAGATAATGATGATGAGGTGGCTCGTGACCGTGTACCAGTCCCCTACTACAATCACATTCCAGACGACAATTGGTGTGTCGACAACGACATGGAGCCTCCAGAGGTCCCAGTATGGGATCCACTCACTCGGTTTATGAAGGGCCAAAAATTTGGCTCGAAGAAGAAGGTGGGGGCACGCCATTGATACTGAAGCAATGACTCGACATTTTGAATGGCACACAAGTCATTCCAACACGAAAAGGCTCATAGTCAAATGGCGTAATCAACACGAGGGATGCAATGTTAGGATTCGGGTCATCAACAGCAAGAGACACGACCATTGGGTCATATCCCGTGCGGTGAACACACACACATGTGTGTCATCCATAACATTCCAAGGCCATCGACAGTTGAACTCCAGGGTGGTTGCCGCGGATTTTTTGCAGGATCGTGAAGGTCCCTAAAATACTTGGTGTTTCCTCAATGGTGGCATGCGATCCGTCGCATCAACGCTCCCCTTGATTGGTACTTTTACCCCAAAACACTCTAGATGAAATGCTGCCAACCGGTCATACCTTCAACATCCTCAGGGGGATGATCACTCACACACACCGCTTTGCCGTCGATGGGCAGATGGGTTAGGATGGTGACGTCCTTTAGCGTGATGGTGCACTCTCCTTCGCGAAAGTTGAAACAATGTGTCTCCTTTCGCCATCTCTCCACCAATGCGGTGATGAGTTGGCGATCGACTTTTATGCCTACAAAATGCCTAATCGACTTCAACCGTGCCCTTTTGAGAAAGGGAAAGATAACGTCGTTCCATGGGAGCACATTGGTCGTACCCCTGTAGCGGAGTATTTGTTGTGCCTCCTAGCAAAAATTTTATCGTTATTTATGATATATTAGTAATAGTTTTTTCTTATAACCAACTTAATTAAAATAAATGATTTAACAAACAAATTTAAATAATTGATGTTTTTTTCCAAGATATATACATAATTTCATAAAACAAACATACTCAATTAATTAACATAAATAACATTCTAAACGAATAATAATTTAAAGAGATACATAGATATTCAAATATTTGAAATTAATAAAATTCATTGTGTACACATACACATAAATCGTATTGGTTGTTTGGTAAATAATTTAATCGTATTAATTGTTTTAAATAATTTAATCGAATTCAATGCAACACTCGTTAGACTCTTAGAAGAGGTATACATCTTTTTAGAAACGCAACATTTTTGACAGAAAAGGGGGATCCGATGATCGCTTAAAACCCGATTTTCCCAGGGAATGAGAGGATCATGATAATCGCTTAAAATCTCATTTCCTTAGACATGCATCTCTTTATGAAGAGTCGAAGTAAGTGGCGCTATGTATTCGATTAAATTATTGAAAACAACCAATACGATTAAAAATGATCAAATTTATTTTATATTCCACTAAGTACATTAGCAAAATAAAAGAAAGACAAACGATGAAGAATTGTATGTACCTCGTGATCATTCCAAACATCTCTTAAACGATGGTTGGGTTGGTCGTACAAGTCGGTTGGATCAATAGGTCCTTGATCAACATAAAACCGTTGGTTGTATATATTCACCTCGTCCCCAACCTACGAGAGAATAAGAACAAGGTTAGTACATAGATTAATTAAAATGGTTATAACAACAACAAAAATTTGGTAAAATGAGTACGTACCGATTGAAATACATCATAATAAACTCCCTCTTCTTGGAACCACTCGTCCATTTTTTCGCGAAAGTCGGACAGAGATTCGACGGATTTTGAAGGAAAAACCAAAGAAAAGTTTTCTGATGGCAGATCGGACTTAGCCGCAACCAACATACCACTATTTCCTAGGCTTTTGGGAGGGGAGGGTGATGGATAGAGAGATAATTTTAGAGAGAGAGTGAAGAATGGGTTGTGGTGTGAAAAAATGAGGAGGGGAGGGGGGTATTTACACTTGCAGACCGCACCCTCCAGGGGCGGTTTAGTAATTTTCCCCTTGCCAAAACCGCATCTGGAGGGTGCGGTTCACGAAATTCAAGGCGCAAAACCGCACCAGGAGGATGCGGTTTTCAATCCTCTACACGGATCGCTGAGTTGGCGTGCGGTCTGCCGCTGGATCGCCGCCTAATCCAACGGTCTTGGGGGCCGCTGCGTCGGAAATTAAAACCGCACGCTGATGATGCGATCTTCTGGCTGACGTGGCAAGGACCGCACCTCCAATGTACGTTTTCTAGATAAAACGGTCGGTGAAAGTGCGTTTTGAAAACAAAGGTGCTATTTTTGTAATTTCTATGAGTTGGGTGCTATTTTTGTGATTTTTTTTAAAGGGTGCTATTATTGGAAAAATCCTAGCTTTAGGTCGACAGATAAATAGTTTGGCTCAAGACTGAAGACTTTAGAAGCGAAAAAGATTGACATAATAATGATGCCGCCGAAGAATCACGAATGTAAAATCATGACTCTAAACGAGTTGCCAATACTTAATAATGTACAGAGGGGTTACTCGTTCATAACTTACATCGTCAATCTAGCAAGCAGTGACATTATCTTGTATAACCTTAGTTCATAAATTTTGGATCATTAAAACCCTAAACTATAGATACTAAGCACCAAAATCCTAATCTACGAACCTTAATATCCAAAATCCTACAATTGAACACACCTAAACATGAAATCCTCCTAAATCTTATATCACAAACTAATAAACCCCCTAAAACAATACCTTAAAGATAGGGTCAATAAACCTTAAAATTGACCTTTAACTTCTACAACCCGAATCCTAAATATCCAACGAACTCTATATTCTAACTATTGAACTCTCTAAAACATAAATTATGATCGAGGAACCCTTAAAACATAAATTTTGGATCATTAACCCCTACAACATTAAACCTAAACACTTACCATACTAGAAGATATGGTTGAAATGGTGCGATTTGGTTGATTGCTCTTTTGCTTGGATTTTATGTTATTCATATCTACACGTCTCCTCAAAACAATACTCTATTTTTGGGGTTCAAGTTTATAAAAGGTGAACATAACATATTATGTTTTTAAACAAAATATCAAATATTGAAAATCGTAAATATTCAAATACATGACCTCTTAATCAAAGTTTTGATATCATGTCAACTCAATTTGTGGAGACTAATTGTTTGGTGACAACCACTATATGGTCAATCAAAGACATGCACATATTGAACTTTCTTGAAGTTTTGTAAAATTTTAGGGACTAATTTATTTTTCATTTGAGTGTAAAAAGTTTAAACAAAGGGGACTAGATTATAAATTTAACATTTGCTTATCCTAGCCTCGATTTTGTTTTACCCCCTCCACTTTGGGGATTTCGATTTCTTTGCCACTTCTACTACGGCCTAACCCTTACTCTTCCGGTGGCCTTACCTTCTGTCCATCCGCCTGTTTAACTACCGCCATTGCCACCGAGAGTTCAGATATGCCGCGTCGATGGTCCTTTCTAGGGGATAATCCTCCTTCTCCGATCAGCAAACTAGGGGACGATCTCCTCTTCGAAATTCTGATTCGCCTGCCGAACCCTAGATCCGCCTGCCGGAGCAAAGCCGTGTGCAAGCAGTGGAGATCTCTGGTTTCTAAACCTTGCTTTAGTCGCCGCTTCCTTTCTCACCACCAGAGCAAGAACAAACCACCACCTCCTAAGCTTATTCTCTCTGCTGACAGTCTCCTGAGTTTTCTCCCCGTGCCTGGCCTTCTTCCGGACGAGGAATTCGTCGTTTTTGATTGCTTCAAGGACTTGCTTTTATGCGGGTTTAGGAGCCGTGCTAATCCTCAACTCGCCAGATCGTACTTGCTGTGCAACCCATTTACGGAGCAATGGGTCGCCCTTCCTTTGGCCCCTGAAAGGCCAGTGTGGCTGAGGAGGGTGTCAGCAAGGTTAGTTTGTGAACCCTTAATCTCTGATAGTCATGATCTAGGAGGTGGCTATGACTATCGATTACGAGTGGTGTTTATCTACCAAGATAGGAATTCTGTGAAACTAGATATGTTCTGTTCAGAGTCTGGAGAATGGACCAAAGAGGCTGGTGTAGTTGAAGGTTATCGCCTGCGCCTAATGCATGATGTTGTTTCATGCAATGGGGTTCTATATGCGTCGTATCTTAGAGCAGAAGACGAAGATTCTATGTTGTATAGCCCTCTGATTGTTGGCTTCAACCCATTCCGCCCTGATATACCTCTCACTCGTATCGATGTTTCCCCACTCTCCAACTTAGAGTTTTGGAATATGTCGATTTCGCAAGGTGCTCTGCACTTAGCTGTGTTCGAACACATAAAACCTATGGTCTTGAGTGTTTGGAGACTGAAAGAAGATGGTAAGCATTGGAGAAAGGTGTACGAAGGTCCAGTGAAGTCATCACCAGGGGACGACTATAACTTTGGGAACCTTTATGTGCCTACTCTGCATCCAGAGAAGCCAGAAATTGCCTTCTTTACTCATACCGATCAAGACGATAAGAAGTGTCGTCTATCCTGCAATGTGGGGAGTGGGGGAGAGCTAGAGTTCGTCTCTAAGATAACTCGATATTTTAATGGCTGGAGGGTGTTTGAGCCGAAGGTCCATTGCTGGCCTACTCCAATTCCAAGATACCAGAAGTTACGAGCTAGGTACGATGGAAGAATCTACTGTTGGGTTCAGAGCAATGAACCGGTGACTTCCTCAATGACGGAGTTGAACACTCTGTAGCGCTAAGAGGCTGGCCTCCATATCAATGAAACGGAGGACGATGCCACTTGGAGGTAATTGCTGTGTACCAGTTAGAAGGAAAGTAGCAGATCAATTAGCAAGGTATTGGTAGGTGTTGTCTTTTGTTCCCCCCAATACGAGGTTGTTATTTGAAGTGGCTAGCTAGTTATGTTAGGAACTGAAGGTGAAGGATAGTCAACCCCATGATTTTGTTGCCTGATTGTAGGATGCTAAGAGCTGATTGGTATTAATGAATTGAGACGGCTAATACTCCATCTCCATGATCTTTGTACTGAACAATTGTGCTCATACCATAAGTGTCCAAGGAGGCTACGCCAGGGAGTGTGGTGTAGGAATTAGGAAACATAAATCCTCAATTCTTTCGTTATTTGGGGCGGGATTGCAGTTTATTACTATCTAATAGACTTTGGATATTATTTCGGGATTTTTGGGATATTTGCATAATTCGGATGTTATTTATTATTTGGATAGTTATAGGGAATTTGTCGGTTCTATATATTCTGTACGGATGGGAATTTTCGGATTAAGCAAGAAATAGAATAATTATTTCCTAAACCTAATTCTTCCTCTCTCAACCTCTCTCCCTCGTTTCCCCTCTCTAACTCGGTGGCTCTCTTCCCCTAAATTTTCCGTTTCTTTCACGCTCCTACATTCTTAGTTCCTTCATGTGGCTTCCCATTTCCTTGCTAGGCTGCCCTCATTCTCCGCCATGCGGGCCTGATCAAATACTTGCAGTTACTCTTTATATAAAAAAAAAATACTTTCATTTACATCAAGCCTTTTTAAGGAGTTGTAAGTAAGGCTATATATAAGATCAATCTCGTAGGTGGAATCGTGGAGGAAAAAAGGTTAACTATAGTACTAATGATAGTATAAACTCTTTTTAATATCCAATGAAATAAAACTCGATAAGCTTGGTGAGTGGAAGATAACACTATAATTGTGTGAGAAAGAATAAATCATCAAAATATTGAGAGAACTTTATAGCAATTTGGGATGAAAAGAGAATAAAAGTAAAAATATGGAAAAAGACGAAAAACATGACATAACTTTCGTCCTCTTCGTATGGGTTGAGAGATATTTCCACTGTCTTCCTATGCGAATCCGAGCGAGAGAAATGAGTAACGATGAAAGAATGAGTTTATGATTTAGGAGACATGGAAGCTAGAAATGGTGGAAGCTCAAACATTTTTATGGGCTATGGATTTCATAATCAAACAAATTCTACTCTTCGTGCTTATTGAAACATATTGTTTGACACTCATAGCTAAGCTGAATCTCCTCCAATAATATATGATAGAGTTTGAATCAGGGTCTCTTCAAACAAATACAACAAGCATAACCAATTATACTAAGCAAGTTTGTTGTAGCTTTTTGAATACAAAACATACACGAAGTTAAACTCTAAAACCATAGGACTTTTCCATCATGATTAGCTAGCCCACTAAGTCTTCCGTAAGTATTTTTATAATGCTTGATACATTGATTTTCATAGTAGAGTTCCATGTAACTTTCTCCATTATAAAGTTTCTACTCTCTCCTTAATGTTTGCTAAGGGTAAATTGACAATTGGCTAACATGGAAGAAACTACTTTTTTGTTATGTGTTATGTCCTTTCATTTTTTAATTTAAAATATTTTTTGCGCTTTTTATCTTTGTTCTTATCCTTTCCTAAGCTCCTCTAAATACCCCCCCCCCCCCCCCCCCCCCCCCCCCCCCCCCCCCCCCCGCCCAATAGTGCAATAGTTAGCTCCATTTCACTTTCCAGTACAAGGCCTCCTATGAAAATCAATCTTCTGATATCTTTTAGAACTACGATTTGATTTTTGGGGATTGAAGTTGGGCAAGTAGAAGATTTAAACTCCAATATAAGCCCATGACGAATAGAATGGAGTTCAATCAAGTAGTTAGGGTCTGACCTATCTCGCTTGATTCCTTTGCACTGGCATCGCACAATGGTTCTAGCTCTCCTATATCGATGAACTACTAGAAGAAATAGTTTGATGCTTCTATTGCTGAAGACGATGTTTGATCAATTATATCTTTCTCCCTTACTCCTCTTCATATATCAGACTTTGAACTTGAATGGGTTTTTGGTCTTCGTCCAAGGTTAATCACTTCACATATGTAAGTCATTCCTTTCTTCTCTTTGTCTCATGGTTTTATCTTTCTTATTAATAACAAAACGACTTTTATTGTCAGGTTGTCTCCTGAGTAGAACATGCAGAAGATCTATTTCTTTTGAAGCCCGATGGATCTCTTGCGTCGTTGCTCCTCTTTCTCTTTTTAGGTTTCAACTTCAATGAGTTTTCTAGCTTCATTGAAGGTTCATTGAGTTGAATTGGTAGGCTATTATCTTCCTTCCCAATTTATCTAAGTTGTTTGCGATTGATTTATAAAATATAGGAAAGAAATTTGAACGGTGGTTTGGAGGCTAGATTTCTGTGAATTCAAATAGATGTTTGTGTAGAATAGGGGCAGTTGTACTTCCCTAGCGCGCTGTCTACTTTCTTGGTTGTTTGTTTGTTGTATTTTTTTGTTCTTTGCTTCGCTATTGAAATAATAAAATAAGATCACCATTATAAAAAATTTTCTTTTTACAATATTTATGCTCAAGTTTTATTTTGTCATAGCTAATGTTCTCCGCAAACATGTTATCTTCGTCAAGCTCGATTCTTATGGTCCAGCTCACCGATCAAATTTTGATATTTTTTAGGATTAGTTTGACACTATTGATTTTGTCGATGTTCTTAGTGTCTATCAATATAATTGCAAGCCATAATGATTGTTAAAATTAAGCCTCCACGCAACAGTACTCTGAGAGGTGGGGGTGTTGAACTTGGAGTAGAAGAGTTGGGATTAGGTTTGGGAAGGGAAGTGGTGGGGGATGAAATGTGTTTGCATTTGGTAGCAAGTAAAGTTCAACTACATCAGGTAAATGTAGAGAAGAGGGAGTTGGTGAGGGTAGTGATCGAATTGAGGAGGGTAAACTGGAGTAGTTGAAGAGAGAAGTGAGAGATGATGAGGATATTAATAAAATGGAGAGGGTATCGAAAGACATGTAAGCAAAACTGGAGTAGTTAAAAAGAGAGAATGGAGAGATGATGAGGATATTGAAGGGCATGAAAGTGAACTGGAGCAGGTGAATGCAATTAAGCAGGAGATGGACATATTGATGGAATTGGAGATGAGTGTTGGTTTTACTGAGTTTATTACAATTTTTTTATGATGCTGATGATTATATTAAAACAGAGAACGAAACAAAAACAAACAAGGAACAAGGATCAAAAGCATTGATCCCATTATCCGGGAGGAAACAAAAAGAAAAACAACAAAAAAACCAACAACGGAACACAAGAGCACTAGGTGGAACAGGCCACCCCTGTGCTCGACCCGACGGAAAAGAATAGACCAAAACAAAACAAACCGAGCTCGCTGAAGAACCAGGGTCGAGCAACACGAGAAGGAGCCTCACGAGACACCCAGACAGCTCCGCCGAGCGGCAGAAATGAAGCAAAGCAGACAAACCACCTAGGGGAAAAGTCTAACCAGCACCGAAATCATACGCAAATTGAAACCCCGGACAGCTGAGAGGCACCCACTGAGCTTATCACAATTGTCCCTAAGTAAGATGAGTTGGCCAAATACAAGAAGATGATTGAGGAGTTGAAGAGCGAGTTGACAAGAATCCCAATTGGAAGAGAAATTGAGGGCCACAGAGAGAAGGTCCATCAAAGTAGTAGAAATAGAATTGCAGGTGGAGGATTAGAAAGTAATTTTTGGGTTGAAACATATGCCTTTTGAGATTGAAGATAGAGGGGATAAAAAGTTGGTTGTACAACGAAGAGTGGTTGCTATTGGATCTTTAGGTTTATGGTTGTTGCAGCTACCACAACCTATGTTTATCTTAAAACGAGTAATCATTGATTGATATATTGAAATTAAGGTCGATTCTCTATTCAAGCTACTGGAACTGGTAAATAAAAAGTGTCTAATTTTGTCTTATTATTTTAATCGAGTCTATTGGTATATTGGAGGTAACCTTAATTTTTTCATTTGCTCTGAAGTTTTTATGGTCCCCTTTTAGTTGAGTTGTTAGTATATGGTTGACTTGAATAAACAACTCGCCATTTCTTTTTTATTAGTGGCATGTTGTTACTAAAAGGAGAGCATTGAACCCTTTATGTAGTATTGTGAGATTTTAGTTTTAGTTTCCTATTATCTATGGGCTGTGTGAGAATTTCATTGTGCTTTTATACTCTATCTTTCCCGACAATCAATTAACCAATAACATTTTAATGGGGGACTTAATTATCAAATGTGATTAAAGATACATTTTTATACTTTATATTCTTAAATGATGATGATATTTTTCAAATATTTGACCTATACAGTCATACTTTATTTATCATCCCGATCGAAGAATTGTCAATAAAATTAAACAAATTAATAAAGTTAAACATAATATAAAAATATAAATAATCAAATACGAATATTCCGACCAACGGGCCAGTTATAAGCTAGTAAAGAAGAAAACACAATCCTAGACATCAGTGACCTATGTGAAGAGATCAAGAAGAAGGCAAGAGAGAAGGGAGGAATTGTATGTAGGAGTGTTCAAGCAGATTGGTTACCATGGTAACCACTTTACTAGCACTATACCTAACCCTAAGGGTCAGAGGGTGAGTGATGTTGTTTCATGCAACGGGATCTTGTATCTGTCGTATTCTAAAGATGCTAGGTTGTATATTGTCGGTTTTAATCCTTTCCGTCTCGATATACCTCCAGCTCCTATCGATGTCTCTCCGATCTCCGGAAGGACGTTTTGGAATATTTCGGTGTCTCGTCAATGTTTTTTTCCAAGTTCGTGAAGTCTCTTCCTCTCTGCCTCCAGTGCCTGCTTCTCCCCTTCAGCCCTCAAGTTCTCGCCTTCCCTCCTGGATCCCTCCTCCTGATAGTTGTATGAAGATCAACTTTAATGCTGTGGTTCGTGCTTCCGGTTGCTCGTCTGGTCTAGTGGTTCGTGGAATAGACGGGCATGTGGCTTTGGCAGTATGGTCTCAGCACCACGACATTGCTGATCCCTACCTCGCGGAACTTCTTGCTGCTAGGGACGCCATCTCCCTCTTGGTCTCCAAATCCCTTCCTCGTGTCATCATCGAAGGTGATTCAGAAGTGGTGATTTGTCAGCTTCGTCAGGGTGTTTCTTCAGATTCCCTCGGAGGACCGGTGCTTCGGGATTGCTTCCTTCTCCTATCTTAAGTTTCTATCTCCTTAGAGTTTAGGGCAGTTTCCCGGACTGCTAACAGGGCTGCCCATAGAGTGGCGCAGAAAGCCCTGTTACTTTCTCCCTTTGAGTTATGTTCCTTCGACTTTGTTAGTTTGCTTCACTAATGTAGTGGGTTGGGAGGTTTGATTGTATAGTTTTTCTCTATTGATATTTATTGGGGAAAAGAAAAAAAAAAGTTGCTCTGCATCTGACTGTGTACGAGGACATGGACCCTGTTGGTTCGTTGGTTATCATGAGCCTCATTGAGGGATAACTACAAACACCAGTCCCTTCACCTTCTCACACACTGTATCAAGAGAAGCCGGAAATTGCCTTCTTCTCCAGTTGTGGGGCCGAGAGTTGCCACGTGTCCTACAATTTGAGCAGGGGGAGCTAGAGTTCGTCGCTAAACAAACTCAATTCTTTTATGGTTGGAGGGTGTTTCAGCCTAAGTTCTGTCGTTGGCCTACTCAGTTCCAAGGTATCAAAAGTTGCGAGTCAGGTACGATGGAAGCTACGTACAGTTGTTGGGTTCAAAGCAACGTGACCAACAACTCCCTCGACTCAATAATGGCCCATCCCTCCAATCTGATGCTGATAATTTCCAATGCATGGTGTTGCTACGAAATGGGTTAAGGAAACTTTCGATCTGCAAGCTCCTAGTTAGTGTGTTAATTGTTTTTGTTTTGTGTTAATTTGATTTGGCAGCTTAAAAATGGGGAAATTTGTCCTTTGGTAGAAAGCTAAAATCTTTATATGTCTCGTTTTGTCTAATTGCATGGCTTGAGAATTCCAGATAGATGCAGAGATGGCCTTGTACTATTTTCGTTCATATATACTTCTTATTTTGGTCACAAAGTTTGGTTTGATTGGACAAGGTCTCAAACTGTTGTCAATGAAAGTAGTATATACATATGAAATTATGTGTCATCAAGTGGTAGACTATGGTTTCTAGGCCTGCCCAACTCGGGTAGGAATTTTTTTGGAGAAAATCTTAAAATACACATATTTTTTAAAAAAAATCTCAAAATACACACGTTTTATGAAAAAATCAAATATACATATGTTTGGGCATTACTGCGGTTGTCAGCCGCGGTGAATGCATGAAAGCGGTGAATGCATCACCGCGGTTGACGGTCGCTGTGAATGTCTGACCTAACACTAAAACTTCAAACGAACATAATTTTGCGCTCGGTTATCCGATTGTAACGAATTATTTTTTCATTCCACATAACTTCTCAAGATCTTTCAATCTGAAAATATCGTTCATCCCAAAAAAAATGTCGTTTGCTACCCCGAACGAGCAATGTTTTGATTTTGACAAACTTTGGAAGACCATAGCTTTGTGCTCCTCAATCCGAATGTCATGGAACTTTTTTTGAATTCACTTGAATTTTGAAGAACCACAACTTTGATCAAAACCATAATTTTGGAATGTATGTGGAATTGTGAAAAGTAAAGGGAAAGTTATTCCCAAAATCCTGTATACCAAAAAACATTGCTTTTTAAAAAAATTCTTTCCTAGTAAAAGTTGTAGTTCTTAAAAAGTTATGCGCAATCAAGAAAAAGACGTTCGGATTTAGGAACAAAAAATTATGGCCTTCAAAGTTTGGCAAAATCGAAAATTGCTCGTTCGGGGTAGCAAACGACATTTTTTTGGGATGAATGCTTGCTACCAGATTGAAAGATCTCGAAAAGTTAGGCGTAATACAAAAAATCGCTACAATCGGATAACTGAGTGCAAAATTATGTTCGTTTGAAGTTTCGGTGTTAGGTCAAGCATTCACTGCGGCCGTCAACCGCGGTGATGCATTCACCGCTTTTGTCTGCAGCGGTGAATGCATTCACTGCAGATCAACCACAGTGATGCCCAAACATGTGTATTTTTGGAAATTTTCATAAAATGTGTGTATTTTGAGAATTTTTTTTAACATGTGTATTTTGGGATTTTTTCCGAAAGTTTTGTCTATTTATTTTTACATGAGTATTTTGCATTTAAGCTCTTTGTGCGTACAACACTACAACTGCATTAGAAATCTGCTCCACCCTCTCGTGAGATTTGTCGTGAGAGCTTCTGCCTGATCAAGTATTAGTCCCAATTAGGGCTGTTAATGAGCCGAGCCGAGCCGAGTCGAGCTTTGCCATAGTTCGGGCTCGGCTCGTTAATATATTTCCAAACTCGAGCTCGGCTTGTGTTCGTCACGAGCTTTAATATGCAAGCTCGAGCTCGGCTCATTTATGAAAATGAAAGCTCAGAGCTCGGTTCGAGCTCGACTCGTTAAATAAGGTTATCGATCCCAAAATCGAGTTAAGCTCATAAAATGTTCATAATAACTCAAGATTGACCTAGAACTGGGCACAAAATTACATTCAAACCTGTAGCAAAGTCTAGCAAAATAAAACACAATATTTATCTCAATTTCAATACATAAAATCCATGAATTCTAATCCTTTCTTATGCCAAAATGTTAAATGAGCTTGTTCGCGAGCTTTGGAGCTGAACATGGTATGGCTCGAGTTCGGCTCGTTTAGTTAACGAGCTTGTTCGCGAGCCGGCTTGATTAAGACGAATCGAGTTTCGAACGATTTTTTCTCGAGTTGGGCGTCGAGCCGTTCATGAGCGGCTTGGTTCATTAACATCCCTAGTCCCAACAACAGGGATTTATAAGAGTACTAAGGGCTGCCCATATCGTGGCAATAAAGACGCTCATTTCGTTAGTTCACAACTATTGACTAGTGCGCATATCATGAATTCGTATCCTTTTACTGATTTAATTTCTATCATGATTTTGCTCCGCGCATACATTGTTGTTAGAATTGCAGGGATTTGCTGCATTGCGGTCACTCGACAGCCACATGAGCTTGGTCCATCACTTCCGTCCTTAAAAGGGTCGAAGGACATACATGGATTCTGGTCAATGCGTAGGTATATTAGGGTGTCCATATTCTGATAAATTGGCCCAAATTGATCCGGTCCCAGTTCGATCTTTTCGAAAATATAAGGAACAAAGATTGGATTGGATACAGCCCGGTCTTGACCCGGTCCGGTCCCAATTCGATCTTGATTTTATATTGAGCTTGTGGGGATTTGAGTGGCCTAAGGCCTGAAAGTGTGAGGAGTTGGTTAAGTTTTGTACTAAGTGCAAAGGTTTGTGACACAAATTACCCTTAAGTTTTGGGTGTTAAGCACAAAGATTGGATTGGATTGTTTACTATCCGATCCCAGTCCGGGTTATACGGTCCGGTTTCGGGTAAAACCAAAAAACCCGGACCAAATAGCCAGCCCTAGCCCCATATCATGGCAAAAAAAGCCCTCTTATCGTTGGATCGTCCGACCTTTCTTCCTTATTATCCTTTTTTATTTGACTTGCAAATTCTTGTACTTATATTTCGTATTTTGCTCTCTCCCCACAAGCCTTTGGCAAAAAAAAAAAAAAAAAAAAGTGGTAGACTTGAAGGGTCCTGCATATAGGTGTCAATCGGGCGGGTTTGGGCGGGTTCGGGCTGGTTTCAATAGGGTTCTGGTTCAAACGGGTTGCGGGTTCATCGGGTTCGGATTCAATCAGGTTGCGGGTTCATCGGATTTTGGGTCGGGCGGGTCGGGTTTCGGGTTGTTCAGGCCAGCGCATTAAGTAACTTAAATCATTACTCATTACCAACTTACACATTTTATTACACTAATTTAAAATATTTTCTCAACTTTTTAACCAATTTATTTCTACCTCATATATATATACTTTATTTTTTAGAAAAAAACTAGTCAAAATGTTAAATCAATTTGTATGACTTGCAAACTTGTTATGTAATTAATCATAATTGGTAAAGTATTATAGCTAATAGTAATGGTGATATCAATATTTGCAACCAAAAGACACCGTTAATTGTTTATTTGATATTTTAGTATTAATTCAGTAGTAATTGGATTAAAGTATCTCGTTTAGTATAACCATGCAAATCTGGTATTTGGCGTGTGGTATTTGGCAAAAGCATAGTGATAAAAGGAGTTATTTCAAAATAACTCATTGCCCAAATAACTTTAGTAAACTGTTGCCAAACGAGTTATTTGTAAAATTGTTTGAATTATCCTAAAAATTGAACCATTAAAGATTAGCTATCAAAGTTAGTAAAATTATTGTGACTTCAAACATAACTTACTCAATAGCATATATCCTATACACTTAGCTTTACCTTCAATCAAGAATATTAAGTTAGTATATGTTGTTGATTGTATACCCTAAACCATCAATACATTATACACTAACCACATACCTATACCCTAACCATATGTCCTTGAGTTGTGATTTTGCTAGTATAGTTAATTTAAAAGTGAAATTCATACTTTGATTTTCAAAACATAGATAAAAAGTGATATTTGCTAATTGTTATACCCTAACCATATATCCTATACTTTACACCACATACCTTGTACCCTAACCACGTGCCATAAACATAAATTAAAAAGGGATCTCCTGCCGTTAAAGACTTCAAATGACTTCAAGTGAACATATGTTAATAAAAAACTTAGAACCGTCAAAACCATCAATATCTTATACCCTAACCATATACACCCTAAACCATATGTACCTTATACCTTATACCTTTTACCCTAACCATATACTTTATATCCTAAACAACGAACCGTCAAAGATTACTTATCAAGTTTAGTATAAATTGTTGTAACTAATGGTTAATTTATTTATTAGCCCATAAAAAATTACATACATATATACATATTAGTCTGCAAAGCATATAAGAATAGTTTTAACTAGTCATGCCCTCCATATAAAAGTTAAATATTCATATTTCAAAAGCTAAAATTATGAAAAACCAAAAAATTGAAAACACCAAATTTGTTTCCTTCTTTCTTTTCACAAAAATACTAAAATTTCCCTCATTCTTTCTCCTTCCATACATTAGAAAAACTCAATTTTCCCTCCTCTTTCTCTTCCATAAAATTGAAAGAACCAAATTACCCTCTTCTTTCCTTCTACAAAAAGTTGAAAAGTCAAAAGTTTCCCTCCTTATTTCTTTTTCATAATCAAAAGAATCAAACTTTCCCACTTCTTTCTCTTCCCACATATCAAAACCACCAAAATTCCCACTTGTTTCTTTTCTAAAAAATTCAAAGAACCAAATTTCCCTCTTCTTTCTCTTCCCAAAAACTTGAATACACCAAAATTTCTCTCTTCTTTTAAAAACATCAAATTACCAAATACATTATTTTACTTTATTTATATTTAATTGATAATTTTATTGAATAGTTAAATTAACCAAAATTTTAATTTATATATTATATTAATATTGTCATGATCTCAAGTGACCTTCATGGTTCAATTTTCTTAAAATACGTAATATCAAGTGAGTTTCATATTTTTAAAATTTCTTATACGAAATGAAAATATAATTTTACTTAAGTTTAGAATGAAAAACTTTATTTTGAAAAACTATGTATTGTATATTTTTATAATTATTCAAATGGATTAGATGAAATTCGGGTTGAGTCGGTCGGGTTACGGGTTAGTCGGGTTCGGGTCAATCGGGTTGTGGGTCAGTCGGGTTGCGGGTCAATCGGGTTGTGGGTTAGTCGTGTTGCGGATTAGTTGGGTTGCAGGTCAATCGGGTTGCGGGCCGGGCGGGTTACGGGTTGTTGACTTTTAGTCAATTCGGGTTGCGGGTCGGGTTGATCGGGCGGGTTAATCGGGTCGGGCTATGTTTTGACACCTATAGTTAATAGTCCTGCATTTGCCTCCAACAATTTGAAATGGAAAAATAACTAAACAAATGTGGGTATCCAACTAAATGTGAATCGATTTTGTCGGAGAAAATTTAACTATATTATCTTTAGGTAAGTTTTCCCCAAACTCGACAAAGAGGATAATGAGTTTGATATGGCTTTAATATTTTAAATATATGGCTTTAATATCTACACATAATATAATACACCGAAAGGAAAAACGGGAGCCCCATTTCAAATTTCCTGCAACGAGAGTGAAAGTAGGAAGGACATTTTGGTCTTCACACTTACTTTTTTTAATTCATTAAAAAGACACGTAGTGAGATTCGAACCATGACCATTTTAAGGAAAAGTAAGGATCATAACCAATCACACTAAGTACATTTGTTGCATCTTTTTAAATTAAAAAGATATAATAGCAAAGAGGAAAAAATCCTTCCCCCATTTCAAATTTCCTACTCCAGGAGCGTTTGTAGGAATGATAGAATAGGGAGTGTCAATTTTTTCCTCTTTCCTCTGTGGAACGGGCCAACTTACCGTACAAATGCGGATTTAAACGGGTTCAAGAGTGTCAATTTTTTCATTAAGCCCTTTTATTTCTCCGTGGTGATAAAATATATATGAAGAGGCAAAAACAATACTTCTTTTTATTGCTAAAAATAAAAAATTTAACAATAAACTAATGCATGGTATCTAATGGGCTAACCGCTAACCATAAAATAAAAGAGTTGAATTGGTTTGACATACACGGGATTTGGCCATTAAGTAAAACAAATGAACATCATTGGTTTGACATTCTAAAACAAGCTATTTTCTCTGGCATAATATATTATGCTATTATTTTATATCTTAGTGGCTAAAATATAATGTATTTTAAAGTTATTCAATGGTTCAACCTCGACCAACCCAATTAGTCCAATTTTTATCATTTCAAATATATATTATATAATTATTTGATATCATAATGATCAAATCATAGTGTATTTTATAGGGAATCGTTTGGTATTTGTTAGTAAAAAACTAAACAGAAAGATCTATTTGGTTATTTTAAACATTAAAACGATCCTAACATTTTCAGTTCCTTTTGAATTTCTATGGTTTTATTCCCGAATAAGTGATGTGCAAATGGCAGTCATCTCTTTTCTTTCACTATTTTTTATTTTCAAATAAAAAGTTTAAAAGTAAAGAATAATTAGAATTTGGCATGGGTCGGTCAAACAGGCTGCATTTCAAGTTTTGGCCCCTTTTGATCAAGTCTAATTTATAATCACATGGTTCCCTGATGCCCGATAAAAATCTCAATCCAAACCAGTTTGGCAGGTGAGTCCGTGTTTACCACCATTTTCTAGGGATACGACAACGACGGTTCCTATCCCAAATCGTGTTGTTCGTTCTTTATTTCCTTAGATTTTATCATAGCCTGAAAAAAACCAGAAAGCACAATGACGACAAGATGAAAGTTTTATAAACCAAATTAATCGGCCAACGGGCCGAGTAAAAGCTAGCAACGATTGTGAGATGCTCATTTCCCGAAAACCGACGGGATAGGCTATTTTTTATTCGATTTTCTGGAATTCAGTTTCTATAAAACTTACTCCACCTCATCATATTACCAGAAACAATATTGTTTCACAAGGTAACAGGTACTTGATTTTGGTTCATAAGGCCGATTTTTGATTTGTTGCATCATTAATGTCTCTTTCCTGCTAAAATTCACTATTTTTATCACGTGTTTCCCAAAAAAACTATACAACAATAAGTTATACACCCCATTAAATTATCAAATTTCATACCTCACCTTCCTCTAGGGATGAAAACAAAATCCGAACCCACAGGTACCCACCCTACCCAACTCGGTCAACGCGGGTAAAATCCGTGTTGACGGGTTTTGGGCCGGGTTTGGGTTTAAACCCGTTCAATATTCATCGGGTTGGGTTTGGGTTTAGGTAAACCCGACCCGTGGGTACCCGCCCACACCCATATAATTAATTTTCTCGATATATTTAATATTCTAAACAACTTATCTTATTTATGTTTGTGGAGACATGTCTAATTTTTTCTTTCTAATTGTGTAGAATGAAGTTGATGTTATCGAGTGGAGAGTGAAGAAACTTAATTGAAAGGAAGAAGCTTTCAATTAATCATGTTATTTATGGATAATTTGTTATTTGCTTGAATTTTCTAGAATGGTATTTTATATATGGATAATTTGTATTGAGAGATTGATATTTGACTTTAATTTTGATAGCAACTTGTTATTGTAAATTTTTTAAGACAAAAACCTGTGGGTAACCATGAACCCGCGGATACCCAGGGGGTTGAGTTGGGTTTGAGTTTTTCAAACCCAGTGGATTTTACCCCAAATTTTTTTCACGGATAAACCCATGAATTTGGATTTGAATTTGGCAAAACCCAACCCATTGCCATCCTACCTTCCTCCGGCCAACTGGCCGGGGCCCACACTAGTTTTAAATATATGCACCGAACTCACCCGAATATGTGTTATAACCGGTTCCACTCACTCACAAAGCTCTTCATATGAATGATTAAGGCTTCATTGAGCCAATACAATTTCGCAAGGATGCTTACAAGAGCTTTTGTAAGCATGTGCCAAACAAAGCCTTTGAATCTCCATTGGCATGGCCAGAAAAGTTTAACATTACCACATGTGGATCTGATACATTATCGATCATAAGAAAGTCCCAGGAGAATAAAGAAGTATGTTTCTCATTTTATTTCAGGAGGATCGATGAAGAAGAAGAAGAAGACACTATCGTTAGGATTCTGTGAGGTGAAGCTGCCCAAATTAGGATGGCTAGAGTTGAGAATAAAAACGACCTCAAACTGTTCCTACTTTCTACTCTTCAAAACCGAAGACATTCTAAGAAACCACACTGATTTTCAGTGGCATAATGAAGCCTTCTCAGAACCACAACAAAGAAGCAGGAAAGGACGGGGAAATAGGGTACCAGGGTTATAGAGATATTCTTTTATAAAATTTTGAGTGTTGTTTGTTGCAGCAAAAGCTTGTCTATGAAGAATCCACTTTCAGCACTATCTTCATGAATTCGTACACAAAATAACTTATCGCAGCAGAAGGTAAAACCTGCAAGACAAAGAACAGTACCAAGTTCAGACTAGACCGAGACCTGAAAGATATCAATATTCATGGATCTCAGTGGAAGAAGATGTATGCGCACAGTTGGCAAGACCTAAAAGGATCAGAAAACCAAATGATGGACTAATATAGTATATGATGCCATTGATAGGAGTATGGCGTGACTCATTTGCATTCAGCAACAAGAAAAAGTCACTGCGTATTATCACTCAACCAGATTCAAAAAAGAGATGTGAGAAAAGCGTTTGAAAGATTGTACTAGAAACATGGTTTTATATACCTGTAACAAGCTTGGTACTAATCCAGCATATAAAGCAGGAATGCCTCCATGCTCAACTATCTTCAAACAAGTTGCCACTGCATTCATCTTCGTGGCTCGGACTTGCATTTGAAGCTGTCTCCTCACAACTTCAAATGGATAAGTAGCAGCCTCAGAGCAACACCCTGCAATCGCACCATAGAGCAGAGTCCTGTAGGTGCCCAACTCCAGCTGGTCAAAGGCATTCAGCTCCTGCCCTTCTTGGTTCATGTGTTGAATTCTCGCCTTCCCCTCGGGCGAATGAAGATATCCTGTCTTGAGTATATCGTAAACACCATAAAATACTGCACCCGCAGGAGCCATGCTTGCTAATGAGGGTACTAAGCCCTTGTAAAGTGAGAAGAAGCCTTCAGTCTGGATCATGTAACGAAATGTCCCAATTACGCCACCCAATGCTTCACCACCAGGTGCTACCATCTTGGTCCTTATCTGCAGTACGCATATGGGATTCAAGAACGTTAAGTAATATTCTGTTCAAAGCTGCTTGAGTAATGAATTGTAATCAAACTGAAACCACAAACTCAGTTCCAGTGCCAATTTCATGTGACAGTTCAATGTTCAGGAAGCATCCTTATACATGGGTGAGAAATGTTAGTCATAAAATTTTCCATGAGTGGACTTTGCCCAAAACAAACTAGCAATCGTATTCCTTGAAAATGGTTTTGCAGCACCAGACTAAACTCCATGAGTGGACTTTGCCTTAAACAGACAAGCAAACGTATTCCTCGACACTGGTTTTGCTGCACTAGACTAAACCGATTACAAAATCCATTGAAGTTGTACAAGCAACTGAGGAAGGTAGCAATTACACTGTAAACATCAGTCAAGCGGAAACCAACAGTTATTTTTGGTCACCTGTGCTTCCAAGCAGTAACCCATATTCTTAGCTTAAAATTTTAAATCTACACTTATATATTTATATGATAATGCAAAGACAAAGTAAATTGAAAAGAAAGCTCATGCCAAAAACTTATGAAGAACCATAAAGATGGAGTCTTGAGGTTCTACATACAGTGTCCAAAGGCAAGCAGAGCAAAGAGGCAGTAACGCCAGCTGCTGCACCTGCAACAAACCTCTCAAAGTTTGTGGTTTCCTCATTCCCGGTCCATTTCAGTAGCGTTTTTCTGTATGTATCATATGCGTAAAAGTTTATAGCCTTAAAGGGAGCAGTTCGAAGAATATTGACCAAGTTGCCTTTCCAAAAACCTTTGACCCCTTGAGTTAAGAAAATTTTCCTGGTCAGTTCAACTATATGTGCCTTCTCGCCACAAACTATGTACTCCAGCTTCAATCTCTCCAGTGGTGCTATAATGGTTCTGTTTGAAGAAAACACACAAAGTTGAATGCTCAGATACTAAAAGCTACAATGTAAAGTTTCCAGACAATCTACTACTATACCATGCCAGACAAGTTAAGCTGAAATTTTGTTTGTAACCCATGTGAATATTAGTAGAGCCCATCTAGGAACTAATCTACTTTTAACACTTCTAGCAACCATTAGTACCATATTTGCATTAGGGAGGCTGGAACCAGCTATTAAAACAGTCCTCATAAAACTTGAACTGACAAGACTGTAAATCCATGGCGGTAGAACTTATCTATGAACCTAGTTACTGGTCCAATATAGTTGGGAGTTAAATGTTCATTGTCTTGATTTCCCAATGCTAGTTGTAGATCAAACACGGAATCAGCAAATCATATATCAATAACAAACATTGTAAAGGAGAACTAGTATATACAACTTTCAAAACCATTCTTGCCAGGCGAATAAGAATGAAGGTAAACCTGGAAACCATAGCTGCAAAGGCGCCAGCCCAGAGATGCTTGGTAGTATTGAAAGCCGCTGATCCGGAATTCCGCACAACCACCTTCTTATTCTTATTCTTCTCATTATCAATCCCCTTCTCCGTCTCAGCAACGAGAAATGTGCCAACGCTTTCCACCTCCAAATTCTTGTCTTCCCCATTCTGAGCCAAGCTTCCCGGCCGTTCCGCAACAAACTCTTCGTCACCCCGTTTTATCGACAAACTTACAGAAAGAAACGGCAGTGCATCCCTTCCCCCCTGCCGCCGCCGCCGCTGCCGGTGCGATGGCAGGCGGCCATCGACTTCAAGCCTCAAATTCCTGGAGAGGCCCGAGCAGCGAGAGGAGTCAGGCTGATTCGGCTTCAAGGAGAAGAAGGAAGGGAGAACTGTTTCGCGGTCGAGGAAGATGCCGCCGACGAGGATGGAAGAAGAAGAAGAAGAAGAGTAATCAGAGTGGTGGTGTTGGGCTTGAGGGGAGTGGAGCTTGATCAGTGTTGGGAAAATTAGATCCTGGCCACCGTACATTGCGCCGGGAATCGATTGTCTGGTGGAGAAAGGGCAGAGGAGAGCAACACCATGAAGAGAGGAAGCTAGAAATGAGGGGGGGGTTTCAGCGGAACGAGGAAGACTGGAGTGGGGAGTGGGTGAGAAATGGTTAGGTTGGGGGAAAATTAATGGAGAAAAGAAAGGGACATAGAAGATGCCGCAAGGGAGAGAATGGAGGACTAGGGAGTTTACGCCGGGGGAGAAATGGCTTCGCTGGAATCGCCCCCGAAAGGGCTGTGTGTAGTGACTGCAAGTTGGAGGACGGGAGGGAGAGAGGATACCAATCAAGTTGTCAACCCGCGGGTTGACCCGAATCCGGTTGAGCTGGTGGGTTAATGGGTCACCCGTTTTAGCCCGGTTTAGCCCGGAAAAATGGAAAACATCACTATATTGTACTTATCCTGATAAATTATATCAAATCTCATCTAACATATGAGTTATAACATATAATATTACACCAAAATAACATGTCGTACTTAGATTCAACATATAGTGAAAATTCACACACACTTATATAACATTAATATTCAAATGTTCAACTTAGGATTATAGGTGTCAAAACATACCCGACCCGATTAACCCGCCCGATCAACCCGACCGCAACCCGAATTGACTAAAAGTCAACAACCCGTAACCCAATTGACCCGCAACCCAACTAACCTGCAACCCGACTAACCCGCAACCAGATTAACCCGAACCCGATTGACCTGTAACCCGACTGACCCGCAACCCGATTAACCCGAACCCGACTAACCCGTAACCCGACCGACTCAACCCGAATTTCATCTAATCCACTTGAATAATTATAAAAATATACAATACATAGTTTTTCAAAATAAAGTTTTTCATTCTAAACTTAAGTAAAATTATTTTTTCATTTCGTATAAGAAATTTTAAAAATATGAAACTCACTTGATATTACGTATTTTAAGAAAATTACAAAAATTGAAACATGAAGGTCACTTGAGATCATGACAATATTAATATAATATATAAATTAAAATTTTGGTTAATTTAACTATTCAATAAAATTATCAATTAAATATAAATAAAGTAAAGTAATTTGGTAATTTGATGTTTTTAAAAGAAGAGGGAAATTTTGGTGTGTTCAAGTTTTTGGGAAGAGAAAGAAGAGGAAAATTTGGTTCTTTGAATTTTTTAGAAAATAAACAAGTGAGAATTTTGGTGGTTTTGATATGTGGGAAGAGAAAGAAGTGGGAAAGTTTGATTCTTTTGATTATGAAAGAGAAATAAGGAGGAAAACTTTTGACTTTTCAACTTTTTGTAGAAGAAAAGAAGAGGGTAATTTGGTTCTTTCAATTTTATGGAAGAGAAAGAGGAGGGAAAATTGAGTTTTTCTAATGTATGGAAAGAGAAAGAAGGAGCGAAATTTTAGTATTTTTGTGAAAAGAAAGAAGGAAAAATTTTGGGGTTTTCAACTTTTTGGTTTTTCATAATTTTAGCTTTTGAAATATGAATCTTTAACTTTTATATGGAGGGCATGACTAGTTAAAATTATTCTTATATGTTTTGAAGGCTAATATGTATATATGTATGTAATTTTTTATGGGCTAATATATAAATTAACCATTAGTTACAACAATTTATACTAAACTTGATAAGTAATCTTTGACGGTTCGTTGTTTAGGATATAAAGTATATGGTTAGGGTATAAGGTATAAGGTACATATGGTTTAGGGTGTATATGGTTAGGGTATAAGATATTGATGGTTTTGACGGTTCTAAGTTTTTTATTAACATATGTTCACTTTAAGTCATTTGAAGTCTTTAACGGCAGGAGATCCCTTTTTAATTTATGTTTATGGTACGTGGTTAGGGTACAAGGTATGTGGTGTAAAGTATATGATATATGGTTAGGGTATAACAATTAGCAAATATCACTTTTTATCTATGTTTTGAAAATCAAAATATGAATTTCACTTTTAAATTAACTATACTAGCAAAATCACAACTCAATGACATATGATTAGGGTATAGGTTATGTGGTTAGTGTATAATGTATTGATGGTTTAGGGTATACAATCAACAATATATACTAACTTAATATTGTTGATTGAGGGTAAAGCTAAGTGTACAGGATATATGATATTGAGTAAGATATGATTGAAGTCACAATAATTTTACTAAATTTGATAGCTAATATTTAATGGTTCAATTTTTAGGATAATTCGAACAATTTTACAAATAACTCGTTTGGCAACAGTTTACTAAAGTTATTAGGGAAATGAGTTATTTTGAAATAACTCCTTTTATCACTATATGCTTTTGCCAAATACCACACGCCAAATACCGGATTTGCATGGTTATACTAAACGAGATACTTTAATCCAATTACTACTGAATTAATTCTAAAATATCAAATAAATAATTAACGGTGTCTTTTGGTTGCAAATATTGATATCACCATTACTATTAGCTATAATACTTTACCAATTATGATTAATTACATAACAAGTTTGCAAGTCATACAAATTGATTTAACATTTTGACTAGTTTTTTTCAAAAAAATAAAGTTAATATATACGAGGTAGAAATAAATTGGTTAAAAAGTTGAGAAAATATTTTAAATTAGTGTAATAAAATGTGTAAGTTGGTAATGAGTAATGAGTTAAGTTACTTGATTCGCTGGCCCTAACAACCCGAAACCCGACCCGCCCGCAACCCGCCCGACCCAAAACCCGATGAACCTGCAACCCGATTTGCCCGCAACCCGATTGAATCCGAACCCGATGAACCCGCAACCCGACTAACCCGCAACCCGTTTGAACCCGAACCCGATTGAACTCAGCCCGAACCCGCCCGAACTCGCCCGATTGACACCTATACTTAGGATTCCAAAGATTAAGTTATGCGAAAAGAAAAATCGAAAATAGGCGCATTTTGCAAAACAAAGAAAAAAATAACACAATTTGACCTTCAACCCGGTACCTTGTAGTGTTCGACCCGATGGGTGCGTGCGGCCCATTTTTCTCACCTGGTCAGAGTTAAAATGGGACAACCCACGGGTCGAGTCGCGAATTGACAACCTTGATACCAATACGAGGACACAGAATCCTGATTCGCTTTTGGAAATTCCAATGTCGCCCAATTTGCTTTGCTTTCCTTCGTCCCTATTGGCCTATTCTCCAACAATTTTTTGCCTAATTTGTGTCGAATTTTATTATTAAACGTGTCAAGTTGGAACTTGATGTGTGTTTTACATTTTTTTTTCTTGAAACTCGATTTATTAGTGAGCTTACAAGTTCTAGTCGACTCCGGCACATTAATTCACTTGTGAGATCGGCTCGAGTTCGGATATCATATCTTTTAGTTCATAATTTTTTTTGTTTATATCATGTTATTTAATAGTAATTAATATTTTAGCAATTTATGAGACATATTTGATCATGTAATCTATTATTCATAAATTCTCTTTTAAATAAGAAATGAGACATATTTGATCATGTGCTCAATATTCTTAAACATCATATATCGTGAAATATATAATCTAACAAAACTATAAATTATTAGTAAGTCGATGATAAGCTATTAATTAATTCGCTCGTAAGTTGCTAGTTGAGGCGGCTCGCTATCCACATACTGTTGACCAAGCTCGTTGCTCAAAAGTCAAAACGAGATAGTTCAAGAGTTGAGATCAACAAGCCACCGAGTGGAGCTCACGCACAAGCTTGCGAGCTGAACAAAGCTGAACTAGAACTCATGTGTGGAAAGAGTTTCTTCGGAGTCGAACGCCGAGTCGCTCAAGAGCAGGTCAACTCATTTGCGGACTTACAAATCACCAACTAGCTATTTATCTTAGGCCTCTTTGGTATCATTTCATGTTTCCAGTTGAATTCTGTTTTCGTTTCACAACAACGGAAGTTGACAACACAACATAAATTAGATGAAACCAGTGAAATCACTTTAATTAGCTTCTTTATTTCCAAAAAATATTGTTTCCAAAAATTATTCTTTGTGCGATCCTATTAGTTTTTGGAATAATTTCATTCAAATAAATCTATTAATATATCTCACTAGACCCACTTTCTACATACTTTTTTCTTCTCCATTTCCACATAACTCATCCCCGAAAACTTATTGTCAATGTTATTTTCATATATTTTTTCTCTCAATTTCTCATAACTCGTCATTATTCCTCTTATTATTTTCCAACTTTTATCTTGTTATCAACATTGATACTAAATGGGGCCTAAAGAAAGTAACTAAATGCATTTCTGTTTATGATTCTCAACTTTCATTATTTTTAGAAATACCAATTAAACAGATTTTCATTTTTTATTTCATGTTGTTGTGATTATACCTTTATTATCACAATTCTATTGCAATCACAACAACAACAAAATTCTACTAAATGGCTTTTTGAGGTATAAAGATATTTCATCCACTACCAATGACATGACTACCCATGAGTTGCTATTGCAACCAAAACAGCAACAAAATTCTATTAAACGGCTTTTTAAGGTATTAGGGTATTCCTCCACGGCCAATGATATGACCGCCCATGAGTTGCCCACAAAATTAATGAGGAGGAGACGGCGATGGCCATCGGCCGGTGAACGGAGGGAGGGAGTGAGTGATTTGGGAATTTTGGCCTTCTCCCTTGTGAGAATTCAGAAGGTAAGGTGCCAAGAAGTTCTATACGTACGAGGGAGAGCAGCATCAAATCCGCAAATGGATTCAGAACCTTGTCATGCCCGCCAAAACTCTCAGTTAATTGGACCAAGCTATCAAAACCCTTGTCAATGAAAAGTATACATGGAATTTGGAAATTGTTATCATCTCTTAATCAAGAAGTTCTAAACTAAAATGCCTTGCAGATTCATGAATAACATTAACGCCTCCAGCAACTACAAACAACCCAACTTGGAATTTGTTAATACTCAGCACCCTACTCAAAAGCTTTCGGACCCAAACAAGCAGAGGTTGACATCCATGGCCATGACAGCGAAAGATCAACAACGAAACATCTTTCCAGTCTCTTCTTCTGCTGTATAAATTGCCCTTCGAACCTGAAAGATACCAAACATGAGCTACCAAGAACACTTTAACGCCAGGGCTTCAACAGGATGTCAAGATCATAGTTGTAATGAAATGGGAAAGAGTACCACTTAGGTCTACTTTACCATTGCATGGCTTAGCGACCACGGCCATCCGGGATTCCAACGAGAACTACGGGTTTGGAAGGTCTGACAAAAGGAGCATCACATATGAAGTAACCCTTCCTCTCCAGCTGCAGTATTTCACCATGCTTCACATTACGTATGTTTGAATCACCAAGAGCAGCAATCTCCTTCTTTGTACACGGGTTGAGAACATCCATGAAGCTCTCATCTTCTTCCAGCTGCACATACAACAACAGTTTCAAAGCAACAACTCTTACTTACTGTCACGAAGTACAGAAGCCAGATACCTGATTATGAATCTTCTTCGGATAAGGTTAGTAAGGAATTACCTTCTTCTTAGTGATCAGATGGTCATACTCGACCATCGACACCTTAACCAATTCATTTATCTTAGGCAGCCAGGTTAGCTTCAACTTCGTGGTCTTTACAGAGCCTTCCAAATGTAGAACACCAAACAACTCTTTGACCGTTCCATCTTCATTCTTCACAATTTCCTGCACAATCGCATTCCCCCAGTCCATCAAGGTAACCTCTTCATTTACTGAGATAGACTGAGCATCAGCTTGGTCAATCAATATGCTCTTTGTGTATGTTGTGGCCTTTTCTCCAGCACCCTCATATTTCTTGTGTCTAGGTATGATGCGAACAAATGCTGCATCAGGACCATCACGCAGTGTCAGCAACACACACTTTTCTTCAATAACAGCAGTGTGCCTTGGACACACTGGATCAACTATCTTCTTGTTGATCGTCCAAAGTTTGTCCCACTCCATGAGATTAAGGTTTTTGGAAGCCCCCTAGAAATCAACGTGACCAAACAGATCAAAATATATATCTCACAGACTAGAAAATGAAGCTACATAATTTTTTTTTTTTTTTTTTTTTGGATGGATGAAAAATCAAGCTACATGGTTGAGAGCAGACAAAATAAGAAAAGAAAAGAGCAGTAACAAACTATGCACAGTTGCAAGTTAGTTAGTTAGTTAGTTTACCTGTTCGAGAATAAATTGCACTAATGCCTCAATTTTGAGTCCCCTGCGAACAATACCTTGAACAGTTGGGAACCTTGGATCATCCCAGCCATCAACTTTTCCATTCTCCACAAACCAACGAAGATTACGTTTGCTCAACAATGTATATACCATGTTCAACCGGCTAAACTCAAAAATGTGAACCTTCCTGAGCCCCATATCCTGTTGAATCCTGTGGTACTGAGCATTCCGATCATGGTACTCGCTTGATCGGAGCGCGTGAGTTATACCTTCTTCGGCGTCAACAAATGGGCACGCAAAATCATATGTTGGATACAACTTATATATGTCCCCAACTCTATGGTGAGGAACAGGATTGCAACGATAGTAAACTGGATCACGCAGAGATTTGTTCGGATCTTGCATGTCCAATTTCCCACGGAGGCAGCACTGTTTCCCACGTTCGGATGCGTCAATCATTTCCTTCCACAGTTTCATATTCTCTTCCACACTGTGGCTCCGGCATTTCGATTCGATGCCTTCCCCCCTTTCCTTTTGCATTTGTTCTCTTGGTGTGTCATCAACATAAGCTTTCCCTTCTCTGATCAACTTCTCAGCCATCTCCATCAACTTGGGAAAGTGGTCTGAAGTATGTGTGACATCCTCATATTTGATACCAAGAGTCTCTATATCTTTCAAGAGATTGTCCACAAATTCACTGCTTTCTTTGGAAGGATTAGTATCATCAAACCTGATGATTAGCTGACCTCTGTACCTCTGGGCAAAATACTGGTTCAAGAGAGCAGCTTTAGAGTGCCCAATGTGAAGAAAGCCACTGGGTTCTGGAGCAAACCGCAATTTCACCTTTCCAATTTCAGCCTCCGGAAGGTCTACTTCAGCTGAAGGCCTGTTGCTGCTTCCTTTCCCCTTCTCGATGATGTCTCCCCCATTAACAGCAGCCTGTTGATCCTTTGGTTTTACAGCCACAGGCTTTCCTGAGCCTTTTTTCCCTACATATGTTGATGTAACCTCATCCAGAACTCCATACTCTGCAGAGATTGAGTTGAACCAACGAACTAGATTTTGATACTTCTTCGACTTCCTTAAACTTTCCCACCTTGGCCCAGTAGCTGCGGTAATACATGTTGTGATTGTCAACAATACTACCACAAGGTACCACATAGAAACACCTAAGCAGCACAATGATGCTAATCTGGACATAAACAGGAAATCCACCTCCCATTACACACCATCCACTCATCTAAACCAAACCTGACATTTAGTTCTCGCATCAATTAACTAGGCTTGTTTTCCCAACTCATCTGGTCATATGATATTATAAACTTAAAAGACCACCATTTCGAGCAAAAAAAATCACTTCTTTTACAGGGAGATCATAATCGATCACTAGAAATAGTTCTTATTTTCTACTTTAAAGACCTGCACTAATGCGCAATCGAGAACATGAGCACAGAACTAGAGTAGAACGTATCGGAAGTTACCTGCAAGGCCTGACCAGACTACTATGTCAGCGATAGTAAAAAAATGTCCTACCAACACGGTTCTCTTAGAGATATAGGAGTCCACAAACTTGCATGCACTCTCGAACTCAGATCCTGAAGAAAGTACAGGCACGTATTCCAGCCACTCATCAACCTGGTGGGAAGCAAACAGCTGAGCGATTCAGCAAAACCAGAAACAATGGGGCAATCATAGCAAAATTCGTTCTTCCGGGAGAAGGAAAATCACCTGGCTGGATTCATAAGGATTTTGGCCGTAGAAATTCGGCATGCTGCTGGCTGCTCGGCCGATATACCGAAGGAGTACACTAGTCCCATGTAATTCCAGCCTAAAAACGAGCGAAGCAGCCCGATGAAAAGTGTAAAAGTGAGCTCGTGATGCCGTAGGGAAAAACAAACAGAAGACAGAAAGGGAGCAGTACCCATTAGAGAAGACGAAAGTTGGAGTAGAAGACGGTTTACGAGACTCCAACGGGAGACTGAAACCGGAAACCCTAGCGGCCGCAATCACTGCCAAGGGGACAGAATCCGCAGCAAAAGAAAATTCTTTGATCTCCATTGGCGGCTTCTCTACAGCAGCGAAAAATGGAGCGGGGAGGAAGACGGTAGGGAAACAATGGGAAATCCAGAGCAAGCAGACAGGGGAAAGAAAAAGAGATGCACAGTGCAAAGAAGGGCGGCGGCGCGTTCTGGCTTTCTCTTCCAGGCTCCAGCCGCCAGAGACCACAAGTCCACAATCACCGGTTTGACAATTTGACCTGTGGTACAATCAATTTTTATGTCAGTTATATACCGATTTTAACAAAATATGCAGGAAAATTGGAAATCATAGACAACATATATAGGTCCTAGAGGAGATTTTTATATACTTGAGCTGCAACTCCGTTGTAGCCTCGACCAAGCAATTAGCAAACTCAGCAACCTGGAAAAACAATGAAAGTTCAGTCAATAACACATTGGCGTTACATACTATACTGCTCCTAGTTACGTATAAACTATGGCCTCATGATCTGACAGCTGCAGCCTGCACGTATCATCGACCAGGCAGACTAAACAATATGGACGCACAAATATAAGTTCCACCATCAATGTAAGCATAAGCGGCTAAGCCCATAGCATTATGGAGCACATTTTTAATACGATTCTGACATTTCCAATGAATGAACAGGAACAAACTCTACCCTAATCTTCATCACGACCTAGGATGTTGTACCAGTCTTATTTCAAATTTTAACCAGTTCATCATAAGAAAGCGCAAGGATATAGTGTGAGCATTCCAATTACTTCATTGAACAGCATGGTGGCCCCTGATGTCAAGATTCAAACTTTCTTGTTTTGATGCATAGCCAAGTCTGATATAAAAGTCAAATTGCAGCATTCGAACTCACAGAGTTTGTACATAGCCAGTTTATTACTTTACATAAGCAAGGAATTGCTTGAGAAGGGTACAATCTTACTATCTTTCCCAGTTGCAAGCAAGATTGAAGAAGAAGAAGAAGAAGAAACGCAATGAGGAGAACTCAAGGTCGCGCGTCAGCTCAATGTCTTCTCGGTCGCCGGCTGGAGGAGAAGCTCGTGTGGTGGAGCTTCTTGTTCGGTCGTGCACGGAGGAGGACTTGCCGCCGACTTCTCGACCGCCGCCCAGAAGAGGAAGAGGGTTTTGCTCGATGGGGAGGGGAGAACTGAGAAGAAGTCGTTCGATGGGGTTAGGGTTACAGAAGCGAAATCGACGGCGTTTGGTGTGGCTGACAAAAAGAGGAAAATAAGGAATGTTTGGTCGCTGAGGGGATTCGAAATCAGGGCTCATTAAATGAAAATAGAGCGCGGGAGAGGTGGGCGTTCGGTCGGTTCGATTTGAACCGAACCGAACTAGAGTATTATCGGTATTCCGAACAATGAAATGCGCCAACCGAAATCGAACCGAATTATATTTTGGTTCGGTTTTGCCGAATCTAAATACAACTCGGTTCGGTTCATTTTTGGTCAGAACCGAGAAAACTACTACTGCCTCCTTTAATGGTTTTGTAGCTGCTACCTGCTAGACTTTTTCCCTCTTAGCTGTTGTACATTTTTTATGCTACAATTTAAATTGATAAGGTAAATAACTAAATTGATAAGGTACATTTTGGTGGTTGGATTTCGGAGTTGGAATCTTCTTGTCTATTGGGCGGTGCTGTTCTGCGGACGCGGCTACTGGAGGTCGGACAAGACTGGAGTATGGACAATGGTCGGTGGGATGTCATGGCGAGTGAGTGGTGGCGACCGGCGGAAGAGTATGTGAATGGGAGGCGGTGGCAATTCGCGGTGGAAGTGGGAGAGAGACAGATCGGAGAAGATGGGAGACGCGCCGCGTCAGGTGGGACTCGACACTCACAGGTCAGGCCATCGCCGACGGGGAGCGACGAGTCGCGGTGGGAGAAATCGCCTATTGGGAGATCGAGTCAGGCTGATGGGCGACGCCGCGACGGTGGTCTTTCTCTCCTTTCGATTTCGGCTGGCGGCTGCTACTGGACAGTACTGTTAGGCTAGGGTTTTTTGTGCGAACTACGAAGAGAAAGAGATACGACTATGAGTGCGAGGCCGAGAGATGATTTGGGAATTGGGTCGGGTTTCGGTTGTGACTTGTGAGGGAGTGGATGTGTGCGAAAATGGAGTTGGATTGGGCCTAGGGCCACATTTCGGAATGGGCTCAGAGAGAGGGGATGGACTCAGGCCTCAGAGTTAGTGGGCTGGGTTGGAAATTCGGAATTCGGTCGGCAAATCGGAAGTTCGGTTCGGTTCAAACGATGATGATTTCCGAAATATACGATATCCCATTCTGAATCCCAAACCTAACAAGGTTTAATTCGGTTTTGGTCGGTTTTAGTTCAGTTCGGTAAAACCGCACCGCATGCCCACCCTTAGCGCGGAGGCCTTACCCTCCGAAATTCCACAAATATTGATTTTTTTTAATTACCACCAATATGGTGGCTTAAAAATAATTGACACATATATTGTGCTTTTTTTAGGTTTACAGCGACAAAGCCCGAGACTCAGGCGCTGGCGCTTTTTGTTGAGTTTTCAATAAAAGCCAGCGGCGGCGCCAGAGACTGGGCAGTTGGCGCTGTTTATATGGTCTCAGCGCCGGCGCCCGAGACTGAGGCGTGGCCGCTGCCTCCCTCTTCCACCCCAGCACCATATATACTTCTCCACCTTTCCTTCGGTTCTTCACCACTAAAAAAATCAACGAAGTTACGAGAGAAGCTCTGATGTTGCTGTCTGTTTGCTGGGAAGATGGCTAATAATAGGTAAGAGACGTATTTATTTTTTAATGTGTTCTTCAAATGCTATAATGATTTTGTTCAGGTAGTAATTAGCGAGTTTGTTTTTTATGTAGTGGTTTTAGAAGATTTGAACTAGCTGTTCGGTGGAAATCAGAGAAAGTAGAGGACAATTTGGGCGTCCATTTCATTGGTGGTAGAAGTTTTCAGTTGACTGTTCCATCTAGGGTGAACTATCAGAAACTTTGTGATAATCTAATTCGGAGAATACGGCGTAAAGACGAAGCAGTACAAAATAGTGTTGTGATTACAGGTTTCACTTACTGTCTTCCAGAATGGCAGAATGGTATTTTATTCCATTATGCGGTGCCTATTGTGGATGATGATAGCTTGAATGTGCTTTGAAATTTTATGGCACAAAACCCTTATTGTTTGGGTGTTGAGATACATGTTGAGCTTAGTGAGGATCGGGGTGGAGAGGAAGAAGATGACACATGCAGTGTGCCATCCGATCATGACTATGATGACGGTGATGATGATGATGATGATGATGATGATGATGATGATGATGATGATGATGAGGATGAGGAGGAGGAGGAGGAGAGCAGCCTAATTATCCTCCGTATTTTTACTTGCAGGGTAATGAAGAGGACGATGAATTATGTGTTGCTGATTCATATGGCGTAATTCCAATGCCTATTGTTGTTGGTTTTGATGGAGAATTCTACAAGGGGAAGATATTTCACTCCAAACAAGCTGCACATGTGGCGATTAAACACTACACACTACAACGCAACTTTCAGTATAACGTGGTGGAGTCGTCACCTTCAATCTGGAAGATCAGATGTTTGAAGCACAAGGATGACAATTGTCCTTGGATGGTGCCGCTACCAAGATCATTAGGAGCCCTTCCTAACCGCCAAAGACACATATCCCTCCAGTCCTGGTGTGGTATGTCTACTACGACGACATCATCGTTGATCGCTAGACTGGTCAGTGTAGCAACGTCCTCTAAAGTGATCATCACCTCACCGAAAGACATGTGAAAGGTCGATGTCTCGGGTCGCCAGCGCTCTACGAGCGCAGTAATCAAACCCGGATCACCGGTAAAAGGGGCCAATGGCAGAACTGTAAACAAGCCTGCATCGACGAGATACGGCTCGTAAAGTGGATAGTATGACTAAATTGCTCGTACCTCGAATGTGGTAAGGTCGATCACTAACCTATAGTGCACAAAACTTATATTAATTCAATTTCATGCGTACTTCACATAATAATTTATGATTAGAGAATTGAAGCATTATAGATGAGTGTACTAAGTATTGAGAATTTTTAATAGATTCATATTGCATACTCACTTATGAAGTGAGAGTATAAAAAATCTAGAGGACTCAAGATAAATTAATTGATCTTTAAATGATAAAATGAAACTCTCCTACCAACGGGCATGGTAAAAAACTAGTCCTACGGTATGGCACAACCAGTTATACGGTATGTCATTTTCTCATAAATAATAGAAATCTTATTAAATTATTCCTTTATTATTAACCAAATTTCAATATTGTTAACTAAAATATTTAATATGTCATTAATTTGCATTATGAAAAGTTTCTGAGAGGTTAGTTGACTTCAGCATAACAGTTTAATCATATGTTACTTTCTAAATTTGATTTTATTATTAGACCACACATTATAAAATATTTATTTAATAACTTTTTTTTTCTTCGTTGAATTAGTTGCTTTTATTTCTGTAAGAAACCAATGCAACGAAAGCGGGATAATCATCCCAATGTCACCAACAGGCTAAACACATCACACCCTATCTGTGTTCTTTACTAAGACAAAGGGAACAAACTGCAAAACACTATAAGTAACCCAGCCCAACTAAGGCATCTTGGATCCCTCTATTCCCATATGTGAGGAGCGTCAATTCCTGCTTGATAAGGTCTGCTACTTGCCCCGGGGTGCGACGTGGAGCGCCATGGACTACACCGCACCTTTCCTTCCAAATGAACGTCACCAAGATGCACCAAATGAGAGGTGTGACATTCCCCTGTTCTTGCTTATCCTGCAGAGGTCAGAGAATATATCATAGCATCCCAATCATGATGCATCATCAGGTTACACCTAATGACAGCAGCAAAATCTCTTGCAAACGAGCACTGAGTAAAGGGATGATCCCTGCTCTCCACCTCCTTGCCATAGAGCTGATAATCTGCTTTCCTGATCTTTCCCCATTTTAGTAGTTTATCCCTTGTAACAATTGTATTCTTCATTATTAACCAGACAATCATGCTGTAACGAGGTGGACAATTAATATTCCAGACCAACTTGTACCACATAACTCTAGGAGCCCTGCTCCTAAAAGTTTCCCAGACTCTATGAATTGAGTAAGTATCCATCTCTTTGGAATCCCAATAGACTGTATCATTATGCTTATGCATCCAGGGGGAAATCACAGTCCTAAGCTTGAGAAGCCTTCTCCAAGCCCATGAGCTACTATATTGCACTCTTAATGACCACAGATCACATTGCCAACACTTGTATTCTTTCATCCAGGCCACCCATAAAGCCCCTAAATTCATCAAGAACAACCAGAGATTCTAATAGTGCATGCCTAATTACAAGCAACCAAATCTTTAACCCCCAGTCCCCCTTCCTGTTTAGGAAAGGCTACCTGCTCCCATGCCACTTTTGCCTTTCCTTCATCAATTCCGTGCCATAGAAATTAAGAGCAAACCTTTTGTATTCTCTTAAGAGCTTGCTTTGGTAGAATGAACATCTGCATCCAAAATTAAACCACCCCCAAGAGCACAGAGTTAAGCAGTTGCAACCTTCCTGCATATGATAGCTTCTTGGCCTGCCAAGACTTGATCCTTTTAGTAATTTTATCAACCAGACTATCAATTTCCACTGAAGATAACTTGCCTGACAGCAAAGGTAATCCCAGATACCGGACTGGCAGTTTCCCCTCCTTAAACCTAGTAAGAGACAGAGCATTGGTTTTGTAGAGAATTGAATCTCCACCAAAATAGATTTCACACTTGGCAGGATTGCTGTTAAGCCCTGAGATCTGATGGAAACGCTGCAGAATCACTTTGACCTGCATTATTGCCTGAGCAGACCCCTTAGTGAATATTAGCAGATCGTCTGCAAAGCATAAGTGATTCAGTGCTACTCTCTTACACAATGGATGAAATGGAAGAACCCCTGACTGGCCTGCCTCTGTTAACATTGTAGACAACCCCTCCATTGCAATGGTAAAAAGATATGGCGACAATGGATCACCCTGACGCACACCTTTCCTGGCTTTAAAAAACCCACAAAGGCTGCCATTCACATTGATACTATAGTGGGCAGTTTGCAAGCAACTTCTAATCCACTTCAAAAATGTTGCAGGGAAACCCATGGCACTCATCATGAAAAACAGGTACCTCCAGTTTACAGAGTCAAATGCCTTCATTATATCAACTTTAATTGCACATCGAGATGATAGATATCGCCTATTATACCCACTCACCAATTCCTGTGCCATCAGATTAACAACATTTTTAGCAGTTAAAAAAAAACTTTCTATAACAGTTATATAAAGTATAAATTCATTCATACATTTATAAACATTACACAAACTAAAATTTATTGCGGGATAGATGTGTTGTAAGCAAAGATATTAATGAGTCTTTCTTAATAATTAAAACATTACGTAAATATTATGAATATATAATCATTTTGTATGTATCAATTAAGAAAAAAATATAAGTTTTCCATTCACTACGTAATCCTTATATAGGGATAATAATTTATTATGTATCACTTAAACAAACCAGTGACATATGTTAATCGTAATGATTAAGACACTATGTAAAACTTATGTAGGTATCTTATCTGAATAATTTTATAATCTAATTCCAATTACATTATTATTTTCTTAACGCAGCAGAGCGCAGACAAAAAAATTACCGCGGCAGAGCGCAGGCAAAAAAACTAGTAATATCTAATTTGTGGTTTTTGTGCCAAAAAAAATTTCGTCGTAATGGGTTTGTCTTGATAAACTGTTAATGTCATGTTTATATTTAGGAATAGTCTGTATATTTATGGCAAAGTCATTTTGTCATAATCCGGCAATGCTAATTCTTTCGCCATATCTGAAAATTATGATGAATGACACGATTGTCATGAATATTGAGGGCACCACAAAATATTCAATAATATTGGTCATATTCCTTAATAATAATGTTGCAGAGTAACATGACATTCTCGTCTTCACATTGCCTCCATCTGTTCTACTTTGAGGACAACCCTACAACAAGTTCATCTTAAAAGGAAAGTTCTACAAACATCCAAAATGTTTGAAAGAGCATGACGCGTATGTTCCCTGTTATTCCTTTTGCAGCTAGCTTTCTTCAACTTCCTTCCGCTCGACCTAGAATAGGTTTTTAGAGTAGTTTTGTCAAGTTAGATACTTTATTATGACAAAATTAGAATGACAAAATTATTTTGTCAGAAAATTACAAAATTATTGTAGTGCCTTTTTTCTAATTTTAAAATGCTATTAAATTAAAATTGATTTTAAAATTCCATGTCATCGATCACATTAATATTGACTAGAGTTTCTGTCAAAAATTAACGGTCAATGTTGGTAAACTTAACGGAAAAATAGTCTAGAACATAAATCGAATATTGAATAGGTTGGGACATATGTGATATTTTTCTGATAGTTCGGGTTTTCTAGTGATATTTTCCCTTAAATAAAATATAATATTCCAAACAAAATAAAAAATCTTCATATTTAAATACAATATATTTAAGAGTAAATTGTAAGTTTAGTCACTGGGTTTACTAAACTAATCCATGCCACTAAAAATATTTTATTTCATCTTGGTCACTAAGATTAGTTCAAGCATGGTCTGACCGTTCAACTCTATTAACTTTATCTCATGTGATAGTTACACTTCATAATTGATTGTTAAATGAGTGACGTTGTAATTAAAAATAGGGTTTATAGCATTTTATACCTTGTATTATAAACTAACAAATGTGTACCTCAACTAATTTTTTGCACAAACTTGCTCTTCTATTATCAAACGGACTATTAAAAAGAATGAAAAATGACCAAATTGCCCCTACTTAACTAATTATTTGCCTTCTTTTAGTATATAAAAAGATGCTATGTTAGTGATTTAGTTTTTATTCTTTTTATCCCTTCCCCATCATTGTCGACAATTAATCACCTCCATGCTCCAACTGGTACTTCTCATTTTGAGGAGACGAAGATGTAGCAGACTCTTCGCCGGCGGTCCTCTAACGCCATTATAAAGCTCTTCTCCCACCGATCGAACATAGATCAGAAGTAACAATGACCAATGACTTCTTCCGTCCTTGCCTCCCCTCCGACCGAGCCCAACTTCTCTCTCCGTTCGTTAATTGCTCTTCAGCCCACCGCTCATCTGTCGACCAATCCTCCACTCTGGCGACATCGTACACGAGAAACTCTTAGGGGACTTTCTTTGACCTCCATTCTCTTAGAGTTAGTCAATAGAGCTGTAATACTATATTGAGGAAAGCAGGAAAGTATAAGAATTAAGTTTTTGGAAGTTTGATTAATTAATTAATTATAATTTATATTAATTAATTAACGTTTGAATATTGTGAAAAGAAGTCTTCTTCCAGAAATGTAACTTCCCTTTTTATGTGAGAGGATGTGTCCTTTCGGGAAAGCTAACAACCTTTTTCTGTGAAATGATGTGCCTCTTCGAAAGGTAACTTCCAGTTTTCACAATTATAAATAGATGACTCTCATAACTCTTTTTAATGCGAGAGAATTCTTCTTCCTATTTTCCTTCTCTATTTCATAACCACAGAAGTCTGCAAGATCGCTGCTTCCAGACTTTGAATTGTACGGACTCATGGGGGTAGTTTGCTAGACCATATCAGCAATTTGTAATGGGGAAAATAACCCTCTAAGGAGAGCGATCGAATCACGCCTTCAATAGATTCTTTCCTACAAGTTTCCTGACACATTCTCCCCCTCTTCAATTTTTGTGTCTAACTATTAGAAACCCTAATCTGTTATTTGAACTTCTAGATTTTTTATAAATTTATAATCTATCAAAATGCCCAGCAAATTTTACATACCGAAAGCTTTCCATGGTTTGCTGTAAATTGTAGTTGATCTTTATTTTCTTTTTCAACCGAGAAGAGGGGGTTGACTATTGAGATCCCAAAAATTAGAACTTGTTGCTATCGATGCAGACGCGCAGTTGGCGTGAGAGGTGAAAGGGAGAAGTCTGGTATTGTCGATAATAAACAAGGGGCAATATAGTCAATTACCATAGTCTTTTACACTTAGTTAACCTAAATTTGTACAGAAGTGCATGTTTGTTACATGTGAAACCTTACTGACTATCGCATCTCTTCCAACTCTGATCCATCGACTGAAGGAGAAACCGAGTTCTCCTTCCACTCTCCCTCCCGGCAGCTTCACCAGAAAACCAAGCAGTGCTGGTTACAAATAGAGTTGCTCAGCTCATGTGGCCTCTTGCAGTCTTGCTAGAACTAATGCCGGCGGCAAAGGAGAGGTGAACTGGATTCGTTCCCAGGTAACAACCGCTCCTCCTCTGTGTCGTCCTTGTACGCCGAGAGAGCCACTATCTCTTCAGTTCCAAATCAACAGACACAATCGATTCTATCAACAGATCTCTATAACCTTCAATCGAAACACGAATTGAAACCTTCAAAGCAAACTTTGATTGTGGCCCTTGCTCTGACGACGATCGGAGATGTCGGCGGCTAGATCTAAGATTTATATGTTCTTTTCATCGTTTGAAGGTCACATCTGCCTGTCCAAGGTCCTCGTCGCCGCGGCATATGCTTCATGAAGCTCATCGCTTGCTAGAGGAATCTAGGTAGACGAATCGAGATATTTGTCGGTGTCTTGATTTTTCCTGTAGGGGTGGCTATATGGTCCGGTCCGGTTAAATGGGCTCGAATTGATTCGGTCCCGGTCCGGTCTTTTCGAGAACATAAGGACCAAAGATTGGATTGGATACAGTCCGGTCTTGAACCGGTCCGGTCTCAATTCGGTCTTGATTTTAGATTGACCTTGTGGGGTTTTGAGTGGCCTGAGGCCTGAAAGGGTGAGGAGTTGATTAAGTTTTGGGTGTTGGGCTCTCTTATTCGGTCTTTATCCTGGTTTTGGTCCGGTCCCAAATGATTTCTTACCTTAACCCTAAGCCCGAAGATGAGATTGGATTGTTTACTATTCGGTCCCGGTCCAGTTATACGGTCCGATTTGGGGTAAAACCAAAAAGTCTAGACCAAATAGCCACCCCTACTCTCGAGTATTTCATGGCGGGAGATGAATAGGGCATTGGATTTGAGACAAATCTCTCCTCCGATTTCTGGGCAGTCGATTGTGTTTTCCTTTTCTATAACATTGCTCGAAGGCAAGGCAACGATGTTGGGTTGCTGTTCATTCTCTGGAGATTCTTGAGACGTCGGAGCCTTGTGAGGAGCTTATGTCGCCAAGGTCGTCGAAGATTAGCGAGGAGGCTGAACGCTCAAGGCTCACGAGTACGCGGCTGTTGTTTGTCTGTATTATTTAGTGTTGTGTTTTTTCTGGGAGAAATAAGAGACCGAAGGAGTGAGGAGGAAGAAGATGGGCAAATATATTTTTGCATAATTGGGGTTCAAATTCCACATGTCTAAATAAACAAGTTAATTAGCCCAAATAACTCATGTAAAATTTCCGAGTTTCTTAGTGAAGAATTTGAGTACAAATTCCTCATAAATTACTCAAACTGAAATTCTTGATTTGAACGACCCTATAAGGGATTTCAGTAACTACCCTATTCCAAATCAACATTGAAGCCATGCCCGTAATTGAGACATCTATTTTACCATTCTCTTGTTACATTAATTTTAATTGTTACATTATAGTTACTCTTAAATGATTTTTTAATTGTTACAAGTCCATGGCGGTTACATCTCTTTTACCATTCCCTTGGCAATTGGGACATGATCAAGATTTTGGAAAGAAGATTCTTTTATTGATAAGAAGAAGAAGAATTTTCTTTGCAAAGAAGAGGAGAGAAAAAATGGAAGTGGTGTAGTAAAAGTGATTAAGTGAAGAATGTGGTGTATTTGTAGAGAAAAATGATAAAATGGTTACTAGAAGCTGAAAGAGCCGTTGCGAAGAACTTGGAGGACTGGATCTTTCTTTTTCAACGGTAAATATGTGGGGACAGCCGCAAGCGAGGGCAGTGTGCAACATGCACGACAGGGCTTGGGGTAGGATACTATGCTAACCCTTAAAGGGGTAGTGATTTTTGACACCCCCTTTATGATTGGCCAATTTTATTTCCAATCATTGGCAAGTATTAATTAAACTGGTTTTTTATTTTTTTTAATCTTATAATTTGGGGTCTCTCACCACATTGGAAAAGAGAAAGAATCTGGGGAAAAACGAAATCACCCCCATTAATTACATAATTAATTTCTCTAACTGGTACATTAATTACACGTACCACTCTACTGGTACACGTACCACTCCACTGGTACACGTACCACTCCACTGGTACACGTACCACTCCACTGGTACACGTACCACTCCACTGGTGCGAGCAATCCACAAGGTAGGTTAGAGTGAGAACAATACCAGTGCAATGATATTTTTCATAACAATGATAAACAATAACGGAGCAACAATGCAGTACCACTTCAATGATACAAATACCACTCCACTGGTACACGTACCACTCCACTGGTACACGTACCACTCCACTGGTACACGTACCACTGGTACACGTACCAGTGGAGTGGTACGTGTACCAGTAGAGTGGTACGTGTAATTAATGTACCAGTGAGAGAAATTAATTATGTAATTAATGGGGGTGATTTCGTTTTTCCCCAGATTCTTTCTCTTTTCCAATGTGGTGAGAGACCCCAAATTACAAGATTAAAAAAAATAAAAAACCAGTTTAATTAATACTTGCCAATGATTGGAAATAAAATTGGCCAATCATAAAGGGGGTGTCAAAAATCACTACCCCTTTAGGGGTAGTCAAGCTAACCGATCCCACAGGGCTTGGTTCCACCCAAATGTGTGGCACGCCTTCCCCCTTCCTGACGTGTCGCAATTTATGATGAATGGGGGTGAGCAGTCTAGCCTTTTATTTTTATTTTCAAAATCGATAGGAAGTTATAAGATTAAAACGAACGACAGTCATTACTAATCGATTTGTCAATGAAAAAGTCGTTTATACCACACAATGGGCAACCCTTATTTGTCATGCTAGATTTGGCACTCAAAAGCCTATTTTTTTGGTTTTAACCTTTTAAGCATTTGATGATTGCTAGATATGTTTGGATTTTTTGGGACTACATTGGAGATGGTCTAATGGTGGATGAGGTAGAAATAAAATGATTGACTTTTGTTTTTTTAGGTGACAGGTCACTTCAGTTGATGGTATAGGGGATAGTTGACTGTCCTATAGAAATTTTTAAAGGAATTGGATGGAGAGTAATAAGTGGTGTGGATCAATCTATAAATGAGTCAATTTGATAAATTGTCTCGTTTTATAAACGAGACAATTAAAATGAGTCAATTCGAATTATATACCCCCACCCCAGGTAATTGAAATTGACTCAAAATGGATCAATTCAAAATACCTCGAACAAATTGACCCATCCAAATTTTTTGCTGGCAAACGAGGCAATTTGGTACAATTGTCTCAAAATGAGACAATTGTGTCAAATTGATCCGTTACAATTCCTCATCCAAACGACCCCTAAATTTATTCATTAAGCTAAAAATATTTGTTAGTGGAAAATGTGAAATATATTTGTAAACTTGTAATTGACCCGTTATAAAATTGAGAATATGAATTACCTTATAATTTATTTTCTTTAAAAAACCAGAGCCACTTTACATGGAATTCTGACCAAGTCACTGATAGTGGGATCATGTTGAATGTTTGGCAGGTGATCATTGTTTGTTGTCATGGTTAGAGAAAGCGATTGATTGTATGTCTAAGATCATTTTTTTTTTGTTAACCTCCAAAAATTTGATGGAACCAACCTATAACGAGTGGCTTGTTTCCTAGAATGAAAAAGGTAAAATTAAAAGGTCATAAGTTTGCATTTAAGTTTTAACTCTATAATTTAAAATTCTTATGGGTTTATCTATTTTGATATAATTTTTTCCTTTTTACTAAAATACATATGTTTAACAAGCACACCCTCCTCCCTGTTGATCGGCTTGGGATGAATTCACGGTAGGTTTGAGGTTCACATCAACCATGTCTTCCTGTTTCGTCGAAGAAAGAGTTTCCATTCCTGGTAGTGCAGCAGCAATTTTGCGAAAAAGTGGCTGCAAAGTTATTCGCATACAGAAAAGAAGTCGTCATAATATGAAGAATTCAAAGCCACCAAAACTAACAATCTGTGTAGAACTAGAAGAATTATGAAAATGAGTTCTGATATAAAGTTGGGTTAGACATGAGAGGCAGGTCATGCTGAAAATATCACATTTAAGAATCGAGTTGAGTTTCAAAGTAATATTTGACACACATATCTAAGATGAGATTTTATTAATTCAACACAAAACTAAAATTAGATTTTTAGCATCATTCCATTTCACATTGATTTCAAATACTTCTACCGTATACTTCTTTTAATGATAAGCAAAAGATAGCATACACACACACACGAGTGAAACAAGAGTGTGATTCCTTACTTTAATATTGAAACCCGCTTTGGCACTAGTTTCGATAAACATAACTCCAAAATCTTTAGCCTTGCCATCTCCTTCCTCTATGGACACTTGCCTGGTTGGTGAATTTTAATCACAGAAAGAAAAATTGTTAACGAGATAAAAATTTGATGTGATGTTCAGCTTGTTTATTATTTCAACACTTCTACCTTTTTTCAACAAGATCGGTTTTGTTGCCGACAAGCACTATTATGACATCGCTTCCTCGTTCTGTTCGTACCTCTTCAATCCACTTAGAAGTATTTAAGAATGATTGTCTATCTGAAACATTACATCAAGAAAGGCATTTACCATAACCACGAACACTAAATTTTTATCTACCACTTTTATGTCCCTAGCTAATTTCCGTAGTAGGAATGAAGTTAACATGTCTTTTAGAAGGATGCTTTTATACAAAGGAACATTTAGACCTTTTTCCACCCCTAAATCAATTGAACAATATTTATACTTTGATTGGTAAGAGTATTTGATGAACATGGTTGATTTTTACTTCTCAAGTTAGAGAACATAAGTAGTAAGGGATATGATTACTGCAGGTTGGATAATACTCGCCCCAAACAGATCGAAACACGCCAGGACTCCCAAATCAATTCAGAAATTGCCATCACTACTTACTTTACGGTTCATAGTTGATAGTTGTTGGACTATTTCACTTCTGTGAGCAATGATCCAGTATGATCATGCATTTCAATATGGGAATGTGCAATAAAGGTTAAGTTAACTCACTGGCTACATCATATACTACGACAGCAACAGAAGAATCTCGAATATAGCTAGGAATAAGACTTCTAAATCTCTCTTGTCCAGCCGTATCCCTGTAACAAAACAAATCAACAATTTCAAATATTAACCATACGTAGAAAAACAAAAACATTGGAAGCTAAATAATTATTATTAGCCATAAACACATATTTGAGAATCAACTCGACATGTTATTCCTGCAAATTTTGAAATTACACAACCAAAATTGTGAACATTTTATAGTACCATATATACAATCACCACTGCATCATTCATGCTTTGGGCATTTGTTGCTCATGGCATATTCAGATTAAGTAATATGTTCCAAGAATTCCCAAAGATAAGAGAAGTCTACAATCTAGCATCTGACTCGTTCCTCTTGCTCATGGCATAACTTACCACAATTGCAATCTAACAGTTCGATCTTCTAGATACATTGTCTTGGACAAAAAATCGATTCCAATTGTAGCCTGAGATACATGTAACAAATTAGTATTCAAACTAGCAGAACAAAATTTTGAAATAGAACTTCCTAAGGAAATAACATGTATGATGTATAGACTGATCAAGGGCATAATATATACAAACATATATAACTCAGAATATGAAGAAAGAACAATAAAAAGGGTATAATAAAGGTAAACCTGGTATGTGGTGTCGAATTTATCGTACATGAAGCGAGTGATGATACTAGTTTTTCCTACGGACTGATCTCCTAAGAAGACAAGTTTGTACTTGGCGAGAGGGGACACTGTTGCCATTATCAATACTTGTGATTGTTCAATTCGTCTTTCTTTTTTCAACCGAGAGAAAATTAAATATTTGTTTTTCTGTCTAAGAGTTGTGTGGTGGTGAAAAGGTTTGATCGAGTTTGTCTAAGATCTGAATCTTGAGGTGAAGAAGTAACTGAATTGGAAAAGAAAATTGACAGATTTCTCTCTTTCTCTCCGTCTCCTTCGATGGAAAGGGAGACGTGATGAAATAGGGGAAAGAAAAATGAAAAAGAAGAGAAATGAGAAGAAGAGAGGAAAACTTTGAAAATTTAATAATTTACGAGTTTGTATGGTATATATAGAGGTGAGAGAAAATCGCCAACTCTCATAACATATTTCTCTCTTTGATTCTTTTTATTATTATTTTTAAAACCTAAAAAGCAATCAAGAATCAAGATAAACATCTTGTTCCAAATAGTCAATAAGCATTCTAGATTGTGCTACATTTGAAAAACATGATTGAGATCCACCAAACTATGAATTAGTGTAGGATGCTATAAGTCTACAAGTTATTACGTGTCACTAAATGAGTAATCTTATTACCATCTCGTTGTATTGTAACAAAAACGTATAGAAGAGATTGAAAAAAGCCCTAAATTTCAACCCAGCAAACTGGGCCGGGGAAGGACCTCGACCTTATTCTCGATTAGGGCTTCCGTCGTGGGCAGGATACGATAGAAGATTTGCCAGAGGAACACCTTCAATTTAGGAGAAATATGGGCGTCCCACAAGCGGATCCAGCTTGCCCTGTCCATCCAATTAGCCATAGATCGCCAACACCCGATATGCTTATCTAGCAAGACTACAAGATGGTATGCGAATTTGACAGTGAAGATCCCGTCTCCTAGGTCATGCCATATCAATCTATCCGCCACATCCTGAAATGGAAGAAGGATGGTTTTGATGGCACGACAAGTAGTCGGGTCAAAGCATTATCCGAGTTTGACATCACACCAACGTCCTTCACTAGGACAAAGCACCTCCCTCACCGTCAGCTCACCACCTGTTGGTAACACCTGAAGATTATATACGGGGATATCAGGGTGTAACTGAGGGATCCAACTAGAGTCTAGCAGAGGCGTTGTCCGGCCATTACCAATCTACCAACACAGACCTTTCACTAGTAACTGCCCACCATAAAGGATACTCTGCCATCCACAGGATGGACGGGGTCGTGCGGTAGTAGAGAGGAAAGACCCTGTGGGGAAGTATTTTTCCCTTATACACCTGGGCTAGAAGCGATTGAGGTTCATTAGGATAGGCCATCCAATCTTGGCCAAGAGCGCCTAATTAAAATACTCAAACCGGCGAAATTCCATTCCCCGATCGTGTTTACTCCTGCACATATTTGGCTAGGATACCCAGCGTACCATGGGATGATCCTCCTCAACTCCCCACCAAAATTGGGCCACATGATATCCATGAGCCGACATAGGGCTAGGAGTGGCTTGAAGCAAGACATAACATGTAAAGGAAAAGCTAAAGCCACGGATTTAATCAGCGCTTCCTTTGCTTCCCATGACAATGTCCTTTGTTTCCACCCCTGGAGCCGCTCTAGCAGATTTTCCTCCAGGAACCAAAGGTAGCCATTTTAGATTGGGATATTAGTGTGGGCTGTTCCAGATATATATCATGGAATCCCACAGCCCCAACCCCCAAGAAATGAGCAAGAAACTCCTGGTCCGGCAGATATATTTTCTTACTAAAGCACACCATTGATTTAGCTAGGTTAACCCGTTGTTCACTCAATTCCTCATACTCATTTAATACCTCAAGCAGTTTCTCACATTCCTGAACCGAGCCCCGGAGAAACAAGTAGGAATCATCAACAAAAAAACAGGTGCAAAATTCATGGAGCTCTGGGGAAAACTTTAATCCTTCTAATTTCCCCTCAGAATTAGCCTTACACATGAGCGCTGCCAACCCTTCCGTGCATATAACAAACAGGAGAGGGGACAGCGGGTCTCCCTGTCGAATACCTCTTGAGGAAGTGAAATATCCAGAGGGCGACCCATTCATAAGGACTGGAAACAATGTGGAGCGGAGGCATTCATGAATCCAACTCTCCAAACTGAATTAAAGCCCAATTTGTCCAAAACTGCAAGGAGAAACGACCATTCGACTCTATCATAGGCTTTTTCCATGTCAACCTTCAAATCCATATACCCTTTCTTGCCTCTAGTTTTGATTTTCAAATAGTGCATCAGTTCATGCCCTAATATTACATTTCCCACAATTTGGCATTCACGGATGAAAACATTTTGGCCCTCCGAGATGTTTTGGGGTAAGAAATAGGCAAGACGTTCAGACATGATTTTGGTAATAATCTTATACACGAATTGGTATAAGCTTATAGGTCTGAGAGTCTTGTAATTGTTATGGCAATTTTGAGTCTGGGCCCCTTATATGACTTATATAAAAGGTGTTTTATGACAAAAGAAGGACCTTGTAATACTAATATCCCAATTTGATTGAAATCAGAAACACCAACAAGTATCATCGGAGTTCCATTACACAACCCTCCAACAATCAATTCAAAAGAACAATGAGAAGGAAATGGCTTTACATTGAGACTAAGGAGATGAACGACACATTTTTAACCTTTTTTATGGAGAAATGTTGCAACCCCTTGCTAGCCATGGACTTGCAACTCCCCACCTCTTATGATCAGTTGAGAACAATTTGTTGCCCATTCACGAAGAACGCCATTGTAACTTGACGAAGTCGAACTGAACATGACTAATGGTTGTAACACGGGTTGGGTCCGGTATCTACGGGTTTCATAAGTGAGAACCCTCACCCAACCCAAGAGAGGAAGGTTTCACAAGAGAGAACCCTCAACCAACCATAAATCTTAATTTTAGTGATAAATTGGGGTGAGTTGGGTCGGATTGGACGAGTGGGTTGGTTACAGTTATTTTTCGTTCACCCTGAGAGAAAAGTCTAACAAACGCTAATCAAAGTTCGCTATGAATAGAGTCCATCAAAGTCTCTATTGAACCCGAGAGAAAAGTCTAACAAACACTAATCAAAGTTCACTTTGAATAGAGTCAATCAAATTCTCTATTGAACCCGAGATAAAAGTCCTACAAACACTAAACAAAGTTCACTTTGAATAGAGTAAATTAAACTCTCTATTGAAGGGTTCATAAGAGGTTCTCATTTGGGACAAGGAGACTAAACAAATGGTCTTTAGTTTGTCTAAAACTAAGCAGGGGCAAGGAGAAGAGACGAGATGGTGATATCTCAAAGTTTTTCCTTGGTAATCTTTATTTGGATGGATTGGAGGATGAGAAATGACTAATAAGACTGCCACTTTTTGGTTTTCTGAAACTAACAAGAGATTGAGTGAGAGTCGAGAGTGACCTGCAAAATTTGGAAGCTAAGCTTAGATTGGATAAGGGCTTTTGAGTTGTTGAAGAGTGAGTAATGACGATACTTTGTGGGCTTATTTAATTAACTATAATTTTTATTTATTTATTTTGGTATATACTGATCTCAATTACATAATTATGAATATCGATTAACACCTCACAATCAATCAAAATCTAAAAAAGAAAGAAATTTGTTTGATTCAAGTATGAACATTTATATGTTGATGGTATCTACTGAATTCAAGTATAAACGTTTGGATACTGACGTTAAATGTTACATTTAATTAATGATGATTTGTCATTTTGTTTGTAATATAATATTTAAATATGGATGGAAGTTATATATAGATTGTTTTAAATTGATTATAAAAATATACAACTTATTTAGTGTTAATTGTATTTTCTCATATATTTTAGTAAAAGGTTATAGAAAAACGGTTTCAACATCAAAAACAACAAAAACTAAAGCAAACATATAATAACGGATTCGAAATTTTACCCAAGCATCGCCCATCGGCTCTATACCCGAGGTATAATATGCCCCTCTACTATGACATTTTATCAAACATGCCATTCTACTATTTCTTACATCAAACATGCCCCTGTACTTTGTAAAAATGATCAAACATGGCCTTTTGTTAAAATTTTCATCCAAAAACCGTTAACCTAGGCCGAACTTTAGTTTGGGCAACACAAATGACTAAAATATCCCTAATAAATTCACTTTAGATTTTTTTTTTGGTTCTTTTGTGTAATTAAATCATTCAAATAATTTCACTTTGAAAAGACACATGGAAATAAAACAAGAGACAAAACTGACATTTTCCCTCCCATTTGCCGATGTCGGGTCGTCTAAATCCCAATTCAACCATGATTAACGATTTTTTCAATGGAAATTTTAACAGAAGAGCATGTTTGAAATTTTTTTCAAAGTACAGGGGCATATTTGATGTAAACAATAGTAGAGGGGCATGTTTGATAAAACGTCATAGTAGAGAGGCATATTATACCTATAACCCTTTAGTAAAACAACACAAAACACCATCTCATGATTCGGGTTTGCCATATGTCATCTTCTCTGACTGCCTTGTCATCATCAATATTCTACTAGGTCGGAGCAGGTCCTGGCCTTGGCAAGTGAATGCTTGGATCCATTGTATGTGTTAGTCGATATATGTGTTTGGTCTGTACATGTGCACAATATATTTGTTGTGTACACAATATATAGTTTGTACGTGGTGTTGGGCAGTGGGAGTTTTGTGCTTTGTTGGGTTTTGTATAACCCATATTTGTGTGTTGAATTGTGTGGTGATTGAGCCACTAATACTTAGGTCCATGCAGCCTATGCAAGGAGTCAGTTACAAGAGAGAGAGAGTTGGACTCCTTAGGGCTCGGCTGAATATGGGTTAGTTTGTGGTGGATATAAGGAGATGAGTGCAGTCAAGCGTTTGGAACATAACAGAAAATATCATCAGTATCTTGAAGAGTTCTGAAACTCTTCCGTGGATTAGTCATGGAATACCAGGGATACCATGTAAATCGGTTGTCTCTGTCATTTCTTTCCTTCGCTTAGTCTGTGATTTATCTACATGGTATAAGAGCCTCCATCAATGGAATCGAAAAAGCCTATTGTTCATCTTACCTCCACCAACTATGCTCTGTGGGAGTTTCAGTTCCGAGTCTTCGTGGAAGGACGTGGCCTTCTTAGCGTGCTTGATGGTACTGGCGTTAAGCCTACACCGACGGCTTCTCTTCATGAGCTATCAATCTGGAATCAGAATGATGTTAAGGTTAGGTTTTGGTTGCTCGGATCTGTAGATCCTTCTACTTACTTGAGTCTTCGATTATTTACTACGGCTAATCAGATGTGGAGGCATCTGGCCGCCACTTACTCTACGGTCAGTACTGCAAGGAAATTCGAAATACAGCTGGCCTTGGCACGTTTGGAGCAAGGTGATCGATCCGTTACAGAATATTTCAATCAAGCTCAGGAGTTTTGGACCGAGCAGGATTTGTTGGCTGCTGCGCTAAAGTCCGAACCCCCTTCTGAAGATGCGCTGGCCGAGAGACAAAACACACGTTTGCTCATTTTTTTAATGAGACTCCGCCCAGGATTTGAGTCCGTAAGGGCTACTTTGCTAAATAAGGAGGAGCTGTAATTTGATGGGATTCTCAGCCATCTTGTGCGGGAGGAAATAAGACTCCACACCCAAGCACGACTCGACGTCCGACCAGGTGAAGGGGAGGCAGTGATTGATACACCGGATCAGTCCACCTATGTTGTTAACAGGCCACAATTTCAGCAACGGCTGCCGACGTCCGAGGTCATCTGTCATCATTGTAGGGAGAAAGGGCATGTTGTCAGACATTGCCGCCGACGCAATTATTGCGTATATTTCAAAAGGTCAGGTCACATCATATTGGATTGTCGAACTCACCAAAGGAATGAGGCCCGTTTTGATGGTCAAGGAGTTTCCGCTAGTTCTTCCTCTGTTGTAGGCGAACAGAGCGATTGTCCTCCTCGCCCAGCATATGTTGTCATGTCATTGGAAGCAAGCAACAACTCTGGTATCTCGGCTGCAGCAGTCGAACAGCTTGTGAATCAAGCTCTTCAGAAATCACTCCCATCCGCCATTAGCGCTGCATTCGCCACGCTGCAGCCTCAAGTAAAGACTCTCCTTGGCTTCTAGACTCTGCATGCTTTAACCATATGACCCATGATTTAGATAAGCTTAAAAATATTACTTTGTTAAAGTATATGGCATTGCGAGTGGCAAATGGCGAACAATTGCAGGTTCAAGGCATTGGAACAGTAAAGGAAGCTTGGTTGATCTACCTAAACCTTTACATGTTCCCAAATTAGTACCTAATTTGGTTTCGATTGGTCAACTTACTGAGCAAGGGTGTTCTGTTTTGTTCGTACCTACTGGATGTTTTGTTCAAGATCTGAAGACGGGGAGGCAGATTGGAAGGGGGAGTAATCGGGGTCGAATTTTTCATTTGGAGGAACTTCAAGCCAATTCAGCATCATCAATGATCAGTAGTCACAGTAGGTTCGTCAGTAGTCCATGTCAAACTGTTTCATCTGGTACTTCTTTATCTTCAAGTTTTTCGAGTCAGTTAGAAAATAATTGGCGTCTTTGGCATTCATGTTTGGGACATCCCCATTCAGATCGTCTTATTATGATGTTTAGACAGTCTTTGCTTGGCAAAATGGATTTCGGAATTTCAGCAAAACATTTCTGCACAAGTTGTGTTGAGGGTAAAACTGCTAGTTCATCTTTTCCCTCTAGTTCAACTACTATTTATGAGCCTTTTCACGTTGTGCACACTGATCTTTGGGGTCCTTCCCCTATCATCTCTCGACATGGCTATCGTTACTTTTCTCTTTTCATGATGCCACATAGTTTACGTGGATATATTTTCTTCGTCTTAAATCAGATCTTAGGTCCGTGGCCATTGAATTTCTTGATATTCGGCTTTAATATATCGGATTCTTGGACTTTATGTGATTATCCGTGGTATGTTTTAGCCGATTGGTGCTAATTTAGGGCTCGCTAACCCGGAAATGGTTGAAAAACTATTACTGCCTAGTGCTATGAGTTTGATATGATACAGGTGGAGAAAGCACGAAAAAGGAGCGAGTGCACAAGCAATTAATCGAACTCGAATCACTGATGGTATACTCAAATGGGCCAAGAAGAATTTTTGGACCAGGAGCAGGGATGAGACAAAAGAAGATTGGGCCAGAATTATGGAGCTGGGCGCCGCCATGGAGAGAAGCAGAGGGAGGACGTTTCTTTTTGTCATTGTGGGGAGGCAATTTTTGAGTGGGCTGGGCCTGGAGCAATTAAATTGGACGGAAGGTTTCTTTTGGGGACGGAAGCTTTTGGAAAAAGAAACGAAATTGAAAGGAAAAAGGAATCTCAGGAGGGACACATATTTATTTTGGCTGGGGAATTAATTCTCGGGGGGAATTAGAGAAGAGCAGCGCGCAGCTTGGGACGGGAGCGGGTGAAATTCGGAGAGAGAGAAAAGCGGCGCAGCACAGCAACAGAGCAAAAGGCGATCAGTTGATTTCCATCGGCGATTGAGATTTCCAAGGCTACCTGAGCTGAGTTCAACGAGAGCGATTAGTTGGTTGGATTTTCTAAACCGAATTAGTTGTTATTTGTTGATTTAGAACATGATGAACAAAACCCTATCGATTTATCTTAATTTCGTCATGAACTAAACCCCAATTTCTGGGGGAAACACCATAGGATGTTGCTAGTTCTTGATTTGATGGATTGATTCATATTTCTTTTCCTCCAATCTCTATTGCATGGAATTGCTTAATGCTTTGTGTTGACTGGCCACCAATACAATGAATCGTAGTTGATTAGGTTATTAGCGACAGTGAAACCCTAATAACTGAACCTATTTCATGTGACATAGTAACTTATCGAAGCGACAGTGGATTAAATAAGGTGCTATGCGGTCTTAAATAGGATATCGATCTTCAGGCTAGATAGTTAATTCATTGAGCTACGACAGTAGGATTTGAATTGATTATTTAGTACGTAGTAATTCCCGACAGGGATAGCTAGCACATTTGTGATATCCTGGCTGTAGAGAATTGGATTAAATTGATTGGAATATGTGAATTAATCTGGATAGGATAGGTAGTGAATCCCGGTGTTTCTCCCAGAGCTTTCTCCCATTGAATTAAACCCGACAGTTTTCACTTGCTTAATTTGTTTAGTTTATTTTGCTTTTAGAAATTAGTTTATATCTCAAACCATTTTCACTTATAGTTTGCTCATAAATTTGATAGAATATAAGGTTGTACCAGTCCCTGAGAGACGATACCCGGACTTTCCGGTTTACTACGAGATAGGAATTTAAGCATTACGCTTTTGCCCTATCAAGTTTTTGGCGCCGTTGCCGGGGACTGCCATACCTTATTTTTGTTGATTTTTGTGAGTGAACTATTTTGATCTGGGTGTTAGTGTGCAGAAGATTTTACAGGTTTATCCTCCTCGTGCATGCCTAGGAGGACGACCGGCGATTTACTGCCACTAGACCCGGAGATCGAGAAGACCTGCCGACAGAACAAGAAGCAGGTCAAGTTAGGGAAGCAGCCAACCACAACTCCTAGGCCTTCCCTAACCAAGAGAGGGCAGGCTTCATCACCTGTCGTCCCTACAACACCTACACCACCGCCGCGCGTCATCGAGCCTGTCATCATGGCTGAACAGGATCGTTCGATCAGGGCTCGTCTGAATCGGAGAACTGGAGCCCGAGCTTCATGTGTTGTCATTCCTGCTGGGGATGCAAACATGGAAATTGCCCCAGCCTTCATCAACATGATCACGAATGGGTACACCTTCTCAGGGGCCAGCACCGAGGATCCTCATGAACATCTCCGCCGGTTTGTAAACATTTGTGACACTATGAAGAGCCCGGCTGTGTCTGATGATGCCATCCGTCTTCGGATGTTCTCATTTTCTCTTCTAGGGAATGCATCACACTGGTTCCAGAACTTGACACCTCGTTCCATCACAACATGGGGTCAGCTTGAGAAGACCTTTTTGGATAAGTACTTTCCTCCTGCCAAGGCAATGAAGAGGCAAGAGGAAATTGTCACTTTTAAACAAGCTGAAGACGAAAGTCTGACCGAGGCATGGGAGCGCTATAAGGAGCTTTTAATGAGATGCCCAAGCCACGGTCTTGAAGATTGGAATGTGATCTCCATCTTCTTCAACGGAATCAGAAGACAATTTCGAGATGCTCTGAATAATGCTTCCCGGAATGGTTTCACAAGAATGGAAGCACCAGAAGCATATGAACTGGTGGAGAAGATATGCTCTGAAGATACTGAATGGGGGATTGAGACCGGCATTCGAAGGAGAGGAGACTTGCATGAGATAGACAGAGTTGCAAGCTTAGAAGCAAAGATTGATGCTAAGTTGGATTCCAAGTTCGATGCACTCGAACGAAGGCTGGCTAAGTTGGCTCTTGGTAGACAAGAGGAGGTTGCTTTTTGTGAATTATGTGAAGATGCTCATCATAGGGATCTATGTCCACTGGTGTCTGATCAGTTGGAAAATGTGCACTATATCAACAATCAGCAAAATCAAGGCCAGGGTGGTATGTATTCAAATACCTACAACCCGCAATGGAGGAAGCATCCTAACTTTTCCTGGGCAAACAACAACCCAACTGGTGTTCGAAACATCCCACCTCCTGGTTTTCAACAGCAGCAGCCTCAACCAGAGAAGAAGCCTCAGCTGGAGGAGTTGATTTTGGCTCATATGCAGAAAACAGACAATAATTTCAAGGGCCTGGATCAATTTGTCACTCAACAGCTAGCCATCAACAATAATTTACAATCGTCTATGCTAGCTATGGAGAGGCAGATGGGACAAATGGCTCAAACTTTGGCAGATATGCAAGGCAGGATTCCTGGGACATTACCAGCAAATACTGAGAGGAATCCGAAGGATGCCATGGTTGTAGCAGTGACATTGAGGAGTGGAAAGGCCTTGGAAGACCCTAGCATCTCGAAAAAGGCACCAGAGGCAGAAGAGGAAGCACCAGAAGAAAGATCTTGTGCAGAAAAGGAAGAATCAGCCTTGCACAGGCAAAATGAAAGCGGTTTGCCTGTGCAAAAGCATGCTGCCCGTGTACCTCAAAAAGTGGAAAAATTGAAGAATGAAGAGGTAAAGCCTTATGAACCTCCCGCACCATTCCCTCAAAGGTTAATGAAGCCCATGGAAGACCCAAACTTCAAGAAATTTGTGAATATCTTCAAGCAACTTCAGATTAACATACCGTTGGCGGAGGCACTTGAACAGATGCCTACATATGCTAAATTTTTAAAGGAGTTGCTGACTAAGAAGCGCAAATGGGCTGATCTGGAGAAGGTAACCCTTACTTCTGAATGTAGTGCCGTGATTCAGAATAAATTACCAGAAAAGAGGGATGACCCGGGCAGCTTCACCATTCCATGTGTCATTGGAGGTACAGAATTCAATAAATCACTTTGTGATCTTGGAGCAGGAATTAATTTGATGCCATACTCAGTCTACAAGAAATTGGGATTGGGAGATGTTCTAAAGCCTACTCGGATCACACTCCAATTGGCTGATCGATCAGTAAAAATCCCAAAGGGAGTGGTGGAGAATGTATTGGTGAAGGTGGGGAAGTTTATTCTCCCTACAGATTTTGTAATCCTGGAGATGGAAGATGATCGGGGAGTGCCTCTAATCCTCGGCAGACCTTTTCTAGCAACCGGTGATGCACTCATCGATGTTGGGAGAGGCAAGTTGACATTCCGAGTAGGTAAGGAGGAGGAAATTTTTAATGTCTTTCAAGTTGACCATAATCATGATGAATTTGAAAGTGAAGCTCGAGAAAGGAAAAATCCCTCTTCCTGTGATAGTGGACCATCCGAAGAACTATCACCTATCCTATCTGCTCAGATTCTGAAATCAAAGCAAGGGCAGAAATCCTTGCCAGGTCACCTCAAGTTTAGATATTTGGGTAAGGATTTCAATATTCCTGTTATTATTCCTTCTTCACTGACATTGAAACAGGAAGAGTACCTGCTTGAGGCGCTGCAGTACCACCTACGCCTCACTAAAGGGTCTAACATGCCAGCTAAGAAGGTCATACCCAATTTTCGCACACCTGGCCCTGCAGAGGTGACTCATATGCTGGATGGAGGTTATGCGTTCTATCATTGCTCGGGAGGGTACGCTGGATACCTTTCCATACCCATTGGTTGAAAGCTCCATGAACGTCAGGCTGAGGACGTTAAACAAGCGCTTCTTGGGAGGCAACCCAAGGTAAGTTTTCTTTTCTTTTCTTTATTTTTCTTTTTAGTTGTGTCAAACCCGTGCATGTTTAGATTAGGAGTTGAACATTAGGGACAATGTTCCATCCTGAGTGTGGGGTGGTGAGTCTTAGTGTTGTTTGTCCATGTTACATGTGGTAAAAAAAAAAATTTCCAAAAAAAAAAAAAAAAAATTTGTTTGTTCCTTTTGTCATGTGGTCGGTAAAAAAAACAAAAAATTCAAAAACAAAAAAAAACAAAAAACAAAAAAAAAACAAAAAAATTGCCATTAGGTTGAGCACAGCCAAACTGTATGCAGTTTGCCTGTGTAAAAAGCAGTCTGCCTGTGCAAAGCTGATGGCTAAAAAACACCTAAAAATCAGAAAAATTAAAAACAAAACCTTGTACTCTTGTGGTAACATGATGTAAATGACCGTGATGCCTTGAAAATGAGTTGTGCTTGAAGGAAATCATCAAAATCACCCCACTAGTGTTGAATTGCATGGTTCTTCACAATGAGCTTGAATGTTTTGACTGACTTGATATGCTTTGAATGAGCAAACTCTTTTAGCAACATTCTCTTTTGTGAGGATAGTGTAATGACTTTTGGTGAAGTAGTTAGGTGGAGAACATTGACCATTCGACATGTTTGGATACCGTGCTTACTTGCATCAATTGTGAGCTTTTGATTTGGTAACGAGTCTCTCTGTTTTGAATGTTTTATGATGGGGTGAACTGTATCTTTATAAATGAGAAAACACTACCTGACAAGTAAAATATAAGAAAGTTGCCATAACAATTAAAGTGTGGGTAAAATGCCAAAATCGTGTGAGGCAATCACTCATTGCACATGGGGATGAGGAAAGATTCAATTGAGAATCGGTTCGCGACCGTACGATGTTGCTTATCAAGTACGATCCCCAGTTGAGTGAAGTGCCATTAGAGGATGTGCAATGACCCTCCACACGGACCGAGGAAAAGGAGTTGAAAGAAGCCCTTATGCGAGTGCTAAGAAGCAGAAATTGCTCTTGCTCGGTCACAGGTAGTAAGAAACAAATCCCACTTGTACTAAATACGACTTCTCGGCAAGCAAAAGCAGAAAGAGAGAAAGCCTCTCCTTGTCATAAAAGGTAGTGATGTGCTTAAAATTAAAATCTTGTTTGCGAAAGGCTTCCCCCATTAGTTTTTGAGACTCATGCATAATTAATTGCTTATGATTGGTGTGAGTAAGCCAGATTGTCCTCACGAGATGTGCACCTCACTGATGTGGTTAGATTCTCCTAATAATTTCTGCACCATAAGTTGTTAATCACCCGCTACTGACGATCGAAATTGAGTGTTGCTATTTGAGTTTTTGATGGATTTGAGTCAGTCAATGGTAATGGTTGCAAAGAACTTGAGTGTGGGGTGAAAGGTATGACCATTAAAGCACAACTTGTCCGTTGAGAAAGAAACTACTGATTACAACAAGAGTACAAGGAAATTTTGTGTTTTGTTTTGATTAGTGAGTCTGTGGTGTGTCATTGTTATGGTTGGTTATGTGTTTGTGTTGTTTGAGTTGTTGCTTAGGGACAAGCAACAATTGAGTGTGGGGTTGTGATATTCGGCTTTAATATATCGGATTCTTGGACTTTATGTGATTATCCGTGGTATGTTTTAGCCGATTGGTGCTAATTTAGGGCTCGCTAACCCGGAAATGGTTGAAAAACTATTACTGCCTAGTGCTATGAGTTTGATATGATACAGGTGGAGAAAGCACGAAAAAGGAGCGAGTGCACAAGCAATTAATCGAACTCGAATCACTGATGGTATACTCAAATGGGCCAAGAAGAATTTTTGGACCAGGAGCAGGGATGAGACAAAAGAAGATTGGGCCAGAATTATGGAGCTGGGCGCCGCCATGGAGAGAAGCAGAGGGAGGACGTTTCTTTTTGTCATTGTGGGGAGGCAATTTTTGAGTGGGCTGGGCCTGGAGCAATTAAATTGGACGGAAGGTTTCTTTTGGGGACGGAAGCTTTTGGAAAAAGAAACGAAATTGAAAGGAAAAAGGAATCTCAGGAGGGACACATATTTATTTTGGCTGGGGAATTAATTCTCGGGGGGAATTAGAGAAGAGCAGCGCGCAGCTTGGGACGGGAGCGGGCGAAATTCGGAGAGAGAGAAAAGCGGCGCAGCACAGCAACAGAGCAAAAGGCGATCAGTTGATTTCCATCGGCGATTGAGATTTCCAAGGCTACCTGAGCTGAGTTCAACGAGAGCGATTAGTTGGTTGGATTTTCTAAACCGAATTAGTTGTTATTTGTTGATTTAGAACATGATGAACAAAACCCTATCGATTTATCTTAATTTCGTCATGAACTAAACCCCAATTTCTGGGGGAAACACCATAGGATGTTGCTAGTTCTTGATTTGATGGATTGATTCATATTTCTTTTCCTCCAATCTCTATTGCATGGAATTGCTTAATGCTTTGTGTTGACTGGCCACCAATACAATGAATCGTAGTTGATTAGGTTATTAGCGACAGTGAAACCCTAATAACTGAACCTATTTCATGTGACATAGTAACTTATCGAAGTGACAGTGGATTAAATAAGGTGCTATGCGGTCTTAAATAGGATATCGATCTTCAGGCTAGATAGTTAATTCATTGAGCTACGACAGTAGGATTTGAATTGATTATTTAGTACGTAGTAATTCCCGACAGGGATAGCTAGCACATTCGTGATATCCTGGCTGTAGAGAATTGGATTAAATTGATTGGAATATGTGAATTAATCTGGATAGGATAGGTAGTGAATCCCGGTGTTTCTCCCATTGAATTAAACCCGACAGTTTTCACTTGCTTAATTTGTTTAGTTTATTTTGCTTTTAGAAATTAGTTTATATCTCAAACCATTTTCACTTATAGTTTGCTCATAAATTTGATAGAATATAAGGTTGTACTAGTCCCTGAGAGACGATACCCGGACTTTCCGGTTTACTACGAGATAGGAATTTAAGCATTACGCTTTTGCCCTATCATTTCTGAAAAAGGATTCAAACTCAATTCAATCGTACAGTTAAAATCATACGATCTGATCCAGGAGTAGAATTCAATTCAATTCCCTTGGATGATGTATATCGGTCCATGGGGATTTTGAGTCAACAGTCTTGTCCTGGTGTTTCTCAACAAAATGAACTAGTTGAACGAAAAAATCGTCTTGTTTTGGAATCAACTCGAGCTCTTCTTCTTGATTCTCATGTCCCAAGTAGGTTCTGGCCTGAAGCAGTAGCTACTGCAGTTTGCCTCATCAACTACCAAGTCACACCTATGTTGATCATAAAAGTCCATATTTTGTTCTTTATTCCCGCCATCCTGATTACTCTCGACTTAGAGTTTTTGGCTGTCTGTGTTTCGTTCTTCTTCCCAAACGTGAGTGTGATAAACTTTCCTCTAAGGCTGCTAGATGTGTCTTCCTAGGATACAGTGATGTTCACAAGGGTTATATGTGCTATGATCCAAAATTTCAACGAATGCGAATTGCTGCATCAGTTGTTTTCTTTGAACATCACATGTATTATTCTCCTGGTTCCTCTCCTGTAGCCTTTCCTTCTTGTGATGAGTCATTGCCTATCATTGATGATGCGGATGGCGACACACATCCATTCCCTCTTGAAGACCCCCTACTCCTCCCACGCTTGATCTGCCTCCACAAAGCTCAACATCAAGTGCTTCGACCATCCATGATTCGTCCCCAACCACTTTCACTCCTTCATTGGCTTCACCCACGTCATCTTCCAACCATGATTTCACTTCATCCAGCACTTCATCCACGTCCCAGAATGTGTCTCCTCCTGTTGATGAGGCACCTGCCGAGGAAGCTTCTAATCCTAGGTGGTCTCTGCGTGCTACAAAAGGTATCCCACCTCCCCATCTTCAAGATTTTGTAGCACATGGGATAGATGCATTTGTTGGTCCTACGCGATATCGGCAGGCTAAAGCGATCCTATTTGGGAACGATCAATGAAACGAGAACTTGATGCACTTCATGCACAAAATACTTGGACCCTCGTTCCTAGGCCACCGTCGTCCACTTCAGTCGTTGGTTGTAAATGTGTTTATACCGTCAAAATGAATCCATATGGTACAGTTGATCTTCATAAAGCTCGACCAGTGGCACAAGGATTTACGCAAGAATTTGGCGTGGACTACAATGAAACTTTTGCCCCGGTGGTCAAGATGTCCACAGTTCTTACCTTACTGGCAGTTGGAGCTCAACATAATTGGCCTTTATATCATCTTGATGTGAAGAACGCTTTCCTCCATGGCGACTTGGAGGAAGTTATATATATGGAGAGATAGGGATGGCAAAAATATCCGTAACCGTGGATATCCGCCCGAACCCGGCCTAATCGGGTAGGGTAAAACCCGAACCCGAAGGACATTTAGTGGGTACGGGTAAAACCCGAACCCGAATATTGCGGGTAATGGGTGGGCATGGGTTTCTCAGTATCCAACCCAAACCCGCCCGATTATACACATACATATATATTTTGTCTAGAAATAGTCATTATTTTTCTCTAACATATTTTATATTTAGCATATAAATATAATATTTTCATGAAATTGTGTTGTTTTCATTAAAGTGAATTATTGTCATACTTTTCCTCTTGCGTAATGTGAGAATACGTGTGAATGTTAATATATTAGTTGGAGTTATGAAGAGAAATCATTACCCATGGATAACCGTGGATACCCGAAACCCGAACGGGTATGGTCATGGTTTTAATTTTCTACCCGTTTCATATGTGGGTATGGGTATGGGTAAAACCTGAACTACTTTGGGTAGGGTAACGGATATGCACTATCCGTCCCCGACCTGACCCATTGCCATCCCTATGGAGAGACCACCAGGGTATACTTTGGGTTCTGATGATCAGGTCTGTCTACTGCATAGATCTCTCTACGGGCTTAAGCAAGCTCCGCGTGCGTGGTTTGAAAAATTTCAATCTATTAACATTGATCTTGGTTTTCGCCAGAGCCTCAATGATCCGTCACTATTTACTTATGCCACAGCTACTGGTACAGTTGTTTTACTGCTCTATGTGGACGATATGATTATTACCGGTACTGACTCTGCGGGAATTCAACAACTTAAGGATGGTCTTCAGGCTTCTTTTAATCTCAAGGATTTGGGTGATCTGTCGTATTTTCTAGGACTTGAAGTCACTCGTAACTCTCGTGGTCTTTTGCTTTGTCAACGGACGTACATTCCTGATCTCCTCAGCGACCATAGGTTCGAGGACTACAAACCAGTTTCAACGCCTATGGAACTCAATCTCAAACTCGGACGTGACTCAGGTGATCGGTTGGTGGATGGTGTTTCATACTGGAGTATTGTCGGCAGTCTTATTTACCTATATGCCACACGACCTGATATCTCTTATGTTGTTCAGTTGGTTACTCAGTTTATGTCTGCTCCTCGTACAGATCATCTTGCTGCAGTTCATCGTATATTACGGTATCTACAGGGTACACGAGGTGTGGGTTTGTTATTTCCTTCTACTGGTACACCTACTCTCCGTGCATTTTCAGACTGATTTTGGCGGGTGTGTGGACGCTCGACGGTCTACTACGGGATGGTGTATTCAATTTGGTGATGCTTTTATTTCGTGGCGGTGCAAGAAGCAGGATAAGGTGTCTAAATCCTCTACCGAAGCGGAGTATCGTTCCATGTCTGATGCTTCCTCTGAGCTGGTTTGGTTGCTGCGCCTACTCTCTGATCTTGGTGTGACGTGTTTAATCCCGATGGATATGTTTGTGGACAACACTATTGCTATCCGAATTGGAGTTAATCCTGTACTTCACGACCAGACTAAACATATTGAGATTCACGTTCACTATGTCAGAGATTTGGTTCGAGATGGCGTAGTTACTCTTCACTACATCCATACAGAAGATCAAGTGGCCGATATTCTAACCAAGGCATTCTCGTCCAGTCGTCACTGGTATCTCTCTAGCAAATTGATGCTTTCTAATCCGCTTCAATTTGGGGGAGGCTGTTAGTCGATATATGTGTTTGGTTTGTACGTGTGCACAATATATTTGTTGTGTACACAATATATAGTCTGTACGTCGTGACTCGTGTTGGGTAGTAGGAGTAGTGGGAGTTTTGTGCTTTGTTGGGTTTTGTATAACCCATTTTTGTGTGTTGAATTGTGTGGTGATTGGGCCACTAATACCTAGGTCCATGCAACCTATGCAAGGAGTCCGTTACGTGAGAGAGAGTTGTACTCCTTAGGGCTCGGCTGAATAGGGTTAGTGTGTGGTGGATATAGGGAGATGAGTACAGTCAGGCATTTGGAACAGAACATAAAATATCATCAGTATCTTGAAGAGTGCTGAAACTCTTCCGTGGATTAGTCCTGGAATTTCAGGGATAGCACGTAAATCAGTTGTCTCTGTCATTTCATTCCTTCGCTTAGTCTGTGATTTATCTACAGTATGAAGCAGATTCTTGTGCAGAATGACTATATTCATGTGGCCTTTACTCATCGCAGAAACAACAAATGTACCGATTCGGTTGCTAAGGAAACTCGAAGTGGCTCCCTCCCTTTAGAGTGGATTCATATTCTTGATTTTGATCTCTCTTTTGTTGTAATAGACCTAGCTTCTGCTATAATAGTTCAAAAATGAAATTTAACCATTTGTAAAAAAAAAAAAAAACACACACACACTCAAAACACCATATAAATCAATTATACCCGATCCGACCATACTACTCGCTAAATCGGCGTAAAACGAGTTGAGAACATTGAAATAAACCCCTAAACCCTTCTTACCATAGGGAAGCTGCGCCTCACCATTGCTGAAAACACACTGGTTTTTCCTCTTTGATTTCCTGGTAAGTAAAGGCATTTTTTTGTTTGCTCTGGCTCTGCATTTGCTCTTGGGACCTCGGTTTCTTTCTCTCTTCCTTCATTCTTGTTTGCTCCCTTACTTCCTAACGCTTCTTTCTATCCATAGATGACGACGGTGGCGCACATTTCATTCGGATTATTGCCCAAGGTTACCTTGCTTGGAGATAGAACGCCAGCAAAAGCTGGATGCTTCCTACGCAGACGCCGCTCTTCTTCTCTTGTGGTATTATCCATGTCTACCAGCAGCAACAGCGGTGTCCCAATAATGGTATGCCTGTTTTTCATTGACTGTTCTTAGTACTATTGAACACTTAACCACGGCTCCATTTCCAAGTTGTTAGATCCATTGCTTAGTTAAAACTTCGTGTATGCATTCAAGGTAGAACTGGATTCTAAACATAATCTGACTCAGCGCTTCTGGGCATCCAATGCCTGTGCTCATGGCAGTTTTGCTTTTCCTGGTCTTTCGATATCCCGTAATTTTGTTTAAAGTGAAATTCCAATTACAGGTAAATAGCTGTAGTGGAAACATGGGGAAGGCTGTCATTAAAGCAGCAGATTCAGCTGGGCTTCAAATTCTTCCTATATCATTTGGCTCGGAAGAGGAGTCTGGACATGTTGTAGAGGTTTGTGGCAGAAGTATTGAGATTCATGGCCCTTCCACACGAGAGGCTGCCCTTGCCACTGCCTACAATGAACATCCAAATATGATTGTCGTCGACTATACGATTCCTGGTGCAGTGAATGGTATCATCAAACACCTAACTTTTGATTTCAAAAGTTCATTTTCCAAAGAAGACTGTATATCCGACATTCCTAAAACAATCATGTTTGCTCCATTGTCGTAGTTTCATTTTGCCGAATCACGTAAGATGAGAAACGTTTGTGATATGCAGATAATGCGGAGACATATTGCAAGGTTGGTGTGCCTTTTGTTATGGGAACCACCGGTGGAGACAGGGATCGGTTGTACAAGACTGTTGAGGATTCAAAAATTTATGCTGTGATATCTCCTCAAATGGGGAAACAGGTGACTTCGAGTTCTATTTCTACTTTGCTGAATTTATGTATGTAATTTTTTAGCATGTCATGTTAATGGGGGGATATTGTCGCAGGTTGTTGCTTTTCTTGATGCCATGGAGACTATGGCTGAACGCTCCCCAGGTGCTTTTTCTGGGTATAAGCTTCAGGTATGCTTTGTTTTATGTCCGACTTGGTAGAATCAGAGTGCTTGGTTCTGGCCATAATTTGTACGTTGTGTTCTTTTGAGAAACTCTCGTAGGATTTAGGTCATGATGCATGTGATAAGAAGAACTGGACCATATTCTTCGCACCATTGTTTATCACCCAACGATGAAACAGAGTTGATTCCACTTTTTCTTTTATCATATCCTTGGAAATCTGTTCATAATGGTTTTATATATTGATCCTTAAATTTAACTTTGAAGATTCCGTGATTAATGCATGGTATGCTCCTTGGATAGAACAATGCTACTCTCTTCTTTTTATTAGGACAGTTGAAACTCAACCAGCGTCTCACGTCATCCTTTATGCAATTTTCTCGCAGCGACTCTAATCTAACTTGCTGCACTTGTCATTACTTTCAGGTGATGGAGTCTCACCAAGCAGGAAAGTTGGATGTCTCTGGCACTGCTAAGGCTGTGATAGCTTGCTTCCAGAAATTGGGGGTGTCTTTCGATATGAACGACGTATGCTAATCATCTTGTTTAGGCTACAGTTCACTTTCATTACAGTAACAACTGGATTACCGTAAGTTAATAAGCAGTCTGATAGGAATCTTTGGTCTTCACCTTTGTTCAGGTACAATTGATTAGAGACCCCAACCAACAAGTTGAGATGGTAGGAGTTCCCGAGGAGTATCTGACTGGTCACGCTTTCCACATGTATCATCTGACATCACCTGATGAGACGTAATTCTTCGCTCCCTCTCATATCTACTCATCATGTGCTCTGCTTTCTGTTGTCTCATCAAAGGATAAACTAAAACGGGTTTCTTTCAATTGCAGAGTTTCCTTTGAGTTTCAACATAATGTGTGCGGTAGGTCGATATATGCAGAGGGTACTGTTGATGCCATAATCTTCTTGTCAAAGAAGGTATGTAAATATAACTATGTTGCGGATAGGTTTATTTTGAACAAAGTAAAACTCTTGATTGCATACTTTTGCCCTGGTTTTTAAAACTCTAGGTTATGTTGAAGGCAGAGAAGCGGATCTACAATATGATTGACGTGCTGAGAGAGGGTAACATGAGATAGACTGTTTGGATAGTGGAAGGGATAGGTTAGTTAGTGTAGCTTTTCTCTCTGAAGTTTTGATCTGCATCAACGAAGAACAGATGCACCAACGTTGTAATGTGGAAATGCAATTGCATCCTCATGATTTGCGGCTGCGCAGAGCTGTTTCAAGGTTGAAGCTGCAGCAGTCATGGAGGTATGGTGATTTAGACTTTCGAACATTACAAATTCAGAATCTAGAGTCAGAAAGTTGTTAGTTGTGCTTGTGTTGTTTTGGCGATGGTGAAATTTCAGGCAATAAGATGTTGGAGCTCTGATCTTTTGCATTTTTGCCGGGTATTTTGTTAGTTAATTGTGATGTAGTTGAGTGTACAATAGAATTGTCAATTCACAATGGAGGAAATCCAGAAACAGTTGAAATTTGAAGTATTTCAGTACCAATCATTCCTTAATCCTTAAGTTTGGATCTTTCATGAACAAGTCGGTTTATTTTCTTTGCCACATGATGAATGCTGATCACATCCTCATAAACAACCAACAAGATGAACAATGATGGGATATATACCTCTAGGACAGCTAGATGTCACCACAAATTCCAGTTTTTTAGAGACCGTACCCTCCAGGTGGATCGAGGATATCGAATGTCGAACTCTAAATCGGTAAATGATTTAGCAATATAAAACCGTTGAATTACGACCGTGATTTTGCCAAGTCCCCACATGTGTGTGAATAATAGGGCCTGTAGGTCTGTACAATAATACAATCGGCTAAAAGCTTGGAAAAAGTGGCCTGTGAATTGACAAATCACAAACATTCCCTCCACCTAAACCCCAACCCGATTGCACTAATGAGTGATCCCTATCAAACCCATTTCACCTTTCAAATAATTCTCCTTCCCTCTACCCTACTGTGTAAAGTACAGGCACATGAGAAATTGAAAAGAAGCTCAACGACTCACTTGCCCAACTCCACCATTGTAGCCACTGATTTGCATTTCACATTTATGAGGGATTGATCATTCATTCTTTCGCCACAGTTGTGATTCAGGAAACAAAAATATGGGCGATTACACTGCTGCTAGAGGAAAACGGTGGGTTCAGCAGCTACACCCTCACCAACAAGCTTTTTTCACCATCACAGCAATGGACAACGCCAAACACTACTCCCTGCCGCTTGTTCAAAGCCAAAGTTCCTCCTCGGCCTCAGGCAGCAGCTCCGACGATGATCAGCAGCATCATCATCATCATCAACAGAGCATAATGGTTCCTTCCAGTGGCATTCCTGCTGCTCTAACTGAAGCTATGGATAACAAAGATCAGACAAGGTACAGTACAGTTAAACCGACTAACAGAACTCTTTCTTCGAAGTCTCAGCTTCTATTGCATGCCCCCTAGTGCAGTAAGCAGGGCATCATCATCTCTTCATATCGTTTACGATCTTTCCGTGTGCTTCTCTCACTCAAGCACACATTTCAGTCCTTTCTAATTGTCCAAACTCACGCAGGTCTATCACTCAAATCCCAGCAGATTTATCAGTTCAAGTGCAAGAGGCTACGTTCACTGTTCACAAGGTAACTTCATTCATTCAACTCCCGGAACTACAATGAATATATGAAATGCACATAAAGTTACTACAGATGCAATTCAACCTGGAAAGAATCTCACAAGATAAGCAGCAGTTAGGTTTGCAATTCTCGCATGATAAACACAGTGTATTAGCATACCATACTGAGAAGATCGTTGTCATCGAGGGTAAAAAAAGGCACAAGCTTGCCATGATAATTTTTTGTCATATTGGACCATGATAATGTACCAAAATGACCCACTTAAGCCAAGTATTTTCTGCAAAACAGTACCCCTTGGTATCAAAATGCGGCTACATAGCGCGGCTCGAACTTCAGCCTTCAATTTCAAACTTAGCCTATGAAGTCAAGCTTGAAAACTTCCCAGGAGGACCAGAAGCATTCGACACCGTTTTGAAGTTCTGTTATGGCCTTCTCCTAGATTTGAATCCTCAGAACATAGCTCAACTAAGGTGTGCATCAGAGTACCTAGAAATGAGTGAAGATCTTGAAGATGGGAATCTAATCACAAAGACAGAAGCTTTCCTCACATTCATCATTATCTCTTCATGGAGGGACACAATCACTGTCCTGAAATCCTGTGAAGCACTATCTCCATGGGTAGAAGATCAACAAATTGTTAGGAGATGCTGCGACTCAATTGCATGGAAGGCTTCAAGAGACAATTTGACAACTACAGGGGATCAAGCAACAGCTAGTGAAGATGCATGGTGGCTTGACGATGTGGCCACCCTCCGCATCGATCATTTCACAAGGGTTGTAACAGCTATTAGGGCAAAGGGAGCAAACCCAGAGGTCATTGCCAAGTGTATAATGCGTTACGCATCAAGATGGTTGTTAGGAATGGATGAGGAATTAGAAGTAAGAGGCTATGCAAACCAGGGAAAGAGTGGGTTGCAGTTCAGGGTACTAAGTGGGAGGAGAACGGAAGATCAGGGTACTGGACGCAACAAGGAGAAGAAGGCAATAATTGAGAACCTAATAAGCATCTTGCCTCCTAAACGAGAAGCTGTACCATGTAGATTTTTATTGGAGATGTTGAAGATGGGTATTGTTTATTCTGTATCGCCAGCTTTGATCACACAGCTAGAGAAGAGAGTTGGGATGACATTAGAGACGGCCACTGTGAACGATTTGCTGATCCCTAATTACAAAAATGAAGATCAAGGGAAGCTACTAAAGTAAGTTATCCTCACACTTTTTTCTTGTTCCCTAATGATATAGACATAATCAATCGACTCTATAATAATTGACAATACTTGTGGCACAGATGCTCTGACCAGCAAAGCACGATGCACAACCTAGATGTCATACAAAGAATCATAGAGTATTTCTTGATGCATGAACAGGATCAGCAGCAACTACAACCAACACCAGAGAAATCAAGCGTCAGTAAGCTTCTAGACAGCTACCTAGCTGAAATTGCCAAGGATCCGAATGTATCCGTCACGAAATTTCAGGTTTTGGCTGAAGCACTGCCAGAAAATGCTAGAGCATGCCATGATGGCCTGTATAGGGCCATTGACACCTATATCAAGGTTCCTTCACTTCCTTGCTCTTTCACTTTCTTTAAGTTTGTACGGGGACCAAACAACAAATAGTCAATAAAATTTTTGCTTGCCTTGTCTAGACTCATCCTTCACTCTCAGAGCATGATCGTAAAAGGGTCTGCAAACTAATGATTTGTGAGAAACTATCCCTGGATGCCTGCATGCATGCAGCACAAAATGAGAGGTTGCCTCTACGAACCGCAATTCAGGTATTTTTTAAAATCCTACTAAATACTTACTATTAGGGAATGAGCAAAAAAGCAAGAGAGAACACTTTTTTTTTTTTTTTGCAGGTTCTGTTCTCTGAACAGGTGAAATTGAGGGCAGCAATGCAAAGAAAAGAGTCAGCAGAGAGCAGCAATATTTCAGAACATCAGACACACCAAACAGAAACAAAATCAGAAATCATGACACTTAAAGCAGAACTGGAGAATGTTAAGACACAAATGACAGAGCTACAGAAGGACTACTTGGAACTGCAGCTCGACTATGCTAGGTTAAGCAACAAGCAAAAACAGACATTATCTTGGAACTTTGGTTGGAAAAGGATAAGGAGATCCTCTCTGTTCCACAGGAAAGCGGATGGGGAGGAAGTAGAAGAAGGAAGGCAGAGATCCCATTCCACAAGCGGTAAACCCAGCTTGAGAAGAAGAATGTCCATTTCGTAGAATTTGATGCAACATGCCAAACATGCAGAATGAAACTGCAACCAGATGCTCAGAAGTAATTTACTGTCTAATATGAATTCAATTCGACCCATTTGGCTTTTCAGAAGGCCAAAGGTTAGATAAAAGCATTAACTGGGATCATTAGTTTGCATGGAAACATATGTGTCATCCCTATATCATGTGCCAAATAATATGGCCAATGCTATTTCTTTCTGTAGTCCTAGATGCAGCCATAGAACCTGTACTATGTTTCGAGGTATTCCGAATTTCGCAGCTGAAATTCAGCTAGAGAGAATGATCATAAAGGTTGCAGTTTGCAATATTGTAATGGTTCCAAGCAGCAATCAAACAGCATGCTATCGTATAGCCCAATAATCAAGTGGATTCATATCAAGATTCCAGTACGAATACAAAGAAAAGCCTAGGAGAAACAGCAAGTCATGGCAAAAACTAACTTTATTCATACATATTCAATCACACTAAGAACTTCCCAACAAGTAAGTTCAAGAAACCCTAATTGTTCAGAAAGGAAGTATCAAAACAAACCAAACTCCTACCTAGAAGTCCTCATGCTGCTCCAAGGGAACTTGAGATTCTCCGCCGCGGTATCACCGCGACGTCCCTTGTACCCTCCACCGCCACCGCGGCTGCTCACATTCCTCTCCCTCTCCTCTCTCCTCCCGTCGAGCCAATGCTTCTTCCCACCACCATCCTCCACGACTTCGCCGGACCTCTGCTGCTTATTCATCCTCTCCTTCTCCTGCTCGACAACCTTCAGCGGGAACAAATCGGGAGATATAGAAAGCGGGGTTTTGAGGGTGACGTAGGCCTTCTTGTAGTCAGGCTTGGCGAAGAGAATCCCGCCGCGCTTCTTCTTCTTTCCCTCCATGTTAAGCGTGCGAACCTTGTCCACTTCGAAGCCGTAGAGCGACTCCAAGACGCGCTTGATTTCGATTTTGGAGGCGGAAGGGACTGTCTTGAGTGCGATCTCGTTGATGTTCTCGTAAGTCTTAGGCATTAGAAGCTTGATCGGAAGGTTTGCGAAGTGTATCACTCTTCTTCCCCACCTAGTCCCCATTTCTTACTCTTCCTGCTTCTGCTTCTGCTTCTGCTTCTTCTTCCCCCGGCGAGTTTCGCTTGCTTTGTGTTCCAGCTCAGCTGAGCAGCGGCTATGGCGGAAATACTGGGGAGGAGGGAAAGGGGTTACAGGAGGCAGGAGTTCAAATTGGGCCTTGACCCAGTAAGAGTTGGGCCTAGCAATCCAATTGTCAAAATTTGCCGAGGAAAGCAACCAAGCCCAATCGCGACTATGGGTAAAAGCTACACTGTTGGTTGTTTTCAGTTAGTTTTACTTCCAGTGTGAGAGCAGAGGGGAAGAAAGAAAGATTCTGATAAAAAGGAAGCGAAAAGGAACTCAATTCCATAGCCATTTTTCTTGGAATCTTCAAATCCGATCACAATAATATTACTTGTTTCTTTCTTCTTTCCGCCATTGCCTCCGCTGTAATCTACTAATCTCCATCCTTTCCATTTGCCAACCTCTTGAAGGAGAGAAAGATAAGGGAGGATCAATTTGATGGCGGGTAGAGTGATAACGGTGGCGCAGGATGGCACCGGTGACTTCACCACCGTGCAGGCAGCAGTGGACAGTGTCCCGTTTGGGAACAACTTCCGAACTGTAATCCGTGTTGCCCCAGGAGTTTACAGGCAGCCTGTGTACGTTCCCAAGACAAAAAATTTCATAACCCTGGCCGGTTTGCGGCCTGAGGACACCGTACTTACCTGGAACAACAACGTCTCCAGAATCGATCACCACCAGGTAGAAGCCTTATGTTTGCAGAACACCCCACTAATTCATAAACCTTCATCTTCTAATCCTGGGTTTTGGGTTGCAGGGGGCAAGGTTGATTGGGACGGGGACTTTCGGTTGTGGGAGTGTGATTGTGGAAGGAGAAGATTTCATTGCTGAGAACGTCACTTTTGAGAACTCTTGCCCTCAGGTAATGCTTTTACCAACTTAGCTGTCATTTCATTCTGATTGTCTACTTATAGTTATGGATAATTTCATTGGAGGTTTCTGTTTTAGGAATGTGTTCTTAGAGAGAGTGGAACTTTTAACTTGGTTCCTTAGGTTGAGATAAGGCTATAGGTAAGCATAAAAGTAGGTTTTGACCAGTCTATTCCGGATAAACGTTCAAACTGTTCTTTGTTCGTTGAATTGACTATAGTTTCAGAGCTGGCTTTAGGTTAGTGGTTTTTGGTTAAATTGCATGATTATGAGGGCTGTTTAGTGAAGCAGAAAGTCAAATCCTTTCTGCTATGTTTGATGATTTGTGCTTGAAGTTCTTCAGTGGTTCATTCAGTCTATATCCATCTTTTGTTTCAGGGTTCAGGCCAAGCTGTGGCACTCAGAGTAACAGCTGATCGCTGTGGTTTCTACAATTGCAGGTTTCTTGGGTGGCAGGTGCGTCATAAGTCTCGTTTTTTCTATGGTTGTGATATCTTAAAATTCATAACTCTTACCTTCAATTGAGTATGTATAAATCAATACAGTCTATTGATTTCGCCTGCTTAATTGTGCAGGATACACTGTATCTGCATTATGGGAAACAGTATCTGAAGGATTGTTATATTGAAGGAAGTGTGGATTTCATTTTCGGCAATAGCACTGCATTCCTTGAACATTGTCATATCCACTGTAAATCAGAAGGCTTTATTACTGCACAAGCACGAAAGTCATCTCAAGAGTCAACAGGTTATGTGTTTTTAAGGTTAGTAGTTCACTGTAGTGTTAACATTTCTGCATGGGCTGAGGTCTCTAATCAGGCTATTAGGTTGATTGGGTAGTTTGTATTTTTCCCTTTATCATGGAGCCCCAAACTCTAGAGACCAAGTAAGTTGAATCAATGTGGTTCGAATGATGATAAACGGGCTTTTTAGCATTCTAAAGAAAGAATGTGTCTTCCCAGCATTTGGTTTTTCAAGTTAGCTGCCAATTATCTGTCCAGATTTTACTACATGATTTTAAGTTTCAACGCATCAGAGAAGTTACGGCGGATCTCTTGGCACAAGCTTGTATTGGTCCATTGTTTCTGTAGTGGTTGACATCCTTTTAGCAGCTGCTATTACTGAAACATAAGTATCATTATGGCATCACTAGTGCCTTGGTATCTTGGTTCCCCTTGACAAATCTGCGTCTTAATGCAGATGTGTGATCACTGGGAATGGGAAGGCATCATACATGTATCTTGGGAGACCATGGGGTCCCTTTGGTAGGGTAGTTTTTGCATACACTTACATGGATCAATGCATCAGACACGTGGGGTGGAACAACTGGGGCAAACCTGAGAATGAGAGAAGTGCTTGCTTTTATGAGTACAGGTATACCCCCACAAGTTTTCTTCCTCTAACCTTTCCACTCTTCTGAGTTTCAACATTATAACCCCCTTTCCTGTTACTCATTTGATGCATGAAGTGATTGCCTTTTACTGTAATTGCAGGTGCTATGGGCCAGGTAGTTGCCCTTCAAAACGAGTTGGATGGTGTAGAGAGTTGATAGACGAAGAAGCTGATCAATTTGTGATGCACGGCTTTATAGATCCAAATCCAGAAAGGCCCTGGCTTGCCCAAAGGATGGCAGTGAGGATACCACATTCTGCCTAGCTTATAGACTGTAACATGATGTAAACTTGTTGTGTGATCAATACATGCCACAGGCGAAGGAAACCTCAAACTGCTCGGGGTCCCTCGAACTTAAAGTGGAAATAAAACATAGCCAAATAGGTGCACAGAAGTTGTTGCTTGCTGCACTACAGCACAGCAGTAAAACGACATTAAGAAGAAGAGTTCCGTCACGTATGTATGAGCTGTTTGCAGCTTGAGCAGATTCCTCCTGGAGGTTTCATTCAGAGTGATGCCTAAATCTTGCTCCCAAACATGATAATGTATCATAAACCATGCTTCATGGTTTTTTGTAGTGAGAAGTATGTTGTCCAATACTTGGTATCTTTTGTGCCCTGAAGTCTACTATCCGAGCAGCTAATGACCAGAGTTTGCCCTTTCTATGGGCGAAATTCTGCCGGCCAATCAACTCCGTCCTCTAGGTTTCTTGCTCAATTTTTTTGATTACCGTGGGAAATATATAGTTTTATGCACAGGTTTGATGGTACGAGTTCTGGTATTTGGAATGGTGCTTCTCTTGCAATTGCTTTCAGCCTTGTTGTTACTGGTCACATTTCATTTTAAATGATAGTTGTTATCAAACATCTATGGACTTGATTTACGCCCAGAAGACTTGTTATCAAGTTAGGTGGTTTTTTTGGTAGTCACAATCTTCTCAATCTCCCCAACCCCAATTATGCAGTCCAACTTTCAGTGGGTCTGACCCACGTAATCTCCCACCGTTTCCTTTTCCAGATTTCGGTAGTCCAGACAAATTGACAAGTGGACAAGACGACAGCTCCTTTGTTATCTCTTGTTCACCTGAATGGGATAGAAAGCAAAAGCAGAGAACCGAAGAGTGGGCAAGGCTGAGAAGCATAGGAAAATGAGTAAAATTACAGCAGGAGCAGCAGGTTCCTTATTGTCTCCGTTGATCCAGAAGGAGCAGCAGCAGCAGCAGCTTATTGGCAACTTCACCACAGGGGAAGGAGAATGGAAGAAGTTAGGGAGGAAACAATGGCGGCTGCATTCAAGATCATCAAGGCAGCATGTGCAGAGCCAGATATCAGTGCAGCAACCTCAAACATACTCTGCAACCATCACCACCGATATCTCTCTTCATGAATCTCCATCTCCTGCAGTACGTTGCACCATGGCAATTCATTCACCCCTTCTACTTCCTTTTTCTTCTGTTGGTTATACTTTCTTTATGTTTTGGTGGGTGGGTTTAAATTGCAGGCTTCCTTTGATAGGTATCTGGAGGACAAACCCAGGGTTTTCCAGGCAATGTTCCCTGACAAACAGAGAAGCCAACAGCTTAATGAGGTAGCTGTGTGATTCTTTCTGTTTTAATCTCCATGAAAATTTGCAGATACCTCTGCACTTAAAAGGATAACAATGGATGAAGTAAAGAACTTGGGATAAAGGAAGCTTTTTTCTGTTTGTTTGTGTGGGCAGGAAGAGTGGAGGATTCAAATGCTGCCCATAAACTTCGTATTCTTGACAGTATGGCCAACAGTTGATGCGAGGCTGAGGTGCATAGCTGGAGGGAGAGACTACCCACCACAAATCACAAAGGTTATGGAGCTCCAAATTGTACGTTACAACAACCAACTAATACATATGCATTTCGACAAACTCCAATTTCTCAATTCATCCAAATAAAGTATTCTCTGGAATGCATGAATTCCCGAAGCTGCGATGGGAGCTGAAGGGGCTCAACGACGTCATCGAACCGTCTCATTTCTCCCTCGGCGTAAGAGGAGTGTTATACGCCGACAGAGGAAGAGGTGAAGCCGTAACCAGAACCAGAACCAGAACCAGGCTTAAAGGGAAGCTGGAGATGGAGATAAGCTTTCTCCTTCCTCCAGTGCTTGCCTTTGTTCCAGAGGATGTTCGCAAGAGCGTTGCTGAAACGGTATGTACAATATGTCTTCATAGTTTCCATGATGAACCATGGTGGAATTGAAGGAGTTTTAGCTGTTGCTGTTGCTGATCCTTCTTCTTTCTTTTGTTCCTGCCATCTGTTGACGTGGCATAACAGGTGCTGACTAGATTGGTTGAGAACATGAAGCACAAGGTTAATGGCAGCTTGTTGTCGGATTATAGCAAGTTCAAGGCAGAGAGATCCTGACCCGCATCTACTCTTCTTCCCCTTTTGCTTTTCTTCTTTCAAGAATAGTCAAATCAATCACAGTTCAACGAGTCGTTATAATGATGAGGTGTGATTTTGCCTAAACTAGAATTACCCAATTTTCTATCATATCACTAGTCTTATATGCCATTGTACCAGCTCAATCCAAAGACACAATCAACATTACGTGTAAAAAGAGGTTTTGGTAGAAGGGCGAAAAGACCTCAAATATGATTCTCAATTTCGAAGAGCAATATAGTTAAAATCATGTTTTAAAATTAAAAAACTTATCTTTTTACTCTTCTCAGTTATCAAAACATTTCTAAGTAGAATTGTACTTTTTAGTTACAACTGTAGTCAAAATCTACGCTTTAAAGCTTACGGTTTTACGCTTCTAGAACACCAAGATGCTTCTGCGTAGAATTGCGCTTTTGACTGCATTGCTAACAAGGTCAATCCTCTTAACAAATGGTCCAAAAATGTGGTCGCCACACCATTCAATTTGGGGATTGCTAATTGTCGCCCTACTAGTATTATATCGCCCTGATTTTTAAAATAAAAACGATCATTTTCTCCTTTTTTATTAAAAAAAGGCAAAATACACTTGTATAGCCAAAACTTTTGCGTTTTTGCCAATAATAGCCAAATTTGGAGAAATACCACTTATAGCCACTTCCATCCAATTCTTTAACGGTGTTAACGTTAAGTATGTCTGGACAAACGGAGATGCTTACATGGCGAGCTCTTATTTCCAATTTCGTTTGTAAATATCCACATGGATAATCATTCAATTAAAAAATTATGGGATAAAAACGGAAAAGCCCACTCTGCTCCCACCTCCTAACTCTCCGCCTTCTTCTTCCCCTCCCCGTCTTCCCCACTACTCCTACCGGAGCTGGTTCTCGGACTCCCTCTATGTGGAAGTAGCGAGGGTTCCTCGAAAACGGATTCCCCGATTTTCGGGCAAAACAAATAGTTTCATTAGGGCACCCTTGTTTTCCCCGACGATGGTGATGACTGATGACCTTCGTCCCTTGTCTTCCAGATCTGAAGGATTCTTCTTCTTCCTTGGATCGAAGACCTATCAGAGGATTCCCGGCGTTGCGTCTCTCCCCTGCCTTATCGGGATTGAAGACGACGCAAGAGCTGGAGAGGTTGGAGAATCCATGGAGGAATCAGAAAAGTGGAATTAACGCCGGAATTGTGTCGAACGAGTAGACACAGCTTCACCGACGCAAATTTCTTCACGGCTAGCAAGCGCATCTCTAACCCGTCCTTCGCCACTCCGATGAACGATAACCTACTCCTCCTGGCTCTCTTCGACTCGTTCCGTGAGAGGGGGAATATTGTTCCGGGACGAGAAACGATGGCTGGTTGTTGAGAAAATCGTTCCGGGAACAGATCTACAATGGTGGATGTGAGCAGATCGGTGAGAGAGAGAGAGAGATCAATGTTTATGTACCTTTTATCTTTCCTTTTTGCTGGAGAAAATTGCACATATGAAGATGGAATTTGTTCAAATGGTTCGGCGAGGAGAAGTTGTGTTCAGATTGAACCGGTGAGAGCTGGAGTGAAGAGGCGAAAGGAGGGAAATGTGTAGGTTCAGGAAGGAGCTGAATCTGAACAAGAAGTGTCGGTTCATTGCCCTGTTGAAGATATTCCCTATCGTGTTTGAGATTGTGAAGGAAGGCGCTTAATTGTTGCAGTTTAGAAGAGGCTGCATTTTGAGGAGCTGAAGGTTAGGAACGAAATGGAGGATCTGCTGGTTTTGAAGTTGAGGAAATTGTTGATGATGTCTCTGGAAAAGAGGATCTTGCTTGAGAAAATTGCACATCTGAAGACTAATTTAGAGCTTCATAGGAATTTCCTGATATGATTTGTCGTAGGTACCCACAGTACTTCATAGTTGTTCCAACCGAGCGGGAGCCTGCATAACTCACTGGGATCCAGAGCTTGTTGTATTGGCTTTGGAGTTATCTGTCGAGGAGAAGCGGGCTATAGAGCTTGAAGAGAAGGCTTTGATCTACAATGGTGGATTAGGAATTTTTTTGTTAGGGGTTAAAAGATGGTTAGATGAGAGAGACGGGAGGAAGAGAGTCTTCTGACTCCAATTTTTTTTAAATTAAAAATATGACGTGGCGATTACGTGACATGTGAGTCTAGGTGGACATGACGTGTCGTCCAAATGGAGGCCACATAAGCATAACGTTCACTTAAACTAACGGGAGTTAGAGACGGTGTTAAAGTATTTGACGGAAATGGCTATATTTGTCATACAAGTTCAAAAAATGTGGCTATAAGTGGTATTTCTCCAAATTTGGCTATTATTGGCACAAACACGAAAGTTTTGGCTATATACATGTATTTTGCCAAAAAAAAAAAAAATTTACCCAACAAAAATTCTGTTGAAAGCTGAAACTCTCTCTTCCCCTTTCTCCCCACCTCTCTTTCTCTTCTCCCGGTTTCCGCCTCTCATTTTTCCTTCCTATCTTCAAGACCTGCTGCTCAAGAGCACCATGGATAAGTAGGTATCAGGGTGTTTAAGGAAAAATCCCCAATTTTCCCCAAAACAAATCAACCTTTCCCCTTCTATATAAATCCCCTTCCTATAATAAGAAGCTTTATAAATTTAAGCCCCTTTCAAACCATCTTCTAACTAGTTTAGAATATACATAATCAACATGCATCCTTCTTGTTCGTTCTAGCCAACAAGTGATAAAAAATGAACGTATGAAACCCTCAAGGAAGAGAGGCAGAGCAATGACATGAACAAGATAACTGATTGTTCATGACTGATCGGGATTGAGAGGAGACCAAATGAGAATTATTTGGTAGAGATGTGTTCGGCCGGTGCTCAATGTTGACTTAAGTGGAGGATGCATATTAGATTGGGGTTAGATTATTGAGGACAAAGGGACTGATGGTGGAGATGGAGATGAAGAAATGAGCAGCGGAGTAGGGTTTGGAGAGGAATCGGGCGAAGTTTGGGGCTGATTGGCGATTGCTGCTAAAGAAAAAAAAAGGTTAGTTTAGGAATTTTATGTTTTAAGTTAGGGCGAAAAAATAAAGTTAGAGCGATGTTTAGGCATTCAGTTCAATTTTCTCCACACTAGCTTTGTGCCCTAGTCTTTGGTTGGAATTAATATTGATGTGAGTTTGTTGTTTTTTTTTCCTATGGTTAGAGATTATAACGTACAATAAATCCAGTTGAACAATGAATCAGTTGGGGGGTAGGTTTAAACTAGGAGTGGCTATAACTCTCTCTAAAATTTGAAATATAGTTAATATTATATGCAAAAGTTGTAACACATTTTGGAAATATAGTAATCGTTAAAATTTTAGCCCCCTTCCCCCAATTATTATGGTTCAAACTTCAAACCATTATTATGGTTCAAACTTCAAACCAGTTCCTTACATTCAGCTTCCTGACTCCACTACAATGAATTCATTTCCTTAATCTATCTATCTATACTAAATATTATGGCTATTCAAAAATAACTTCTTGCCACATAAGCACTTGGTGAATGCACAAGTTGCCAAGGTGGACAATTTTTTTTACAAACAAAAAACTATTTATTGATCTATTTATGAAGCTATCTCTCTCTTCTTTTAATAATTATACTCATTTTTACTAAAATTAAAATAAGTTAATTTTTTAGGAAACATTTAAAAAACAAACAAATACATAAGTAATCATCTTTTTTTTTCAATTAAACAAACTATAAAGATGGAAACAGAGAGTGATAAATCGTATTTGTTTAACCCAAACTGATTAAAACTGATTAAGTAAATTTTCTGCTCATTTTTACTAAAATTTAATAATAAGTTACATTTTGATGACGCAAGTATATTCCTATCAAATAAAACAAGTATAAATTTTATAGCAAAATGTTTGAATATAAACTTGACAGAACAATAATTTTTATTTTTTAAATAACTTCTTATTTATTTCGATTATATAAAAACATATTAATTATTAATGCAAACTTTTAATTTGTTTCTGTCCCTTTTCCCATTTTGATTGTCTCACTAGAAATAAAATACAATTTTGAAAATAAGAAATCAAGAAAGTATGTCAACCACCATAAAAATAAACAAAACCCTTTTATTAGTTGTTAATTTTTTTGAGATTTCTAATATTTGTATTCTCATAATTTATAGAGAAGGAAATGGTAATGCATATGATTTTTTTCTTTGTATGAGAATAGGAGGCAGGAGTTACACGAGGCAACGATTAGATGACAAAATTTTGAGCAGTTGTAACATATTTTTGCCTGTTAACGAAAAAAGTTCATCTGATCATTGTGAAGATGAGATGAACCAAGCCGAGGGTTGTCGTCTGCTCCCTCTTCCTCCTTGATTTGAAGCTGGCAACTGGTCTCACTTTCTCACCGATACGTTATTGTTTGCGGTTGATTGGCCGATAAGTAGAAGGGAACATAATTGATCGTTTTTCTTGAATGCCTATTGCAACCCGATTTCTTGAATGTTGAAATAGAAAGAAGAGTTGTGATAGTTGTTTATTATATTTTATGTTCATGATTGACATGCTACTAGCTAGCAATACAATGATGATCTGTTTAGTAATTAGTAGGTAGCAAAGAGGTTATAAGTAGAAGGGAACATAATTGGGGTTTTATAAAGGTCGCGAAGAAGAAAGAAAATGATCATGGTGGTTTCTCGGTTGTCTATTTCGATGTTTTTTGAATTTCTACATGTTTGCTGTGACATTTGTTTGTTTCATTAAGGTGAATTTTCCGCATTGAATCCCTAACTAAAGCTTGATTTTGACATAATTGTTTTCTTACAAACTACTATTTGGATTGATGCATATATTCAGTTCACAAATGAGGAATCTGCATGATAAAATGAGTTGAGTTGTATTGAAAACTGCTCCTTTCATTATTTTTCTATGTTGTTATTAAGTAAAAATCACAATTCTTTTCTACAGGAGATATGTAGCTCTCTACAAAATATAAATTGTATTTAAGTATATGCATTTTAATTTGCTAAAAATATTGCTTTAATAAGTTTGTGACAGCTGATAGTTTTGTTTGTGGTTGGTTTTCTAGAACATTTCAAGGTAATTAAACGAGTACGTGGAAGATTGATGGACGTGGATGCTAATGAGTTTCCTCATTATTCCAAAGTTGTATGTGTAAGTGATAATACACGATATTCATGGGATTTAGATCGGTATATTCTCTATTATCGTATACCGACATATGAGAAGGGAGAGAAAATAAAAAGCTCTTCACTTATTTTTTTATTATTAATTGAAACATATTTTCTTATTCTAACTTCTTCTTTTGTGCCTGTAAATTTTTTAACTTCTTTATCACAATTGTGTGCTAAAGAATGAATAACTCTTATGTTTATAATCTTAAAGGGCGAGTACGGTAAAAAATATTCTAAATCAATAAACAACAATCTACAAAGAGCTCAGTTAATAAAATTAAAATGTCCATAAATAAACAAAAGGTATAAAAGTATGAAACAATACCTGAAATAAGGTAAGTGGGATTTACAATTCCATATATATTACCTTAACAAACATAAATAATAATAACAATTAGAATACTATAACGAATTATAAAATAACCAAACAAAATACACCGCCCAACGGGCGGGTAAAAAACTAGTAATTTTAGATACGTAATTTAGATTTACAAAATTTAGTGACATTTATGGGGTAAAATATATCGGGTACCACTATAGTATTAGAATTGGGGGAGTTATGCCACTTAAGTAAGAATAGGGCATCGTGTACTACTCAACTCTATTATTATTTGTGCATGTGGTACCACTAACTTTATGCCCTGTTCACTTCCCATTTCGTTTTCTGTTTTTCGTTGCCTCAACAAAAATAAGAAAACGTATAATAAAAAACGTGTTCATTTGTCATTATGATTTTTGTTGGGAAAACCCTTTTGTAATAAATAGGTAGCTGGGCGGAAACAACAAAATCCAGTTTCTTGAAAAAATGGACACATGTTTCTCCCCGTTGCCCAGCAGAAAAACGCTCGCTGTAGTTAAATGAGCCCCACTGTTCGAGTCTCCCCAGCCCCAAATTTTTATTCATTTTCCTCTTTGAAACCCTAGTTCCATTCTCGCCTTCCTCCATAGCAAGGGTGTTTGCGTCGTGCAAAGCAGCCGCCTCGCAAGTCCCACAGTCGAGTTCTCCCAGCAGCGAGCTCCACTCCAGCCTTCGTCTTCCTCCTCCAGCCCAGATCGATTCATCTCTCTACCGGCGAACGAGAAGCTTCGACCGGGGGTGTCGTTTTGAAATTGGGAGCGAAGCTCAGACCGACTTCTCCCAGCAGCAAAGCTCCACTCCAGTCGTCATGTTCCGCATCTTTCTCTCTCCACCCCGATCGAATCCTCTCTCAAATGGCGACTGAGAACTCGGTCGCTCTCCCAAGCTCCACCATCGAGCTCTCCGATGAAGCTTCAGCCTGCTCCCTCCTCCTCCAGCCGACGAAGAATGAGGTACCGGCCCTTCAGTTTGTGTTCATTATTATTTCATGTTGCAGCATCAGTGGAGGGAATTGGAATTGGCAGTTGGAGAGTGATTATTTCCCCAAGAACATGGATCCAAGTAGCTTGCTGTATGGTTTCTTGATTTGTTGATCGAGAATAAAGATCACTTTATAACTAGTTATTTATGGTTTCATGTAATTACAATCAACGTTCAACAATTTATTTCACGTAATGTGGGAGCTATGAGAGTTTATTTTCTTTGATTAGGATTGAGATTGAGGAAAAGTGATTGAAGTTCTGGGTGATCCAGTTTGGCACTTTCTAGCTGTTTTTGTGTTGTGTAGTGGCAGCTGTGCAAGAAGTGCTGATGAAGAAGACCAGTGTTTTTGTGTATCCCACCCGACTCGATGATTGATTTCTGAAAACAATTTCAGTCACTCGGCATGCAGAACCTTACTGCAAATACAATGGAAATCAATGACTTAAAATTTTTCAAGGATCACACAATAATGCCATTGAGCTACATGGTTACAACCAAAAATGGATGTTGTACTTGTATTAATATTAGTAGGTTGAAAACCATTTGATTCGTATTAAAATTTGTAATCATAATTAGAGTCGTAGGATATTCAATGAAAAATCAGTCTCAGAAAACAGAATGAAGTAACTAAATAGGTTTTCATTTTCAGAACTCAAAAAATTCTCAGCTAGATAAGTTTTTTCAAGTTTTGTTTTTTGAAAAACAACAATTTCGTTTTCATTTTCAGATGGTTTTTTATTGTGGCATTTATAAAAAACAGAATGGGAAGTGAACGGGGCATTAGTGTTAAGCGCATTTCGTTAAAGTTAACAGAATATTTTTGAAATATTCCGTTTTCTAAATTTCAGAATTGGTCTTTCTGATTTTCTTATTGTAAAAAATCATTTGGACTTATGAAAAATATCATTTTTTTATTTTTTAATTGGAATAAAAAAATCCTTTGAACTTATGAATCCTCTTTTGAAGACTCTCATACCAAACCAATTTTTGAATATGAAATTTATAATTAATTATTATTATAAATATTTTTTAATATTTTTATTATTTTCTAGTATATTTATTATCCCTTCTTGATATTCGTTTATTATTTTTTACCAATTCATCTATTCTATTGAAAAATTTCATCAATCATTCTAATAATAGTATGCTTAGAAGGTTTTCTAATTTTTATAATAGATAATACTTGTTGAAATATAGTTTTGCATATTTTTAAAAGTTTTAGGTATCAAAAGATAATTAATAGTTTGGGTTAGATGGAAAACTAGACGGGTGCACTTTTTGGCGAATTTAGAGATACCCAACGCCCTATTTAAACTTAAGTAGTATGTGTATGTTTACTCCAATTCTCAAATCTAAAATTAATTAATGGGTTACTTGCTTATTAGATACTTTACTTTTCATCTTTAAAAAGATCTCTCTTCCCAAATTCATTCCCCCTATAAAAAATGCAAGTTTTGGAAAGTTTCCGTTCCTTGGTTTTTGACGCAAAGAAAAAGTAAAAAAGGAAAGGGAGAAAGAGTACGACAAAAGAGGGAGTGGAATCTCTTTCTGGAGATGCAGTCAGTCAGAATCAACGGCGGTGATTGAAGAAGCCCCAATATAAATATACACAAATAAATTCAACCTATTCCATTCAGCCATCTCTTAGCCCTCCACTCTATTTCTGGCGCTCTCTGCGTGCGCTGCTGGCTTCCTCCTCCACACTGCTCAGCTGACATTTCACAGAGCGAGAAGAAAAGGCTTTCGCCGCCGCCGCCGCCATGTGTGGAATCCTTGCAGTCTTCGGTTGTGTGGACAACTCCCAAGCCAAACGCTCCCGCATCATCGAGCTCTCCCGGAGGTGAAACCAACATCATCCTCTTTTCCCCACCATTTTCTCTAAATTTCAAATTCGATGGCTCTATTGCGGATTGCTGCCTTCATTGTCTACTGCGTAATACTTCCAGTGCTTCTCATTCGCCATTGGGTGTTTGCATTTTCTCTGTTTCCGTCTGAACTTGCATGTACCCCATTCCCGGCTTCTTCCCAAGTCTTCCTTTTGTCGTTTTGTATTTCGCCGGCGATTTTTAGCTGCGATTGATTTGTTTGTTAATTTTCCCCCGGTTATTTTGTAGGTTGAGGCACAGGGGTCCTGATTGGAGCGGGCTGCACTGCTATGACGATTGCTATCTGGCTCATCAGCGATTGGCCATCATAGACCCTGCCTCAGGGGATCAGCCACTTTACAACGAAGACAAGACTGTTGTCGTCACAGTAAGTATATTGTATTGTTTCTGAGGTTTGGAGTATTGGGCAGATTTTGAACCCTTTGATGCAATATCACTCATTAATTAAGTTTTGAAAGCAAAAGCGGCAAACGCATAGGATAGAGCAGGTCGTGATAGTTAAAACTGACAAAGAGTAATTTTTTTATACAATTAGAGTGATTTGTTAATGGCGATGGTGGTCTGAGTGCATGACCCAGATTATGGTTAACATTTTCCTGCTTGTATGTGGATATGCCTATTTGTTTGTTTTGAATATGTACATACTGTGAACTTGCCTTTAGATACAAATAGGCAGAGTTATGCATGGAAATTTCACTGTTGGTTAAACAATTTGAACTTCTTCTTATCTTGTGATTTCCAAACTTGACTTTAAGGTTAATGGGGAGATATACAACCACAAGGAGCTGCGTGAGAAATTGACTTCCCATCAGTTCCGGACTGGCAGTGACTGTGAAGTGATTGCACATCTAGTAAGTTCCTTGTGTTGATAAATTCTTTGTAAGTAGCTTATGTTTGATGTTTGCTGCTCTGCCTAGTACGGTTTTGGTTGTGTAGACTAATGCAAACCAGATATCTTGTATTGGATTTTGCTTTCTGTTAGTTCTTGGGATTGTTTCTTGATCATTTCAAAGGATGTAACTTTATAACTGCTATTGTTTTGTCAAGGAAGAAAGGTCACTGTGAAACTTTTCTCCATTTGTTGTCCCCAATTTGGTGTTCTTCTTACCTTTGCTTGTGGCTGAACGTGTTCCACCACTTTTTATTTCTATTCCATTGTCGACAGCTGATTAACTTTCTCTATTTTTCTTTACAGTATGAAGAGTATGGAGAAGATTTTGTGCACATGTTGGATGGCATGTTTTCCTTTGTTCTTCTTGACACACGTAACAAAACTTTCATTGCAGCTCGTGATGCAATTGGTATCACACCACTTTATATGGGCTGGGGCCTTGATGGTATGTTAGTCCCATTCGTTCATTCAATATGATTCTCTGTTTTTTTTGGGTTAAATGTTAACATTCTTTTAATTAGCCCAACTCCAACTTGAGAAAAATGAGACCGAGGAAATAGAATTTGCATTACTCTTCTTTTCCTGAAATTTTATGTTTCGGTTCTAAGACAGCACAAATAATGTTTCAGGATCGGTGTGGTTTGCTTCAGAAATGAAAGCACTGAGTGATGACTGCGAGCGATTCGTGTCTTTCCTGCCAGGGCACATTTATTCAAGCAAGGAAGGTTTGTTTTGGATTGGAAATTTTAGTATGCTTACGTTATCTGAACAAAGATTAATTTTTCTTACCTAATGGCAAGCAAAATCATTTGTTATCTCTTACACCACATTGGTGCATTTCTTGGTATGTTTTTCCGATAAACATGTTGATTGGTCGTATACTCTACTACATGAACTGTAGCTGAATTAAGTGGATGTCCGGTAAGTATCATACAAATGCACTATGGAGCATCAAATTCAGTACCAATTACTGATGGAAATACTTGGGTTGAAGTGGAACAAGCATCCATACCACGGATGCAGTATTTATACTTGAGGGCTGAGATTCAATGTGCATGCAAGTTTAGAAAATGCTTCTTTTGTGCTTTCCCATTCGAGACTGGTACCAGCAATTGTTGTTGTGGTTTGAAATGCTATCAGGAAGTCTTCAGAGGTGGTACAACCCAACATGGTATACGGAAGAAGTACCTTCAACACCATATGATCCGCTGTACTTACGTGAGGCCTTTGAGAAGGCAAGTTCATCTTAAATGCAATCTGGTTCCTGTCAACCTCATCATAAATACATCAATTGAGAACTTCATGAAATTTCCTTCCGAGCTCTTCCTTAACTGTGCTAACTTTGTACGTCAACATGCTTTCCCTTTTGAACTTTATAGGCTGTGACCAAACGGCTTATGACAGATGTACCATTTGGAGTACTTCTCTCAGGAGGACTGGACTCTTCACTTGTTGCTTCTGTGGCTTCTCGAAAGATGGCTGAATTAGCAGCTGCTTGCCAGTGGGGAACACAATTGCATACCTTTTGTGTTGGTTTGAAGGTGGATAATTTTAACTTGACAAATAAGTTATTTATCCCAGTGCATTTCAACCAATTTTTTTTTGTCAAATTGACTTTTCTACGCTTAAGACCTGACCCCGTAATGGAGTAGTTTATCATTAATCAGTATGTTTTTTTTTTCAAATGTCGGCGCCATTGGCATATCAAGATGGCGAAGCTTGATTTTGTTTTGGTCCAGGCATCCTTGCAAAATGCACACATATTTACAGATCTAGATTTGTATTCCCCAAATGGCTTGGCATTTGGGCGTTGTGATTTGCATGGTTCGTTCTTCTTTTGAAGGTGCCATCTTTTTTATGTCCAAAAGAATCTGAATCAAGAAGTTTAGGTGAAAGATTGACGATTTTGACTTGTTATAGCCAGTGCATATAGGGAGAAGGATTTGCTGAGATTTAATTCTAAAGTCATGTTTGGTTTCCACAGAATAGTTACTCGCTGATCTGATTTCGTTTTTCTTTGCTTATGTTTAGGGTTCCCCGGACCTAAGAGCTGCTAGAGAGGTAGCTGATTATCTCCACACTCGTCACCATGAGTTCCATTTTACTGTTCAGGTAATGTATGTCGTCCCTTGAAAACTAGAGATGAGACAGTACTGTATGATGCCGTTGTTTCAAGCATAATGTCCATTTTCCCCCTCTCTTCATCAGGAAGGGATAGATGCACTCGAGGAAGTCATTTACCACATTGAAACATATGATGTGACCACTATTAGAGCAAGCACACCAATGTTCCTTATGTCTCGAAAAATCAAGTCTCTAGGAGTGAAGATGGTACTTTCTGGGGAAGGCTCAGATGAGATATTTGGAGGCTACTTGTATTTCCACAAAGCACCCAACAAGGAAGAGCTTCACAAAGAGACTTGCCGTAAGGTAATCTTTCTATTGTTTATTTTAATTTATTTTTAGTGCTCAAGTCGAAACATTTGCGTTGAGTTTCTCATTACTAAATCTATTAGCTGCTTTCGACCTCTTTCGTTAATAATATTTTTTAAATTGTCATACACAGATTAAAGCTCTGCATCTTTATGACTGCTTGAGGGCCAATAAGTCAACTTCAGCATGGGGTCTTGAAGCTCGTGTACCCTTCTTGGATAAAGAGTTCATAAATGTTGCAATGAACATAGATCCAGAATGGAAGATGGTATGGTCATATGCTGTTGACCCTTGATCCTATATCTAAATAACATCCACAATTTTCAATTTAATTACATATTTTTGCCATTTCGGTGGAGCTTATATCAACTATAATTTTAACTTTATGAACACCAGGCCTTTAGTAAAGCTTTCCCCTTAGAGAGTCCTTTTCCTTAACACTTCCAAAGTTCTCGCATGTCGCATGTTTTATATTAACATGCCTGAAGTCTGACATTAAGGTATTTCGTAGTTTTTTACTTTTGTTAATGTATTGCAGATCCGACCTGACCTTGGAAGGATTGAGAAGTGGATACTGCGTAATGCATTTGATGATGAGAAGAACCCTTACCTGCCAAAGGTTAGTATTTGCAGCAGTCTGACAAAAACATTTGTTTGTTGGTGCACTTGTCCAGTCATTGTTGCCTTTTGAAATCTCTGTTGATTGGTCTTTGGTTTTAGCACATACTGTACAGGCAGAAAGAACAATTCAGCGATGGAGTTGGATATAGCTGGATTGATGGCTTAAAGGATCATGCAAACAATCAAGTATGTATACCAGTAACTAGAGGAATCATGATGAACTGTCTCTTCATTTTATGATAATATAAAACTGTCTCTGGACTTCTTAATTTCCTTGATTTTGTTGACCAACACAGCAGTAATCTTGGTGTTGTAATTGGGCAGGTTACAGATGCAATGTTGGTGAATGCAAGCTTCGTCTATCCGGAAAACACTCCTACTACGAAAGAAGCATACTACTACAGGACTATATTCGAGAAGTTCTTTCCAAAGGTACACTGTACATCCAACCTACTACTTCCTTTACTATTTGCTCTCTGAAATTCTCGTCATTCATTGAGTTGTGTGGAAAGTGTTAGTGAATGTTGGTTTGACAAAATGTAAAATCCTGATCTCGAATTTCATATCTTACGGTTTTCTTATTCTAGATCTTACAATAAAATTGGTCGTCCATGAAATCTTACAATCTCAATTGTGACAAACCATGGTTGTGAGCAGAATGCTGCCAGGGCAACAGTACCTGGCGGTCCAAGTGTGGCTTGCAGCACAGCGAAAGCAGTAGAATGGGATGCAGCTTGGTCCAAGAATCTCGACCCATCTGGCCGTGCTGCCACTGGCGTGCATGACTCTGCATACGAGGATGCTGCTAAGACTCCCTCTGCCATGAATGGTGCCTAAATCGATGCCATTCCATTCCCTAAGCACCAGCAAGCGTAGAAGTGCGTGTTAGTTTAGTTGGAGGAAAGAGCTATAACTCGTATTAGACAGCAAGAAGGTTTGTTGGGTTTGGCCATTTTCTTGTATCATCTTTACCGGATGTCTTAGTGCACCAAATCCTCTTTAACTGTTCAGTCTCAATTTCCCTCTAGAGCTCACCTCAACCAGTACTAATTTCCTGAAGTTGCCTGTCTCTGTCTGTGCATAAATAATGTGATAGATGCCGCTTTTGTTTTGTTTTTCATTTAGGTTGTAATTTGTGGTGAATGGTTCTTGAGTCTCTTCTAATGCAGAATCCTAAGCATTCTAGATTATCCCACTCGCTGAATGCTTCATATGAAGCTACTGGCATTGCTCCCCTTGGGATTCCATAAGCAATGTCAAAGCACAGTGGTCGTGTAAACGTCAACTAGGCAAGTCTGTTCATATCATTCTAATTCTTCTTTATTGCATATGGAATCAGTTGACTACTATGTTCAAGAATTTCAACTGAAGTATGAGTGGCATTCTCCACTGCTCGCGGCAGCAGTGATTTGTTAACACTTGAATCAGATCAAATTGTCAAGTTGTCACAACAAACACAAAACAAAAAGGAGTCGTGGCTATAAGTAGAAAGGACTAGGGTTGGATTGAGGTTTTTAAACCACTAAACTCAAGAAGTTGTTTAAGTGAATAATAGCAATTAAATTAATCTATGATGATTATAAATTAGTTAGTGGTTATCAGTTAGTTAAAAGGTAATTCTCCACTGCTCGTATACAGAAGCTTTTGGTAGTGCTTTGTGTATTTTGAGATCACAGTAGACTAGTGGACAACTTTGTAGTCGAAGGGGACATCCAGATCCAGTTGCTGGAGCCGGGATTCAAAGAGAAGACGAGCTTAAAGAAACAACGCATAAATCAGCGCCCTGGAATGGAAAACAGGGCCATTGTCGTTTTACAGAATTGCTTTACTTCGTCAGAAAGTTACCTTGGAGCTTCCTTCGCTGGTCACGTGTTTGAAAACTTCTGATTGACTTGATGATGCAGGAACTATGAGTTTTTTCTTTCAATGGCTGGCTAGTTCCTTTAGTTGCGTAGGTATGTGAACCCTAGAGGTCCTAGTTATGTAAAACTCGATGTTTGACTTTAATACAAATGTTTTATTTCATATATATTGATGCTTGATTTCCTCTATGTTGTCATTTGTCAATTCGAATGAATGCTTAGTCGACGTTGCACTCATTCGAGGTGGTAGGATCAAAATCCCAGTCATGTAGGATTAAGAATAGAAATGATAGTCCTACTCGATCGATCCTCATTCGATCAAACGACGTGATGCCTCAAGGGAGAAATCTGCATGGTTCTTATCACCCATTACTTCGGGTAAATGCTTTGACACAAGGTGAGATCTAAGGAAATAAGAAATTGGAAGCACTTGTGTTGCCAAATATCGAGGGATACGTGACTAGGAGACCTAGGGGGAGCTTGCCTAACACTTCCTTCTCTGCTCTCTCGTCCATCCAATTAGTCTAGATTTATTTTTTTGCACCTGTAGTTTAGTTTTTACTTTTGTTTTGCCAAAACAGGAAGCACCTCAACCTCCAACATTGTTTTCAACTCATATTGTACAGTACCTCGCCCTCAAAGTAAGGGTTCTGCGAGAGGCCCTAAGAAAATACTATCCTGGCCTTAGGGCAAGGTAAATTTGGTCTACACTACACGTTGGATCAAAATGAAAAAATATTTGCACCGTGGATATCCACCTGAATCCGTCCTAATCGGGTAAGGCATATGAACTCGAAGAATTTTAGTGGTGATGCATAAAACCCGAATATGAATATTGCAGGTAATGGGTGGGCATGGTTTTCTTACTATTCAACTCGAATCCGCCTGATTATACAAATCTATATTTTTTTTCTAGAAATGATCACTATTCATTCCTCTCTGTATATTTGATATTTAGTATAGTTATACATATACAATATTTTCATGGGGCTTAATTGCAAGTTTGGTCACTCGAATTGCTATAAAATTTCACGTTTGCCACTCAAATTAATTTATTCCATTTATAGTCACTCGAATTAGTTGAACAGTTCAAGTTCGGTCACTCTCCGTTAACCTCCGTTAACTTTGACTGACGTGACGGTCAACTCTGACAGTTGACCGTTAAATGTGTGACGTGGCAAATAAAAAATAATTAAAAAATAAAAATTAAATTTTTAAAAATTAAACATCATTATCACAAAAATTTATAATTATAAAAAATGAAAAAGAGGAATTAAAGGAGTTTTGATTTTTTGTTTACCTGTTTTGGTTTTAGGAACACCGCATCTCCCAAGACGATAACGGTTCCGGACTCGTCCAGCGTCCGGGCGACCCAGCTCGCCTCATCCGAATCCGAACAAACTTCACCGCAGATCGAACGAACTCGGAGAACTGTGAAGGTACAGAGAAGTAAACTGGAGAACTGTAAAGTTACGGGGAAGTAGTAGAAACATGGACTCGTTGCTGGAATCTTCATTCTGATTAGTTAATGTGCTACCACGCTCTCATTTTTTTTGGCGTGTTTTGGGCTCAGAGGGGTTGGTGGTAGCTGAAACCATATAATTTTTTGCAATTCTTCTGCTGAAATGAGGACAGAAGAAGCCACGGTCGCTTGCTCACTACTGCTTGGGTTGTCAGTCTATGTAACAACTGTAATTTTTTTTTTATTGTTATTGTTGGCTGACTACCCAGTCTACAAAAATGAAATGAGAATTCCAGATGCCGCTTTGTTGATTAAATACCGACAGGAGGTCCAGTATTCGGATGCACTATGGATAGAAGACACGCCGAGCTTGAGGTTTGACAACCTAACAAGCTTGCCATTGAGTCGTTGTGGACTAAAGTCCACATTGATGAGGTTGGTTCTGGATAACAAGATTCTCCTGTAGTGGCTTCAGCTCTGGCATGCTCATGACTACAAAGAGGTTGGGTTTGGGAGGTCTACGTTTCAGTCTTTCAGATGTGCTAAGCAATATGAAATTTGACCGTATGTGCTGGATGCGGTTGCCAGACAAAGGCAAAACTGCATCGTCCCTCCTCCGCCGGTGGTTGAGGAGTCGGAATCGTAGTCGCCGGCGAAGACCACGACGGCGGCGGACGGGCTGACTGTCGATGACGCGAGAAAGCTGCTGCGTGTAGCGCGATTGGAGATGGTCAAATCGAAGCTGAGAGACGCGGGAAGGAACTGGATGCCGCGATCCAAGTTCGTTCGATCTGCGGTGAAGTTTGGTCGGATCCGGATGAGGCGAGCTGGGTCGCCCCGACGCTGGACGAGTCCGAAACCATTATCGTCTTGGGAGATGCAGTGTTCCTAAAACCAAAACAGGTAAACAAAAAATCAAAACTCCTTTAATTCCTCTTTTTTCATTTTTTATAATTATAATTTTTTGTGATAATGATGTGTAATTTCTAAAAATTTAATTAAATTTTTTAATTATTTTTTATTTGCCACGTCACACATTTAACGGTCAATTGTCAGAGTTGACCGTCACGTCAGTCAAAGTTAAGCTTTTTCATTCTAGTGACCAAACTTGCAATTAAGCTTTTTCATGGAGTTGTCTAGTTTTTAATAAATTTCTTTTTTTTGGTAAACAATAAATTTCTTCATTCTAGCAATTTATTGTAATTCTTTGCACTTAAGTAATGTGAGCATACATGTGAATGTTAACATGTTGATTGGAGTAATAAAGAGAAATTATAATCCATCGATAACCTTGGATACTCGAAACCCGATCGATTACGAACATTGTTTTGATTTTTTACCCAATTCTTATGTGGTTATGAATAGGGGTGTGCAACGGTTTGGTCCGGTCCGTACCAAACCAAACTCATGAAAATCACAGTTCATTAGTGAAAGATATCTTAAAATCGATCCTTAATCCATAGAAGTCTCTTACTATTGGATCTCGTTTTTTCTGTATTTGATACGATCCGGTTCTGACCGAACCGTTGCATACTCTTAGTGCTAGGGGAGTTTATACATTAGCATCAGTATCTTAATTTAATGGCTGTTAAAAGGGCTGCACTATGCAAATCCTATCCATCCCAACGGCGCAATGGACTCTTCCCCACTCGCATTGATTTTCACCAGTTCTGTCTTGCTCATATTCTTCCTCCACAAAATCTTCCGGCAGAGAAATCAAAACCCCTCCGCCGCAGCTCCACCTCCGCCTCCAGGTCCCAGAAAACTCCCCATCATCGGAAACCTCCATCAGCTCGTCGGCAGCTCCCAGCTCCCGCCCCACCTTCTCCGCGACCTCGCAACCCAATACGGCGGCGTTATGAGCCTCCAGCTGGGGCAAGTCCCAAACGTGGTCATCTCCTCCGCCGAATCCGCAAAAGAAATGATGAAAACCCACGACGTCGTATTCTCCGATCGCCCTTTCAACATTGCCGCCCAGATCTTAACCTACGACTTCACCGACATCATTTTCGCCCCCCACGGCCCTTACTGGCGGCAGCTCCGCAAGATTTGCGCCCTGGAGCTGCTCAACCAGAACCGGGTCAAATCGTTCGACTCGACCCGGTTGGAAGAGGTGTCCAACGCTGTGGCCGCCGTCTCTGCTTCGGCAGGGCGGAAATTCAACTTCAGCCGCATGCTCTTCTCCCTGACCAGCGGGATCGTGTCGAGGGCAGCTTTCGGGAGGAAATACAAAGGGCACGACGAGTTCCTTCTGGTGATTGATGAGTTGGGTCGGTTAGGCGGTGGGTTTAGCCTGGCCGACTTCTTTCCTTCTCTGAAATTGCTTCACGTATTGGGTGGGACGAAGTCGCAGATCCTCAGGCTCAGAAATGAAGCTGATCGGATGCTGGACGGCATAATCTCCGACCACCGCAACAATTCCCGACGGGAGGAGGCGGCGGTGGATGATTTGGTCGATGTTCTTTTGAAGGTTCAGGGTAATGGCGAATTCGACATCCCCCTCTCAGATGACAACATCAAAGCAGTCATTCTGGTAAAATCGAGTTCGACCTCCTTCCCCTGCTTTTTCATTCCCCTGTTTTTTTTTTTTATGTTGAAAATCCAATCACAAATTTCAGGACATATTTGGTGCGGGGAGCGATACGGCAGCAACTGCTCTGGAGTGGGCAATGTCAGAGATGGTGAAAAATCCAAAAATTCTACAAAAAGCACAAACAGAAGTACGAGAAGTTTTCAGATTGAAGGGAGACGTCGACATTGCATTGCTTGGTGAACTGCATTACTTAAAGTTGGTGATTAAGGAGACGCTAAGACTACATCCTCCCGGTCCTTTCTTGGTTCGAATGTGTAACGAGGACTGTGTTATCAATGGGTTTGAAATCAAGGCGAAAACGACAGTACTTGTGAACTCGTGGGCTATAGGAAGGGATCCGAAGTTTTGGGAGGATCCGGAAGAATTTCGTCCCGAAAGGTTTTTCGACAATTCAATTGATTTTAAAGGGCTGAATTTCGAATTCCTTCCATTCGGTGCTGGACGGAGGATATGTCCGGGGATAGATTTTGCGACGGCGACTATTGAAATAACATTAGCCAAGCTTTTGTACCATTTCGACTTGAAGCCACCGAATGGAGTTAAAGCAGAGGAACTGGACATGACAGAGGCATATGGAGGGGTGATGAAGAGGAAAAATAGCCTCAAACTGATCCCAACTCCATACCACAAATATTAGGCTCTTCATTTACAAGTTTAGGTGGGAGTTATTGTTTGGAAATTAAATTTGTATTCCATATATAACATGGTGGGCTCGGTTTATAACAAGACTATTGTGGGACAACTGGTTTGTTTGTTCCTGCTTTTGTAATGAATAATTTTTTTTTTTTTTTTTTGCCAAAGACTTTTGTAATGAATAATTGGAAGTAGTGGAACTTTGGGATTGGGATTTGTGGGGACGGTATAGAGAAAAATGGAAATGGAGGATTGAGCGTATGGTTTTTTTTTTTTTTTGACAATTAATACCAACTTTTATTCCACCATAAGAGAGAAACATGAAAGAAGGCAAATACACTCCTTATAGGAGAACATAAATTAGATCAAGAATATTAATCCAGTCATCTGGTAACAAAGATTTAGCTTTTGATCGTGCAACCCAATCAGCTCTGACGTTCAAAGCCCTCGGCACCTCTTTCACCGAAATTGCAGGGTTAGTCCTAAGGATATTGATCATTGTTCTAATCCATGCTGCACACCTCCAGGGCCATCGCGTCTGATTTTGATTCAGGGCCTTTACCAGCACTTGACAGTCAGATTGCACTGTACAGACCGATCCATATTCTTGTGCTAATTTAATTCCTTCCAACATAGCTTTTGCTTCCGCTTCAATCGGGGTGGAACAAAGAAGATTTTCAGCTCTCCCATCACACACTTGTCCATGGTGGTTAACAACAACAACACCATAAGCCGCCGACTGGGGGTCGCTAAAAAACGACCCATCACATTGAATCACTATCGAGTGATTACTTGGCGGGGGATTCGTAGTAGGATGGGATCCCCTGAGCTGAGTGGGACCATCAGAATCTTGAGGTGGGGGCCTCGGACAAGCACTCCATTCCGTAAGTTCTCTATAGGCTTGCAGACAAACATTTGGGGGCCAGGGGGTTCTATTCTTGAAGGTGCTCTCGTTCCTTGCCTTCCAGATGTTCCAACAAAGGAAGATGATATGAATCAGGGAGTTTTGAGGGATACCATCTTTGAGGGAGCAGAACCAATCAAAGAAAGATGTGCCTTGAGGAGGAATCGGAAGGGATGGGAAGATGCTATTCCATGCTTCTCTTGCATGAGGGCAATAGAAAAGGCAGTGGTTGAGGGACTCGCTAGGGTTATGACACACTTGGCAATTCGGATTAGGAGCACATTTCCTTTGGAAGAGCCTTGCCTTCGTTGCCAACCCGTTTCTGGAACATCTCCAAATGAAGAATTTAAGTTTGGGTGGGATGTTCAGTCCCCAAATCCATTTCCACTTCTCTTCACTTCCGGTCGAGTGGAAATCAGTGTTGGCTTTATGAACAGCGTGGTAGGCCGTCCTGACTGAGAAATCTCCCTCCCGGGTAAGACTCCACGCCCAGAAATCATCAGTTCCCTCCTCCCCAATTGGGACTTTAAGAATTGCCTCCTCTTCTTCTCTTGTCACATGCCCTTGAATCAGATCCGAGTTCCAGTTCCTACTGACCGGGTCGATCCATTCCTTTACCCTCAGGTTCTGTTGGGGGCCGCTTCCGATGACAAAATTATGAAGGCTCGGAATCCATGGATCTTGACCAACCCAAGTATCCTCTCCTGATCCGATGACTCTGATTGCTCCCAGGTTGATAACTTTCTTAGCCTCCCACAGACTCGCCCAGATCCAAGAGGACCTACTTCCTTTTTTCGATTGCATGAATCCTCCTCTTGGAAAGTAAAGGCCCTTGAGGAGTCTACACCAAAGGGCCTCCGGGGAGCTAAGGATTCTCCACGCTTGTTTCGCCAATAAGGCCATGTTGAAATCTTTGAAGCTTCGAAAACCCAATCCTCCTTCTGATTTTGGAGCACAAAGGATTTCCTTCCTACACCAGTGCATTGTGCTTTTCTGCATTGACCCTGACCAGAAGAAGTTGGTGAGGAGGGAGTCCATCTTCTTTGTCAGGTTCACCGGGAGATTAAAGAGGTACATGATGTAGGAGGGGATCGCTTGAATGACAGCTTTGAGCAACACTTCTTTCCCTCCATGACTTAGGAGGAGGCTTTTCCATGCTTCCCCCATTTTCTCCATTCTCTGGATCAGGAATTGGAACGTTTCCTTCTTTGAATTCCCCCATTCTGTTGGCACTCCTAAGTACTTGGAGTGGCAGTTAGAGGAGGCAAAACCGATGTGAGCAATGATTGCAGCTTTGTCCGCATCGGGCACATTCGCACTGAAGAAAATGGACGACTTGTTGATATTCACTTCTTGGCCCGTGATGGCTCCATACTCTCTTATAAGGTCCAGTATTTTCTTCGCTTCTTGATGTTCAGCCTTTCCGAAAATCACCGTATCATCTGCAAACAAACAATGGGTGAGAATCGGGCATCTCGCATTCAACCTAATACCTTTGAGCTGGTTCTGGGAAACCGCTTTGTCAATCAGGAAGGTGAGTGCATTTGACATCAATATGAAAAGGAAGGGAGAGAGTGGGTCTCCCTGTCTGATTCCCCTTGACGGATTGAACTCCTCTGCTGCTTCACCATTGAAAAGGATGGAGAACCTGACCGTCCGAATACAAGAGCTAACCCATCTGCACCATCGGTCATCAAACCCATATTTCTTCAGGAGAGTTTCCAAGCAATCCCAGTCCACCATATCATACGCCTTCTTCATGTCCAATTTAAGCATCATGTCCCTCCTCCTTCCCCGCTTGTGGTTTTTGAAGTGATGGAGAGCCTCGTGGACTATGATGATATTGTCTTGGATAAGCCGGCCCCCAGTGAAGGCCGTTTGGAGCTCTGAGACCAGATCAGGCGTCCAGATCTTCAATCGGATTGCCATGATCTTCGATATAATTTTATATCTAAAGTTACAGCAACTGATGGGTCGGAACTGGCTAATTAGTTCTGGGTGGTCCACTTTAGGGATCATGACTATATGTGTCTCATTCCATCCATTCGGCATATCGGCTGTTTCAAAAAACTCTTTAACCTCTCTACACACCGTTTCCCCAATAATGTCCCAGAATCTTCGGTAGAACCTGCCAGAAAATCCATCTGGGCCTGGAGCCTTTTTCGCTCCCAGAGAAAAAACCGCTTTCCTAATTTCCTCACTGGTCACTGGGGCACAAAGATCAGCATTCATCTCAGCTGTGACCTTTTCTGGGAAACCATCCAGCAAATGGGAAAAGGGGGTATGGTCTCTAGCTCTAAATAGATCTTTATGGAAATCCTGGGCTAAACCTCTGAGCCTATTGTCATCCTCCACCCACTCGCCTCTTTCATCCTTGAGTCTATGAATTCTATTCCTATGCTTCCTTTGGATCGTGCTAGAGTGGAAAAAAGAGCTATTCTGGTCCCCTTTCTGAAGCCATTTCACTCTTGAGCACTGGTTCCAGAACGCCTCCTCCTCCCTCCACATCTTTGCCAGCTCTTCAGTGAGACTTTTTTCTTCCTCCACCCTTTCCTGGGTTCTTGGAGGCCGTTGGAGAATATCAAGTCGATCCAGTATTTCCTTCTCCCTCTGAATACTGTTCCTATGGAAGTCCTTTGACCATTCTTTAAGATCTCTTTCGCATTTGGCCAGCTGGTTAGATGATTGCCCTCCTGGGTCCCAAGCTCGGACCACAATCTCCTTGCATTCATCCTTTTCCAACCATCTTTCATCAACTCTGAAGGGTGTTTTCCTCCTTCTATTCCCTCTATAACAGAGCTCTAGCCTGATTGGGCAATGATCTGACTCCACCATCTTTTCATGGAAAACAGTTGCATCCCCGAATAGGATTCTCAACGAGGTCGAGCACAACACTCGATCCAACCGGACTCTCGTTGTATTCTCGCCAATACGCTTATTGGTCCAAGTGAAGGGTTCTCCTTTAAACCCAAGGTCGATAAGAGCATTGTTGAAAATGAACCTTTTAAAAGGTTCAACATTCTCGTACCTAAGAGGGCATCTCCCCTCCTTCTCACTTTCATAGATGGCAGCATTAAAGTCCCCTACAATAACCCAGTGGTCCTCCCTACTACTCCGAAGAGAGCTTAGTTGCTCCCAAAATTCCCTTCTACTGGCAGCGGTAGAGGGTGCATGAACGAAAGTGCAAAAGAACTTCCTACCCATATCAATACTACAATCCATATAGTAGCTATCCCTACTTAAAACACTAATACTAATACCCGCTTTCCACCATAATGCAAAACCCCTAGAAGAGTTAACCGGTTCCACATACTCCTTGTTGGGGAAAATTTTGAGACTTCTTCTTTGTTCCTCCATAAATGCTTCATTTTTGCTCGTTTCCATGAGGAAAACAATCGAAGGGCCTAAACGTCTACATAGACGCTTCGCATAACTTCTTGTAAGGGTTGGGCCAAAACCCCTACAATTCCAACTTACCATACTCATTCTTGAAGAGGTGGCTTCTGGCGCACCACCGCTGCCTTTGTCTTCTTCCCTTGTCCCTCCTTTCCATTTTCAGAGATCTTTCCCTTTGAGGTGTTCGGCTGGTAAGTCTTGCTTTTCTGACTCTTCTTCTTGTTTTCACCCCCCCTTCCTCCCATTAAGAAAACAGTCGCTTGGCCCTCTTCTTCATTTAAATCAATTGTGGGCCTTTCCCTACTGCTCTGGCTCATTCCTTTTCTCTTCTTAAATTTTCGGCCACCCTCTTCTTCCAGCCCATCATTGATATGTAGGTAAGCCCTTGCATCAATGAAGTCCACATTCTCCTGCTGATGGGCCGTGTTGGGAGGCTGGGTCAGCCCAAGAGACATCTCCTGCTGCTGGGCCGTGTTGAGACGCTGGGTCAGCCCAAGAGACAGGTTGGTCTCCACTTCCTCCTGTTGCCGATCGGGGATGTGGAGGGCTCTCTCCTCCTCCAGCCGCAGCCCCATCTCCATCGCCGCTGAAGCTCTTTCCATCTCCACCTCTAGATTTCTTCCCCCCATCTCCACTCTGTATCTTCCTCCCCACCTGCCTCGTGATTCCTGCTCCTCCCTTCCTTGGATTTCGCTTTCCTCCCTTCTGACCGTGAACCCAGGTGGGATTTGCGGGTTCACCCCATCGCTTCCTCCCGCCATTGACGAGCCAGTTCCAGCCTCCTCTTCTCCCAATCGGCGCTGGCCGTACAACCTCTCTCTCCCCGATGATGATCTCTGTGACCCTTCCCCTTCCCTGTTGCTTCTGTGGCTGGCTGTCTGGTTTATGTGAGGAGAGTCGATCCCAGCTTTGAGTGACGAGTTGTACACCTCTGATAAGTATGCGACCCCATTTTTCTTCCTCTCCTCATTCATCCTCCAGCACGTCGGCCAGTTGTGGCCGATTCTCCCACAGAAATAGCACAGCTCCACAAGTCTTTCATACTTGAAGTCGATCACGTCGCAATACTCCTCCCCTGTGGTTTCATCTGTGAAAGGAAAGTCGAACCCAGTCGGGACTGGTTCCTTAATGTCGACATCCACCAGTATTCTCAAAAACTTCCTGTATCCGTTGTATTCCAGACTTGCTCTGTCTATGTCGAGTAGCCCCGGGAAGTATTGCGTTCCAATTGCCTCCATGTTCTGCTCATTTCTCTGGTCTTGATGCATTCCATGGATCTGCACCCACATAGCCACTCTTTCGATTGGGACTTCTTCCGGTTTTCCTCTTCCATTGTACTTCTCCATAGCCGTTAGAGTGTTGGACAAACTCCATGGCCTGTCCCTCCATATCTTCTCCCTGACTTGCTCATTGTTGAAAGTGAAAATGAAGAGGTTTTGGGCATCTGTTGGCTGGACGTTCACCTCTCCATAACCTCCCCACGCGTAGCGTGCAGCTCCTGATGCCTTTGCCAATGTCACTCTGTTTTCCGTGAGCATCTTCCCCAGCAGCATTGTCATGCCTCGTCCACCTGTTGAGGATAGGATTGGACGATCCCCTCTTCCCCTTGATGTTGTTTGGGATATTCTCCCTTCCTCCCTTGATTTAGATGGGCCTCTGTTATTATTGCTGACCTCCATGGGGACTAGCTGTTGTTTCCTTGGTTCTAATGTGTTTTTGATTTTTGCAGGGGAGTAAAGGATGGTTTTTGTGAGGTAACTGGGGTTGGGTTGCAGAGCTCTTTTGGGCGTACTCCTCCTCCTCTCCACCTTCTTGCCCTCTTTAAAGACTTCCTTGAGTAGGTAGCCTTCAATTTCCTCCTGCTTGAGGTAGATTTGTTTCTTTTCCGAGCATTCATTACCCTTCTCTTGACTATTAACTTCCCTGCTCTGCTTTTCTTCCCCTGTCTCAGTCTCGTTTGGCTCAAGGTTTTCCCCTCTCCCTCCTAGTCTGATACTAGTTCCCTCTGCTAAACGTCCTAAGGACCTTCTATTCCTTTCTACCCTTCTTTTCTCCTCCTTCCACTGTCTCTGACAAAGGAAGCCATATTCCCTGCTGTCCGGTGGTTTCCATATTTCTTTTCTCTTTAATGTGCTTGCTGCTCTATCCTTGCCTTGTCCAATCCCCGTGCGAATCTTTACTATTGGAGACAGGCTGTTTCTCTCTTCCTTTCGGTAAGCAAAAGGATCATGAAGATCTATTTTGGTGGTATGCCTGCTGCTGTAATTGCTCTCCGATTGAGCTAGACAAGTCCCAGCGACGGGGACGGTAAAGGAGCCGTTGGGGGACTCAGAGAAAAGGCCCGTTAGAGAGAAGGAAGAGAGAGGCATTTTTTTTTGTCTTTCTGTGCTTTGAGGGGCTTCAATCACAGTAAATCGATTGAGCGTATGGTTTGAAAGATGTAGTATTGTGGTGAATATATGTATTTGATATATTGTAAATTATAATGTTTTGTTTGTATGAGTATGTATATTATATAAGTTAATAGTTGAGATGTAACAATTCTAATTTAACTATTTCAACAATTTCAGTTAAAAATTGAGATTGCCATCATATCGCAAAAATAATTTATATATTGTGAATGAAAAAAATAAAAAGATATATTTTAAATGGATTAATTGCATGGTTGGTCACTGTGATTACAAAAATGTTAATATTTGATCACTCGAAATATTTAAATCCATTTTTGGTCACTAAAATTAGTAAAACCCTTGAAAGTTTGGTCACTCTTCGTTAGTTTTCGGTCGTCTCCGTTAAACAAGACCGTTATGTGCTGACATGGCAGACATAATCGCCTAGTCGGTCTAATTTAACACAAAAATATTGATATCTGACCCGCCAAGTCATTTTGTCCATCCCATCTCATCCCAACCCAACCCAATCCAACCCAACCCTTGAACCAAACAGGCGGTCCACCTACCCATGAATCGACCACTCAAACAATATAAGGGTTTTTGATTTTTCCTTTCCAGATCTGAACTCTAGTTCTTCATTTTTCTTGCATTCCCTTCGACAACCAGATATAAATGGTGCTTGAATAGGTCGCCGCAACAATCACGGAAAAAATCCCAGAATACTCTAATTATTAAAAAAAATTCCCTAAATACAGTACTTATAAAGTTATTTCCCAAAGTACAACACTTTTAACATCACTGTCGAAGACGAAGACAGTGATTGTAATCACCATTTTGGTCGACGGCGATGATGTAATCACCGTTTTGCACAACAGCGGTGATGCAATCACTATTTTGGACGGCGGCGGTGATACCTTCCCCGTTGTTTTCGAAAGCGGTGATACCTTCCCCATTGTTGTCGAAAGCGGTGATTATGATCACTGTCTTCGTCTTCGACAGTGATATTGAAACTGCTGTACTTTAGGAAATAACTTTATAAGTACTATATTTAGAGAATTTTTTTGGCAAAATTCATCTGTGTAGCCAAAACTTTGACGTTTGTGACAATAATAGCCATTTTTGGCGAAATACCAAAAATAGCCAGAATTTTGAAAGTTTGATGACAAATATAGCCATTTTCGTTACAAACTTTAACGGTGTTAGAAACTCCGTCAGATAGGTTAACGTTAGGCTGACTAGGATTCCAAACCATCGCACACATCAGCGACAACTCAGCTGTTGGTGACACGTAGATGCCACGTGTTATTTTAATTTAAAATTAATGAAATAAATAATTAAAGAAATAAAATAATAAATTTTTTATTCTTTTGATCTTCTCGCCTATCTTAATCTCCTCTCTCATCATAAAGAAATAAAACAAATAAAGTCTCCCGTCTCTCTTAATCTCCTCCCGCATCTTCTTCGATCCAATCACAATGACGAACAGGGCTGCTGGTGGAGGTCTGATCCGCGATTGCCTGGGAAGATGCCATGGAGCGTTTGCTGCGAACTATGGGAACTGCTCCATAACAAGAGCAGAACTAAAAGCTGCAGAGTTTGGACTCTCGATGGCTTGGAGTTTGGGATTCAGGAAGGTGCACCTCTGCCTTGACTCAAGTATTGCGATCAACATCATCAAGAAAAAGAATGATGCCGCCAACAAACATGGTCTTCTCACACTCGAGATTAACAGACTTCTGGCTTTGGATTGGGATGTACAGATTTCCCATTTTTTTTAGAGAACGCAACAACACTGCTGATTTTTTAGCTCACAGAGGCAATGGCCTTCATTTTGGAGCCCATGACTTTGATTTTTCTGATCCGGGGCTTAGCCACTGGCTTTCTTTTGATGTAATGGGCATCACCCATGAACGTTTAGTTAATACGAATTAAGACGCCATTGGCGTCTGTCTTCCTACAAAAAAAAAGAGGCAATCTGTCTCAATAATTAGCTCCTGAATATAGAGCTGCTTTATCATACTAATCCTGAACTCAACCGCTGGCGCTTTGGCCATTTCGCGATCCCATGAGTTAGAGATTTTTTAGCAACAAAAAAGATAAACTTAATTATGATTGTAAAATTATATAGACTTTTATAAAATTTAAATGAAAATTATTACGGTATTAATAATTTCTTCGTGTACTTGAAACTATCGTGTACATTAATGGTATGTAAATATACCACAATAATACAAATTTATACCATAATAGTTCATGATTGATACTATGTTAGCATAGTTTTGAAACAACGTAACATGATAACATAGCACACGACAATAATCGTGTCTTCAAAAAAATAAATATCATTATGTAAACCACACATAATATAATTTTAACGCACAAAAATATTTAAATTCATATTTGAAATAAAGGAAGTATCCTCACCAAAAAAAGAAATAAAGAAAGTATGAATCGATAGATATAAGAGGGGTAATTAAGAAAAAGTAAAAATGAGTGGCATGTGTCAAACTGTAATAAGATGATTGGAACAATAAGAATACTAATAAAATAAAAATGAAACTATTATAATATGGACGCTTTCTGTGGTGCAGTGACGGCACTAGTGCCGCCACATTGTCAACCGTGGGATTTACTTGATTAAAGCAGGACCATTGATTACTACACATCATTTAACTAGATTTGGTTGAACCCATTATAGTTGGTTGAACCTATTTATATTTAAATATTTTATATAATTATTATATCTCTCTTACTGGTCGGATTGTTTATTAGTCCAAAAACTTCAGAATCCAAACCTGAGACGAGGGTCTGATTGCTCGGAGACATTGGAGGCGATGTAGGGTAGTGCTAGCGGTCGACGAAAGCTGCTAAAGACGGCCAATCGAAAGTCGAAATCGATGAGCTTGGGCGCGACACAGATGAACGAGGGCGGAAAGAAGAGGCTTGCGATGAACAGCCGATTGATTACGGCGCTGATTTTCGCTGACTATATGGAATCGAGATATTGGTACCAATGATCGGCCGATCCAATCCAATGTTATGGTGGGATTGCTAGTGCAAATTTTGATTTCCTGTGCAATTCACAGGAACTAGAAAAAAGAAAGGAGTGAGGAGGAACGGAAGAGACGATGAAGCTAATATTTGATTTTGTTTTTTTTTTTTCCTCATTAATTTAATTCCTAAATCGGACTCACCCACAACACATATGACATACCCAACAGACCGCTCAAACCATTCCAAACCTATTATAGCCGGCCGACGGCACTGGTGCCGCTACGACACCATAGAATCCGCCTATAATATGATATATGTTGAAGCCAAAAAGGAGGAGTTAAACGGAAAAAATAGGAAGTTTTGAAAAGGAAGAAAATCCACGTCTGTAATTTAATTATTTGAATAAAATTTTCCAATTTTAATTAACAACATCAATTATCACTATACCCCTACCTAAAATTAAGGAGAGAGGAGGAAATTCGAATCGGAGAAAAGTACACAAAAGTGTACTATATATTAATGGGGGGATTGAGAAATAGAAAATAATAAAAAATGAATCGGAAGAAACCAAAACGAACGGCATGAGATGGGAAACATATGAATTTATTATTTTTCATTTGCTCCACTTTCTCGGTATCTTCCCCTACCTAGGGATGGCAATGGGTAGGGTCGGGTGCGGGTTTACCCTAAACCAACTCCTAACCCGCCGGGTAGAGTCTTCTAAAATACCCGACCAAATAACCACCGGGTATGAAAATGATATAACCATACCCTACCCATCGGGTAACCACAGGTATTCGGGTAACCATGTGTACAAATCCTAAAATGTGAACTTATACACATATATGCACATACATACTATTGTCTATTAAAAATTCTCAATACTTGTAACTGTTCTAGCTTCAACAATCCACACATAATAAAAACAATCCACACAAATAAAAGCAGCAAACACATAATAATTACTCATGCTTCTACAATCCACACAAACAAAAACACAATACATCATATTTGTTCTAGCTTCAACAATCCACACATAAACAAAAACAACAAAGACAATATTAGAACCAGACCACATCAAATGCTCACTACTTAACTTATGCTTCATGACATCCATCAAGGCATCATTAGTAGAACAATTATCAAATGTAATCGTAGATACCTTTGTATCAATATCCCAAGTAGGTAAAGTTTCAAGAAGAGTTTGAGCAAGCACCTCACTTGTGTGCGGGCAAGGAAAAGCGACTGCTGGGTAGGGTTAGGGCTAGGGAAATTGACCATTTGGTTACCGGGGCGGGTATAACAGGGTGGGTATTATCAATTACCATACCCGTATCCTACCCTTTATTTTGAAACCGGGTATTACCTGCCCCTTAACCCGTCAAAGCGGGTAATTACTCTCGTTGACCGATTACGCTCGGGTAGGGTACCCATGGTTACGGGTTGGATTGACATCCCTACCCCTATCCATTATAGTAATTCATTTCTAACCTTCTATATCTTCATCTCTAGAGTCAAACTTATGATGCAGGTGAAATTATATTGTAGGAGGTCAATTTTAATGTCGCTAATGGTCAAATTTGGTAACCAATTAGGCGGTTTATGACTGGTTTTTAATACCGGTCAATTACCGGCTAGCCGATAAAACTTGAACCACTCACTAATTCGGATCGGAGTCTGGTCCGGTTTTGACAACATTGGTTAACCCCACAATAGGACGCGTCTAACGAGTTAGTTTAATCGTAATTGTAGGTAGACATGACTTATGAGTTTGACAGTACATATGATTATACAGACTACTTCCCTAATGATTTTTCGATATTCCAGTTGCGATAATGTTGTGACAGGGGCAAAAAACATCGCGATGTTTCATGGTTTCTTTCTGATGAAAGGGCTGGAGGAAGCCACGTTAGACACGTCATAAGGGAATGCTCGATATGTGTTATGTGTATTGTGACAGATGTAGTAGGGAGAAGAACTCATACAAGCCAGATTAACAAAGGAGAAACGTTCCAATACTAGTTTGAGAGGGACTAATTGCATGTTCAATGACATACTATCTTTTGGGGGATAGTTTGAATGTTTTGCTAGAACTTTTTGGTGATATATGATATGGATATTTGAAATCATTTATAGTTAGTGATAAATTCATTGTTAAATCAGTGTATTATATCTGTCTTTTATGTTATGACGCATGAACGGTTCTTTCAACAGTTAATCAACGATTTTATAACGGTTAAACACTGAATCATTACTCACTAACTTTTTCGGTTCAATATCCAATCATATTATGAAAATATAACAACATATATAGGTGATTTTCATTAATATTATGTGTTTTTTTAATGCATGTCTTTTGTTTTGTTGTTTTTGAACAATTCCCAAGTCCTAACACACTCTATTGCAGTCCCTGGGCCCTAGTACCATTTCGGACGAGCATGTTAGCCGTCTCTCATGCAAGTTCCAAGTGCCAAATCCTCCCCCAGACAAATCAATATTTTTAAAAGTAATAATTTTAATGTGGACCTAGTGAAAGTAATTTTATTTCATTTTTAATCATTCTTTTCATAGATTTGTATTTGTTATTTACAATAGCATATGGTCGATGAATTTGCATAAGGTAGAAGGGTTATCGAATAAATTATTTATGTTTAAACTTCTTTTCAATTTGTATGGCTAGTAGTTGATCATGATGTAACTTTTGCAGAATAAAAATATTTTTCTGGATCTTTTTATGAAGTATTTAAAAAAATGTTGAGCGTTTAGATGAAAAACTATTAGGGGTGGGAAACGATCCGGTCCGGTCAAAACCGGACCGGATTGACCCGGTTTTTTAAGACCGTTTTGGCAAATACCATAACTGGAGACGGGATTGGATGGCATTCGGTTTCAACCGTGACCGGACTGGTCCAATCCGGTTTTAAACCAGAAACCATATTGGCCCTTCCAAAACTTTGACGTTTGAAAAAAATTTGAAAAAAAAGAAAAACAATGAAATTGAGAAGAGGGGTCTCTGCCTCCTCCACTTTTGAACCGTCCCTATTTTCTCAATCTCCCTCTTTATTATAGAAAATCATAAATTCCTTCTCTCTTCTTCTTTACCGATCTTTCTTCCACCTACCTTTTCTCCTCTCTGTTCTTCTTTCTCTTTCTTGTTTCTTCCATCTGCCTCTTCTTCTCTTTGATGAGGCAAGCAGGTTGCTCACTTGGTATGTCGATTTGTCTTCCGCCTGCGTTGTGAGCATCGTCGTCTCCGTCGCCCAAATATGCCTTGGCATGCAGAGAGGGGAAGATGGCGATTTACAGATCATAGAGGGAATTGGGGCTGGAAAGGCGACGAGTCGTGGTCGACACCTCCTTTTCCTCCATGCACGAGCTGATGGCGGAGGAGATTGAGGCGGCGTCGGCGGCGGCGCTGGCTGGGAATGGGGCGGAGTGGAGATGAGTGATGGAGGGTGTTTCAGGAGGATGGATGGGATGATGGAGGAGAAGGATTGGATGATGAGGTCGATGACGGTGGTGGTCGTGGTCGGGAAGGAGGAGGAGGTGGTGGCCAATTGCGGCGACTCTAGTATCCAAGGTGGGTTTTCGGCGAGGGAGATTAGAGGGGAGGAGTGAGCGGCTGGTATGGAAACGTGGGTGAGAGCAAGAGGGAGTAGGATTAGATTCAGGGTTGGGCTCTGGGTCGGGCTGGATTTGCTGAGTGTGGGCCTGGGGATTGGATTGTGGGCTGGGCTTGTTTGAAGATTTTAATCCGGTTTTGCGGTTTTAACCGGATTGGCTAAAAATATCACAATTACTTTCTTATATAAGAGGTAATGTAAAATGACTAAAAATAAGTTCTAACATAAAATATGATTAAAAGTTCTAAAAATAAAAATTTATTTAAAATGAATCACGTAAGATTTCTTGGCTTCAACTTTTAAAACATAAAACTTCTAAAATTCGGCCAAACATAATCGTACTCTTTTGGCTTTTTTTGTTGGGTTTGAGGTAACCGTGGTTCTGTTTTATGAGATGAATAGAGGAGACATGCAAGCTTTTGGAGGAGACAATTGATAACACCCTAGATAGGTGTTATTGCATAGAATTGCGCAGCTTCACCACAAACAAGGAATCAAAGGTTTCTTTGTCACGAACACAGAAACAGAGTTCCCCAAACGAGTTTGGATAAGCCAGTTCAAGTTTTAATTGGATAGAAACGAAGGAGAAATCTCACACCTGGGAGATTGCACTATTGTTATAAGGTTGCCTTTGATATAATCGAGTGGGTTTGCTCAATCAATAGGCTAGTTTCAGCAAGTTTTGATCGCAACCAAGACCAAGAACAAACTCACAACGCACGATTGAGGCCTTTTATAGGCTTAAACAAACTCAAACAAAACTAAGACTACGTAAATTTAACCTAATTCAACAAGGAAACTAAATTACACATGTAATCCGAATAGGACTAGGAATCCTTATGAGATTCGGATTGCTGGCAGTTCGAGGGAGCTTCTTTGGGAGCCTCGAAAATGGTATTCCAAGATGAACCAATCTCATCCAATTCCTTCCCTGGATTTAGAAAGTGTTCTAGTTTCCATTCCAATTCGAATCAGCATCTGGATGCGTCCCAGTACCCTTCCCTTCTTTTTCCCTGAGCTGGATTGGACTCTAGATGCCTTTGTCGTCACGAACCTCGACCGGTGATAGAGGAGTCGGTTTGAGCTTCTTCCCTTCATGCTGGAAAGTATAGCAGTTTGATCTGCCATGGTGGGTAACTCCACTATCGTACTGCCAAGTTCTTCCCAAAAGGATATGAGCAACGTGCATAGGAGCTATATCACAAAGAATTCGATCATTGTATTGATCAATTTCAAACTCAACCCATGCCTGCTTCGTCACCTTCACAGCTCCATGATCATTGAGCCAATGCAGGTTGTAGGACTCGTGATGCTTGAAAGTGCTCAAGCCAAGCTCCCCCACAGTCTCCAAGCTGACGACGTTGGTGAAACTTCCACCGTCGATCACCATTGACGCCGTTTTACCTTGAATTTGGCAGCGGGTATGGAAGAGGTTGGATCATTGCTGGGTTTCACTAACCACTTTAACTGTGAGAGCTCTCCTGTCGACGAGGAAATTCCCTCATGGAGCCTTCATCTCAATGGCCTCATCAACCTCTTCTTCAGTGGATTCGTCTTCGGGATGCTTCTCTTCTTCCTCACTCTCGGAGTAGTATTCTCCGTCAAGAAGGACAAGTGTCTTCGTATTGGGGCATTGGAAGGATTTGTGCCCTCGGACATGGCATTTAAAACACTCGAGCTTACTCGTCGAGCTTCCAGCATGATCCTAGCTGCCTTGTGGAGCAATTGGCTTCAATTGTATGGGTCGATTTGTAGGGGGAACAGCGACCGGAGCAGGCTCATAATTGTTGCTCTGTCTTGGCGGCAGGCGCAAAAAATCGCCTTCTCGCACTATGCTTCAATTGCTTCTCAATCTTGATCGCTAGGTGGATTGCATCTTCTAGATCAACAAAATGGCGTAATTACACCTCATACCTTATCTCCTTGTTCAATCCAGATAGGAATCGCAAGATTGTAGCCTCTAAATCCTCTCGGATGTCGACTCAGGTCATGGTCAATTCCAATTCCCTGGCATATTCATCTACTATCTGTGATCCTTGACGAATTGCTTGCAGGGATTCATGTAATTCTCACCATTAATACGCTGGCACAAACTTCTCATGCATCAATCCCCTCAGCTCCTCCCAGGTTGTCACTTCAGCCTGCAGATTACGCCGTCGCCGGACTTGGACTTGTTCCCACCAATGTGCTACATTGTCCTGAAACTCATAGGTGGCTAAGCGCACCTTCTGGGTTTCGGAGTAATGTTCACGCTGAAAGAACAAGAGGATCTTCCTCTCCCAATCCATGTAAGCCGACGCATTGTTCATTCCATGAAAGGTTGGGATTGATAGTTTAATCCCCTACAATTCAGACAACGGAAGTTCTTCCTATTCACGTTCAGTCCGGTGGTAATCGAATTGGCATCGATTTTGGAATTTCCTGTCATCATTGGGAATCTCCAGAGCCGTCAATTGATGCTCCAATTCCTGAATTCGCACGGCTAGGACTTGATCAGCTTATTGATTTCGATTTACCGTCGGAGTTTCAAAATTTCTCGGCGGCGTCACATTAGCATCAAGAAGAACTCGGGCTCCTGTCTGGACTGTCGTCGTCGTTCCTCCTTGCCGATTCAGGGTTGAGATTTGTTGAGTCAAGTCATCAAATCGAGCTGTGAGAGCCGTGAATTTCTCGTCTTGCTTCGTCAGTTGCACCTGAAACAAGAAAACAACCTGTTCCTGAAAGAACTGTTTTAGAACCGCCACGGTGATGGGTTGATGTTGAAAGTATGTCGAAGGTATTATATTATGATTATGGGTATGGCTAATTGAGACTGGTGGCAGACAGCATCAGGGACGAAGATCCATAAGTCATGCGTCAAGATTATATACACATACGGTGGGTGAGACGTCATCCTATGTACATGCTGTATTAGATTGGCTGAGAGTCATCTTTCTTACTCGTGCCTACTTGCAACAAAAATGAGAGAAGGATATCTCCATTTCTGTAGAAATGGCAGGCAGCTTTTCCTACACAGTCACCATCGGCAAATACCAGGAGCCTCCGTTTTACTGGCAGCAAGTAGTTCATCGTACTTCGTACCGTACACAAACCCCCACAACTGCAGAAAGATGGACATGGCCTCACTTCACTTAACTGTGGAAAGTAACTGAGTATACATGTTGTGCATAGACAGAGAGATCTAGCTTGAAACCATACCTCCACCTCTTTCACTTCAAAGTCCTGTGAGAATGCGAGGCAAGGGTTTCCGTATGTTTCTGACACTGAACTCGATCCGTTTAACCTTTTCGACACAAAACAAAACCATCAGAAATCAGCAGTTCCCACCTATTTGTTTTTAGTTCTTTGAACATGCATGGAACACATCTATTCTTGTTCGAGAGAAACCAGAGCTTACAGTTCATTGTCCAAGTACAGCGCAAAGTGGCCACCACCACCAACTGCTAGAAAGTCAGTCGAGCACAAAGTGTAATATCGATTTGCACCTGATCACAAGTATGTAGCCATTAGGACACTACAAGACTAATGTTAAATGCACCGTGTGCATGGCAAGCTTGATCCAAAATAGTTGTCAGCACTGCCCTGTGCGTTAATTAGATTAAAATTTCATAGGCTGACATTCCAACATTCCTCCATCATGCAAGCAATTGATGTAGAGATTATTGGAAGTGGTTCAGTGTAAACTCAAAAGACTTGTTTCATCAATCAAATCAGAACACTACAAAATAACTTCTCAAGTATAATTCTATAGGGACTGGTAGCTTTTACCAGCAAAGAGTTGGCATATTTTACTTTACAACTAAAAATCCAGTGTTGTAAATGGTTTCATAAACAACATACTGACGAGAGTGAAAGATAGAACGTTGACTAGCAAAAAACTCCAGTCACATGTAGCTAAAAAATTACAGCAATGACGCATAAAAGGGATATTTTTAACAAGTATCTAATGCTGTGCAGCAGAGATTAATGGAAAGAAGTACCAGTAGGGTGGAATATAACGGGATTTCCAGATGTATTTGTGAAGACAAAGGTCCTATTTGTGCCCTGTAAATATCTAGCGTCAGTATCCCTTTAAAAATTGAATACGCATAAGTGAATAGAAGCAAGATATGCCACCTGATACTTTTTGTTTGTTGGTCTGAGTGGTGCTTCAACCAAACCACCAAAAACAGCACCTTTTCTGTCTCCAACAACCTGAGACAAAATGAAACAAAACAATGTGGAAAGTGACTAAAGATACCAGCAGCAGTTCCTCCAACGACAAACAGGATATTCAGAACGAGGTCTTCTATTACTCTACCCTATTCTCCAATTCAATCAGGTTTTTGTTCGTGTTTCCTTTGTCCCATGCTCTAGATCTAAGACCTAAAACATCTCTAGAGCCATCTGGTTGGACATAGTACTTCCCGTACAAAACAATTGTTGCTATTTGCATCAAATTTACCTTCTAGTTTGTTGGGGTCTAAATATTCAAGAAGAAGAGAGGATTGGATAAGCTGAAAGAAGGTCAAATTACTAAAGAGAAGGAAGTGAAGCTGATAAGTCGAGAGCATGTAATTCATGCATTACCAGCAGACTGGGACCAGGCCAGAGCATGCTTCTTCTATATAAAGTTGAGAGCGAAATCCCATGCCTCCAGGTACTGCAAAGAACCACATAATCAAGAATATGTACCAGTACCAAAAATATACAAGAGAAGAATGAAAAAACCATCTCTCAGGCACTCACCTGTACAGCAACAACCATTTCCTCCCTTTAACAAGAGCAGGAAGTGAAGCATAGAGCACCATCCTTGTCTTTTCTGAGAGAAGTAATGAAGGTTCAGAAATGTCAGGAAGGTGCTCTAAAGCAGCAGGCGGGTTCCCACTTGGCAGCATGTCCTTCATCTCAAGTCCATCAAAGCTATCAGGACCCTCATTAACAAACTTGGACTTAGATTCACCCTTACGCTCTTGACCCCAATACCCACTGATTCTAGTGAATTGGTACACGTTTCTAAGAGATTGTTTCCCCTTAGATAGCAAACCTTTCTTCCCTGTGTTCCCTTTCGTTTCACTGTCTGATGGTTGATCCCCACCCAGTCCTCCTTCATGTTCATTTTCAGCATCTGATTCAGCTTTGCTTCCAGGCTCTGAAGCAGACAACAAAGAATAGAGAAATGCCTTGAACGATGATGTATCTGGCCCATTAAGTAGATCTTCATTCTCTTCTTCAGTGATCCATTCTAGAGAACTTGTTTTCTGGTCGCCCTGATTTTCCTATTGAATCAAGATGTACAAACTGCTTTTAGTGTACATCAACTTTAGGAGAACCCAAACTAGGATTGTAGTTCACACAGAACTACCAAGTCAGAGTCTAGCTAATATGCCAAACCATAGGAAAAAAAAATTTCTGTAGTGTTCTTACGGAGACAGTTAGCATTTTCGGTTCTTGAAGGCCGAAAGGTTTCACTGGTTTTATTGTGTAATGACATGAAAAACGAGAAATACCATAGCCTGATACTCGCATTTTCAACTCATGAAGAAATCACAGCTTCAGAAAGTAAGTATAAGCTTCTTCACGGCTATAGTTTCCATCCAAACATACAATCAGCCTCGAAATCAATCGTCTCCTAAGTAACATAAGCGAAACCTTCATTTCCAAACCACCAAATTGAGTGTCCTAAATTACCTAGAAGAAGCTGCAATCATGCAAACCCATCGTCTAACAGAAGCTGGGTTTCCACCCAATCACCCCCAAGACAGCAAATTTAAAGCCAGAATCATCGAGGCGGCGATAAAGGGGAAATTGAAAAAGGAGACTTACAGGTTGAGATGAAGGGAGAGGATGGTTGTTCGAAGAAGGCTTATCAGAGATAGGGTTGAGAAGGCCAGTGGTGAGATCAGACACAAAATGAACTGCTTTGCTCCTCAGTGATCTCTGCTTCCCCATTTCTTCTCACTATGTGATCGCTTCTCTATTTCCAATCCTTGTCCTTCTCGACAGAAGTAGAGATGTCGAACCTTCCGACTTCCTATCACCCGACTCGTCAATACGAAAGAAAAGAGAAGCTCTGTTGGCTTATCTAACTACCCAACAGACGAACACACCAAACTGGATCATCATATATCGCCAGGAATCTCCAAAACACACCATTTTTCTAAGGCTTCTCCCTTTCTATTTTTTGTTTTTGTTTTTTTTGTTTCGACAATCCACTAATTTCTCCGGGCAGCTGCTGAAATTGTTTATTTACCTTCTTCTTCTGGGTCTGTAGCACTCACACCATCGTCGGGAATGAATGTGACTGGTCACCGCTCGGCAGGCGAAAGGACTACGAGAGAAAATGGGTTTTCTTTACCTTTACTATTTTTCATTTGTTGGATTGGGTGACAGTCCGTCCGTTATCCGTTATCGTCTTCGTCCCCTCCTAGTTTTCCTTTTGTCGCTAATCGTGCGGCCAAAGACAAATCCACATTCCCGGCGGAGTCCGGTTTAAGAAATCCGCCAAACTCTCTTCTATGCTCCAGCTGGTAATGGTAGTTACGTGACTTCGGATTGGGCTTAAGCCCATTTCATGGCAGTCCAATATCGGCAAGCATCTGGGCTTACGCTGTGGGCTTGGGCTTGGGCTTGGTGGGGAAGAGAATTGAGAGCAGCAACTAATCCATCCACCCTTTTCAATGTCAAATTTGTCTCGTTTTTTATTTTGAGGCCAATTATTTTTCGTTTTGAACCACAAAAAGAATAAATAAGGAAATATTATTATGTCTTTTTATCTTTTTTATTTCTCTTTTCTAAATTCTAATTATTTGGCCTTTTCAAACCTGTCCTCTTTCCGTGCACAAAACATGGCGAAGGACATTCCTTGACGACAATGCATAGAGAGAGTGAGATAGAGAAACAGATCGAGAGTTATCATCTGAGAATGAAAACAAGTCCAGAGATTTGAAATCAATAACAGCATAGCAATGGCGAGCCTGAAAGTTCCAGCTAAGGTCCCTCTTCCTTCCGAGGACGCTGAGCAACTCCACAAGGCTTTCCAAGGTCATCACCATTATCATCATAGTACTGATTTTGATCGCTTTACCGCTCACCTTCGTTTAGCGTCTTAATAACTTGTTTAACAATTGATCGATCACCAACGTTGATAGATTGATTTCCAATGAATAAAACTCGGTCGATCAAACCCCAATTACGATAACTCCATCGTTTTCCTTAACCTTTTGTGATTTACCCTATGAGTTTTTATGCTTAGCACACTATGGTGTAACTCGGTGAAAAATGTATTGATCTTCGAAAAAAAGAGATTTTTTTTACTTCATATCTTGCCTCGCGCCATTGTAAATAATACAACTCGATCATCATGCAATGTTAGATTAGACTGTTTAAGTGCTCGATGATGATCAGAGTTTACCTGAAACTCAACAACAACAGAGAATTCATCGTCAAATCGATTACAAGAAACTGACTCGAGAGTTCAATGGTTGCTATATTTTGGTTCGACAGCAGGATGGGGCACTGACGAGGCGAAGATAATCTCCATCCTGTCCCACAGAAATGCAGCACAGCGCGCCCTCATCCGAAAGGTTTACCTCGAAGCTTACGGCGAAGATCTCATCGTGGCTTTGCGCAAGGAAATCTCCGGCGACTTTGAGGTGATTTAACGTAATTCAATTTGTAAACTGTAAGTAAAGGAAACGAACCTCATGAATATTATTAACGGTTGCTCTAAACACATACGATCGAACAGAGCTGCGTAACACTATGGACAATAGAACCATCCGAGCGCGACGCACTTCTGGCACACGAAGCCGTCGCCAAGAAAGTGAACTCCAGCTACTGGATCGTGATGGAGATCGCCTGCACGCGGTCGTCCGACGACCTGTTCAAAGTCCGGCAGGCGTACCATGCTCGGTACAAGAAGTCGTTGGAGGAAGATGTCATGGATCAGGCCAAAGGAGAATTTCGCAAGGTAATTACGTATTATATAATATTGCGTGCGTCGAATCAACGGACTTGATGAATCATGGATTTGCTTGTGCTTTGTGGGTTGATTTGGAAATGCTGGGTTTTGTTCTTTTTTCGGCGACGTTAGTTGTTGGCTCCTCTGTTGACTGCGTTTCGGTACGAGGAAGGGAACGAGGTGGACCTGAGCCTGGCGAAATCCGAGGCTAAGATACTTCACGACAAGATCGCGGCCAAGGCTTATGGCGACGATGAGATCATTCGGATTCTAAGCACCAGAAGTAAGCCACAGCTGAACGCCACGCTTAATCAGTACAATGATGCATTTGGAAGTTCAATCACCAAGGTACGTAACACAACCTAATTAATTACCTAGCTAGCTGAAGCTACATTTGATTCAAGTTAAGTTATTGTCATGTCCCGATAGTTTCATCTTTTTATGCATTTCCAATTATGTGGGTCTGTCTGCCTTGATTTGCGGATTGGGATAGATGTAAGCATGTATTTATACATTCTTAATTGGTCGATTGGAAATCAAAAGATTGTGGGGGTACTCAAGGAAACGAGCCCATCACAATCAGTCATTTTTTCACGATTCCACCCAATGCAGTTAAATGTGTTATTCTATGTACGTAGGAAATTTTTTGATGACCTAGAACCGTTAAAGCATAATATTTTACATTTTAAACCGCGATGTTGACTATATTAATGAGGAAAAACACGATTCTACGTCGAAGCATTTTATTAATCTGGAAGCGTAATTTTTTAGGTTTTAGAACACAAATTTGACTGCATCGATTCTAGTGATAGGACGTTGAGAATCGTAAACAAATTGCTTACACCAATAGGAAAATCAAATTCCAGTCATACCATCCTCCAGCCTTGTGAGACAATTTCAGCCATTGTACACACAACTAAAAGGTATTTTGACAATTTAGATGTTTTGCCAATTCTCTCTGTAAATCATTTTTGTACAGCATTTGAAGGATGATCCGAAAGACGAGTACCTGAAGCTACTGAGAGCAGCCATAAAGTGCCTGACGTACCCAGAGAAGTACTTCGAGAAGGTGTTGAGGTTGTCGATGAAGGGTTTTGGGACCGATGAATGTTCCCTTACGAGGGTGGTTGTCACCAGGGCAGAAGTGGATATGCAACGAATCAAAGAGGAATACCATCGTCGAAACAGCGTCACCCTCGAAAGTGCAATCTCTGGGGATACCTCTGGCGACTATGCCGCCATGCTACTTGCCCTGGTCGGCCATGGAGATGCTTAACAAGCTTTTGTTTTGTTTTTTCTTTTCTCTTCTTTTACCCCTGTGTTGACGTAGAAACTCTAGAATTGTGATTTCATTACCAGCAATGAAAGCTTGTTCAGAATGTGCAAGCTTTCCTGAGAATGTGGGTTTTAGGGTTGCTCTCAAGTTTTCCTCTCCTTTTAGCGTAGTTGTAGTGGTAGCTTATATCAGAAGCCAACTTTTCTGATATTCTTTTATTTCAGGGGCTGTTCCTACTTCCTCAGATGAAGAATACTCCTTCATTCATCAGGCTACCAAAAAAAAAAAACAACAACCATACATTGTTAAGGATAGCCCTTAAGCGAAATACAAACAGTCTCAAGTTTTGCCCTTTGCAGAGTAGTACTACAAAGATAACTCCACAAGCCTGTGAAATCCAGCACTTTATGCCATACATAGTTAAGTTAAGATGGTGAATAAGGGCAAAAAAGTGGAAAGTGGAAAGTGAAAGCGACACCATAGACCATGGAATCCCAGAAACTAAACTAAGCTAAGAGCATATTCTGGGTCTGGAGCTCCAGTGCAGGTGCATGACATTTGATCTTCATCAGAGTACGTAGTAACTGGTGATGGAATGGAACATTTAGCAGCGGTCTATATGAGTGAAATGCTGCTCTCTCCGCCTGGGGGTTTGCGAACGCCACCAAAGTAGTCCCTGGATTCTGACTTTCCATCAGCAAAGATGTTGTTGCCGCTGATCTCTCTAAGTTTGGCTGTGCTTAGTGTCTTCTCAGCTGATCCAGGTGGAACATCTCCCTTGAATATGTTGTTTCCTGTTAGCTCCTGAAACTTCTGGTTGTGTATCTTCTTTGCTGTCTTCACCACTGGGTCGTCACCAAATAGGATATTGCTCTGCCCACCAGCAGGCTGTTTAAAGTTGGAACCAAAAAAACAGAAAAGTCAGGAGGACATCTCATATGATCTTCCCCAACAACTAAACATATCAATGCAGTTCAGAAAGGGTCATATGAGCCCTGAAACTAAAGAAAGTTGGTAACTTTTTGTTCAAGAACTCAACACAATCAACCATTCAATAGGGCAAAGGCATCCTATGTAGTCGGAGAGTAAAGCTGGAGATACTTGAGGAAATATGCTTACATTTGACACTTTGACAGAAGTACGAATGCTCCGTGGAGCAGGTTCACCACTGTCCTTGTTGTTCTCCCTGGACTCCAGTGAGCGTGCAACGTGCACAGATCGAGGAGCTGGTTCTTGGGGAGGGGCAAAGATATCATGTCCACTGATCTCCTTGATTTTCGCATTCGATATCTGCTTCTTGTTCTTCGAATCGGAATCAGTTTGTAGAGTTCCACTCAGCTCGCGTTGCTTAGCCACTTCAGCTATAGAATTAGGCTTCTTGGGAGAGACCGTCTCCTCCGTGCTGAACGAGATTTGGCTAATCCCATTCGCGGCTTGCTGAGAGGACAGCACAGCCCATAATTAACTTACCATACAAAGAACATGCAATACAAAACAACAGCCAAAAAGAAAAGCATCAATCCAATACCTGAACAATACGAACTGTGGTTCTACCATTAGGGTTAGCAGGATTTGTTTCAGACGCATCATCAGGTGTACCTTCAGCTCCAAAAATGCGACTTCCAGTCATCTCCTTAAGCTTATACCCTGAACATGGCTTCCTGCAATCACCAACAAAAACCCTTCATCAGCTCACTTCCATCACCGCATTGATTCACATAATTCATACTGCTGAAAATGAGCATTCAAGGGAAACCTATACACCCAATCACCATCTAGATAATTAGATCTGAAACCCTTGTGTTGCTATAAAAGGGGAAACCCCAGACATGCAGGTGTAGATCTGAAATCTCTGCATTTTCTTTTTTGTCCAGCTAAACTTCGAAGGGAGCAGTATTCTTAAAAAGAGCAAGCTTAGGAAGATTGATAAATAATTGGAGATTAAAGCGATAGGACTCTGAAATCTTACGTGCTGGAGAGAGACTGAGCTTCCTCGTCGGTGACCTGACCTCCGAACACCACCTTGCTGATTTTATCCGACGGCTGAAAAGAATGCGAACCCAGATTATGAAACAAACAGGGGAATGCAAATTAGGAAGCTTTCGAAATGCACGAGCTATTAGTCAGCTGGGATTCGTGAAAGAAAGAGAGAAAAGCTGACCTGGTGGGAGGAGCGGGTAGCGGAGGGAGTGGTCGCCGGGGGATCGGAGTGAGGAACCTCCGACCAGGTGAGGAGATCGGCGGTCGATGCGTGTGGGTTTCTCCCAGCTGCCCTTCTGTCCATTTTGCAGTGCAGAGATTCTGAGTTTGGTTGATTGTGTGGGTTAGATAGAGTCTAGTCTAAAGAGGTAGATGGGAAGGGGGAGCGTTGAGTGTGCAACGAAGGACTGAGATTGTTTCGTTCGTGTCTGTCGTATGTTTAATTTGAATCGGATCTTTTCATTCATTCCCCAGATAAGGGATGACTTTTTCGAAAATATCCAAAATTTTGAAAAACCTCGGCCCTTTTCTGTTTTTGTGGGACTTTTTTGTTTTTGTTTTCCAGGGGCTGCAAACGAGCCGAGTCGAGTTTTTGCTTAGGTTGAGCTCTGCTCGTTTATAAAATTTTTAGCTCGATCATGCAGCTCGAGCTCGAGTTCGACTCGTTTAAAAATAATCCAGCCCGAGCTCGCTTGATAGAGCTCTGTAAATGCTCATTAACACAGCTTGTCAAGCCGAGAACAAGCTCTGCTCAAGATAAGCTCGATTTGAAACCATTCTTGCTGAAAAATGTGTACAAATAAGAACATTAGAAATTAAAAATGATAAAAAGAACACAAGAAACTAAAAATAACATCTAACTTCCACATACATCCTTATTAACAAGATAATTTTTATGTTTAGAAGAGTAATTAATGCTTTAAATAAGGCACCTCGCGAGCTTAGCTCAACAAGCCACCGAGTCAAGCTAGCTCACGAGCTTATCAAGCCGAGCATGGCCTGGCTCAAGCTTGGCTCGGTTATTAACGAGCCGGCTCGCGAGCCGACTTGTTAAACAACGAGTCGAGTGTCGAACGAGTTTTCCGATTCGAACACCGAGTTGCTCGCGAGCGGCTTGGCTCATTTGCAGCCCTAGATACAGGATACCTGATAACCAAACGCGACAGTCGACAAGCAGTCGAACTATCGATGAAAGGACATTAGTAGCCACTAAATAGGCAGCCCTGTTGTACAACCTCGAAGTAAAATTACAATCAAAGAAACTAAACGACCGGACGCCGTGCTAATTATTATATTATTATATATATATATATATAATTAATAGCGCAAGTTAGCTCTTAATTATATTTACTATTCCTTACGAAATTGTAGTCATTTCCAATTAATAAGTATCGGGTTACTGTTCACGAGTCTAGGTAGATCCCCTGTGGCAGCTCCTACAATATTAATCCTAAGGCACACAACTCTAATCTTCTTTATCTATTACCGTTTCCTCAATTAAAGGTTTGCCTTGGGTGTTTAGACGGTTGATACTTAGCTTACCTAATTTGTAGTAGTGAGTTTGCCGCTCCCGCTCCGGCGCGTTAAAGCGCGAGTTGCCAGGAAGTCGGCAAAAATTTACGATCTTAACTTCCTTGGAGCACGGATTGGATAAAATTGGAGCGCAGATTGGATAGAATAATGATGTTTAGTAATAAGTCCTGCTAGGTTTTAGGTGCTTCTTCGCTGCTTGGAGTCTTGGACTACGTACCCCATTAAAAGACTGGGTAACATATATGTTGGCTTAATTAAAGCTTTTATTATTTTATATTACAACCATCGTTTATACTTTAAAGTTGTCATTAATAAAACGTTAAGCCAGGTTATAACTATGTATATATAGTATTGTTCATATTTTCAATTTGTATTACACAAAGATTTTGTAATTATAATGTAATTAGTTAACTTTGTCATTAGCGCAAGTTAGCTCTTAATTATGTTTACTATTCCTTACGAAATTGTAGTCATTTCCAATTAATAAGTATCGGGTTACTGTTCACGAGTCTAGGTAGATCCCCTGTGGCAGCTCCTACAATATTAATCCTAAGGCACACAACTATAATCTTCTTTATCTATTACCGTTTCCTCAATTAAAGGTTTGCCTTGGGTGTTTAGACGGTTGATACTTAGCTTACCTAATTTGTAGTAGTGAGTTTGTCGCTCCCGCTCCGGCGCGTTAAAGCGCGAGTTGCCAGGAAGTCGGCAAAAATTTACGATCTTAACTTCCTTGGAGCACGGATTGGATAAAATTGGAGCGCGGATTGGATAGAATAATGATGTTTAGTAATAAGTCCTGCTAGGTTTTAGGTGCTTCTTCGGTGCTTGGAGTCTTGGACTACGTACCCCATTAAAAGACTGGGTAACATATATGTTGGCTTAATTAAAGCTTTTATTATTTTATATTAGAACCATCGTTTATACTTTAAAGTTGTCATTAATAAAACGTTAAGCCAGGTTATAAATAGTATTGTTCATATTTTCAATTTGTATTACACAAAGATTTTGTAATTATAATGTAATTAGTTAACTTTGTCATAACTTGACTTTATTATAAACCACACATTACAAAAGCTTTATCACACCATTGTATAACAATCACGTAAATTAGAGATACATACATTATAAAAAAGTCATGGAGGGAGAGTTATATATTCTGTATCAATTAAACAAATTGTATTAGGTAAATTTCGGTAGGGATTTTTCCAGAAATAGCACCATTACAAAAAATTATAAAAATAGCACCCACCCGAAAATATTTACAAAAATAGCACCCTTTTTTATGGACCGCACTTTCAAAGTGTATTTTATATGTAAACCGCACCTGGAGGGTGCGTTTTATATATAAATCGCACCTCTAAGGTGGGGTTGATTATCCTGGGCCAAAACGGCATCTTGGCCATGCGGTTTCAGGTATGACCTACATAAACCGCATGGCCGAGGTGCGGTTTTGGCCTGACCTAGCAAAACCGCACCTTGGAGATGCGGTTTGCTTCTCCAAAACAAAACTGCATCCCCAAGGTGCGGTTTTGGCACACAAACCGCACCCCCCCCCCCCCCCCCCCCCCCCGTGCGGTTTCTATGTCAATTATTTTCCGACACCGACATATAGCCATGCAGAATAACAGACGTGGGGCTGCATGGCAGACGAAAACCGTATCTCTAAGGTGCGGTTTTCATCAGTGATATTGCCTATAAAAGACTGCACGGAAAACCTCTTCTCTTCACACCTCTCCTTCTCCCTTTCCAATTTTCTGTTCTAGCTCTATATTTCTTTAGTGTTTTTGCGATTAACGTTAACTCGTAAGTTTATTTTGTATTGCTTTTTATTGTTATTTGTGATTTGTGATTTTTATGATATTAACTGAACTACGCGAGTTATGCCCTGAAGGGGCACAATGGCTGGATGGACACGACCTATCTATGTGGACATTTCATAAAGATGGAGGGAGAAGATGAGGTATTGCCACAACGAACTCAAGTGAGAGTATCAACTCTGTTTACAAGGTCGTTCGTTCACTGCCAATCTCTGCCATTGTGGAGATGACTTTTTGGAAAACGAATGCATGGTTCGTCAACCGACTCCACTGGGCAAGGACGAACTAGGCACAGGGAAAGGTCCATGCCTATAAAGTCACCGAAGTAATGGAGAATGACAATCGCAAGAGCAGTCGACATAGTGTAACGGTTATGAATCGGGAAAATGGCGAGTATAGCGAGACGACCAGACATCGGGAGGATGGTAGACGGGTGGCCACCTCCATGAAGTTTTGGTCAATTTAAGGACAAAGGTTGGGGAGTGCTCATGCCAGAAGTATCAGGGGAGTGGGTGGCCTTGTTCTCATGCAATGGCTGTAATTAAAAATAGGAGCAAAGACCCTCGTCAATTCGTTAGTCCATTCTTCAATATCGACTCACTCAAAAACACCTATGGGCTGAGTTTCCGTGCATTACCTGATGAAGCTTATTGGCCGTTGTACGAAGGAAAATTGATCATTCCGCCGTTCGGGCAGAGCCGTGAACCGGGTCGCCCGAGTAAAAAGAGAATTCAGAACGAAATGGATCAAAGTGGAAGACCACCACGAGGCCGAGGATGATGTTCAATATGCAAAGTTCCAGGACATGATAAACGAAGGTGTCCAGGACTGATTGGTCCGCAAACACCGGGTCTTGATGTGGCGGACTCAGCTAATGAAAATTGTTGATTGATGAATTCTTTGGCAAGTAATTATGAATTGTAGAGATGACTTCTTTGGCAAGTAATTGTGAATTGTTGATTGATCGAATTTGGATAATATCAAGTTAACATGAAAAAAATGGACAAAGCCAATTACATAGAAATAAAAACAAATTAAAACAACACTCAATTAATTAAACTAAGATAAGAGGAATAGTTCCAAGTACATATAATTAAAATTCAACTCAAAATACGACGGCCGACGGGAGTAACAATAGGTGGTTGCGGTGGAAAGTTTCGAAAGGCCGAGGTAGTGTGGCGCTCGTCGGTGCTGTGTCGGCGGAGAGGCGATGATTCCGGGGTCGAGTGGGGGACATATGCGCTCATACGGTGAGGAGTAGGAGGCCACGGCTGATGAGGGCGAGTCCATGGGGTGAATTCGTGGGGCGCCGTCGTGGAGGAACCATCATGCCAAGTACCTGATGATGTAGGGGGATCTTGGGGGTAGACCGGGCGAGATTCGTAGTATTGTTGGCGGGGAGATGGGGGGTAGACCGGTCGGGAATGGTATGGGGAATGATGGTAGCTCGGAGGGGATTGATGGTAGGTCGAGCGGGGATCGTAGTATGAGCTTGGGTGGGGATCGTTGTGGATGGAGGGGCGGTGCTCTTGGGATGAACTCGGGCGGGGATCTTGGGCGGAACTCGGGCCGCAACCATGTGTCACAACCAATAGAGCCGGCACTTTCCACGCCTGATATGGCGTTACATCGGGCTCGTTGGGCCTTTCCCGAACCCTCTTGCTCTTCTTTCTCTCGTATGGTGGTGGGGGATCGGGGACATCACCTTGTACCGGAGGTGGCGGAGGTGCGGGCATGGGAGGATATCTACAATGATCCCGACCCTGAGCTCTGATACAACCATGCAGACTATTTGCCATCCTCCTGATGAAGCTCACATCTTCATTTCCCAGCTCAACTCTCCCGGTGGTCATATCTTTGATCCGCTCAATCCCATCAGCCTAAATAAAAAAAAGTTAGAGAAATATTTAGGAACCAAGTAATAAATTTAATTGTTTATATGGAATCTACTTACTAATGCACCATCGGCCGCACCCTCCGGAGTCATGTACCGAACCGATGTTTGACGATATCGATCCAAGTTGTCGCAACCGCCCCTCGAGTTCGGATCGCTCGCGAACTGATGCCCAGGGTCGCCATCGACCTTAACTGTAGTGGGTCGAACACTATTTGGTCCGGTCTCGACATTAGGGTCGAAACCGCAATTTGGCCTGCGAATATTGGAGATTTGGGTTCGGGAGTACAGTTACGTGTGGGGAAGTGTATTCACACCCCACAACGCCCAAAATTGGTACTACTTAAATCGATAAGTTTTTAAATGTTGGGTGTATCATTATTTGCGTCCTATTTCGTATTTAAATTATAAGATTCAAATAATTAGGTATTTATTTTTACGATTCGATCATACGTCTATTGACGCAAAATATCATAAGTAAGAAAGTATTTTTGATTAGTTGGACTCGAACCTATTGGTTGCCTACGTACCCGAGTTAATCGGGATCAAAGTCCACGTAGTTCGTTATAACTTTGATAGATTTAATCTTAACTTTTATCACGTCCCACTGAACGTTATTCTTGCATTATAATTTTGTTAATAGAATTTTAATTAGATTATTATGATGTTACTAAAATGAAAGCAAGAATTTTAATTATTAAGAAGAAATTCGATGTATTGGACAAGAAATGAGATAAACTTAATCCGCATCTTACATTTTCGTATTAAGGGATATTAAATAATAAAATTGAATGGGATGATTAAGTTGACACATAACGTGCCAGCAGCCCAACTGGCTAGGGTGGTCTCATATCGAGTTCTACCCGAGAATGTCGGTTCGAAACCCGCAAACTCCATTTTTACCGATTTTCTTTTTGGCGCAGCTAAAGGGGGAAGGGCAGTTTGGTAAATGGCCAAAAACGCGCTGGCAAGGGAGTGTAGTTAAAGCGAAACCCTAGGGGTAAGTTAGTCTTTTTCGGGTGAGTATAAATTCATCTCTTAAGTTGAAAATGGAAACCCTAACCTAATCAAACCAAAAACGGCCGCCTCTCACTTCACTCTTTCTCAAACCTCTCTAACTCTCGCCTCTCTTCTAGAGAACCAAACGAAAACCCTAGCCTCCATTCCGCTGCATCTCGTCCCTCTCGTCCAAAACCAACCAAAACCCTAACTAAACGCCGCTCTCTCCTCTCTCCTAACCTCACTCGCCTGTCTCTTCTTCTCCTTCAAAGAAAACACGGCGGAACCCTAGCCACCCAAGCAAATCGCCGCCGACACCCTCTCCACTACCTTACTTCTGGAAACAGCAAAAAAGGGGCGCGTCGCCGGCGGCAAACGACGGCAAGCGCAGCCGATGACGACGACGGCTAGGGAGTCCTAGAGGTTCGCTTTTTTTTGTTTGCATGTTCGGTTTCTTTCAGATTTGATTTAAGGTTTTGGAGTTCTTACCCTTATTTCTTGTTTTTTTGGAAATTGACTCTAAACCGGGGGGAAGGCTTTGATTCTGGTTAGAGACACGATGGTGACGAGGGGATCTTACCTTTGGTAAGATTAATCGGACACGAATCCCATGTTTGCTTGATTTAGAGACTTAAATCGAGTTTTAACTTGTTTTATTCTATACAGGATTTTGCAAGGGAACAGATCGAGGTAGGTTTGCCTAAACTGGGCTCACTATGGCTAGGGGGTTTAAACTAAAAAAAACGGTTTTATTGCAGATTTGAGAATGATCCATAGATCTGAGTTTGAAGGGAAAATGGTTGTGTTTGTGATTATGAATATGAACTTATGGATATGATTTTTGGGTTATTCTGTGTCGGTAGTTTTGTAGATGGGTTTGTGATGATTATGTGAGATTTAGTTTTTATTCCATACGCATGATTTATTTTTGTCTATGTGCAGTCATGGAAATGACATAAATTAAGCAAGAAAGTATATAACATTATGGAAATGGTAAATAGAAATACAACAAGTAAATGGCAGCAATAAGTAAATTGGAATAAGCTTAATATAACTATAGGTCAGTTTAATTCATAGTTAATAAAGAAAATGTGCTTGGAATAAGTAATGGAATGGAAAAGTAAAGTAAAGCTGAATGGAGGAGCTAGAACAGTAAATATGGGATTGGTCATTTTCAATCACTCCTTTAAATCAATTGGGTCATGTAGTTTGATTGGAGATTCATTTCTCTTCATAAAAACACTTGTAGGATTTAGTTGATTTATGTAATAATAATAAGAATAATGACAATAACAGTAGTGATGGAATCAATATAGTTAGCTTGACCAGTAGAATAGAGTAGTAACTATGAAGAAAAAAGCCATGGTGAAAAGATGATTGATGATTAACCTTTACAACTCGCCTGGAAGCCTTCTGCTTCTATTACAAGGAAAATAAAAATGAAGAATAGTGTTTCTCTCTCTCCCTCTATTTTCCCAGAACCGACTGAAAAGAGGAAGAACTCTAAACTGACAAGAAGTGAAAGTATTTCCCCAGTTTTTCCCCCTTCTGAAAAGCTGTCCATTCCTTGAGAATTGGGCCTCCTTTTATAGAAAAAATGAGGTAGTGGTGTCTGGGTTTGGCCAGACCAATTCTGGTCCGACCGGTCTGTTGGATTTGGTTCCTTCTGAGCTGACCGGGTTGTTTCTGACCATGTGGGCTTGTCTTGGAATTGGGCCTTGACCGAGCTTTGACCTCGCTTGTGGGCTGGCCCATCTTTTGGTTGGCTCACTTGTGGGCTCTACTCTTGTAGCTTGGGCTTGAAGTTGGATTTTAGGCTTGACATGAGCTTGAACTGACCCTATTTCCCTTTGTTGCAGGTCCATGGTTGGCTTCGAAAGAGATGGAAGCAACATGTATTGATTGTAATTTTTATTGTAATTTTCATGTAGTAATTGTTATTTGTAATTCGTATTCTGATTGTAATTGTATAATTTATTGATAATTTAAATAAAACTTTCTTCTTCTGTATTTTTTTGTGTTGTGCCAAAAGCATAAATTGGAAGCAAATCGGTCCTATTAGATCCACTCGAATCGAATTCGAATAAATTATACAATTATCGATATTTTAGACTCGCAATGGCCAATCTAATTATCTTACGACATTTCAAGATTAAATTAGAATTTTTAGTTGGTAATTGACCCGGACAAAATGGGGTGTCTACACAAGTATGGGTCATGATACCCCATTCGACCCACTTGAGTTGGAGTGACAATATCATGGGATTGTCGGTTCTCCCACATCGTGATGAATTTCGCCAACTTCGTGGGCCAATCGCGAGTACCTTGCCGACCATCTCGGTGGTGAAAGGCCCTTTGACTATCGGGGACCTCCAACGGAATGCACTGCTCCCGACCAAACTGACGGAAGCATCGATCCGGCAAGTGCCATTCCACGGTCCCAAAACAAATTAGAGGGACCCCGTGCACCATTGCCCGATATGCCCGGGGAATTGCTGGAGATGCCAATGAACGATGTTCTCCGGGTATGGATCGAAGACGATCTACAAGAAAGAAATGAGTAACTTAAGTTTATCAGAATTGAAAAAATACATGTAGTGGAGTACATTGGTCGTACCCCTGTAGCGGAGTATTGTTTGTGCCTCCTAACGAAAATTTACACGTTAATTATTATATATTAGTAAGGGTTTTTTCTTATGACTAAATTAAATAAATTAAATTATTTGACTTCAAGCAGAATTTTATTATCATAAAAATACATTTCATATAATTAACATAGTAACATTCTAAATCAATAATAATTTAAAGAGATACATACATATTATCATAAAACAAATATCCTAAATTAATTAACATAATAACATTCTAAATGAATAATAATTTAAAGAGATACATACATATTATCGTAAAACAAACATACTAAATTAATTAACATAAATAACATTGTAAATGAATAATAATTTAAAGAGAAACATACATATTAAAATGTTTGAAATTAATAAAATTCATTTTATACACATAAAAATAAATCGTATTGGTTGTTTGGTAAATAATTTAATCGTATCAGTTGTTTTAATTTAATCGAATACAGAGCAACACTCGTTAGACTCTTAGAAGAGATATACATCTTCTTAGAAACGCAGTCTTTTTGACAGAAAAAGGGGGGATCTGAGGATCTCTTAATACCCGATTTTACCAGGGAATGAGAGGATATGATAATCGCTTAAAACCCCATTTCCTTAGACGTGCAACTCTTTATAAAGAGTCGAAGTAAGTGGCGATATGTATTCGATTAAATTATTGAAAACAACCAACACGATTAAAAATTCAACATAAATTTATTTTATATTCCACTAAATACATTAGCAAAATAAAGGAAAGACAAATGATGAAGAATTGTATGTACCGGGTGATCGTTCCAAACATCCCTTGACCGATGGTTGGGTTGGTCGTACAAGTTGGTTGGATCCAACGGTCCTTGCTCGAGATAATACCGTTGGTTGTATATATCCACGTCGTCCCCAACCTACGAGAAAATAACAACGAGGTTAGTACATAGATTAATTAAAAAGCTTATAACAACAACAAAAATTAAACCAGAATAATGAGTACGTACAGCTATAAATTCATCAACATAAACTCCCTCTCCTTGCCACCAATCGCTCATTTTTTCGGGAAATTCGGACAGAGATTCGGCTAGGCTCGGCGGGTTTTGAGGAAAAAACCAAAATTCGGACAGAGATTCGGTTCGGCTCGGCGGGTTTTGAGGAAAAAACCAAAAAAACGTTTTCTGATGGCAGTTCGGACTTAGCCGCAACCAACATACCACTATTTCCTAGGCTTTTGGGAGGGGAGGGTTTAGAGAGATAATTCTAGAGAGAGAGAGAGAGGGAAGAATGTGTTGTGGTGTGAAGAAATGAGAGGGGGAAGGGGGGTATTTATACTATTCAGACCGCACCCTTCAAGGGAAGTCTGGTAATTTTTCCCTCGCAGAAACCGCTCCCTTCCGATGCGGTTTGCGATTCACGAGGCGCTAACCGCTTCTGGCTGGTTCGGTCCCCGATCCATGGCGCGGATCGCTCTGCTGGCGTGCGTTCCGCCCTCCGATCGCGCCTCCATCCAACAGTCTTTAAGACTGTTCTGCAGAAAAAGCACAGCGCACCTTCCTAGTGCGGTTTATAAGTAAAACGCACCTGTGGGGTGCAGTTTACTTATAAAACGCACCTTAGGGGTGCGTTCTATTAAAAATGGTGCTATTTATGTCAATTTTTTCGACTGGGTGCTAATTTTGTATAAAAAAAAATTAAACGTGCTATTATTGGAAAAATTTCCATTTCAGTATGATTAATACACTACACAAAGCTTACTATTATGGATGGATAGTCATTTCTTATATATCAGTTAAACAAACATATTACGTAATTCTTTCATAATAAACATTTGAAAGGAAATTCCTTTATTATTTAGTAAATTGTAGGTCATTTCATCAATGTACATTACACAAAGCTTTTGTAAGCTCAATTATTTTTCACATAATAGTTCAATAAAATGTTATACTTTTCATTACTTAATTATTTTATTAGTACTTTCAAAAAAAAAAATTATTTTATTAGTAACTTAAATTATTTTGTTATTACCTATATTCGCCTCCTCATCTGTTTGTATTACACATAGGTTTCATAAGGTAAGTTAGCATTTTAACCAAACGTGATACCTTTTTAGCAATTTGACTTTGTAGTTAGACCACAAATTATGAAATATTTACATAATATCATTCTATAACTATTTTAAAAATTAGGAATACATTACGTAAATTTTATGGAGGAACATTTATGTTTTATGTATTAGTTAAACAATTATATTATGTAAGTTTTTTTATAACGATTAAGACACTATGTAAATTATATATATGTATATGTATATCTTACATGAACTATTTTGTGAATTATTAATATTAACTAAAACATGAAATAAGTGAATGTAACTTTACATATAATTAGTTTATTAACGCAGAGAAGTGCGGGCCAACAGACTAGTCTCCTTTAAAATCGCACCGCATGTTCCATGTGTCACATCTCCCGCGCGAACCCTGAGAATCAAAGGCTGGCAATCGCCACAGAAATTGACAGACACAAACCCATGCAAAATACACCAATTTATCGCATCTCGAAGAGCTAATAATTAGGAAATAAAAGGTTCAGAAATACCTGGGTATTACTGCCCGAATGCGAAAAGAAGTTGACCATTATGGAAGAAGCCAGCAAATCCAGACCCGCCTCCCACATCCTTCTTCCAAGCTCCATCAAAGCGAACAAGGACACCACCAGATGGGCAGATCTCGTCTGTCGGCGTAATGCGAGCCCCCTGTCCGTGAACGAGATGCCCTATCGCTATCCCTATGGAGCGTCAATGGAGATGATGCATGGTGCCACTCCTCAACCTGAGCTGTGAATTGCCGAAATGAGGGTGGCCCTAGATATTGAATATGCTTGTGAATTGCCCAACAACAAGATTTCCACACTCGCCAGCAGAGGAAAACAACATCAGCAATCTCATTTTTGGACAAATGACAAGAAAAGAATAAAGCATTCCAACAATCCGAAAAGGACAAATCCACTAGTCTCCTTCTAAGGGCACCCAAACCAGCAAGCTCCCACAACTCTATAGCCACCCGCAGTGGAGGAAGGAATGAGAAAGAGTTTCAACTCCTTCAGAACACACCGGGCATGTATTATTCGTCACGATCCGCTTGATTTGTAGCACTGCTCGAACAAGAAAGATCTCGCCACCAAAAGAACCTGCAAGTTTAGGCGGGAGTGGTAAGCTCCACAATAACTTCCAGAATCTGCAAGTACTTGAACCGACGCCCCGTCTCTGATCCGCCATCAGAGGCCACGCAAAAGAAGATCCCTCTCAGCTAAGATGCCCTGCCAAGCCCAGGACGGCCTTGGAACCGAACTCGCCTCCAAGAATGTGGAGTGAGGGTGATATCGCGCTCGATACAGTTCTGCTAACGTTGAATCCGGATTCATGAGTACCCGCCAAGCTTGTTTAGCTAAGAGGGCGATGTTGAAGCGTTCGAAACCGCGAAATCCTAGCCCCCCGGCAAACTTGCTATGGCACACCTCCTGTCATGAAAGCCAGTGCATGTCGTCTTCTTTATCTTGATCAACCCCCGAGAGAGTTGGCCATTTAACTTGCGACAGGTGAAAGATGGAAGACGAAAAGCAAACATTGCATATATAGAGGAAGCCGAACAATTAGATTTTATCATCGTTTCCTTTGCAGCCAAGGACATAGTTTTAGTTTTCCATGACCAGATCCGAGTAGCTAGCCCCTCCTCCACAAACCTGAACGTCTGCGTCTTGGACCGTTGCATATGGGCCGGCAGCCCTAAGTACTTGTCCAGAATATTAGACTCAGCCACCCCAAGAAAAGTTCCCAAAGCCACTCGCTCCTGATCAGAGACATTAGAACTAACACACATAGAAGATTTAACTAGGTTAACTTTTTTGACCACTAACCCTCCCTAGCTCGTCCAACAGAGAAAGCAGAGTTGCACATTCCGACAAGAAGGCCCTCAAGAACAGGTGAGTATCATCGACAAAAAACAAATGGGAAGTCAAAGGCACATGCCGATAAACCCGTAAACCGTGTAAATTCTCAGCCATGATCTCACTTGACAGTTTAGCCAGAAACGCTTCAGTATAGATGGCATAGAGAAGGGGTGAGAGGGGGTCACCTTGAAGCAAACCCTGTTGGGCTTGAAATATCCATGGGAATGCCCGTTAATCAAGACCAAAAAGGATACGATGGAGATACAAGCATTAATCTAGCACCGCCATTCGTAACAGAACTCCATTTGCTCCATGATCATCAACAGGAATGACCATTCAACCCGGTCATATGCTTTTTCCATATCCAGGTTAAGTGTCATCCATTTATCTCGCCCCTGCACTTCGACAGTAACTATGAGTTTTTTTTTAATGTTTGTTACTGGTATGTCCACACGCATAATTAGATTCGATAGGTATTGGATAAAAACCTATTTGAAGATTGTCTGCTTGAAGCGGTAGTCCAGATTTGTAAAAAATAGTTAAAGTTGGTCAAAACCGGAAGAATCAGTGGTTAAACAGAATGATTAATTTTTTATCACTAAAACGCACAAAACAGTTGAATATGAATTTAGATTATAGGGAGATTGTCTTAAGATAAATTATATATGCACAATTCATTTGGTATTAATAGTTTCCCACTTTCCTCTCATGTTTTGTTGAAACCGTCAACGATACTAGAAATTCGTCATATAAACTAGTTGGACTTTGCTACAATGATTTGAAAGTCATCGTGACTTGTAGGAATTGCAATGGAGCAGGTCCGAGGCAGATATCTCGATACTCATACCTGCCTCGTGGCAGGTTGGGTCTAGATCGGGTAATTTATCATGGGGTGCGAGTTGGGGCAGGTCGACCCAATGGGTATGTAATTTATGTGAAAATTATTAGAAATATTAGTTATTTTCATTATAAGATTAAAGAAATAAACCATAATAGGATAAATTTAGTTAAATTAATGGAAAAATTGAGATTTCATTAATTTATAACTTTATTATAGCTAAAATATTATGTAATAAAAGGGAAATCTTAAGTAATTTGACTAAGATTACATGTAATTTAGGAAAGAACGAGTCGAGAATGGAGCGAGTCAGAGCAAGTCGAGTCAATGAGAGTACTCATGTCCGCCTCACCCCTTTTACAGGATAGTCAGACCCGCCCCAAAAACAAGTCAAACAGATTAGATAAAAATGGGTAAGTTTGAAATTGTCATCCCTAATAACTTGGATAAAGCGGTCGATCGGAATGAACCATCTGTCACATTTTTTGTTAAAAAGTTGTCCGATGAATCCTCAACGTGTAATCTTCTTCAAGTACCACAAGTGAGACAATATAAATTTTATGTTATCGATATTATATAGCCGTTTGAATTATAAAAAAATACAATATATACTACCATAATAGATCATATTTCAACGTGAACTTCAACTATCCATTGGACTCCTATATGGTAAACTTGAATGGACATATTTTCTTTTAGGATTTCCATATTGACCGGTATATCTTTATTGGGTAAAAAGAAGTAATAGGTAGTGTTTGTACGAAGAGAGCATTTGGCACTTGATGAATGCTTTTGCATGTGTATTTGCACTATCAATAGTCATGATTCGCCCGTAGTTCATCAAGGAAAAAATCACACATAATTCTTGTCTAGAAGAGATCCTATCGACAAATCAATAATTGTTCATCAAAATAAACTAGTGCTCGTTGTAATTGAATTACAAGTGATAAGGTTCAAAAGAATTTATAAAACCCAAAAAGAACCATAATTCAATGTTAACGCTACTCCTTTCTTTCTTTCTTTCTTTCTTTCTTTCTTCTCATCATTATTAACAATATTATAGTGCTTCAAAAGCAGCCACTGAGGCAATAACATCATAACCATCACAAAAATTGCAGCCACCACTATGTCTATGGCACGCACACTCATACTTCACATTCCTTATCTTCTCATCTCTACTGTTCTTCTTCTTCATCTCCATTGCAATTGGAAGTCTAACCCTCATGCCAATCTTCACCGAAGGAGGCTTGACACCATCAAGGCGACTACTGTTCTTTGGGTTCATAACAATCCATTTCTCAATTTCCATGCCAGGCGCCTCCATGACACTTTGCCATGGAAGCTCAGCTCTACCAACAAGCTTCGAACCTCCTAGCCCGAGGATGGTGTTCCCCGTTGACGATCTCCATCTTAGCTCGAAAACCACGCTGCTCGTCTGGAGAGCGTTGATGGAGTCTTGAGTGCCTGAGCAATCCAATGAGAAGGACTCGTTCCATGAAAGATGATCACTGGTACTCGGGATCTCTTTGGTGTCGAGCTGAATTCTTTTATTGTTTCCTGCTGAGAGATAGCATCTCAGAAACAAGTTTCCTTTGGATTTGTAGGATGACTTGTTCATCTTCATAAACTCCTCCACATTCTTGGCTTGGTGAATCACTATCTCGCAGGAGAGCTGTTGTTGCTGACGATGGTAAGAGGAAGTTGGAACCATGTGTGCTTTGTTATCTAAAACCAAAGGAGGAGATTGAGAGATGTGAGCTCTTTTGAGGTAAATATTAGGGTTTGAGGTATGTTGCTAATGGTTGAGTATTTGATGTATTATTTGGTGGGATTAGGGAATGTGTGTTGTGATGGTATATATAATGTGTGGGAGAGATGGGAATTTTCTAAGGGAATGGGAAAGATGGGATGTATGAGCAAGTGGGGGAGGTGCTTATAATACACTTTTTAATCATCTTTGTGTGGAAGCTTAGAGGAAGGAGATTGGAAGTGGTAGAATATATGCATAGTCATAAGAGATCTTAGTTTGGGTTGGACCAATGAGAAGAGTAGTGGAGATAATTCTAATAGTAATGACTCAAAACATAACTAAAGGTGATTTAGATGGATAATTACCCGTGGGGGCATAAGTGTTTTGTTAAATCATTAAACCAATTAGCTGCTTTTGGGGTTAATGAAGAGTTGTTGACCCCAAGTTGCAATAGTGATTCATATATGGATCTCCAAGAGATCGCCCCAAGATTGTGTCGATTGAGTGTATTTTCCTTGTGCTTCAACAAGTTGTTTTTTTTTATGAATTTCTATCTCATCAAAGTGAACTTCAATATGTTTTTTTTTATAATGGTGAACTTCAATATGTTACTTGCCACTTCCAAGTTCCAATATAAAAGTTAGGGATAGCAACGAGTCGGGTCGGAAAGTAGTTCGGGTTTTACCCATACCCACACTCACATAAAAAACGGGTAGAAAATCAAAATCATGTTCATATTCGTTCGGGTTTCGGGTACCACAGTTATTCATGGGTAATAGTTTCTCTTTATAACTCCAACCAATATGTTAATATTCACACGTATTCATACATTACATAAGACGAAAATATGACATTAATCCACTAGAATGAAGAAAATTAATTAAAACAAACAATTTCATGAAAATATTATATTTACTTGCTAAATTTAAAATATGTTAGAGAAAAATAATAATTATTTCTAGACAAAATACAGATGCATGTGTATAATTGGGCGGGTTCGGGTTGGATAGTGAGAAAATAATGCCCACCCATTACCTGCAATATTCGGGTTCAGGTTTTACCCATACCCACTAAATTCATTCTTGTTTGGGTTTTACCAAAGGTTGTCAACCTGCGGGTTGACCTGGATCCGGACTTGAAAATGGCTTAAAATTGCCCATTTGAGAGTTAGCCCGGAAATGGTAAAACCCGGGAAACTCGAGCGGGTCAGCGGGCTGCTCGTTCCAAAGTGTCGTTGAATTTTCGTTATGTTGAATTTAAGTTGATGTTATTTAAGTGTGTTGGAGTTTAAGTACAATTGTTTTTTTATGTTGGATTCAAAATAAGTACAATATAATGACTTTTTCATATTTTTTTGCTAAAATGGGCTAACAGGCTAAAACGGGTAACCAATTAACTCTTGACCCACTAGCTCGACCGGGTCCGGGTCGACCCGCGGGTCGACAATCTTGGTTTTACCCTACTCGATTAGGTCGGATTCGGGCGGATATCCACAGTTACGGATAATTTTGCAATCCCTAATAAAAGGGTCTACAGATAGTTGAGGCTTTGGAAGAGTATTTTCTTTTCACCGGTATCTAGATCATTTCATTGATCGAATAATCAAATTCGCATCTAAAGTATAACTAGATTTGCTGGGTTCTTAAGTCAATTAAGGTAGGCTAGGACTGCAAACGAACAAAGCCAAGTTTTTGATTAGGTTGAGCTCAACTTGTTTATAAATTTTCTAGCTCGAGCTCGCCTCGAACTCGAATTTTGATAATCTAGCTCGAGCTCATGCTTTACTTGAATAAACATAATCTAGCTTGAGCTCGACTCAGTAGAGCTCGATAAATGCTCATTAACACAGCTTGTCAAGGTGATTACAAGCTCGTCTCAAGATGAACTTGATTTGAAATCATTCTTGCTAAAAAATGTGTAAACATAAGAATTTATATGATAAAAAGAACACTAGATTCTTAGCTGACTTTCCTACAAAATATGTATTAACAAGATAATGTTCATGTTAAGAAGAGTAATTAATCCTTCCACAAGCTCTTAAACAAGCCAGCTTGCGAGTTTAGTTCAACAAACCACCGAGTCAAGCTAGCTCACGAGCTTATCAAGCTGAATATGGTCTAGCTCAAACAGGACTTGCTTACTAACGAGTCACCTTATGAAATAACGAGCCGAGAGTGTTGAATGGATTTTTTCGATGTGAACTTCGAGTTGCTCGCGAGCGGTTTTCCTTATTTGCAGCCCTATGTAGGGATAACCTATTGACTACATATATGAGCTATCAGATGTGCCACTTATTTGGGTCCATGTTGAGCGAATTGTCGTCTACACTCAGTCGAAATACTTCCTCGGCTCCTTCAAATATGATGATTGAGAATTCTTATTACTTCTCCACATGTATTCTAGAGTTACTAATCTTACTTGTTCTTCAATCTCACTTTAGGAGTTAATTGCAAGGATGGTCACTGGGTTGACTAAAAACTTTCATGTTTGGTCACTGCAAATATTTAATTCCATTCATGGTCACTAAGATTAGTTCAATAGTTCAAGTTTGGTCACTCTCCGTTAGTTTTTACTGATGTGGCAGTCAACTATTATAGTTGACTGTTAAATGAGTGACGTGGCCATTAAAAAAATATCAAAATAATAAAATTTAAATATTTACAATTTCCACCTCATTTTACAACTATTAAATAATAAAAATAAAACTTAATAGATGGCCTCCGCCATCTACGCCTCCGCGATTCTGATCCCTCCTCCATCGAATTGTGCTGGGGTTTTAGTGAATTGGGTTCTTGTCCTCTTGATCGATTATGCAAATTATGAATTTTTCTTCTTCTTATTATTGTTTACTTTAGGTTACCCAAAAGATGCTTATCCACAACCAGGATACCCTGTTCAGGGCAGCCATGGACAGAATTTCCCTTCTCAAATTCAGCGTAGCGAGAAACAGCCAATCAACCATGGACAGAGCCTCTTTCTTAGCTCCACCAACGCCTGATTCCCAGTTGTCCCACTACACCCACTCCACCGCATTGTTAACCCCACTGACGACAGCGACAACGGATTCCTTGAAATGGCATCATCAATTGCAGTACAATTTCCATCAGTAGCGACAGGAGGAGGGTTCCTTCAGCGGCGATTACATGGGCTGCGTTTAAACTGGTTTCACGACATCGGCGGCGGCGAGGGTGGTGGGTTAGGGGAAGTGGTGGAGATGAGCCGGGTTTCTACTGGCCCGATTTGGTTCCGGTTGGGAATCATGTGAACAGTTCGCCAACGGCAACCGAGTCGTCCTCGCCGCCGGCGATGGAGACGCCGACTACGGTGGAGGTAATATCCACCTCAGGGTTATCCTCCCAACAACAATACGCACAACAACAATATGCCCAGCAACCACCCAGGCAACAAAAAGAAGTTGGCTTCCTTGAAGGATGGTCAGTTTCCCTTCCTCCCTTTTACATTCTCCTTCGATTACTCACCCGCCGGATATTCGAAGGAGCAGGGATCAGAATCGCGGTGGCTAAGATAGCGGAGGCCATCTATTAAGTTTTATTTTTATTTTTTAATAGTTGTAGAATGAGGTGGAAATTATAAATATTTAAATTTTATTATTTTAATATTTTTTAATGGCCACGTCGCTCATTTAACGGTCAACTATAATAATTGACTGCCACATCAGCAAAAACTAACGGAGAGTGACCAAAATTGAACTAATCTTAGTGACCATGAATGGAATTAAATACTTACAGTGATCAAACATGAACGTTTTCAGTAAACTTAGTGACCATCCTCGCAATTAACCCCTCACTTTAGTGTCACCTATTTGGTTAAAAGATAAAAATGATTCACTCTAAGTAATATCCAAACGAAAAACCACCAAGATATTTTTTTCAAGTTCATGGCCTAATTAAGTCCGAAAAGAGCCTACGAGGTCATGGCTTGGTCCACAATGTATTCCCGGTCAAGAGTCAATACCTTCTTCCTTTTAGAGTTGAAAAGAACAAGTCACTTTGTGTGCTGTGCTGATACATTGCAGGCAGCTAATAACGTGGTACCAGTCCATACTTCCGTGCTTTTTAAGTTTGGTATTTACAGGTGAACACGATTTAGGCCATAAAGCGGCTAGGAGATGGATAGGGATGAATACGTGAATGAGGAGCATACACAAAGAGACATTTCAAGTCATAACTTTGAGAAATTGTACCGAAAATTAGGATTAAGAGCTTATGAATGTCGGAATTAGAGCTTAGGAATTTAGGATTATGGTTTACAATTTGATGTTTAGAGTTAGGATTCAAAATTAAAGGTTTGGTGTTTAGGATAGTTCATTGATTAGTTGTAATCCTATGTTATATCATCATATTAGACTCGCAATATTTATTAAAATTCAAAATTCGATATGTTAAACCTACTTTTTGAGTTGGGTGAGTGAGTGCAACGTTCTGTGAATCGTTAATGAATATAAAAAAAAATCGTCATTCCACTTGTGAGTTATGAAGGAGTGGAAGATCATCAGATTTCCCGTCAGATCTTGGAGAGTAAGCAAGTGGGTACTATAGATGCTAGATGGCCAAGCAACAACCTTAACATAATAAAAAGAATATACAGAATCATTCAAGTACTGAAGATATTGCTTTACAACTGAAAAGCACCCCCTGGATCTCATATCCTAGTACGTCAATGAGCAATCCCTTGAGGATCTCAAGTAGCTGCTCCATTTATGCCACTTGTTCTAATTTTTGTTGCTTTCCCAATAGATTAATCCAAGTAGCTGATAACCGTATGTGCAATTGAGTTGGTAAACGGTTAGTTGGTTATTGATCCGATAACCGAATTGATAAAGGCCGTTCGTGTTTAATTGATAATCAATAAATTTTTATTAGTTTGATTATGGTTAGTAGTATTTTACTTAATGGTTAACCAATAAGAAAATCGATAACCGCCCTACTAGTATAACTCCATAGTTTTGGACTTAGGCTAAGGGGAAAAATTCCAAGATTCAAAGGCAACCAAAGTCACAATTCCAACCTCATAAAAAAAAGTCACAATTCCAAACATCTCAATTCCTACCTATTACAAAAGAGTTAGAACCCGAAAGTCGGCCCTCTCTAACTCTCCTTGCAGTCGTCAGAGCGAACCTCACACTCTAGTAATCTTTATTTTTTTTTATGTTTGTGAATGATGATAATCTTGTGGTGCTTCTATTTGATGTCTTGGTAGTTGGTACTGGCTAATTGGATGAATACGTTTGACTATTTTTTATTTTGTGCATTGGAATTTCTATATGAATTACGGAATCGTGATGAATGTTGTATTATATTGATATTATTTCTCGTAATCATTATTTTATGTTAATAATGTAGAAATGTAGATTAATTATTTTTAATTATTTTTATGATTATTCACCTTTAATTTTTAGTACACTGTACTCTTGGTCATTGTTATGCTTGTGAACTGATAGTAATGTTAAATAAAACTTGTAAAACTTAAATGAATTGATGATTTGTGTATCATAACTTATAAGTGGTTATTGTTTCGGTTTATTATATTTTGTTAAAGAATATTGAGGTTATTGATTTGATATTGGTTCGATTAGGTACAACCGTACTTGTTGGAATGTATTTTAATAGTTATTGGTTAACCGCAAAAATAACTGCTAACCGAACCGATAAAAGATGGTTCACCAATAAAATTTATTGGTTCGATTATCAGTATGAATTTTTTACATATTGATTAAACGCTAACCGTCCTATCAATTAGTGATTAACCGAAACCGAACTTATTAGCACATATGCTATGTGCAAGTTACAATGTATCGTTTGGCAACAATCATACCAATTACCATGAGGTTGTATTTTGGGCTAAGTCATTTTCATTGACTCATTCTTGAGTTATTTTATATAATATTGTACATGTAGTTATTAAAATATTTCAAATATAACTTAGAAATACACATTTTAAATAGCATATTATTTTGCTCCAAAATATCATCGTCAACCAAACGACCAATTGATTTAACACAAACATAGAATGTACCGGAATGCTCAATTAGTACGATATTGTCCGATTTGATTCAAGCCTGAACGGTTTTACTCTTGGGTGTCTTCTTCAAAAGGCCTCGTACTAAGTGGGCTAGGTGAACACTAATATACAAGGGTTCCTTCCCTTGTATTACCGATGTGGTACTTGGATTATCTCATAACAATCCTCCCCTCAAGACAAGGACCACGAACTTCGTGTCCTCTCCTTAGCGATTATCTTGATCCTCCAGACACCTTGTATCAATGGGCTTCTCGATACAAAGATTTTTCCAGACGCGGAACTCTCTTTTATCCGCCAAACCAGATGTAGCCCAAACGCGGAACTCTCTTTGATCCCCCAAACAGACGTGGATCTCTCCACCAGACAAACGCGGACCTCCATCGATCTACCAAACCAGATGTAGCCCAGACACGGAACTCTCTTTGATCCGCCAAACATAAGCGAATCACAAATCCCGAGGTCCACCGAATGAGGGTCCCACTAAACTGACGTCCACCGCCCCGGATCCACCGAACCAGGCTCTGATACCAATTATCATTACCGGGATGCTCAATTATTACGATATTGTCCGTTTTGGGTCAAGCCCGGACGGTTTTACTCTTGGGTGTCCTCCCCAAAAGGCCTCGTACTAAGTGAGTTAGGTGGACGCTAATATACAAGGGTTCCTTCCCTTGTATTACTGATGTGGTACTTGGATTATCTCATAACACCCTTCCATATATATTTTTATAAGGGTGATATATGTTTACTTTTGTGATTAGGTACTACTTAAAATATTTAAACCTGAAATCTCCAAATTTAAAACTAATGATATTACCACTAGAACAAACCCTTGTTCGTACCCTCCCATATATAATTCACCTTATCAAGCCATATTTGGACCACAACCATATTATTCTTGCTTGAGAAACTCACCATACCTATTTTGTGCTCCAGTTTTTTTTCCCTCCTCCTCCCCAGATCGTCCCTCCCTTATCCTTCTCCTGCCATTTGGGAGCCTCCACCTGTTGTTTTTCAAGATCAACTTCGATGCTGCTGTTGGCGAATTAGGTTGCTCATCTGGACTTGTTGTTCGTGGGTCAAATGGGCATGTGATGCTGGCAACTGGCTTGCGTCATTTTGGGTAGTCAACCCTTGACTAGCAGAGCTCCTAGCTATTAGAGATGCTATTACCATTGTCGCTCCAAGGTCTTTAACTCACGTGATAGTGGAAGGTGATTCCAAGGTGGTCGTCAAACAGATCCACAAAGATGTACTAAAAGACTCGATTGGTGGTCCGGTGCTCCGAGAATGTCGTCATATTTTATATTTCTTGTCAGGTTGTATAGAGTTTAGTGTGGGGCCTAGGGCCGCCAACATTGCTGCCAATCGGTCTTTTGATTTTTTTTGGGGTGCAGTCACTACTAAATTTTTGGTTGTATGGGGTGTCTGGATAAGTTTGTTTGTATAACTATTGTCCTTTCTTGATATTAATTGAAAATAAAATCAAAGACCTTCTTCAATTACCACACTTGTGAAACAACAAATTAAATATTGTGTCATTGATATGAAATAGTCATTGAAATTATTTATAAAAAATACTGCATATAGTACTATCGTTTGGCAGAAAATAAGTCATATTTCATCGTCAAATACGAACATTCATTGGAACCCATGTATAAAATTTGAATGGAAATATTTTCTTTTAGGATTCCCCATATTGGCTAGTATATCTTTCTTTGTAAAAAATAAAATAAAGGATAGTGTTTTCCGAAGAGGCGATTTGTCCCTCGATGAATGCTTTTGCATGTGTATTTGCACTGACGCTAGTCATGATTCACCCCTAGTTCATAAAAGGCAAAGTCACACATAACTCTTGTCTAGAAGAGATCCCATCCATTTATCAATAATTGTTCATCAAAATAGACTAGAACTCGTAATTGAATTACACGAAGTGAAGAGGTTCAAAAGAATTTATCAAAACCAAAGGGAAAAATAATTGCAATGTTAATTAACACTACTCCTTTCTCTCTTTCATCTTTATGAACAATATTATAGTGCTTCAAAAGCAGCCACTAGGGCAAGAACATCATAACCCTCACAAAAATTGCAGCCACCACTATGTCTATGACATGGACACTCATACTTGACATCCCTTATCTTCTCATTTCTACTGTTCTTCTTCTTCATCTCCATTGCAATTGGAAGTCTAACCCTCATGCCAATCTTCACAGAAGGAGGCTTGACACCATCAAGGCGACTACTGTTCTTTGGGTTCATAACAACCCATTTCTCAATTTCCATGCCAGGCGCCTCCATGACACTTTGCCATGGAAGCTCAGCTCTACCAACAAGTTTCGAACCTCCTAGCCCGAGGATGGTATTCCCTGTTGACGATCTCCATCTTAGCTCGAAAACCACACTGCTTGTCTGGAGAGCATTGATGGATTCTTGAGTGCCTGAGCAATCCAATGAGAAGGACTCATTCCATGAAGGATGATCACTGGTACTCGGGATCTCGTTTGTATCGAGCTGGATTTTTTTTTTGTTTCCAGCCGAGAGATAGCATCTTAGAAACAAGCCTCCTTTGGATTTGTAGGATGACTTGTTCATCGTCATGAACTCCTCCACATTTTTAGCTTGGTGAATCACTATCTCACAAGAGAGTTGTTGCTGCTGATGATCGTAAGAGAAAGTTGGAGCCATGTGTGCTTTGTTATCTAGAACCAAAGGAGGAGATTGAGAGACGAGATTAGCTTTGAGGAAAAGATTAGGGTTTGAGGTATGAAGCTAGTGGGTTTAGTATGTGATGTGTTGTTGTTCTTTGGTGGGATTAAGGGAATGTGTGCTGTGATGTGTATATATAATGTGTGGGAGAGGTGGGAATTTTCTAAGGGAATGGGAAAGGTGCTCATAATACATTTCTTTAATCATTATTGTGAGGAAGCACAGAGGAAGGAGTTTGGAAGTGGGAGAATATATGCATAGCCACAAGAGAGATCTTATAGTGGAGATAAATCTATTAATAATGACTCAAAACATAACTAAAGGTCATTTAGATGTACATGCATATCTAAGATTAATTTGCAGGATGAATAATTACTCGTGGGTGCATATGTGATTTGTTAAATCATTAAACCAATCAGCTGCTTTTGGTGTTAATGAAGAGTTGTTGACCCCAAGTTGCAATAGTGACTCACATACTTGGATCTCCAAAGATTATATGTCTATCATGTGTGTTTACTGTTTTCCTTGTGCTTCAACAAGCTAAGTTGTTATTTGTTTATGAATTTTTATCTTATAAAACTGTCTAATGTTAGTTGAGGCTATTCAGGAGTATTGTTTTTTTTTCCATGGGTATCTAGATCATTCTACCGATCGATAATCAAATTTGCATCTAAGGTATAATCAAACTTGATGGCTGCTTAAGTCAATTGTAATAGAGATGATCTATTGACTGCATATATGATTAAGAGATGCGCCACTTCTTTGGGTCCAAGCTGAGTACTGAATTGTCATCTACACTCGGTCGAATTACTTCCCAGCTATTACATATACAATAATTGAGAATCCCTAGTACTCAAATGGTGAAAGAAAAAGCCACCAAGAGATTTTCCAAGTTCATGGTCCAAGCCCAAAAGGAGACCTACCAGGTCATGGCTTGGTCCACAATGCCTACCTGGTCAAGAGTCAATACCTTCTTTCTTTTAGGGTTTGACAAGAACAAGTCACTTTGTGTGCTGTGCCGCAGTTGGCTAATAACTTGTGGTGCCAGTCCATACTTGACTGCTTTTTAAGTTTGGTATTTACGGGTGAACACGATTTAGGCCATAAAGCGGGTAGGAAATGGATAGGGATATTTAAAGTTAGGGTATGCCTACTATGACATGCATGTCACGGTGACATACACTTTTCGGTCGACCTATTCTTGAAGGCGGTCGACCGAATTGACTAATTTGGGCAGCACGAGAAAGCATTGCGGTCGACCTCAACGACCACTTGGTCGACCGCACTTAGTTTAAGTTGTTATTTTTGGTCGACCAGAATAAAACCTCGGTCGGCCATTTCGTTGGCGTCAGAAACAACATGGTCGACCACCTAAGGTATATAGGTCTACCACTTGATGGCAGTCATTAACAAAATGGTCGACCGGATAAGGAAAGAGGTCGACCAGATAGAAGATAAGTGTTCTATCAAAGTGTCCAATCATTTGACGTAAAATGAAGATCAAGTGTTGGTTTCGCGGTCGACCTAATCCGGTACGAGGTCGACCGAATACAAGAAAGTCAACCTATGCCCCGTGTCTTTTTTGCTTATGTATGTCGATTTGTGTGGTTCTTTTGATCGTATAAATTATGTTTCAAACCATCATAAATAGTCATAAATAATGATAACAAGGACTCATCAATTCATAGCATAACAACTAAACAAACTAACAAGAAATACAATAAAACAGAAATCATAATTGTTCACACATAAAAATAAAACTAAAAAAACAAAAGAATAACAATCAACAATCGTTTTGACCACTTAACAATAAAAATACACAATCTAAAATCTCCGCGCTCCTACTCATCTCCCTTCTCTCCCTCATCCACATTTTCTTCATTGGTTGTGTTAGCATGATGGTGGTCGGATGGGGTGGGATGCATGTATTTTCCGCTGAAAGATCGCCACTCATCTCGCATCTCATTCACGGTCACCTGCATTGTGCTCATCTGGGCGGTCATTTGCCCCATGTAGTCGTACATGCCAGTCATCTGGGTGGACATCTGGCCCATGTACTCGTACATGCCATCCATGCGCTCCCACACACGCTCTAAGGTGATCGGTGGAGTTGAACTCTGTGCCTCCGCCATTGGCTCGTCTCGAGCTCCTTCATCACCATCATCATCATCACCACCATGAGCATTGTTTATTATGACATACTCACCTTTACGCAGCTCAAAGCCCATCTTTTTCAGAGATGAAACAGTATAGAACTCCTGCCTTGAGATTCTTAACCCCACCACTTCACTTAAATTCACATTAAAATGCTCAAATAGCACAGTGAGGATCATCCCATAGGGAAGATTCCTGTTTGAACTCTCTGCAGCAGTAAGCATGTGGTTAAAGATCAAGTATGGCAAGTTCACCTTCTCGTTTAACAGTAGGTTGGTGAGGAGCTCCATGTCGAAGTCGGTGACTGTCTCCCGATGTCCACCCTTTGGCAGAATGTTGTAGGAAAGCATGTGGTGAAGAACTCTGGCTTGAACTGTCAGGTGGTTACTCGTTGGCCTATTGCGACCCTGAGCATCTTCCTCTTCATCAAGACCACGTACCGTCTGGATTTGCTTGGCTCTCGTGAAATTCGTTTCATTCCAAGCACCGTAAGAATGGATTCTCTTCCCCTCATTTGGAGCCTCTAGTACTTGCGCCAACACATTCTTGCTGATGCGCATCGCCACCCCATTCACATAGGATTTGAATGTGTGAATGGATCCATTTGCATTGCGCTCGTAGACGATGTTGTTGTAGAAGTACTGTACAAGTTTTGGGTAGTATGGTACATTGAGAGATATCACCTTCAGCCACTCTTGCTCGATGAAGGGTCCCAGAAACCCGTAATTGGCCTTCCCGGAGCCACCCTGCGGTTGTGCATTGTCTTCTCTTCATAGTTCTCACTTTGCTCCTTGGTCTGGAACAGATTGGGATTGAACTCTTCCCATTCCGAACTTGAGGCAGCAGCTTTTTGTGCCTTTCTTTTCTTTTTGCCGCCAAACATCCTGCGATCAAACAAGCAAGAATACACGTTAGTCACATTTTCGAAGACCAAAACTCGGTCGACCACTCCATAAAGCGGTCGACCTCAGAAGAAGCATAGGTCGACCTCAGTTAATTTAAAACGAGAATGGGCCGACCTCAGAAGAAGCATAGGTCGACCTCAGTTAATGTAAAACAAGAATGGGTCGACCTCAGAAGAAGCATAGGTCGACCTCAGTTAATGTAAAACGAGAATGGGTCGACCTCAGAAGAAGCATAGGTTGACCTCAGTTAATTTAAAACGAGAATGAGTCGACATAAATCCGTAACAATTCAAGTACAAAATTGCTTTCATAGGTCGACCTCAGAAGAAGCATAGGTCGACCTCGGAAAATTTAAATCGATTGAAAACCATATGTGACTTTTAGCAGGAGTGCAGTGCAGGACATTAGACCACCTTGGAATGCACTCGAAGACACAAACGTCTGCTGCCTTCACCGAGTTCTCCTTTGCAACCCTATGCCGGTCATAGGTCGACCTCGGCTAGATTGAAACGAGTCTGAAATGGCCCAAATACTTTTGTTATTTAGTGTAAAACGAATTTAATGTAAAAAACATACACAATTAGCTCTCGTCAGGTCAATCTGAATGAACTGTACGGTTGACCTTATTACTAAATAACAAAGATGCGGTCGACCTGAATTTACTGTAAGGTCGACCTAATAATATAATTAAACAAACACGGTCGACCGGATGGTCGGGTGATCAACCTAATTAGGGAAAAATTTAACCACATACAACCATTAACAAGCACATACGAGACATACCTTAGCAAAGAGGTCGACCACTTATTGTTACGGCCTACCGGAATAAAAATAAACCGCCACCAACACCCTATCACAATAAGAGCGATGAGATTACAACTTCACTCCAGCAAATTGCATAAATCGAAGTACGAATAAATTCTTTAAGACTCCCATCTATTTATAGATAATGTAGACGAATTCCTTATCCAATTGGTGAAAGATATATAAAATCATAATTCGACAAGGACAAGTACACAAAATCCTAATTGTACAAGGACATGAATCATTACGGTCGACCTCTTTGCACAAATGGTCGACCGTCTTGGGTAAATGTGAAACAGGTCGACCTCTTTACACAAATGGTCGACCATTGTTTATAAATGTGAAACAGGTCGACCTCTTTACTGAAATGGTCGACCGTTGTTTAAAAATGTGAAACAGGTGTACCTCTTGACACGTATGGTCGACTATATTTTATTAAGGCCAAACAGACGAGATTCCATCCTTATTCCACATGGTTTTTGACTTTGCTACGGTATCATAGGTCGACCTTAAGCGTCACGAGGTCGACCTGTGCTCTGCCTTTGGGTTTGCCCGCTTTGAGTATGGGGTCGACCACTTGTTCTAGACGATTGAAATCGTAAATTCAGTCACATCCATAATTGTATAACAAATCTAATAAACGATAAACATTCAAAATCCAGAATGAAACAATCTCGCAAATACAAATTCAATGTATTGTCTAAATAATGCAACATTGTAACTTAACGACTTCATTTCTTTGCTTTTTTGTTTGAACTCTGTCTCTCTTTGCCTCGTTCCATGCATTCATCTACTACATGCTTGAAAAGATTTTCTCATGCACGGTTTTCAAAATGTGTAGCCAGATACCATAGAATCTCCTTTCGAGCCGGTAATTTGTGTTCTTCTCCTATATGCATTATGCCATGTAAGACTTCGTTACAACTAAAAAAAGTGTAAATTAAACAAGTTATTTGTTTGACGATATACTCACCACTCTATCCAGATCCTTGGATCCATAGCGCATCCACTGCATGACGTGCACACCACACTCAGTACTATTCCTTTGCCGTTGAACTCATAGCTCATCAAAATTGAAATCTCCAAAATTTGGTACTCCTACATTGCTCATGCGCTCCGGTTTGAAAATATCATCCAAATTGGACAACTACACACAAATAACGAATATTTTAAGCTTCTAGCTTAATGCGTGACACTTAACAGTCAGAAAATTATAGGAAACACTTACCAATTTCTTGCATAGTGCTGATTTACGCCTACGATTCGCCTCACTAGTTGAAGGTAGACTGTCAAGCAAAAATGCAGTTTTTTGCTGGACATTGACGAGATACAGAAACCAATGATGTGCTTCATCGTCAAGAACTGGCATAAATATCTAGCAACGAAACACTCACTATATGTTATAAACAGCGAATACAAACAAATGCACTTTTGAAATTTAATGATATAGGGACATTGACTTGACTAACCTTCTGGCATGCACTAACATTCGGCATAAACACCACGCCATCATTCATCAACTTGTTACGAATTTGTCTGGTCTTCATGTTAGCGCGTACCATTTTCTGCACCATGTTTTAAGTGAGATGAATTGGCATGGTACAATATAAATAACTAGGTTATGACAAATAATTTGACATTACGGCTCTTACCGAAAACATATTTGGCAAATACCACACATTTGGCTCTTTCACATCATGTTTTTCAGACATTGTTAGTGCCCTTGCACACAAATCCACTACCTACCATCCAACAATCAAACACAAAATCATCGTAAATCGTAACATAAATAGTGCACAATTCATACGAAAGTCGTAGTAGTATAGTACTTACTGATGAGCAAACTCAGCTATTCTCGCTAATGACCGAACTCAAATAATGTCGTTGCACGTTTTCAGAAAAAAAAGTCCACAACGGTCAAACTGCAAAAATCAAAATAACAGAAATGTCAATTGTGATTTGCAACGTACAGGTCGACCTGTTCATAGTCACGGTCGACCTTATTGGACAAACGGTCGACCTCATGACCTAAACGGTCGACCACACGTACTAAAAAACGTCTTACTTGTCCCAATTCGTGTCCTCAGCCTTCTCTTTAGTAACAACATAATACAAGTCTTCAACTGGATTTTGAAGATTTTTGGTGAATCCTTCTAGACCCTCCACTTTCATGACCTACAAATCATAGTTAAAATTAAAGTAACATATGAACACAAACACACATTATAGATGAATATGTAATGTAAACTTACCCCGTGCTTTTCGAAATGACTCTTAGATTCATCTTCATCGCTATCAGCACTAAATAATCCTTTTCTTACAAATTGATCCTTCTGTGGAGTGGTGCAAGAGTCACTTTCATATCGCGGTCTCTTGTACTTAGGAGAGGAACCCTTGCTGCCATTCGTTGTTTCACTCTGTCAAACATATAAACAAAACAAATTAGCACTAATGATAGTAATACTAATATCTTCAATCACATATGAATATACTTGGATACCTTTAAAATGTGCTCTTTCAATAAATCGTCTATGCTCTAGTAGCAATTTTCAGAGTCATCATGGTCTTCCTCCTCTTTACCAAAGTCAAATTTCTTTCCTTTACCATCTCTTCCGCCATTCTCCATTCGTTCTGCACTTATATCTTTGATAGCACCTTCTAGCCTCTCAAACCCGTCATGCATCATCCCAGTCATATTTGTCAGTCGAACTGACAATTGCTTCACTCTATCACGCATGGACTTCTGAAAGTCATTGACTTGTGTTTGACACACCACCAGCTTCTCTTGTGTGGCTTTCAATAGTTTCATGATTTCACCCAAATCTTGATGCAGTCTCTCATCATGCGTCATCGTCTAAACAATTTAAAGAAAAATTCAAATCATAATTCAAGTAAAAATTTCTACAATTGACCAAAAAACAAAGACGTGGTCGACCAGACAAAGTATTAGGTCGACCTGGAAGACAAATAGTGACTACCACAACCATTAAGGTCGACCTCTGTTCTTCCTAGGTCGACCTATCCAGCAGGAAAAATAACAATTAACAACAAAAAGTAAGTTCAAAATTAAAACAAAAAAAGGATAGGTCGACCAGATATCTGGCGCGGTCGACCTTTTCAAGCACAACATAGTCATACAAACAAAGACAAAGTCGACATTCAGGTTGAATAACCAAAACAAACAGAAACGGTCGACCTTGAAACACATTAGGTCGACCAATTGGGTTGATCTTCGTTACCTTGCAAGTACAGAAGTCCAAGTGTTGTGGCCTAAATTCAAATACGAAGAATTGTCTCGTCAGGTCGACCTGGTTGACGTCACGGTCGACCGAATGGAATTCTGCACCCAACAATATATCAAATTAGCCGGTGGAAATCACGCATTAGAAAAGATGACGGCGAATGCTACATTAGGTCGACCGCACCTTAGACCTGGTCGACCGCTTCCAACACGTACAACAGCAACCGCGAACGATCTTCTTCATAAAGGCTCTAAATCGGGAAAAAAACCTAATTCAGACTTGGAGGCGTTGAAGTGGACTTATATTCGTATTTATAGAGATTTAGGACGTGAATGGGTCGACCCAATTCGTTTCTTTGTCCAATTGTGGAACCTTTCTGGTGTTGGAATCCGTATCCAATACGGATACGGTGTGAAGGCGGTCGACCTCTTCATAATTCGGTCGACCTGTTAGGTGCACAAGGGTTGGCCTATGAGATATTTGGGTCGACTTTTCATTATGTTAGACCACCAAAGCGGTCGACCATTGATGACTCGATATTTGCACATGTTTTCCCTTTTGTTTCTTGATCGTTTAAGCTTGCATTATTGCTTCTTTGGCCTATTTTACGCTAGGTTGTGTTCCTTTGTCACATTTCAGGTCCTAGCACATAAAGTGAAGCGTAGGCGCAAGTTTCAAGTCAATCGGAGATCAATTGGCGACTCGGGGGAAGAAACTCGGGTATGACTTGAAGAAGAAGGGATTTCTACCCCAGTTTGTGACCATATAATCATGTAATTTATCATGAGAAGAAAGAGGACGAGAATACGAGCGTCTGGGATCAAACGGCACCTGATTTGGAGTCCGAACGAGGGAGAAACGAAGAATCAAAGATAGGGGAAAATTGGTTTCGGGCTTCTCTGAGAAACAGAAGGGGGCCCTATCGTGAAGCTAAAATCCCCGGTAGGGGATTTTTGGCCTTGATAGGGGATTTTCCCAAAAATCCCCTATCGTGAACCAAAAATCCCCGGTCGTGAACTAAAATCCCCGGTCGTGACCCAAAAATCCCCTATCGTGAACCAAAAAATCCCCTGTCGTGACCTAAAATACCCTACCGGGTATTTTGACCGGGGATCGCGAACGAAGGCTATTAAAAGCCTGTTTTGTGCGTTTTTGCAGAGGGAGAGCTGGGTTTTGGATCCCAAACACCCTAGGGACGAACCAAAGAGAGAGAGGGCGATTTGAGGGCATTCTTGGAGTGGAATTGGAGGATTTCTTTGCCTTGGAAGCTCGAGGAACAAGCCCGGACTTGAAGACTGATCATCTGAAGATTCTTACTGCAGTCTTTCTCTTCTCTATGGAGTAACTTCCCTTCACTTAGGTTTTGAGGAACCCTAGATATGTTTGTTTGATTGGATGATTGTATGATTACTCTGACTTGATAATCTTGAGTTCATATTCAATCTATGCATGTTTTCATGATTCAATTCTGCTTTAGTCAAGATTATTGATTCTGCTTTGATCCTATGAGAGGGAATACCTGATTAGGTCAATAGAGCACCATAGATTGATAGTAGTGGATCGATTGCTTTAGTCGAGGGTTGATTCACTGCTTTGTATCGATTGAGAACCTCTTTCGATAGAGGGAGTCTAGTTCAGAACGCCTTGATCAGTTGTTCTAGAGAAGGATACGTCCCTCTAGGCAATTGACTCAAGAGGGCCTTGTTCCTTTAGTCGAGACTCAAGGTCTAGTCAAGGATTCTCCGCATTGTGAATGAAAGTGAAACAAGTTAGAAATCATCAATCGTTAGTCTGGCTAGTGGCTAGGGGGAATCATACCTAAGTGAGTTCCCAACCTGTAATTAGATTAACTTTAACTGTAGTTTGCTAGAGTAGTTTTAGTTCTTTCATCTTGATATGGTTTGCTAAATAATAAACTGAAGCTGAGTAATAGTAACTCTAGAGACCCGTGGATTCGATATTTATCACTTGAGTCACTATACTGCAGTCCCTTCCATTGGTTACACTTGGCCATTGTTAGGTGTTGTGTCATAGCGAGTCAAGTTTTTGGCGCCGTTGCCGGGGACTTTCTAGAGTATTAGGAAAGGCAGAAGTTTGTTACTTTAGCGTTTTTCTTTTCTTTTCCACCCTTGCTTTTCACTTTGGTGTTTTTGTTTTTGTTGGTGCAGATCTGAATCATGGATCCTCATGGCTTCTCCAACAATTGGGGGTATCCACCACCACCCGAGTGGTATTACCCCGAGACTCCCTGGAGCAATCAAGGAGGAGAAGAATATGGATTCGGGTTCCAGTACCAACCCCCTTACTACGGAGAACAACCGGACCCCTGGCCTTATCAAGAACAACCTAATTACCAAGAAGAATTTTTCCCACAACCAGAGGGGCCATTGGAGCTGGAGTTACCCATGGCGGCCTTCACGGGCCATTCTGCAGAGCCATGCTACACTCCACAGCCAGATCCACACTATGAATTGAGACTTCTCATGGAGCAGTTTGCTCGAGACTGTGATAGAACATGCTCCAGGATGGATCATTGTGTCCAGGCCTATCGTGAAACAGAGGAGATCCTCCTGAGCCTTCAGAAGAGCGTCGATGATCTTGAGAGATCTTGGGCACAACTTGATCCACATCACCCTTCTACTACCATACTAGAAGAGGAGGAGGAAGAAGAAGGCTACAAGGACATTGTGGAGCACACTAAAGATGTCACGGAGAGCTCCTGACTGGTCTAAAACACAACACCTAACAAAGGCCAAGTGTAACCAATGAAAGGGACTGCAGTATAGTGGCTCAAGTGATAAATATCGAATCCACGGGTCTCTAGAGTTACTATTACTCAGCTTCAGTTTATTATTTAGCAAATCAGATTAAGATGAAAGAACTAAAACTACTCTAGCAAACTACAGTTAAAGTTAATCTAATTACAGGTTGGGAACTCACTTAGGTATGATTCCCCCTAGCCACTAGCCAGATTAATGATTGATGATCTCTAACCTGTTTCACTTTCATTCACAATGCGGAGAATCCTTGACTAGACCTTGAGTCTCGACTAAAGGAACAAGGCCCTCTTGAGTCAATTGCCTAGAGGGACGTATCCTTCTCTAGAACAACTGATCAAGGCGTTCTGAACTAGACTCCCTCTATCGAAAGAGGTTCTCAATCGATACAAAGCAGTGAATCAACCCTTGACTAAAGCAATCGATCCACTACTATCAATCTATGGTGCTCTATTGACCTAATCAGGTATTCCCTCTCATAGGATCAAAGCAGAATCAATAATCTCGACTAAAGCAGAATTGAATCATGAAAACATGCATAGATTGAATATGAACTCAAGATTACCAAGTCAGAGTACTCATACAATCATCCAATCAAACAAACATAGCTAGGGTTCCTCAAAACCTAAGTGAAGGGAAGTTACTCCATAGAGAAGAGAGAGACTGCAGTAAGAATCTTCAGATGATCAGTCTTCAAGTCCGGGCTTGTTCCTCAAGCTTCCAAGGCGAAGGAATCCTCCTTCTCTACTCCAAGAATGCCCTCAAATCGCCCTCTCTCTCTCTTTGGTTCGTCCCTTGGGTGTTTGGGATCCAAAAACCCAGCTCTCCTCCTCTTTGTTTCGGAATTTGGCTTAAAACCAGGAAATCCCGACTCACACGGGCAGGGCCACACGGCCGTGTGGCCTACCCAGTTGCCCGTGTGAGGCAAAACGCACCGTATCACTTAGTCGAATTCCAGGCTTCTCACACGGCCAGAGTGGCACGGCCGTGTGTGACTTCCATCTGCCCGTGTTTGCTCTCGGCAAAACTCGCACGGCCAAGCCACTCCTTCACATGGCCGTGTGTGTTGTCAGGACAGGCCGTGTTTGCTCTCGCACAATCTCACACGACCAGAAATATGAGTTGCACGGCCGTGTGATTTGTGGGTGTGCCCGTGTGGCCTCCTTTGTGACTTGCCTCGCGCCCGATCTTCGCCCAATCGACCCCGAGCTCGCTCCTAAACCTTCATTCACTTGCCAGGACCTGAAATATCACAAACAAGCACAACCTAGCGTGAAATCGGTCTAAAACACGAGAAACCACATCTCAAACGGTGTAAGAACAGGGGTAAAAACATGTGTAATTAACGGTCTATCAAACTCCCCCACACTTAACCGTTTGCTTGTCCCCAAGCAAACCTAACTCAAACCAATGTAGCTCTCCAGACCTCTATAGCAACAAACAACCCAGATCGTAGGTAGAGGACTTCCTAGATCATTTAGCAACTTACGAGGTCAACCAACGCACAAGTCATCTCATAGCTTCTTCGGCGAGAGCACTAGTATCGAGTCGGCATCATGGCAAATAGTGAACAGAGGACAAATGAATTGTGGATGAAGAGATTCTCAAAAACAAAAGATCATGGACTCACATTTTTCAAGGTGCTCTCTTTTTTTTCTTCTTGAAGATGGTTGGAACCCCTTTTCTTTCTGTTTTGCTTGTTTTCTGTTATTTTTTTTTCCAAGTGTCCCATCCTGCTCTTACCGGCCATGCCAGGAGCGGATGTCTCGAGCCTCGTGCAGGGGAAAGACATGTAAGGGGGCTGGAGGTAGTAGGTGGAAATTGGGAACGGATTCCCATCTCCCCTTACACACTTTCGCCCTATTCGCACGGGAGACGTTATTTTGAAGCACATTTTCGAGCACCTGTTAAACTTAAAACATGATACAAGAGTCCATGACAGGTAGAGAATCCACAACACCACACAATTCAAGGGTCCTAAGATCACTAATTCACTCAATCAACCAACTCAATATGAAGAAGAAATGAGACTTCTTAAATGCATCAACATCCTCCATAGTGCTACACTACCTCCCTAGGTTGCATATTACTATAAAGACAGTCAATTCAAAGCATACTGAGCAGGCAATTGCAAGGAACACGTACTTGGAGCCCTCAAATTTAAAAATTTGGACAGTGGACTAGGCTCCAAGCACACAAACAGCTAAACATTCACCCGCATAAATAATCGAACATCCCCCCCACACTTAAGCACGACATTGTCCTCAATGGAGGAAAGATAAGGAGGGTAGAACGAAGTTACCAGATCAAGGGTGAATGATGATGAACGGGTCAGGCGGTGCCATCCAGAAAGAGAGAGTAATCAGAACACAAACAACACACAAAATCTCACAAAGGTTGAGTTATTGACTCTAAAATCAAATAGCAAACTGACTCAACCGAGGAGAAATAGAGACAGAAATGCAAACCGACTGGTTGGGTTGCCTCCCAACAAGCGCTTCTTTCACGTCGTGAGCCGGACGATGGCTCCTAAGTTTCGGTCCATGCTAGAACCTCCTTGAAGTTGAGGTTCTCGTCGATGAGGTGGAGTCTCAAGTCACGAGCATGTGGTGTGGCAGGTGATGAAGGCTCATGTACTTGATGCAGATGAAGTCTCCACCCTCGAGACCTCTCCTTCTCTTCTCTCGTCTCATTGCCCCAAACCAGATATGACAGCATCGATTGGCCACCATCGCGTCCACCAAGAGGGACCGATGTCGAGGTGGCCTTGGTCTGGCAAAGAGACACTGCAAATGGGTCCTTGCTAAGCAGTTCCTCGAAGTTTGGTGGAGATATCACATGTAACTCATGGCCAGTGCAGGCCTCTTCCACCTTAACTCCGTCCTCAGCCTGGACGCCAATTGCTTCTTCAACCCCCCTTTCTTCTTCATGTGGTATCACCCCTGGGAAATGATCAAGAACTCCTCCTGCTTCACTTTCGTCATCCTCCACAACTTCTTTCTGCACCCTTTGTTGCTCTTCTTCTTCTAGCACGGATTGGAGAGCAAGTTGCCAAGCAATTTCTTTCATGAGATCTTCTTGCAACTCCTCACTCATGCCCGCCTCTTCAAAGCGCAGTTTGGGGTGTGGGAAGGTGCGGTCGGCTACGACAGGACACTCCTGATCATGATCATCACGAGAGCTCTCCGTGACAACTTCAGTGTGCTCCACAATGTCCTTGTAGCCTTCTTCTTCCTCCTCCTCTTCTTGTATGGTAGCAGAAGGGTGATCTGGAGCAGGCTGTGCCCAAGATCGCTCAAGATCATCGACGCTCTTCTTAAGGCTCAGGAGGATCTCCTCTGTTTCACGATAGGCCTGGACACAATGATCCATCCTGGAGCATGTTCTATCACAGTCTCGAGCAAACTGCTCCATGAGAAGTCTCAATACATAGTGTGGATCTGGCTGTGGAGTGTAGCATGGCTCTGCAGAATGGCCGGTGAAGGCCGCCATGGGTAACTCCAGCTCCAATGGCCCCTCTGGTTGTGGGAAAAGTTCTTCTTGGTAATGAGGTTGTTCTTGATATGCCCAGGGATCCGGTTGTTCTCCATAGTAAGGGGGTTGGTACTGGAACCCGAATCCATAGTCTTCTCTTCCTTGATTGCTCCAGGGAGTCTCGGGGTAATACCACTCAGGTGGTGGTGGATACCCCCAATGATTGGAGAAGCCATTAGGATCCATGATTCAGATCTGCACCAACAAAAACAAAAACATCCAAGTGAAAAGCAAGGGTGGAAAAGAAAAGAAAAACGCTAAAGTAACAAACTTCTGCCTTTCCTAATACTCTAGAAAGTCCCCGGCAACGGCGCCAAAAACTTGACTGGTCTAAAACACAACACCTAACAAAGGCCAAGTGTAACCAATGAAAGGGACTGCAGTATAGTGGCTCAAGTGATAAATATCGAATCCACGGGTCTCTAGAGTTACTATTACTCAGCTTCAGTTTATTATTTAGAAAATCAGATTAAGATGAAAGAACTAAAACTACTCTAGCAAACTACAGTTAAAGTTAATCTAATTACAGGTTGGGAACTCACTTAGGTATGATTCCCCCTAGCCACTAGCCAGATTAATGATTGATGATCTCTAACCTGTTTCACTTTCATTCACAATGCGGAGAATCCTTGACTAGACCTTGAGTCTCGACTAAAGGAACAAGGCCCTCTTGAGTCAATTGCCTAGAGGGACGTATCCTTCTCTAGAACAACTAATCAAGGCGTTCTGAACTAGACTCCCTCTATCGAAAGAGGTTCTCAATCAATACAAAGCAGTGAATCAACCCTTGACTAAAGCAATCGATCCACTACTATCAATCTATGGTGCTCTATTGACCTAATCAGGTATTCCCTCTCATAGGATCAAAGCAGAATCAATAATCTCGACTAAAGCAGAATTGAATCATGAAAACATGCATAGATTGAATATGAACTCAAGATTATCAAGTCAGAGTACTCATACAATCATCCAATCAAACAAACATAGCTAGGGTTCCTCAAAACCTAAGTGAAGGGAAGTTACTCCATAGAGAAGAGAGAGACTGCAGTAAGAATCTTCAGATGATCAGTCTTCAAGTCCGGGCTTGTTCCTCAAGCTTCCAAGGCGAAGAAATCTTCCTTCTCTACTCCAAGAATGCCCTCAAATCGCCCTCTCTCTCTTTGGTTCGTCCCTTGGGTGTTTGTGATCCAAAAACCCAGCTCTCCTCCTCTTTGGTTCGGAATTTGGCTTAAAACCAGGAAATCCCGACTCACACGGGCAGGGCCACACGGCCGTGTGGCCTACCCAGTTGCCCGTGTGAGGCAAAACGCACTGTATCACTTAGTCGAATTCCAGGCTTCTCACACGGCCAGAGTGGCACGGCCGTGTGTGACTTCCATCTGCCCGTGTTTTCTCTCGGCAAAACTCGCACGGCCAAGCCACTCCTTCACATGGCCGTGTGTGTTGTCAGGGCAGGCCGTGTTTGCTCTCGCACAATCTCACACGACCAGAAATATGAGTTGCACGGCCGTGTGATTTGTGGGTGTGCCCGTGTGGCCTCCTTTGTGACTTGCCTCGCGCCCGATCTTCGCCCAATCGACCCCGAGCTCGCTCCTAAACCTTCATTCACTTGCCAGGACCTGAAATATCACAAACAAGCACAACCTAGCGTGAAATCGGTCTAAAACACGAGAAACCACATCTCAAACGGTGTAAGAACAGGGGTAAAAACATGTGTAATTAACGGTCTATCAGCTCCCGTGATGATCATGATCAGGAATGTCCTGTCATAGCCAACCACACCTTCCCACACCCCAAACTGAGCTTTGAAGAGGCGGGCATGAGTGAGGAGATGCGAGAAGATCTCATGAAAGAAATTGCTTGGCAACTTGCTCTCCAATCCGTGCTAGAAAAAGAAGAGCAAGAAAGGGTGCAGAAAGAAGTTGTGGAGGATGATGAAAGTGAAGCTGGAGAAGTTCTTGATCATTTCCCAGGGGTGATACCACATGAAGAAGGAAGGGAGGTTGAAGAAGCAATTGGCGTCCAGGCTGAGGACGAAGTTGAGGTGGAAGAGGCTTGCACCGGCCATGAGTTACATTTGATATCTCCACCAAACTTCGAGGAACTGCTTAGCAAGGACCCATTTGCAGTGTCTCTTTGCCAGACCAAGGCCACATCAACATCGGTCCCTCTTGGTGGACGCGATGGTGGTCAATCGATGCTGTCATATCTGGTTTGGGGCAATGAGACGAGAGAAGAGAAGAAGAGGTCTCGAGGGTGGAGACGTTATCTGCATCAAGTGCACGAGCTTCCATCACCTGTCATACCACATGCTCGTGACTTGAGACTCCACCTCATAGACGAGAACCTCAACTTCAAAGAGGTTTTGGGGTGGACCGAAACTTAGGAGCCATCGTCCGGCTCATGACGTGAAAGAAGCGCTTATTGGGAGGCAACCCAACCAGTCGGTTTGCATTTCTTTCTCTTTTTCTCCTCGGTTGAGTCAGTTTTGTTATTTGATTTTAGAGTCAATAATTCAACCTTTGTGAGATTTTGTGTGGTGTTTGTGGTCTGACCATTCTCTCCTCCTGGAATACGCCGCCTGCCCCGTCCACCATCATTCACCCTGGATCTGGTAACTTCGTTCTACCCTCCTTATCTTTCCTCCATTGAGGACAATGTCGTGCTTAAGTGTGGGGGGATGTTCGATTATGTATCCGTGTGAATGTTTGACTGTTTGTGTGCTTAGAGCCTAGTCCACTGTCCAAATTTCGATTTGAGGGCTCCAAGTACATGTTCATTGCAATTGCCTGCTCAGTATGCTTTGAATTGACAGTCTTTATAGTAATATGCAACCTAGGGAGGTAGTGTAGCACTATGGAGGATGTTGATGCATTTAAGAAGTCTCATTTCTTCTTCATATTGTGTTGGTTGATTGAGTGAATTAGTGATCTTAGGACCCTTGAATTGTGTGGTGTTGTGGACTCTCTACCTGTCATGGACTCTTGTATCATGTTTTGAAATAAAAGGTGCTCGATAATGTGCTTTAAAATAACGTCTCCCGTGCGAATAGGGCGAAAGTGTGTAAGGGGAGACGGGAATTCGTTCACAATTTCCACCTACTACCTCCAGCCCTCTTACATTCCTTTTCCCCGCACGAGGCTCGAGACATTCGCTCCCGGCATGGCCGGTAAGAGCCGGGTTCCCGCAAAACCTTTGCTAGGTGGGAGCCCCGTTTTCTGAAAATTGGGTTGGAACCCTTGAAAAAGAAAGAAAAAAAAGAGAACAAAAGAAAAGGAAAAAAAAGAGGTTCCAACCATCTTCAAAAAGAAAATAAGAGCACCTTGAAAAATGTGAGTCCATGATCTTTAGTTTTTGAGAGTCTCTTCGTCCACGATTCATTTGTCCTCTGATCACTATTTGCCATGATGCCGACTCAAGACTAGCGTTCTCGCCGAAGAAGCTATGAGATGACTTGTGCGTCGGTTGACCTCGTAAGCTGCTAAATGATCTAGAAAATCCTCTATCAAGGATCGAGGGTGCATGTTGCTATAGAGGTCTGGAGAGCTGCATTGGTTTGAGTTAGGTTTACTTGGGGACAAGCAAACGGTTAAGTGTGGGGGGATTTGATGACTCGATATTTGCACATGTTTTCCCTTTTGTTTCTTGATCGTTTAAGCTTGCATTATTGCTTCTTTGGCCTATTTTATGCTAGGTTGTGTTCCTTTGTCACATTTCAGGTCATAGCACATAAAGTGAAGCGTAGGCGCAAGTTTCAAGTCAATCGGAGATCAATTGGCGACTCGAGGGAAGAAACTCGGGTATGACTTGAAGAAGAAGGGATTTCTACCCCAGTTTGTGACCATATAATCATGTAATCTTGTCATGAGAAGAAAGAGGACGAGAATACGAGCGTCTGGGATCAAACGGCACCTGATTTGGAGTCCGAACGAGGGAGAAACGAAGAATCAAAGATAGGGGAAAATTGGTTTCGGGCTTCTCTGAGAAACAGAAGGGGGCCCTATCGTGAAGCTAAAATCCCCGGTAGGGGATTTTTGGCCTTGATAGGGGATTTTCCCAAAAATCCCCGGTCGTGAACTAAAATCCCCGGTCGTGATCCAAAAATCCCCTATCGTGAACCAAAAAATCCCCTGTCGTGACCTAAAATACCCTACCGGGTATTTTGACCGGGGATCGCGAACGCAGGCTGTTAAAAGCCTGTTTTGTGCGTTTTTGCAGAGGGAGAGCTGGGTTTTGGATCCCAAACACCCTAGGGACGAACCAAAGAGAGAGAGGGCGATTTGAGGTCATTCTTGGAGTGGAATTGGAGGATTTCTTTGCCTTGGAAGCTCGAGGAACAAGCCCGGACTTGAAGACTGATCATCTGAAGATTCTTACTGCAGTCTCTCTCTATGGAGTAACTTCCCTTCACTTAGGTTTTGAGGAACCCTAGCTATGTTTGTTTGATTGGATGATTGTATGATTACTCTGACTTGATAATCTTGAGTTCATATTCAATCTATGCATGTTTTCATGATTCAATTCTGCTTTAGTCAAGATTATTGATTCTGCTTTGATCCTATGAGAGGGAATACCTGATTAGGTCAATAGAGCACCATAGATTGATAGTAGTGGATCGATTGCTTTAGTCGAGGGTTGATTCACTGCTTTGTATCGATTGAGAACCTCTTTCGATAGAGGGAGTCTAGTTCAGAACGCCTTGATCAGTTGTTCTAGAGAAGGATACGTCCCTCTAGGCAATTGACTCAAGAGGGCCTTGTTCCTTTAGTCGAGACTCAAGGTCTAGTCAAGGATTCTCCGCATTGTGAATGAAAGTGAAACAAGTTAGAAATCATCAATCGTTAGTCTAGCTAGTGGCTAGGGGGAATCATACCTAAGTGAGTTCCCAACCTGTAATTAGATTAACTTTAACTGTAGTTTGCTAGAGTAGTTTTAGTTCTTTCATCTTGATATGGTTTGCTAAATAATAAACTGAAGCTGAGTAATAGTAACTCTAGAGACCCGTGGATTCGATATTTATCACTTGAGCCACTATACTGCAGTCCCTTCCATTGGTTACACTTCGCCATTGTTAGGTGTTGTGTCATAGCGAGTCAACCATATTATGTAAGAGGTCGACCGCGTCTCGGAACCTCACATACATGAATTAGTCCATTCCGTCCACCGCATGTTGGATTAGGTCGACCGAAAAGTCCATGTCATGTCACCGTAGCAAAATCCTTAAAGTTATAACTTTGTGAAATTGTACAGAAAATTGAATTGGTGAGTTAACATTCATCAGTAAAATGAACAAAACATCTTAATCAACCTATCATAAACCCTGATTACAAGATCGTCCAGATTTAATCTTCGATATACAATTTAGCTATAGGGTGATCGAAGCCATGATATCTGCCTGCCTAATTACCATTAACTCTGAAGAAAAGTAACCTAGCTAGTGAGCAAAACCCAAAGTCTAAACCTCTCAGGTTGACTGCAACCCGGTGGTTAAAAGGGTATTTTAGCACACAAAAAAAGTCTCCTAAAAATGGCTAAAATGGGGAAGCTAAATGGTTGAAAAGGATTTCAGGAGGCTATTTTATATGGAGCTTAAGGACCAGAGTTGCACAACCAAACTCGATCAATCAAAGGGTTTTGTTGATCAATGAAACTCGAATCAAGAACAACCCAAATAACTAAGTTATTTGGATCGAATAAGGGTGGAATTGAAGTGCAATCTCAAACCTGGGAGAAGACTTTGTCAATTTTGAACAGATGCTCGTCACAATCAAGGGTGATTTGTTGATTGATAAGAGACCAGAAAACCCTTGGAGTCCACCAAAGATCGACACAAACTCATAAGCCTTTGCTCGATGAATTCAAGGGTAAAAGCCCAATAATCCTTTTCCCCTTTTCAAGCTACAATGCGACCTTTATATGGGCAAAAGAAACTGTAATTCTATGCTATCTAGGAAAGGAAAACAACTACAACACTAATAAGGAAAAAAAACACGAAACCAACTCAAGAATCCTTTCCAAACTCGGATGGTTGCGGTCTAAGTAAATAACTTCCTCTAGAAGTAAAACAAATAGCTTTCATACCAACTTCAAGCTTCTCGTATGATACCCAACAAGCTTCATTCCTCTCATCCAACTCCTTCGCAATCTCTTACAATACTTATATTACAACGACCAAGTCTCATCTTCACTCCATCAGCCTCCAAAATGAAGTTACAAGCCTACAACACTTAGCCAATTTCGACTCTTCTTACTCCCTCAAGGTGCATTCTTCTTTAAGCATCAATGTGAACGATTTTAGTTCAACCTTGAGGCTTGCATTAGTCTCTCCCCGTTGAAAAATTTTCTCTCAAAACTTGTGTGCTCCTGCAAGGGAGATCGTCACTGCAGTAGACTCCAAAAGGATCAAGAAAAGCTAGTTGTTGTTCCTTTTGCCTTCGCAACCAACTTGTGAAAATTTCCTTCTTCCTTGCACTTATTGACCCGATTCGTGGCAGGATTCACAAATTTTGATGTGTTTCCTTCAAATGGGAACAACTCTTGTCCCGTATCATTAACAATTATCAACGAAAGGTGAACCATAAACTTCATAGAAGCTCCTAGTTTCACGAGGAGCTCTATCAAATCTCTAAAATTTGAATTCGTGAAATTCAAGCCTCCATCCTCCAATTCATTGCACGTTTGAACTTGCTCCTTCATCGAATTGAACTTCCCAATCGATCATGAACATCGATATCCCCGATAAGCGTCGACTCATCGTTGCAAGTTTTCCAATCAGAGTCGAATTTACCTTGTTCAAAATCTAGATCATCAATCTTCAATTTGTGAGTTTTGATTCTCGTATGATCTGGATTTGTAGTTGTGAGGAATATCATTCCTAGGCCTCCTAGAAACGCATTCCGGGTGGTGGCAACAGTCGAATCATCCCTTAGCTCAACGACAGAGCTCTCAAAGCTGGAATTCTGTTCCGTCAAGAAAAAAACAGAGTCTTTGAACTCCGGTGGTTTTTGGAGTTTTGATTTCCTTTAGCCCCGTCAACATGTAGCATCGGGCTACCAAATTGGCATTAACCGCTTGCTCCCTCTTTAAACCACTCGATTCCCCATTCTCGTTGGCCCAATTCAGCTCCATCTATTGTTGATCTTCTCCAAACTTCAGTTGGAGACAAAGGCTTGAGCAAAAATTTCGGACCTCCATATCCGACCTTGTAACAATTGCTCCGACCATCATGAGTTACTCCTCGATCAAACTACCATGGACGACCCAGCAAGATAAGAGCTGCCTGCATTAGCGCAATGTCACAAAGAATATTGTCTTTGTACTCTCTGATGACTTGATATATACACATGTTTCTATCCACCATTCTTATGTCGTTTAAGCTTCATTTCTCGTATCTTAGGCCAATTTCATGCTAGGTTGTTCTAGTTTATGTTATTTCAGGTCCTAGTACGTGATTGGAGGTTTAGGAGCGAGTTTCGAGTCAATTGGACGAAAGTTGGACGTCTGGCGAGGAGATGAGGAATCCACACGGCCAGACCTAGCAGCCACACGGCCGTGTGGTGTGGCCGTGTGGAAGCCCATTACGCGGCCAAGCCACACTGGTCGTGTATTGGACCCCTTGATGCCGTGAGGAAAGTCCAGGGAGCTCACACAGTCGGACTGGAAATCCACACGGCCGTGTGCTTCTAGCCGTGCAGCGTGCCTGAAGACCACTAATTGAAACGCGGCGTTTTCACATCCATACGGGCAGACTGGAAAGCCACACGGCCGTGTGGCCTAGCTGTGTGGTCGGAAAAATTCAGGGTTTTAACCAAATTTAAAGCCAAAGGAGAGGGAATGGATTTTCTGGAGCAAACACAGAGCCCTAGAGAGAGAAAGTGCGAAGAACACCCCCCTAAGAGTGGTTTTGGAGCTGGATGTCATCAATTAAGCTTGGAAATCATCCTTGGAGTGAAGATCATCATCCCAAAGCAGATTCTTCCCATCTTGATGAGTATGACTGCTTTGTTTGTTGTTTTCCTCTCTCTATATGGAGTAGAACCCTCTCTCACTTGGGTATGAAGAACCCTAGTTCTATGTGTTAGGGATCATTGTTATAACGACGTTTGGATTGTGATATTGTTGGATTATAATCGATTGAAGTGTGTTGATTGAGTCAATTGAAGACTGATCATCTTTTATTGATTTCTGCTGCAACCTGAGATAAATAGAATTTGATTAGGTTGTTAGAGCTTCTTCAATCGGTAGTAGTGAATCGATTATACGAGAGTTAGTCGATTCACTGCTTTGTACTGGAATTCAGTTCCAGTAGTGGAGTTCTGTGTTCATAGCCTCAGCTTTCTATCCCGGTGAAGACTAGTCGTCTGCTGGGTAGTTTGACTGAAAGAGCTTGGTCAGCTTAAGAGATTCCAATCTACTGTCGGATCTTCCGTAGTATAATCAACAGTAAAGCAACCAAAAGTAATTACAACTATGACCTAAATAAGGAGCTAGGGGGACTCATTCCCGAGTGACTCTTCCCTTGCTTTAAAAAACCAAACCATTACCTGCTTTCTTACTGCTTTTAGTTAAAACCACAATCAATCGACTTAGTTTGCTAGATAATAAGTAATCACGGAGTAGGCAGTAGATCTAGGCCCCGGAGTTGACAAATAGAGCTTGCCACTTACTGCATATCCAGACTGCGATTACACTTGGTCGCAGTTTGGTGTTGTGTTTTAGCGTGTCACTCTCCCATTTGAATTTAACCATGGCTTGCTTGGTGACTTTAATTGCGCCATAATCATTCAACCTATGCAGTGAGTAAAGCTGTAAGTGCTTCGTTGTGCTCAATCTGAGCTTCCTTACTACTTCTAGGCTTATAACGTTGGTGCAGCTACCACCATCAACAACCATAGCTTGTACTTTCCCATCAACTATACAACGTGAGTGAAATAAGTTGTCATGTTGCTCTGACCCTGATCGAGATTTAATGGTGAGCACTCGATACTTTATTCCAAGAAATTTCCCTGCTGGAGGGATCTCTACAACAATGTGCTCATCAACATCAGAGTTCGACTCAACTTCAGCTTCTTATGGCTTCTCTTCTTCATCCTTAGGGGAGTATTCTCCATCTCAAAGTCCCAGTGCTTTCTTGTTGGGGCATTGGTTTGCTTTGTGACGTCGTACCAAGTACTTGAAGCATTGTATGCTCCCAGTTGATCCTTCTGGCTTCTCTTGCATCACTGGAGAAATGTTATGGCCTGTAGGTTTACCACCTTCTTGCCTAGGAAGTTGGTAACTGGTCTCTAGATCAGAATTTGTTGAAGGCATGTACCTTCTTCCAGTGCTGAATTTCAGCTGTTTCTCCACCTTAATTGTAAGGTGAATCACCTTCTCCAACTCCACAAATGGCGAAGTTCAACTTTGTGCTGAATTCCTTGATTGAGGCCATGTAGGAATCTTGACATCATGGTCTCCTTGGCTTCTCTCACGTCTGCTCTCATCAAGAGCAATTCAAGCTCCTTAGAGTATTCATCAACTAACCTCAATCCTTGACGAATTCCTTGCAATGATCCATAGAGTTCTCTTTGATAGTACCGTGGCACGAATCCGTCTCTCATGATTCCCTTCAGCTTGTCCCAAGTTGAAATTGGAGGTTGCAAATTCCTTCGTCGTCTAAGGTGTGTTTGTTCCCACCATAGTGCAGCATAATCTATGAACTCGTGCATAGCTAACAATAACTTTTGTTGCTTGCTGTAAATGCCACACTGAAAGAAGAGTATGATCTTCCTCTCCCAGTCTAGGTAGGTTGAAGCATGGTTAGTTCCTTAAAATGAAGGAATTGAAAGTTTAATTCCTCGTAACTCAGCAACTGCACCTTGCCCTGTTTCCGGTAGCCTTCCACCATGATCACAAAATTCGTGATAACGATGTACTTGGTTGTGATATGTGGTGATCAATATGTGATCCAAGTTTTGAATCCTCTCGTCTAGGGCTTGGTTGGTTCCAGTCATCTTGACCTTGATTCCATTCAAGAATCATATTGTGCTCTGCAGTATTGTCCGATGAAGCTATATTGTTCTCATCGACTTGAGCTCAGCTAATTGACAATTGATTTGGTCGAATTGAACATGGAATGTTGCATTTAACTGCGCCATGATTGTCTGCAACAACTCATACACATTAATCTATTGATCAATCATGACTGGTTTGTCAAATTAATTGTCGTCTTGACTTCGTCCTCACCACTATGTTAAACCAATCTCTAATACCACTTGATATGACCTCAATGGAGGTTAAGGACCAGAGTTGCATAGCCAAACTCGATCAATCATAGGGTTTGATTAACTCATGAAACTCTAACCAAGAACAAGCCAAAAACCAAGCTATATGGATAAGATACATGTGAAATTGAAGTGCAATCTCACACCTGCGAGAAGGCTCTGCCAATTTTGGGTAGATGCTCGCCACAATGAAGGATTTTACAATTTAATGTTTAGGATTAGGATTCAAAAAAGGTTTGGTGCTTAGGGTAATGCATTGATTAGTTATATCCTACGTTGTACATCATATTAAACTAATGATACCAATTAAAATTCAAAATTTGATGTTTTAATACTAATTTAAGAGTTTGGTGCATAGTATACACTCATTTTAGTGAGTGCACCAACCTTAATATAGTCAAAAGAATACATGGTGCTTTTACAATTAAAAAGAGAGCACGCTGGATCTTATATTCAAGTATGTCTATGAGCATCCCGTGAGGATCTCAAACGGGCACTTGTTCTGCTTTTTGTTGCTTTCCAAATAAACGAATGCAAGTAGCTCATAATTAAGCATATGTGCAATGTGCAAGTTACAATGTATGGTTTCGCAACAACCAGGGGCGGAGCTAGCTTACTCCTCGCCCCCCCCCCCCCCCCCCCCCCCCCCCCCCCCCCACCAATTTTGAAAGTTAAGTAGATGGTCAATTCTTTTACCCTATTTAAAGCTACGGTATACAATTTCCTTTCCCCCTCATATTTTGGTTCATTAAATTTTAATTTAATATTATATCAATTAAAATTATCAATTCTAAGGATTATCCGTAGAGCTTAACTTTTTAGTTATGAAATCAAAATATACCACACAAAATTGAAATGTGTTGTTAATTTCTTCATATTATTCTAATTTATATTGAATTTAATATGAAAAATATTGCGTGTATAATTAATTTTTTCAAATATTTTTTTATTAGTATTTTTTGTCCTTTATTTTAACCGGATTCCCCCCCCCCCCCCCCCCCGAACTAAATCCTAGCTCTGCCCCTGGCAAGAACCATATCATGAGGTGGTATTTTGGGCTAAATGATTTTCATCCACTCATTCGGAGTTATTTTAAATAATACTAGGTGTAGTTATTAAAAGATTTCGAATATAATTTAGAAATACACATTTTAAAATAGTATATTATTTTTGCTCCAAATTACCATAGACAACCAATTGACTCATTGATTTAACACAAACATAGAATATATCGGAATTTACTCGCCACCCTCCCATATATATTTCACCTTATCAAGCCTTATTTGGAACACAACCATATTATTTTTGCTTGAGAACCTCGTCATACCTCTTTTGTGCTCCTACCTCCAATTCCAAAGGGATGTGATAAGTTGCACGCTGAATTCCCAACATGTAACCTTCTTCAGAGTACCACATTTGTGAGACAATCAATTTTGAGTCATTTATATTAATTAGTCATTCAAATTATTAAAAATAATACTGCATATAGTACTATTGTTTGGTGGAAAATAAGTTATATTTCATCGTCAAATTCAACCATCCATGGGACCGTGTAAAATTTTTTAATGGATATATTTTCTTTTAGGATTCCCCATATTGGCCAAGTATTTCTTTCTTGGTAAAAAAATAAAGGATAGTGTTTGTACGAAGAGGCGATTTGGCCCTCGATGAATGTTTTTGCATGTGTATTTGTACAAGATTCACCCCTAGTTCATAATAGGGAAAATCGCACGTAATTCTTGTCTAGAAGATATCTCATTCACTTATCAATAATTGCTCATCAAAATAGACTAGAAGAGTAGAAGTCGTTCTAATTGAACTGAAATTGAAGAGGTTCAACAGAATTTATCAAAACCAAATGGAAAATAGTTGCAATGTTAATTAACACTGCTCCTTTCTCTCTTTCATCTTTATTAACAATATTATAGTGCTTCAAAAGCAGCCACTAGGGCAAGTACATCATAACCTTCACAAAAATTGCAGCCACCACTATGTCTATGACATGCACACTCATACTTGACATCCCTTATCTTCTCATTTCTACTGTTCTTCTTCTTCATCTCCATTGCAATTGGAAGTCTAACCCTCATGCCAATCTTCACAGAAGGAGGCTTGACACCATCAAGGCGGCTACTCTTCTTTGGGTTCATAACAAACCATTTCTCGATTTCCATGCCAGGCGCCTCCATGACACTTTGCCATGGAAGCTCAGCTCTACCAACAAGCTTCGAACCTCCTAGCCCGAGGATGGTATTCCCCGTTGACGATCTCCATCTTAGCTCGAAAACCACACTGCTTGTCTGGAGAGCATTGATGGATTCTTGAGTGCCTGAGCAATCCAATGAGAAGGACTCATTCCATGAAGGATTATCACTGGTACTCGGGATCTCGTTTGTATCGAGCTGGATTTTTTTGTTGTTTCCAGCCGAGAGATAGCATCTTAGAAACAAGTTTCCTTTGGATTTGTAGGATGACTTGTTCATCGTCATGAACTCCTCCACATTTTTAGCTTGGTGAATCACTATCTCACAAGAGAGTTGTTGCTGGAAAGTTGGAGCCATGTGTGCTTTGTTATCTAGAACCAAAGGAGGAGATTGAGAGACGAGATTAGTTTTGAGGAAAAGATTAGGGTTTGAGGTATGAAGCTAGTGGTTTAGTATGTGATGTGTTTTTGTTCTTTGGTGGGATTAAGGAATGTGTGTTGTGGTGGTATATATAATCTGTGTGAGAGGTGGGAATTTTCTAAGGGAATGTGAAAGGTGGGATGTTTGAGCAAGTGGTGGAGGTGCTTATAATACACTTTTTTAATAATTTTTGTGAGGAAGCTTAGAGGAAGGAAATTGGAAGTGGGATAATATATGCCTAGTCACAAGAGAGATCTTAGTTGGGTTTGGACCAATGAGAAGAGTAGTGGAGATAAATCTAATAATAATGACTCAAAACATAACTAAAGGTGATTTAGATGGACATGCATTAATCTAGATTAATTTGATGTATAATTACTCGTGGGGCATATTTGTTTTCTTAAATCATTAAACGAATTATAGCTGCTTTTGGAGTTAATGAAGAGTTGTTGACCCCAAGTTGCAATAGTGATTCACATAATTGGATCTCCAAAGATCACCCAAAGATTATGGGTCTATTGTGTGTGTTCTCCTTGCGCATCAAGTTGTAATTTTGTTTATGAATTTATATCTCATTAAAATCAATTTCAGTATGATAATTAGCACTTCCAAGTTCCAGTATAAAAGTGACTAATGGTAGTTGGGGTTTTGGAGGTGTCTTTCACGGGTATCTAGATCGATTGCTTCAGGCTTTCTTCGATCGGTAATCAAATTTGCAACTAACGTATAATTAAATTTGGTGGGTGCTTAAGCCAATTGCGGTAGAGATTATCTACTTACTGCATATATGAGCAAACATATATGTGTTACTTCTTTGGATCCACGTTAAGTGAATAATTATCATCTACATTCTTGCTTATATGATAAAGCTAAACTTTCGTCTCACATTAGTGTCACCAATTTGGTTACAAGATAAAAAGGACTCATTGGACATAATAAAAGCCACCAAGTGATTTTCCAAGTTCATGGTCCAAGTCCAAAAGGAGCCTACCAGTCCAGCAGATCATGGCTTGGTCCACAATGTCTACCCGGTCAAGAGTCAACACCTTCTCCCTTTAGAGTTGAAAAGAACAAGTCACTTTGTGTGCTGTGCTGATACTTTGCAGGTAGCTAATAATTTGGGATTTTTTCTACAGATAGCCATCATTAAACTAAAAAAATTAATTGATAAACTTACGCGACAGGATGCGAGGGATGTTCAAATAGGGGCGGTGCTGGAGGAGATCATCGGAGTGTTTTCTAGTCATAGTGCTTTAAGTGTTCGTTTTGTAGGTCGGAGTAACAATAGGGTAGCCCATTTGGTGGCTAGAAAGGCCCTTGATTTGTACCCGGCTACATGTCGTTCTTTTAATTTCCAGGCCTGGCTGGTTTCCAGGATGTAATACCTTTTGATCCAATCAATATATGTGATTATCTTTTGGAAAAAAAAAACTAAAAAAATTCAAAAATACCATCGTTTTCAGAAAAATTTAAAACATACACTCTTTCACAAAAATTGTCACATGGAGCATGCTAACCCTTCTAAGGAGTTGGAAACATGACACCCCTATCAATTATAGTTATTTTTTGTATTAAATTCGTGTTGCATTTAATAATTTTTGGAAATTAAAAACTCATCTTAATTACATTCCTTTTTTTAACTACCATTGCACTGATACAACTACTATTGCACCTGTATACTGAACTCATATTAATTATGTTACTTTTTTGGAACTACCATTGCACTATACATCTACCATTGCACCTGTACACTAATATCATTGCACTGATACAACTACCAGTGCACTGAAAAAAGGAAACTAATTAATATGTGATTTTAATTCATACAGATTATTAAATGCAACACAAATTAATTACCTTAAAAACCTATAATTAATAGGGGGTGTCATTTTTCCAACCCTTTTAGGGGGTAGGCATGCTATCTCATCCCCACATGGGGCACTGGTGTTCCAAAGAACCAATGGGAATGGTGGTGGTTTAGATTTTCGACCTAAAACCACATGGCCACAAGGCAGTTTTATGGCTTTCCTAATTGAAACCGTCGGTAGACCCGGCGGTTTTAGGTCGACAAATGGAACCGCCGTCTTTCTCGGCAATTTGATTTGCCGACACACAAAGCGCCTCCAGGCTGTTTGTGTATCATCTCCATCCTCTTAACAACCGACATATCGGCATGTAGGGGGTTGTAGATGTGGGGTTTGCATGTCAATTGAAAATCGCCACCCCCCAGCGATTTTCACTTGACATTTTGCCGGGAGCAGTTATGGTGATTACTACAAAGTAATCACCATGGTTACTAAGGGTAAATTGGGTATGAAAAATAAATTGTATTGATTAATTTTTTAATAAATTATATTTTAGCCAGTTACAAAAATCTGTTAATTACAATTCTCTCTTTTTCTCTAATTTGTGTAATCTTTAGCTAGATCTCGCCTTATTTTTCTCAATATTTTTGCAAAAAGAATGGGGAAAAAATAAGAAATCACTACCAATCCATTAGACAACAACTACCACTTCAAAAAACACCTATACCATTATAGAAAAAAATAAGAAATCAATAACAAAACATAAAATCACTATCACTACCACTAATTAACCACTTATAGACAACATAAAAACACCTATACCATTATAGACAACAACTACCACTTCAAAAAATACCTATATCACTTATTAACCAATAATATTACAGATTTAACTAATACCGATACATGAAAATCACTATCAATACAATAATATCAGTACCAAAAAACCAATATCATTACATAATCAATACCAATGGAAAAAAAAATAATACCACTACGAAAAAATCAATATCAATATACAAAATACATACCAATATGAAAAATTCATATACGAAATCTGGTCGAGATATTCTTCATCGATCACCTTGAGAGAGAGAGAGAGAGAGAGAGAGAGAGAGAGAGAGAGAGAGAGAGAGAGAGAGAGGATGGGGAGGGGAGGAGCGGTGGGTGATGGGAGGTGGCCGATCGGCGGGAGGGAAAGGCGGACGGTGTTGTGCAACCGGGAAAAGTGAAGAGAATGGCGGCGGGAGCCATTGTCGGAGAAAAATTGAGAAAAAGTGAGACTCATGAGAGAGTGTGGTATTGGGGTTTGGTTATAATATGTAGAAATTTATTTTTTAAAAATAATAATTGGGTTGGTATATTTTTTATTTTCAAAATTACTCTTAATTTCATCTATACCGATCATTTAAAAATAGAATAAAATAGAAATAATCAAGGATGTAGATTTTGGTATCCACCGCGGTTACTTAAAATTAAGTAACCACGCTAACGCATTCCACATTTTGCCTATAAAATGTCGTACCGGGAACCTAAATTCTTCACTCCCCTCCTTCTTTATAATTTTGTTCTGTTTTTTAATTTTTTTAGTTTTTCGATTAACGTTACTTGGTAAGTTTTTTTTTTTGTATTACTTTTTATTGTGATTTGTAGTTTTAAATGCTTCTCATTCAAAAAGTATTCATGTGTATGTCTTTCACAAATTTTATGGTATTAATCTAGTTACTGTTTTATTGCAGATGACATTCCAAAAGTTCATGCTTGGGTTACGGTGGAATAGTTACACGAAAGAAACTGAAAAGGGGTACGTTACGTTAGTAGTTGTTTTTAGAAAGCGAAGGTTGCTACGAGATCAAACCTAGAAGAGCTCCGTCAAATGTGTACTATGGTTACGTGCATGGAGGGCACGAGGAGAGTTGATCCTATTGTGTATCGATATCCAAATAGACAAGACGGGTCGTTGTGGCATGAGAAATTGCTCATAACCACTCACAAGGAAGTTGATGTCATGCTCGAATTTATGAATATCAATAACATTTCCAAAGCGGAGATGTTTGTTCACACCGAGTAGTTTGAAGGCAGTGGAGGTCATTCTGGAGATGGCCAAACATCTGGTATCCACGGTGGGGGGTGGAGTATATGAAGATCACTACCAAAGTTACCATGATCATCATTCCTACCATGAGTACCAAGAAGGAGGTGGAGGCCATCATCAATCCTTCCCATCGTATGAAGGAGAAACCCAACGTTACCATGACAACCAACAAGAATGCTACTAGTACCAATCCGAGTACAACTTCCATGTAGGCAACGGTAGTTATCACAACTACCATTATGGAGCTGATGAATGTGTGTTTCATGATCTAGATGAGATGGAAGATGTGTTTCCAGGTGGAGATCAGTTAGTGACCCTGATGATGAAGAAGAAGAAGAAGGTGATGTTAGTGCAGACAGTTTTGGCCCTCTTGAAGGTACTGATGATTCAGGCCTAGATTCAACATGAGGGATGCAAGGCTAGGGTCCGGGACATCAAGAGCAAGAGAGTCAGGCGTCGGATCATATCCCGTGCGGTGAACACTCACATGTGTGTCATTTATAACATCCCAAGGCTATAGACCGTTGAGATCCAGGGTTCTCGCCACGGCCATCAAGCATCTAATTAAGAAACAACCCGACCTGAATGTGAAAACCATCATCGCCGATGTTTCTAGTCATTATGGATATATTATTAACTATAAGAAGTAGTGGCATGGAAAGCAGAAAGCTATGGTCGTCGTGTTTGGTGACTGGGAAGAATCATATGCATACCTTCCAAGATTGATTTTGGCATTGGAGACTTCCAACCCCGACATTGTTTCTCCCCCCGCTACCAAGATGAAGAAATCTAGCCGTCGGAACCCGGTGACAAACGTTATTTCAAACGACTTTTTTGATCATTTAAGCCATCTATTGATGGTTTTGCCTTCTACGTCACTATGTTGCAAGTGGATGGCACATTCCTTACCGACAAGTACAAGGGCACTCTCATGATAGCCCGTGGAGCGGATGCAAACAGATGTGTTTTTTCTATAGCCTTCGCCATTGTTGAGGGATAGAATACCGAAAGCTATGGATGGTTTTTTCGACAAATTCACCTCCACGTCCCCAAGAGGATGAACCTGAGAATCATCTTTAATCGCCACGGCGGGATCAGAGCTTCCATCTTAGACTTGGATCCAGCCTGGAAGTGGTCCCAGAGGTGGTGCATATGACACTTCAA